AAAGGGAGCTCCCAATCACGGAGCTTGACGGCAAGACGTCGAAACAATATACCAATGGCACGGCTGACTGTTGCGCCCCTTGTCCTCGAGTCACCAAACATCACACTAGAACGGAAGGCTTGCTGATAAGTAGAAAAGAGAGTGCGTGTTTGAGAGAGAAGGGGAAACATCCACGCGTATTCTCACCCTCACGTTTGAGATGGATCCAGGACCCCCAGCCGGAGTACCGGGAAACGTCTCGCCTATGGACGCCTCGCCGGTGATACGAGAAGAACATCAACAACAACCGCAGTCTGCCATCTTCAAAAGAAGTTGGGCTGCTTCCCATACGGGTTCTTCCCACCGAGTCCTGAAACGCAAGGGCTAAGTATGTTGATCTGGTATCAAGTCTCTTGAAACAATGACATCCACCTCTCCCAGACTTTTGGGCAAGCCACATAAAAGGTTCTGGCCTAGGGTCCCGGCGAATTACAGGCGCCATGGTCGCCATGGGGGATTACCATTGTACTCGCTTGAGCATCCGAGCGCATGCAGCCTCCTATTGGTGTGCCTGAATCTTGCATGAACTGGACACCAGCCCCAGTCTGCCCAAATGGCGGGGGGACAAGAATCCTTCGAGTCCAGGCTCGTGTTATGCTACACTATTTGTCGTCTTCTACTACTACTACTACTACACAGTACTATGTACTTTGTCTGAGTGCCACTTGTTCCCATGCACAATCGGGCCCGTGGATCGCTCCACTGTGACCTATCAAAAGTCTCAGTCACCGGTACTTGCCGCCAAGACAAGTCCCTCTCTCTCTCCTACCCGCCGCTGTGGATATACATGACTGACTTGAAGATTCAGATGATATCCACCAGATAGAGAGACGGAGGATCTTTCTCCAGAGTCGGAAGACCTCCTGCAGCAATACACAGTATTACAAAAAGTATGATGCGGCATCAAGATAAAGCACCGGTGGAGGAGGGTGGTAGCGGACAAAAATTCCCCCACCATGTCAGGTATATGAAACACCAGGAGGCACCTCGCAGCCTTGTTCGCGCGACTTCCCAGTACGACGCCACCTTTGCGAGGGTCTTCTTCCTTCAGCAAGGCTTGCTAGGTCACTTGCGGAGCCCTGCGAGGAGGCACTCTGGTGCCACGTACTCGTGCGTGGACAGGGTATCAGAGGGTGGCGTCTCCAGGCCGGCCAACTGGCATCATCCTGCCACCCCTGCTGAAGAAGAACATCCCGAGCGATCACCATAGCAGCGTCATTGTCTGAGGCTCCACATGACGCCCATTCCTCGACCTGGTCAAGAGCCGTTGTTGACGAGTGCGGCGAAGGGGCTCGACGGCTCTCCGACCTTGCATTGCTGATCGCCTTCGTGTCTCGCTGGTTGAGTCTGCAGAGTTGCCCCTGGTGTTGTTTCGATCCTGTTTGCAGTCCTTGAGTCCCGAGGATTCACAAATCGTTGGCAGGTGTAGGCTACTGGCCGTATCGTGGAGAGATGCTGCCACAGCAACTATTATGGTACGACGCCCGACGGTGTCTTGGTTGCATTGAAACATATTGCTAAATATAACGATGGACTGACTGGAGACCAGACGGAGGTTACGAGTCATTGTGCCAATACCCAAAGGCTTGGGCGCATATCAGATGCCGAAACTCGGCTTGGAGGTCCGGAACATCCATCCCCTAAGGGCATTGAGGGTTTGAGTGATTTGCCAGATGGACTCTGCAAGCGCAGGATATCCTGGGAGACCCGGATTGTCTTCCAGCCCGAGACCTCGCCTTACGAGGAGCCGGAGAGTCTGGCCAGAGGATGTGTGCGGACAAGGTCCTCTTGGCAGTGGTGCGAACTGCAGTGCCATCATCTCCCATTCATCCGTCTGATAATGCCTATACGCGGATTCCGACCGGATTTTTGCAAGCTTGTCTAGGCCCTGTGGGCATCAAAGTCATGTCAAGAGGTAGGCTGGAATTTCTGCTATTCTCCTCTCCTCTGAACGAGCGCAGGTGGCCAAGGCATACACAGGCAAGATTGTATTTGAGACAACCATGGTTCTTTTCGTGAGCTTCTTGCTCCATCCTTTCTCCCCATTCCTAAGTCGCCGTAATTCAAGGTCCGGCCAGCAGCATTTTCTGTCTCGGCGTTATGACACCGACGGGTCCCAAAGAACATTCCCACCTCCAAGATTTACACACAACATGCCGACAGCTGAGGAATCAGTTCCCCATTAGCACACTGCGCGTTGCCTCTCGTCCTGCACAGGATGACTCTCAAATCTCGTCTCCAGTAATGATTTAGTGACATCAACAGCAGACCCCCGGGACACATCGGAAGGCAACCCGGACAAAGTCACGGGGAGCGCTGCCGGATGGATCCCTTCCTCGCGCAGGGTTCTGGGAACTCCAGTCCGCGAGTGTGCGGGCGGGCGTCAAAAGATCGACTTTTCTGAAACTCACTTGGGCCGAATCTAGTGGAGAACATGCCCGTCCCTTACCATGACGCTCATGGGATCCACACAAACAGCTGTTCTCGCCTCAATTCTTTTAGCAGACAATCGTGGGAAGTAAAGGAAGTGGAAAGAAAATAAGAGGAGCACGAAGGAAAAACCTGCACCCTCCAGTCGAGGGCTGGGATGTTGGGGAGGGCATGGGAAGTTCCAGGCCCCGGGGGTTTGCCAGAGCTGCCCCCGCTGCTGGTCCATGATGCAGTCAGGGTACAGGGCAGAGCAGGCTTGGGAAGGGGTTGGTATTGTCGATATGCCACTTGGCAGCCCGTGCTTGCATGGCCGAGTGCGATGGCTATGGGTGGCAGCCTGATCGAGTTGACAGGGCTGACAGTACAAGTAGGCAGATTAGTGGCCAACCTAGTATGTGGATCGCCACCAGCATACTTGCATGACTACTAGAACGTGTCTGCGGCTTCATGGGACGCTGTCGATCTCTGTTGGCGAAAGAAAGGCATGATACTTTCGGTACAAAGAAGACCGAGAAGTAATAGTGGTGGTGGTAGATGCTACCATGCACATTGCCTATGCTGTATATGCTGGGCTGCATGGAAAAGCCTTGCATGCAGCCGGGGGCAGCGGCCTCAGCCTTGTCAATGCTAATGTTGTTAGACGGCCACCTTGGGGGCAAGTTGGAGTCGGTCAGTTTCTTCGGGAACCGCGAGGTTGGTCCGACTGGACTCCCTTGCACCCCTCATCCCCTCCCCGAATATCAGACGATCGGAAGAGCTCGTTGTATTGCATCGCATCTTTGACCTCCGGGTGATTCGGTGGCACTTGGGCGACAGGAGCTTGGGAGTAGCCCTCCCTGAGCGTGGAACGGGCCTGGTCTGTTGGGCATGGACGTGGTCTGAGCTGGCTGTGGATCTATTTTGTATAATATTTCTCTCTTCCCGAGAGTCTAAATTGAGGCACAACGCATCCAAAGGGACTTCACAGGAGACTTGACGTCGTGTGTAGGGAGTTTTTTATCCTTTCGTGAGCCTAAACTGATGTGTACGTGGCAGCATGGTAATTTCTCCTACTGACTTGGTATTACCGGCAACCTCTACGATCTAACGACGCTGAAGGCCAGCAGAGAAGCCGCACAGTGATTCCTTTTTTGACCGCGTCCAATGTCGTTCTTGTACACCTCCTCATAGACGACAATGATGCGCTGGACTCAACATTGTTTAAGATCATCATCGAGTCGGTAGCTGAAGTGCACTGCGATCCTACGTCTATACGGGCTGCTCTTGAAGGACGCGGTCATTTCGGCTTTGCTTGGATGAGTTATAAGTATGCATGGCTTGAGGACATCTCGATATGATACGAGGGTTGAGAAACATCTATCTCTCTGCTCACGCTCCTCTCGATCTCGCAATCCTCCAATCATACTGGAACAACATCGTATCTTTTTTTCTTTCTTTTCTTTTGGTCTGATGATAGAGAATGGCATTGACTGTACAACCACTCTGAATGCTGGCCAGTAAATCGAACCAGCTCAATCAGAACATATACAAAGTACACATTTCGCGAAGAGACTAATTGTCCAACCTCTGTAACAAGCCAGTCAGTCTGTTCGCGCGCGATGTGCAAGCGCACCACGCACCATAGCATAGCACATGGGCAGTCTAAGTTCCTACAAGGAACCCACCAGCGGGACGAAGCACAGCTCAGATCTTTTTTCCTTTTCTTTTCTTTTCTTTTTTTGCTTCTCTCTTTCTTCCTTTACCCGCCACTAGAGCTTAACAAATATTAACATCGTGCTTGATAGGAAGTACACTCTCGTCTCGTTCGGGCGGGCGCTCGCTGGCCTCGAACTCTTTAATCACTTAACTGCCTATCGTACGTTAGGTAGGGTCCTCTCTTGAGGTTGTCGTCCCCAGATGCAGGCTCGCTGCTGTGGCCGCAGTGGGCACAGCAACTAAGTCGTTGGGTAAGCTTCGACGGGTTTGTACCTACGATCCAGGCCCAAGACTGTATCTGGATAGACTGTTGTCCACCACGAAGAGCCACTCGCTAGTTATGGCGTGGGCGATGAATACCGCCAGACCATATAAGACTCGTCAGGACCTTTATCGAGCACAATAGAACCAGCACAGGCCCAGCATGGCAGACTGGCTAAACATTAGACGCAGTGACATTTCCGCGGGCATATCGCGTTCTCGTGGGAGATTATGACAATTGTCTGCTAGCCGAGGAAGTTGGTGGATGATAATATTCATGGGACGGACATTGATAGTGACTGGGTCGGGATATTCCTACTATCTTGTTCAGACTCATGAAAGGGTATCAATACAATACAAGAATTACATATAGAGAGGCTGTGTTGAGGCGTCAAAGCCAGCCAGCGCACAGGTTGGCGGGGGATTCATTCGTATCTAGTTCAATACTGGCCATGAGTTTTACTCAGCATTCGAGCCAGAGCAACAAGGCTGAGAACTCGAATATACAACCTTGCCAAGTTTTCCGCTTACGAGCCGATGTTATGTGTGTGAATTCCATGTAGAGCTTCTTTTGACGGGTTGGAATCAAGTATCATTGGTAAATGCTAGATTTTTGTCGACAACTAGGGTGACTCGAAGTCTAGGTATCTTATAGCGACCGGAGGCTCTTGTCCAGAAGCTTTTGGCCCTCACGAACCTTGGGGCTATAATGTCTGCGTAGCAGCTCACCCTCCCAGATAGTTGTGGCAAAGGGATTGCTTCCCTCCACAGACTCGCTGAACGGGTTAAAAGTCCCATCATCCTTCCTCTCCTCCGAGTTCCAGAGTGCCGCGATCTTCTTGCCATGTGTGTGGCTCACGTCATTGATCAGGGCCAGCATGGCCTGACACGACTTCTCTGGCATCTGCAATGCAATGGTCATCAGCTGCTTGGTGAAGGCTGCCAGTCGCAGAGGAGGGACCGAGCGGATGTTCCAGGGCGGTAACAGGACTGCAGTCAAACATCTGACCAGAAGCACGGTCATGGTTTGGATGTTGACCTTGTTCGCCTTGTTAACAGCCGACTGGGGACTGTCCGGATCCGGAAGATGCAATGACTTGGCTCCGAGCTCCAAGTTCGCATTGGTGGCCAACGGGAGAAGGCTCTGGAAGAGATGTGTCGTGAAGTATGACAAGTCCAAATGCAAATCTGCGCGTGCGTTGTGGGCGTCTTGTCCAGCCAGGAGGGCGAAGGCAGTGACTGTACACAGCAATGCCTCTCTGGTTGTGTTGCGAACTGTTGAGTCTTCTTCCTCCTCGTCGTTCTCGGCGTCTTCTGTCTCTTCCTCTGCAGCAGCGTCCTCTTCACTGTAGCGGATGAGGTCCTTGAGCGCTTCGAGCAGATCTCCGAAGAAGTCCTGGTTGATGAGGTGAGCGTACTTGGCCAACCCCTCCAGTACAGCGCCCATGAGATGTGGCAGTCTCTCCTTGAGCGCGCGGAAGTATGTGGCGAACACCAGCTTCAAGGTCTCTGACTGCATGCGGTCCCGTTCCTCGTGACTAACTAGAGCATCCGCTTGTGCCATCTCCTTCGCTAGGGCTTTCTCCTCCTTCATGGCTTTCCGCTCACGCTTTGTGCGAAACTCCTTCTTCTTCTTGAGCGATGTGCTGGGTGCTCCATCCGGACCGTCTACTCCATCCTTGGAGGCTTTCCCAGAGTACTCAGACAGTAGCCTGAGATAGAGGAACAAGTTGAGCACCGTCTCGTGAACTTGATACTTCTTTGCCTTCATCATCTTGCTGAGGAGAGATACGGCTTCCATAGACGGCCTGCCTTCTTCGTCCTCTTTGAAAAGCATCTCGAGAGACCTCAGGCACTTGTTGAAGGACTCGTCTACCCTCCGCGAGCTCAGCTTGCTCACCAAGATTTTCAGGAGGTCGGTCCGGAAGTTGAAGTGCGGAACTGCCTTGACCAAAGTACAAGCACAGGTGATGGCAACCTTAGAGAGACCATGGCTGTCCTCGGAGCCCTTCAGCTTCGCATACCTTGTCAGGTCTTTCAGGTATACTTGATAGCCTGTCACGAGCGCATGCTCGTACGTCCGCACCTTCTTGACCTCCTTGGAAAGCTTCTGGCCAGCGGGATCTTCTGAGCTCGGTCGTATCCTGTAACCGGGAATGACATCCTTGTAGACTGCCAACTGTGTCACCAGACAGAGCTTCTGTACCGCAGGAATGCGCGTGTGCCCTATCTTTGCCAGATTCTTGAATGCGCCGGGATGTTCTTCGGGGTCTTCGCTCAGTTGCGAGCCAATCTTGGCCAACTCTTCCTTCGCTTTCAGGATCTGTTCGCGCTCCGACAGCGTCGGCACAGCCTCGACCTTTTCCGACTCGGGCTCTGAGCCTGCTGCATCGTCCTCGTCTCCATCCAGCCAGTCCCCATCGCTCTCGATGGAGGCAGCGTCGTTGAAGGTGTTTTGAACCTGCTGCAAGCGACCGTCGGCAGTCTTGATGGGCAGCTTATTGCTCTCCTTGTCCTTCTTCTTGCCTTTTCTCGGTCGTGATTCGTAGTCTTGTTCTAAGTTCCAGCCGGAAGCGCTCTTGAAAAAGGCCTTTTGTACTTTGGCATCCGAAACCCCGTTCTCGGACTGAGGTGGGCTCAGTCGCCTCTTTTTCGAAGGTCGTGTCGCCATGCTCTTTGGTCGAGTTATTGAAAATATAAAGGGAATGAGTGATGTCGGTTTGCAGGAATTCGAACAATATCGAGGGGGGGCTGGGAACAAGAAGACTGATCCCAGCACTTCCTGTATCGTCGGAATCAAGAAAAAAAAAAGTTGAGGTGAACCCGCCTGGTTTAAGGCAGTTCGCAAATGTTCAGAGCAGCATACATGCGCTCAGGAACTTTTTTCCCACTGAAGACAAGTGGAACAGGCTTATCAGAAGGCTTATCCATTGGGTAGCGGGGGCGCGCCTGGGCGAAATATTCCCTGGTCGCAGTGCAGAAAAATTCAGGGGTCTATTGGAGAAATCGCGTCGCCAACCCACCACCACACTGACCCGGCTGGGGATGATTTGATCAATTGTTGATGACATCGTCTACACCGTGCGCCTGGCTGCCTATTTCCACCCACAACATACCATCTCGCTCTGCGACGCTGGTGAAGGGTGCACTGAAGCGTCATGGCACCATCATCTCTTGCTGCGCAGTTGGCGCAGATCGCTGCTAATTCCAAGAGTACTCTTAACGTCAAGGCGCAAAAGGCGGCGCATGCCAAGTCGTTGATTTTTGAACCCAAAGTCGCCGCAGGCCAGAGCTTCCAGACCGTCTACACAATATGCCGCGAAGGCTTCGATGATTTGTGCCATCTGGACGCGCGTTTTGCGCCGTACAGCGAAACACTCTTCAGCGAGCAGAGCCAAGAGGAAGACCGCACCCAGATGACCGCCGCCGAGAATGCCGAGTTGGATAAAAGGGTCGACGCATTTCTGCGGTTGGTAGGCGCAAAATTGAGGCTTATGCCGGCCATCAAGGCTGTGGAATGGCTCATAAGAAGATTCAGGTTGGTACAATACAACTGTCCTTGTAACTAGAGCGTTGGTCTGACCCTCTACTAGAATCCACGAGTACAGCACAGCGTCTCTGATCACGGCTTTCCTCCCATACCACGCCGCGCCCGCTTTCGTAACGCTCATGTCCATTCTTCCGACCAAGATCCCGCACAAGTACAGATTTCTCGACCCATATATACGGTCCTTGACTTCGCCGCCTCGGGCTACCATTGTTCAACAAGCGATACATCACTTTGATCTGCTGTCCACGATATCAACGTGGACGCTGGAATCATGCCAAGCCCAGCAACACTATCCCGGTCTTCTCTCATTTTGGGGCGGAGTCATGACGGAGGCTGTCAATGGCATGCTGGATCACATGAGATCAGGCCGAAAGACCATCCAGAGGGACAATGACCAGGATCTTTTGCAGAAACTGCTGCCCATATTGGGAGAGGCCTTGATGATGAAGAAGGTCCCGGGGCTCCAAGTCGCTACATACATGGTCATTTCGGTCTATGCCGCGAAGGGCGACCTGGACGATGCTGTGCTGCTGGAGTTCATGCATCAGTTGGTTCTCGGCTGGACGGGCGAGACCGTTCGGCCTGGTCTGGTCTGCCTCTCTATTTTGGCCCAGTACAGATCTGCTAAACAGCTGTCCTGGAAAGTGGCCAAGTCGCTTATCAAGGTCCAGGACCTAGAGCACTTGCTGCTTGATGTACACAAGGAACACCGAATTGATAAGCTGGCCAATGGTCTGGCACTCGCGCTTATTGAGCGCCTCACCAAGAGAGGTGATGCGCGCGGTTTTCCCCTGATCAAGACAGTCCTGGCCACGCGAATGCTCAGCGAGAAGCAAGCGTCTGTTATGTTCAGATCACTCTTGATAGCTGGTGTCAAGATCACCGATGATGTCGATGAAGATGGCCAGGCCCGGCGACAGTTGGGACTGGCCATTGTGGCACTCTCGCAGGCTCCAGACGAATCAGGCGAGTTCTTCCGAAAAGTCGTCGAGGAGGCCGAATTCGATATCGACGACCTGGAGTTGAGGCTGGGGGCTTCTATTCGACCAAAGAAGGCAATCAAGCAGGCGGAGGGGAACGACAAGCCCGCGGATGATGAAGCCGCAGCTGCCCTGGCTGAGGAACTGGACCTGGACGCTGGGCTGAGCCGATTGTCGAAGCATAAGAAGCCGCCAGCTCGGACTTGTCTGGCAAGCGACTCTGATCCTATATTTGACGAACTCTGCCAGCTCTTCATCACGGCCGCATCCGACAAGGCAGATCTCATGAAGCTGGATGAAGTGTCCATATTGGAACGCGACACTGCGCCCGCAGACTGCTTCTACTTCTCGTTCTATATGCGCATTTGGCTCGGTCCCTACCCGATCCTCGCTCGAGCACGAGCTCTCGAGATGGCCAAAAACCGACTTCAGGAGCCGGACTGTGCAAAGCTTGACTTCCAAGCACTTCAACCTTACTGCATTGCTGCCTTGGCTGATCCAGCCAAGAAAGTCCGCCGTGCGGCAAGTGAGTTGCTTGCGGTGCTGCAATCAAACACGAGCGACTCAGGGTCACGCAAGAAGAACGGAACACCATGGGGTTCTCAAGGCCTGTACAAGAAGGCACAGGGCTTGAAATGGTTGACACCCGAAGCTGATCGGACGTTGCTCGAGGTTGTCATTGTGCCCGCGCTAGAGGAGGCGATCATGCATGATGATCACATTCTTGCGGTGCTCAAACAGGCGCTTGAGAGCTCGAGCAAGTCCTCGACAGAAAAGGAGACACCGAAGAAGGGCCACATCTCATCCAGTGCCAGAGCATCCATTTTCGCTTTCTTGGCATCGCATGTCGTCGACTCTCCTCTCCTCAACCTCAAGCTGAGGCTCTTGAAGGCCTTGAATCAGGTACAGAAGGTCTCGAGTACGTCGAGGACCCAACTGCTTCTGCCCTTGCTACGATGGTGGTCAGCGCTTGTACACACCGATGCCAGCAGTCTAGCCGACAAGGAGGGTTTAGACGAAAACAAGATCGATTCTGCTTTTGTGGATATCGTGGTAGCCAACGACACTGCCGGACTCGAATGCCTCTTCGACATCATTCAGAGCAAGACAGCACAGGATCGCCCTAGCCTGGTGAGCGCCACCTTTGCCCGGATACGGACGATGTGGCCCTCCATGAAGGATCGAACAAAACATGATGTTGCTCAAAGAATGCTTGAATTGTCACAAACGCAGGGAACTGTCTCGGAAGAAGCGACAGATCTCTTGCGGAACGTACCTTTGACGACGGACATTTTGCTTACCTTCCTCGCGGCTCTTCAAGACGTTGCTCAGCTGGCCACAGATCCACCTGCTAGCAAGCGCAGACGGACCAGCTCGTCGGACCACCACCGTGTGGCCGAGGTTCAGAACTCCCCGGAGCTTGCTGCAGCGCTGCGGAAGATCACATTTGTTTTGCAGCTCGTGGAGTCTTCTCACCCAGCCGAGCATCCTGAGCTTCTGCAGAGCTTGTTCATGGTACTCAGCGAACTCCAGACGTTTAGGACACTCGTGGGTTCCGAACTTGGCTATCTTCAGAATCTGGTCCTTGGCAGCTTGCTTGCCATGATGCCGACATACCGGAACGACAAGAATCTCAAGATCGACACGTCTGTCGGTCATGGCGACGTCCTAGTCTCTTGCATACAGAAATCTTCGAGTCCTGCTGTGCAGAACTCGGCCCTGCTCCTCGTTGCCAGCCTGGCAAAGACGGCCCCAGACGTTGTTCTGCACAGCGTCATGCCCATTTTCACCTTCATGGGCAGCTCAGTTTTGCGACAGAGCGATGACTACTCGGCACATGTCATCAATCAGACCATCCGAGAGGTGATACCGCCGCTGATCGAGACCTTCCGAAAGGGCCGAAAACACATCGTGGCCAGCGCGTCAGAGCTTCTTGCAAGTTTCGTCATCGCTTATGAGCACATTCCATCGCACAGGAGGCAAGGCCTCTTCATCTCGCTGGTGGAGAACCTCGGACCGCAGGATTTCCTTTTCGCGTTGGTGGCGATGTTCGTCGACAAGTACGGGACGTCTGATAATGTTCTGACTTTCACTGCCGACCTCATCAATCACTTCAACGTGGAGACTCAACTTCAGACTTTGGTCAGGTTCTTGGACCTTGTGGCAGATATGTTCAAGCCCAAGCCGAACCTATCTGCGACTCTCTTCGGCAAGAAGGAGGGCGAGGAGGAGGTCAATAAGACCGCTCTCAAGCAACTTACGTTGCTGCCGCACATTCTTGCCAACCGGTCTCTCAAGAGGGAGATCAGGAAGCTGGCTGAGCGTGACGACTCGGAAACGGCCAAGATCCGAGAACTCTATGCCCAGTTACTAGAAGACATCCTCACGGTAGCAGACACTGTCAAGTCGCGGAAGACGCTGCACGCACGCTGCGGAGATGCTCTGTCTAACTTATTGAACCTCTTGTCCGTCAGCGAGTTCATCAAGTCGGTTGAGACGCTCCTAGATCGACCGAACGTCGTCCTGCGGCAGAAAGTCCTTCGTGCACTCGAGGCTCGCGTGGACAGCGAGGGCCAATCTGATGTGCAGTCAAGGACTGCCCTCTTGGCGTTCTTACCACAGCTCACTGCTGTCATTCGTGACTCCGACGATATGCTCTACAAACACACCGCAGTCACCTGCGTCGACAAGATCTCTGAGAAGTATGGCAAGAAAGATGTGGAGGCTGTGGCCGCGGCTGCTGCTACTATTGCTGGCAAGCAATGTCTCGGGCAGGGAGACCGGCGCCTGCGCATCATGGCGCTGCTCTGCCTCGCCTCTTTGGTTGATGTGTTGCAAGACGGCATCACCCCAGTCCTGCCTACTGCCATCCCGCAAACCTTGGCGTACTTGCAAGAGTCGCTCAACGGCGTGGACTCTGATACCGAGCTGCACAACGCTTGCTACTCTCTGCTGACTGCACTGGCCCAACATCTGCCATATATGTTCTCTGGGTCCTACCTGGACCAGCTTCTGGCCATCTCAAACAAGTCGGCCGAAGCGCTACTGGGAGATGAGGACCACGAAAACAGGACGCAATGTCTGCATTTCCTTGCGAAGCAGGTGGATGCCAAGGTGTTGTTCGCAGCGTTGCAGAAGAACTGGGCTTCTGCAATGGATGCTGGTTACGCCGTAAGTTCTGCCCACCTTGTTCTTAGACCTGGGATGACAACTAACAGATTGCAGGCTATCCAGGAGTTTATCAATGTGCTCGGCCTGACCATCGACAAGAACTCGAAGGCATCCGTCGGAAAGAATGTATCGTCTCTCGCAGCCATCTTGTTCGGCACCTTCGACCTTCGGCGCCAGGAGCACGCCCTGGAACGTGCGAACATGACCATGGTGGCCGAGCTGGAGGAAGCCATCTTTGACGTGGCTCTGAAGATGGTCTACAAGCTGAACGACGCGGCCTTCCGACCAGTCTTTTCCCAGCTCATCGAGTGGGCTTGCTCTGGGCTGCCCAAAGCGGACACCCTGGGGGCCACCTTGCGACAGCAGAGCGTCTTTGGCTTCCTGTATAGGTTTTTCGACAATCTCAAGTCCATTGTGACGAGCTACGCCTCTTACCTCCTGGAGCCGGCAGCCAAGATTCTCAAGGACACGAAGCCCAAGGATGATGAGCAACGCGAGCTGTGGAGGCGGGTCCTGAAAACCCTGACGAAATGTTTCGAACACGACCAAGACGACTTTTGGCAAGCACCGTCGCACTTCAGCGCAATCGGACCTGTGCTCGTCGAGCAATTCTTGCACGCACCACACATGGACCTGGCCGAGGAGCTGATTCCGGCCGTGGTCGAGCTCGCGGCAGCAGCAGACTCGCAGGAACACCAGAAGGAGCTGAACACGACCCTCCTGAAACACCTGCGGTCCGAGACGGCGGCCGTGCGGCTGGCGGTGGTCAGGTGCGAGCAGGCACTTGTGGACAAGGTTGGCGAGGAGTGGCTGGCTATGCTGCCTGAGATGCTGCCATACATCAGCGAGCTGCAGGATGATGACGACGAAGTGGTGGACAGGGAGACACACAGATGGATCGTCAAGATCGAGGGGGTGCTCGGTGAGAGCCTGGACTCTATGCTCCAGTAAGAGAGAGAAAAAGACCTATTGGGAGGAGTCTCTGTGGGGGGGGGGGGGCAAAGGACAACAGTCAGACTGAGCGAGTCCATCCAATACGGCACCTCATCGTGCCTTTGGTCGAGAAGGGCCAAGACATACGCACATATTGACGTCCGAAGGAAGGCAACCTATTCATCAAAATAAAATAAGTCTTACATAAATAACACAACGCGTGCCTCCGAAAGGTCAAAAATCGTGTGACCATCCGCCGCAAATTGCCAAGCTGCTTTTTCGATGTTCTACAAATCGTGAGCCGCCCGTGTGGTTCGCGGTTGAGTATGCCAAGCAACCGCGACTGCAAGCCTTCGGACCATCTTGTCAGTTTCAGCAACAGCCGTTGTGATGGATGGAGCCATGGAAAGACGGAGGAACCTTTTGGTTCAGGTGAGCACACCACCACCTGGAACCACTTCAGCTGAAGGTGTAATCAAACAAACCTAATCCTTCGGCAGCCAGGGAGTTGAGGCCTGATATTTATTCCATTGTAGAGATCTTCTTTCTCGTGGGTAAAACGCATGATAGATCATACTTGGGAAAAGGGATATAAATAGGACCCGGCGGCATATCACTGGCCTCTTCTCACCTGGGAAACTATCTTTCTACGACAGCCATCATTGTTATCCCTCGCACTCAATCAATAATAGCTAAACTTAGACCAAATAAGAAAGGCAAGAAGGAGAAAAAAGACAGCCATGCACAGAGCGTCACTCTCCCTCCTCTTCCCCTTTCTCCTAAGCCTCCTCAACTCCCCCATCCGCGCAGCCACAACAACATGCACCATCTCCACAGGCCACGACGGCATCTGCGTTTCCACAACCAGCTGTGCCTCTGGCGGTGGCACATCCACACCGGGCTTCTGTCCCGGCGCGGCAGACATCCAGTGCTGCACCTACGGATCCTGCGCCCTCCCGTCCTCGGGCCTGGCGGGGCTGTGTCTGCCTACGTCCTCGTGCTCGTCGGGCGGGGGGACGTCCACCGCGGGCCTCTGCCCTGGCGACAGCTCGATCCAGTGCTGTACGTATGGGACGTGTAGTGTGGGCGGGGTCGGGGGCGAGTGTGTGGATACGGGGGCTTGTAGCGGCACTTCTACGCCGGGGTATTGTCCTAGTGGGAGCAATATACAGTGCTGCACTGGTGGTGGAGGAGGAGGAGGAGGAGGAGGCTCGACTGGTGGTGGTGGCGACGACGACGACGATGTTCCGGCCGAGTATCAGGGCGACGGCAGCACATGTTCCAGCGGATACCCCCTACTGAACACGGCCAGCCTGGCTCTCATCCGTGAGTTTGAAGGGTTGTACGCCAGTCCTTGTGAGTTGCCACAACAATGCATCTTGAAAAGGAAGAAAACTTTCCCATTTGGGGTGACTGACACAATATATACTTACTTACACAGACGGTGATCCGGACGGCCACCCAACCATCGGAATCGGGCATCTCTGCAGCGACGCCAGCTGCTCTGATGTGAACTACCCGATCCCCTTATCTGTCGACGACGCCTGGGCCCTCTTGATAGGTGATCTTCTCGTGAGTTTTCCTCGCCTGACTACTATTGTATAAAATTCCACAGTACATAAAATCACCTCTCCCGCAAAGAGCTCCCTATGTCTAACGCCCAACAACAACAAATAAAGGAATACCGTAAATGCATCTCCGACGATCTCGCCTCCACTGTTCACCTCAACGCCAACCAGTTCGGCGCCCTCGTCAGCTGGGCCTACAACGAGGGCTGCGCGGCCGCCGGCTCGTCCACGCTCATCCGGGAGCTGAACGCGGGCGAGGACGCGGACACGGTAGCCGAGGAGGAGCTGCCTAAGTGGGTGTATGGGGACAATGGGGTGCTTCCTGGCCTTGTGCGACGGAGGAATGCTGAGGTTGCGTTGTTCAAGACGGCCGATAGTGTTGTTGCGAATCCGAATCCGTGCTGAAGAGGAACGCTGTCCTCAGAATACTATGAAAAGAGCTTACTTTCCATATAGACGTTGCATGTCTTCAAGGCACAGCGACATCTTCATATGTTGTAGGATTGTCAATTGACTGAGCCTATAATTTCGTATCCATTTTTCTTTTCTCCTATGAAATAGTAGTAATAATAGCTGACTGTCCATCAACGTCATTCCAGGCTGGGAGAAATAGCCTGGATTGCATACCCCTGCACCTTCAGCCTTGTGATCCACTGTAGTGGATTTTTACATATAAAATCTCATCTCTGCGATAAATTCCCGCTACCTTCAAGAACAAATGAGTAAGACGAGACAAAACAAGACGATGCAATTTTTAACAGTGAAAATTTAGACTTCAAGGAGCGGTTCCGGTCCTGCTGGACCCCGAATTATTAAGAATAGTAATCATAGGTCAAGGTAATCCCCGAGCGATGCCGGCCAGGCTCCTCAGCCTCCAATGGCAATCTTCCGAAGACACCCGGCTTCAGCCAGAGCGAGAGAGCGAAAAATAAAGGGGAACCAGAGAGTCCCCACGAACAAACGCTCGCTCGGGGTTCGCGGTCAAGTGCCGCTCCGGTAAAGATCACTAGCCATTTCGAGTTGATTTTATACCTGAAGTAGGGAATATGTATGTACACATACATTTTCATATACATAAATATAAAGTAGTCATATCGTCGGAGTTTTTTTCTCAACACTTGTTACTCGGACTGTGAATTGCAAAGAATGGCACTCGCTCTTAGGCATCCCAACACGCTTGCACGAACGGTCCTGTCAGTGTCCAGAATTAGATACTTCTCGAGTTTTCGATCTGACAAGAATGGTATGTGATCTCTTCTCTAACTTTGGGCGGTCGGAGGGGGGGAGTATCTTGATTTCAACACTTCGAAAAATGAGGCAAGAAAGCACTTCCCAGTTGTAATCCCATGATGAGATATGGGAGCAACATCAAAGAGAGATATGGAAATACGTGGTTCCTCAGGAAAATGGCAATGGATGAGAGCGGTGTCGACTCCTACCTGAAGAGGAGATGATGGACGGCGAAGTGAAGAAGAGGATGGTTACAAACGAGAAAGAGCAAAGAGATGTGCGAGAGTCCATACTTGTTTCCTTCAACACTGGCTGACATGAGAAACCATACCGATAGGCAAGAAAGAAAGAGTTGTGATCCTAGGGTCCGGTAGGTCTTTCCCTCTGCTAAGACGCGCCTTCTCTTTTTTTCACTACTCACACACTCTCTCCTTCCTTTCGTTTTTCTTTCACCAGGCTGGGCAGGATACGCCTTCGCCCGCAGTCTCGACCCATCCAAATACGAAAGGATCATAGTCTCCCCCCGCTCCTACTTCGTCTTCACCCCGCTGCTCGCCTCCACCGCCGTCGGCACCCTCGAGTTCCGCACCACCCTCGAGTCCGTCCGTCGCCTTGGCAAAAATGTCCGTTTTTACCAGGGCTGGGCGGACGACGTTGATTTTGAACGCAAGGTTGTGCGTGTCGAGGAGAATGTGACAAACGACCCGTCCACCAGCCGGACCAATTTGCCATTGCCGCCTCAAGCCCAAGGGAACGGTGAAGAAGGAGTGAAGGCGGTGATTCCCAAGGGCCCCGTCACAGATTTGAGCTATGACAAGTTGGTGATCGCCGTCGGAGCATACAGCCAGACCTTTGGCATCGAGGGCGTCAGGCAGCATGCACACTTTCTGAGGGACATTGGCGACGCGAGGAGGATCCGGCTGCGAGTCCTCTCGCTGTTTGAGCAGTGCACCAGCCACGCCATGAGTAAGTCTCCTCCTCCCCCTCAACACCCACCCATCCATCCTGGCCCAGAATTCTCTAAACAGAATCTTCCTCAACAGCCGACGAAGCCCGCCGCAAGCTCCTCCACTTCGCCATCGTAGGTGGCGGCCCGACAGGCATCGAGTACGCCGCCGAGCTGCACGACCTCGTCCGCGACGACCTCTCCAAGATCTACCCCAACCTCATGCCCCACGTCCGGATCACCGTCTACGACATCTCCCCAAAGATCCTCCCCATGTTCGACCAGGCCCTCGCCTCCTATGCCATGCGCCTGTTCAGCCGTCAGGGCATCTCCGTTCGCACTAAACACAGTATCCAGAGCATCGCCCCAGACCCGGACACAGGTGGCCTCCGCCTGCGGATCAAGGAAGCCGGCGAGGAGGAGATCGGTGCAGGTATGGTCGTCTGGAGCACGGGGCTTATGCAGAATCCACTCGTGGAGAAGCTCGTGCAGAAGACCCTTGCCGGTGAGGGGGCCAGCCATCCTTCCGAGTACCGCCTCGAAAAAGACCCTAAGACAGGCGGCATCATCGTGGACGAGCAATTTCGTGCGCGCCTGGCCAACTCCTCCTCATCCTCCTCAGGCGCCCAGCAGCAGCTCCTCTCCTCCGTCTTCGTCATCGGTGACTGCGCCGTCGTAGCCTCCCAACCCGACCTCCCCAAGACCGCCCAAGTGGCTTCCCAGGAAGCAGCGCACCTCGCCAGGACCCTCAACAGGCACAATGCAGCCGCCGGCGAGGTCCTGAGCGAGACGGCCAAGCCCTTTCGCTTTAAGAACCTCGGTACCATGACCTACCTGGGCAACTGGAAGGCCATCCACCAGAGCTCCGCGGACCGTCTGACGGGCTGGGCCGCTTGGGTGCTGTGGAGGACGGCCTACTTGACCAGGAGCATGAGCCTGAGGAATAAAGTGCTCGTGCCAGTATATGTAAGTCGAGGGGGGTTTTGTTTTGGTTTTCGGTTGAGTGTATATATGTATACAACAGTCTGAACCGTTGCTGACCCGTTTGTAGTGGTTCGTGTCGTGGATGTTTGGAAGGGATATTGGGAGGTTCTGAGGAAGGTCGACGACTGTGTGCTTGTCATAAGATCAGAATTCAGCTTGGGAGAGAATCGAAACCAATCTTTCGCCACTCGGGAAATTCAACTTCAACAGGTCGAGACGTCAAAGGAAACGGAGAACAGATTAAAAGAAATGTAGAAAATTCATCAGGGAATGTATTCCAGCCCTTGACTGGGTATCGCTACCTGCTTGTCTCGATCTGGTGGGAACTCGCCCCGAGCAGTCTTTGAAGAACAATAAACTATTTTAGAGCTCTGTGATGAGAACCAGGCAAGGCAGGGGATTTAAAACATGTACCCCCCAAACACTCAGACAAGGTGGGGGAGAAAAAAATAAGAGGACCAGAACACATTTCCAGTTCTCCAGTACAGAAAAGCCCCGCAAAATTCACCATTGATCCTCACAATTGGGCCTGAACACCACCGCAATGGCCCTTGAACGCGAACTCCTTCCGAGGTGCCTCATGCACAGCCACATCCTATTCCCCGTCATCCAACACCAACGCTCCATAATTTTGGTCTGCTTTGGCGACAGAATACCAGCTTTTCTCCAAGAGGGAATTCGAGCCACAAGGATCCGTCAGACCAAATGAAAAGAGAAATAAGTGCCACGAAACGAAAAGGGAGCTGAGCCCCGGGGTTGTGGTGCCATACGACCAAACAATAGACAATGCAGATGAGGGAGTCGCAATACTCTCCAAAACACAAAAAAAAACAGAAATAAGAAAGAACAATGACCGGGCGTGCCGGGAACGGTGTGCTTTCATCAAGAAGCGTCATCTCCCTGTGCAGTCATCTTCTCAAGCGCGGTCGACTGAAGACAGAGGCGACAAGCCAAGCCCCTCACACCTCAAACGAGGCTGCTCTTGGTCCGAGTATGGTGACTGGGCCGCCGTCCCTCGGCACGCTTGCGTAGCGTGTCCTCCCGCTTAAGGACGAGCTCGCACCACTTGCCCTTGTTGCGAGAACCGCTAAAGGTGTCATCATCGTGTCCGAGGCTGTCGCGACCGATGACATCCGAAAGGGCCTTCATCCAGCCCTCCTTGTCTGATGCGCTGTCGGCATAGAAGTCGATAATCTCGCCATTGTTGAATCGAATGCGGAAACCCTCTTCGACAAACATGTACCCCTCCTCTTCTTCACCAAAGGCTGACTTCCGGCGCTTCCCGTTCTTACCGGTGGTCTCCTTCTCGGTCAGAGCTCGGCGGTCATCGATGAGACGCTTCGCGTTGGCCAGATTGATGGTGGCACGCGGCTGGCGCGTGGCCTCGTGGTAGGCCGTCAGCTTCGTGCCAGCCAGCTTGAAATAGCGGCGGCGCCAGAACTATGATCGACAGGTCAGCAAAAGAGACGGGGGCCTCATGGGAACTAATAATGTGTACGTACGGGACAGTCACCACCCTGCTGGCTGAGGTGACCCTCCCAGTTGCGGGATCGTCGCTCCTCAGCAGCCTTCATCTCGCGGATGCACGAGTTCATGCTCTTGGGCATGTCCTCGTCCGTAGAGCCCTTAGGTCTCGGCACAAACAGAAGCTGCAGCTCGAGCTTGCCGATCTTATACGGAGCCTTCCGAACGACCGAGTTACTACCTCGCTTGCTCTTGACGCTCGACGCGAAACCGGCCTCCTCAGTCGCCCACTCGTTGAAGCAGGCCACATCGACCACATAGGGACGGCCAAAGCACCGCGTCTCGTGCTCCTTGAGACAGACGTAGGCGCGAGCAAAGCTGCCGTCGGCGGCGGCGAGGGGTGACAGGAGATCCCAGGCGGTAGGGTTGGCCGCAATCTGTCGGGCCTGGGCCTCGCGTTGCTGCCGAGCAAGTCGCTCTTCCTCTTCCTTCTGGCGCTGCTCCATCTCCTTGCGTTTCTTCGGGGACGCAAATACTCTGCTGAAGGTCGACGTCTTGGCCTTGCGTGGGGAACTCTGAGACTGGACGATCCTCTGTGGGGGAGGCTGCTCCAGCTTGACATTCAGGGTCAGCTGGAATTCCAGGTCGTTCGGGACGACCAGTTCAAATTCTTGACCGATGGGCGCATTTCGCGCCAGTTCGAGCCACGCAGTGGTGACACAGTGAACGCCGTTGTCGAGGGTCAGGCTAAACCAAGTGCGCTCGTCTATACAACAAGTCAAGTCAGCTCAGTTCAGACTCGGACTCGACAGTAGGATGCACTTACTCTTGGGGATGGGCAGGTCGAGATCCTTGACACCCAGGACCTTGACGAACAGTCTTCCTCGCTCGCCATTGTCGTCACCCGCAGCGTCCTCGGCAACCTCTTCCTCAGCCACAGTGGTCATTGTGGCTGTGTTGCTCTCCCGGCCAGGCATTGGTGGAACGGGCCCCGTCGTGACGGGTCTTTTCTTGAGGCTCTTCTTCCTGACCTGGCCATTCCAAGGCTCAACCGTCCACGACTGAGGGCGGTGCTGCTTCACGGGTGAGTTGCCGGCAGAGCGTGACACGGGGCGCAAGTCATCAGTATCTTTGTCGCTGGCTGTCACGACCTTAGTGTTCTGGCGCATCAGATAGCCTCGCTGTTTGGGTGGAGTAATGTTAGCATCAGCTGCAGTGGGGACTGTCCTCTTCGCGAGCCTGACTCTAGACGCTTGTCTAGAAAGTGTCTGGCCTGCAGGTTGAGAAGATTGGTGAAAGGAAACTTGTTGGAACGCCACCTTTTGCGCCTCGATGACCCGCTCGAAGTCGTCGTCCAGACTGAGACCAAGATCAAAATCCAACGTGAGGCTCCTGGCCTTGAAGCTGGGGTGTCGCAGCATGTAGTCCTCCGAGGATGGGTTGGGAGACAAAAGCTGCTTGTCCTCAAGGGTATTGGGAAGCCGGTTCTGGTGACGGTCGGCCATGTTCTGCATGCCAGGCACCTCGCGGCTAACGATGCGCCTCTGCTCTCGCATTGTCTCGATGTCAGCAGGCGTGGCAGAAGGTCGCGTCTTCAATTTCGAGCCAGCGGCTGACTTAATGGTGGCTGCCGTCTCAGGAATGATAGGTGAGACACGCGCCTCCTCTTCCTCGGGTTCTAGCAGGGGGCGGTGAATGACAGAATCTGGCGTCCTAGGCTCGTCATCATACTCATCTGGCTCGCCCCAGCCCGTTCCGTCGTACTCGGGCTTCGATGTAGGGTGCTCTGGCGTGGAGGGCCGCTGCGACATTTCCTGGGCATCGTTGACCTCAGGCTCATCGGTCTCGGCACTAGCCTCGACTTCGGTGGGCTTGGGGAGCATAAATGGCTGCAGATCATCAGTGAAGGGGTTGTGCTTCTGGGTAGTGGGAAGCACATCTGGGACCATGCGCTCCGCGATGGTGTCAAGAGAGTCCGCGTTCTCTGCGGGAGAGGTGGCCCGTGGAGTGGTGATCTCGTCCTCATCGACCTTTTCTTCCTGGGGACTTGGTAGCTCCTGGCCTGGGCCGGAATAGTTGCTATCGGAGTCATAGTTCTTGTCGGTGACTTCCGAGTCGGAATCGTCGTAATCGTCCCCATCAGATTCAGACCGCGGGTACTGATCAATGATCGAATCATCTTCATCAAAGTCCTGTTCCAGATGCCCATCGGACTCAACGTCCTCGTCCATGCTGGCATCTTCAGTACTGGGGATGGGGACGTCAGGGTCCAGAGGCTGATTGCGCTCTGGAGAGCTGGGCAGGGAAGAGAAGTTGTAGTCCGACTCCCTCTCCAGACCCTTGTTACCATCCACTCTCCGCAGAATCGACTCGCGCGAGATGTGCGGCGGCAGCTGGTAGTCACCCAAGTCACCAAGAGTGTCCTCCTCTTCGCCGGCAGCGTCCTCGTGGCGCATCTCGAGCGCGGGCCCCAGCTCAGCCAGCTTATGCGCAGGTTCATGCTCACCATCACCATGCTCATGCTCGGCCGCAAGCTCATGCTCGGGCTCAGGCAGATGCTCTGGCTCTTGCTCTTGCTCTTGTTCATGCTCATGCTCATGCTCGGGCTCGGGCTCCGTGAGCTGGCTGTCGGCGCGATCACGGGCCCCAGCGCGTCTCAGTCGCCGTTCGCGCTGCTGCTCCGCGGCTGACTTGCCATCGTCTGACAGCATCATCAGCTTGAGCCGCTCCTCGAGCGTCATCTTACCGTTTCCAATGTTCTGAAGATCGGCCTTCGAGAGCGTGGAGGCGGGAGGTGGAGACGGCAGGGTCCGCTGGGACCCCGTCAACCGCTCAGCACTCGCAGATGGGCCGGCCGAGGCGTTCGAGTTCCGCCGATCATTGTTGAAGCCTGGAGGCGGGAGAGGGGGGAGAGGCCTGTGGTCACCGTTCGAGTTGCGAGAGTCTGAGCGATCCTGCTGAGGGAACCCGCCAGGCGCAAAGTTTGGGAAGCCTTCCGGTGTGAGGCTGTGCGTAAAGTCATCGTCGGCCATGTTGTCCAGGTCATGACGCCAGTCATCAGGCAGGACGACAGGAGTCTTGGCAACGTCCTCGAGGGAGGCGTCGAAGCTGTCCTCGTGGGCGTCACTGCCAATGATGTAGTGGTCGTCATCGTCATCCTCTGCCGAGTCATAGCTGCCCTCTCGAGAGCTGTCGCCACCAATAGAAGAGATATCAGGGGTGACCATCTCATACTCATTCACCTGTGGTGGCGCGACATCAAAAGTGACGCTCTTGGCGTGGCGGTGGAGGGCTCTTCCAGAAGGAAGCTCACGCTCGTCGTAGGATCCATCATCCGAGTCGTGCCCGTTCTCCCTGTCAAGACTGGACCTGAAGCGGCTCGGTGCGAGGGATGACTTGGTGGGCGATGCCTGATCCCTGCTCGCCGGACGTGGGCCATTTGGTGGAGGACTGCGGGTCGTCAAGGGAGGGGTCTTGGTGAGAGGAGGGGGTGACTTGAGGCTGTACTGCGGGATTCTGGTCTGGCTGTCAGATCGCCCGTGGCTAAATGCCTTGTTGTCGCGGTACCCGCTGATTCCAGTGCCGCCAAATGCATTGCCTTGGACCTTCGACAGCGGTCGCTCGACCTGTGGTGGCTTGGTAGGATCGTACTCCTGCTTCTGTTCGAGAGCGAGGATGTTGCTGTTCTTGACGCGTGACGCTTTTTGAAGGCGCTCGATAGACCCGCGGCGGGTGGGGGACGGCGAGCCCCGGCCAAAGGGGTTGTTCTCGCTGTTCTTATTCTGCCAGAACAGGCGCGGCGATGTGGTCCCTTCCAGCGGCGAGCTCTGGAACGGCGAGGAGTCGGTATTCATCTTCTGTGATGGGGAACAAACAATGTCAATTGGGATTGGTCATGCCGTGGCGAAGAGGAGACGGTCTTCTTACCTGGACAGCCTGTTTCCAACTGGGAGAGTTTCGTCGCTTCTCAGCTGGAGAGATCTCGGATAAGGGACGCGGGGGGGCACCCGACATCTTTCCAGGAGATGGAGGACTGTTCTTCGCTAGTCGCAAAGGTTGCACCTGAGGAAGGTTAGGCCTCTGCATCACAGAGCCACCATATGAGGCCATTTCGACGAATGTCTCGACGGTGAGGGGTCTTGGGGGCGGCAAGAACCTACAGGATCTGACGAGTCCATGAATCTGGGAACTTCTGACCCTCAATTCAAAATGCACCTCTGGCAAGCTCTAAAGAAGAAAAAGATGGAGGTTGGTTCCGTTGATCGGCTGGTGTGGTGGTGTGGCAGCCTCGGTAAGCGGTCTATAGTGTGCGCAAGGGTGGTGGTAGCACAAAGTAGAAAAGGTGGCTGGTGTCTGAGACTTGACGTGTTGTTGACCCGATGGTGGTGGGCAGCAGTCGAGTGAGGAGATTGGAGGAAAAGTTGCGCTTTCAAAGGACAAAAAAAAAATAGTGCAGAGTGGTGAAGCTGGAGTTCTTAGGAAATAGAAGACTACGGCGAGTTCTTCTGTCTGCAAAACACAGGTGAAATGGTATGTCGTAGAATGGATGCAGTGAGACCAATGTTGACTCTGTGGTGATGGTCTTGAGACGAGAGAGGTAGTGTTATGCTCCCAAACCAGCAAGAATGTAAAGAAGGTGAAGCCAGACACGTACGAAAACAGAAAAAGGAAAGAGAGTTGGGAAAAGGCTGTCTAGGTGAAGAGGAGAGAGAGAGCAAGAGAGAGATAGAGGTCAAGGTCGGAGTGGTGACGAGAGTGACGACTGACAACAACGGAAGGATGGGTCTTGTGTGGAGGATGCCAGATCAAGGTCAAGGGAGTCTTGATCAGGGAAGACACAGTTTGCTATGCAACCCTTGCTCTCCCAGATCACACTCGATCGGATTATTCTTCAGAGTGCACCTCTCTCTGTCAAGATACAGAGGAGAAGAGAGAAGAAAAAACACAACAGAGAAATCCTTGGTCCTCTCTCCCAGTTCTGGGCGACAGAAAGGCGCGACGATGAGGATCGAATTCAAGCGGTTGGGTGGGGGGAAACAGTGGTGGTCAAGCAGGGATCGCGATTGGTGGCTGGGGGGCCCCTGGCAGCGTGTACCTACGCGGTAGCCCGTAAGCTGGGACGGACAGCGGTAAACACAAGGCGGGCGTTACCCCAGCGACCCACTTTCATTTGGTTTCTTTTTTGGGCTCTAAAAAGTCGCGGGGCAGAGAGAGAGTTGGCTAGCACAGACTGGCACCGTAGCACTCATAGTTAGCAGCAGCAGGAGCAGGAGCAGCGCTCATAGCAGCGGCAAGGTTCAGCTCAAGCTTAGTTCAATCTACGTACAGCACCAGTGATCACCTTGAGCCCCCCCCCCCCTCTGATTGTGGTCATCATACCTGATGTCACAATAACTGGTTTACTGTGCATTCTCCCCTCCTGGATTTTTGAGGCCCAAAAGGGGATGAATGATTTAAACTCAAGGTCTCTTGTTTGGACGGCCGGCCCAATAGGATGATTAAGAGCACAGGACCATCCCAACCTTATCAAATAAAAAAACCCGGTGGCTGGTATTGAGGAGAATTCTAGAAACCATGGCCATGGCCCCATGAGCCCTGCGAACCCATGCGACCCATGTTCTGAACAGATTCCCAATCCCACACCCGAGTGGGGACTGCGATGGAGTTGCCGAGCTGCAAGCACTTGTTGTTGTTCCCCCCTCCAGCCAATCCTGTGGGAAGGATGGCCCGCTTCCTGCAGGTCACCTGCAACACCAGCCTTCGAATTTCTCAATGGTGTGACGGAGGGCGATGGGAATTGACAACTGCCCAGCACGCACAGGCACAATATGATTGTTTATTTGGTACGGTAGTAGTAATCTTTGTCTCAGCGGTATCCCTTAGGACGTGCATTACATCTTTTTGGCCTGGGTCCACCAGGTTGGATCCATCAAGAACCCAACGCACCGCAACGCAACGCTGCTGTTCCACAACACAAACGAACACATCTATCCCTATCTTTAACAGCGTCGTCACCATGAACACACTGTATATACTATGAAACATCCGTCCCCTACCTACTCTGTTGGAGATTGAAACTCTCATCCCTCTCCTTCATCTTCTGCCTCGCAGCAACTTTTGTGTGTCAGCTCACGTCTCCCGGCCGAACCAGCCACGATCTTCCTTATTCCCCCAAGATCCAATAGTCTCGAGCTTAATGCGCCTCATCCGGCGTGGCTGGTGGTCAACAAACAGTCCATGCGGCGTCACTACGGCCTGCCACAAACACTGTTGCCATCGCGATATGTCAGACTTCACACAATACCTGGATGCGAAGGATGATTGAACTGTATGAATTTCTATTGATGCCATCTACCGAGGAAATGCCCTGCCCAACCCCCTTCTAGAAAGAAGTAGTAGTCTTCGCGTCGAGCGCCGGCCACCAAACTCCATTAGTACACAGATAGCCTTCCTCGGTCATATTGTACAACGCGAGGTGTCATAAAATTAATAGCTAGAGGGCACAATTATACGTCTTCCCTTCTGGTAGATCAACACCTTCTATATATCTTTTTTTTTCTTTCTTTTCTGTTTATTTTTTTTTCTTGTTTGTCCTTCGAGAGGTCTGTTGTTGTTACTTCAACAATCAATCTTCCTCCTCGGTGATGATCTTCTGCGCCAGGTAAAACCTGTTGGCGCCCTTGTCATCCTTCTCGTGCTCGATCGACACCTTGCCGAGCTGGGTGATGATGTTCTCCATCAGGGTGTCGGTCTTGGACCTCTTCTTGCGGCCGAGGTTGTCAAGAGTCGTCCAGCCCGTCATGACAAAGTACACGATGGCGATGACGATGACCACAGCGATGGAGTAGCACCACACAACAACGACGGTCACGATGTCGGTGCGGCCGTTGGAGGAGAGCGCAGACGACAGTGTAGCCGGGATGGTCTGGGTCTCCGCGCCGCCCGTGAACCAGCCAAACACACAGAACAGCGTCGCCAGCACGTCAACGCCAAAGATGGCCGCCACGAGCTGGAAGGACGGGTACGTCTCGAAGCCGCGGGTGACAAAGATCAGCCAGTTCTCCGTGAGGGACACCTCCAGGAAGAGGATCCCCTGCACGCTGCCGTAGTTCTGAATCACACCACCATTGCTGAGCCAGAGAGTGCCGCGAAGAATCCAGGTGCCCATCGCCAGCATGGTGCCGAGCACAACAGAGATGATCCAGATCTTGGGCAGCTGCCACTCAACGGGGCGGCGCTCAAAGTGGGCATTGTCGTAGGCGACGGCGATAGTAGCAAGATCAGCAAAGAGAGCTAGGAAGACGATCAGGTCGACACGGATGGTCTCGTTGATGGCGATCATGGAGGTGACGAGGTAGAGTTCCAGGTGCAGGCAGAGCGCAATACGGTACTGGATGTACGCCTTCATGCGCTGGAAAATCTGGCGAGAGATCTTGATGGCAGAGACGATGGTTGAAAGACCAGGGGCGAGGAAGACGATATCTGCAGCGGCCTGGGCGGCCTCGGTAGCACCTTCGACGGCAATACCACAGTCCGACTTCTTCAGGGAAGGAGCATCGTTCACACCGTCACCAGTCATAGCACTAAGGAAGATCCAATGTTAGCAAGAGTGTTTGGACCAAGCAAAGCACAATCAGCGTATGAGGGGGTTACTATTACTCACGTCAAATGGCCACGCTGCTGGAGCATCTCCACGACCTTGTACTTATGCTCAGGGAAGACTTCGGCGAAGCCATCAGCCCGCTCGCAAAGGTCGTAGATAGAGTTGCCAGCCATGTCGCTGTGCAGCAGCTTGTCCGAGTTGTACACCTTGGTTCCGAGGGCCAACATGCGGCAGGTCTCCTTGGCGATAGCGATGGCATCACCAGTCAGCATCTTAACCTGCAGACCAAGAGTCTGCGCATCGGCAATAGTCTGGGCGGTATCAGAGCGGGGAGGGTCGAAGAGAGAAAGCATGCCGAGCATCTGCCAAGCACCGTCGCCCTCGCGAACAGCAACAGCCAGAGAACGGAAACCACGGCGGGCGAACTCAGTCGCCTTCTCCTTGAAGAGCGCGGACTGCTCAGCGGAAACATTGCAGGTCTTGAGCACGGCATTAGGAGCACCCTTGCAGCATTCGTATCTAACGCCGTTGTAGGTGCAGATAGAGGTAATACGCTTGGAGACGGGGTCGAAGGGCATAAACTTCTCAGTCGTCCAGCCCTCGGAAATCATGTCCTTGGCCTTGGGATAGCGCTTCAGGGTGAGGATGGTGATCTTGTCGATAGGGTCGAGAGCCTTGGTGTTGTGGCTGGAGGCGAGAGCAGCGACAGCCATCATCCAGTTGACATCGACACCCTCCATCAGGAAGGGCTCGCGAACTGAAAGCTGGTTGGCGGTCAGGGTACCGGTCTTGTCGGAGCAGAGGATATCGACACCAGCGAGAGACTCAATGGCAGTAAGCTTCTGCACGATGGCCTTCTCCTGGGCGAGGTAGGCAGCACCGACGGCAAGAGTCGTGGTGGTGACAACGGGCAGACCAACAGGAACACCAATGATGAGGAGGATAAGGAGGTAGTGCAGCAGGTTGTTGGAGTCATCGGGAGAGCCGACAATGTTCAGGTTGCGGTAGAAACCTCCAATCCAGGCGGCGAGGGTGAAGAGAACGACCAGAACCAGCAGAGCAGTTCCGATCGAGTTCATGATAGCCTTGAAGTGACCCTGGTCCTGAGCACCCTGGACGAGAGATGCAGTCTTGCCGACGAAGGACGCCTGGGCACCAGAGGTGACAATACCGTAGGCCTTGCCGCGCTTGCAACCGGTGGTGTAGTAGACGATGTCGGTCATGTACTTGTCGACGGCGAGAGACTCGCCAGTGATGGCAGATTGGTCAATGGCAACGATGGGGTGTCCGATGTGAGGAGAACCTTCTTCATCCTCTTCCTCCATTTTCTCGCGAGGGGAAGTCATGTCTTGGGCGTTGAGCTCAGCCTGTAAAAAGAACAGAATTGTTAGTAATCTATCCGCTGGAACTTTGTAACCAGGAAGAAACTGACCTTGTAGTGGTTGAAGCCCTCGACGCCCTCGTCGTAATCACAGATCAGTTGTGCATCAGCAGGTACAACAGTGCCCTCCTCAATAATCACCTACGTGATTGTCAGCGCCGGTCAGAAATTAGAGTTTGCAGGGGGCTCGTCTACTTACGATGTCACCAGGGACGAGTTCACGGGCTCTGATTTCCTCTTCCCGACCATTACGGACGACACGGGCCTTCATGGAGATATCTCCCTTCAGACTGGCGACAACATCGGCAGCCTGCTTCTCCTGGTACCAACCAACAATGGCGTTGAGCAGCAGGATACCAATGATCACACCGGCGTCGATCCAGTCACGAAGACCAAAGGCGATAATGGCAGCCGCCTCCATCACGTAGAGGATGGGGCCTCGGAAGAAGCCAACGAACTTGAGAAACTGCAATGTTTATCAGTATGAAGACTTTTTCGTGTACACTCGAATGAGACTCACCATGTTCTCCTTCTCTGCCGTCAGCTCGTTCCATCCGCTCTGCTTCCGTCTTCTCTCCACCTCGACAGGGTTGAGACCCTCTTTTATATCGGTGTTGAGCCAGTCTCCAGGGGTGACAAAGTCACTGGTCTTCTTGCCAGCCACTGCACCACCACCCTTCCACCACGGCTTCTTCTTCGTCTCGACCTCCTCTTCCTCAGCCGTATCGGCATGTGGATCCCTATAGGTGTCGATATACTGAACCAGACTGAAATCATAGGTGTTAGTAAAAGGCAGAAAATAGAATAGCAAACACCGCAGAGACACTTACGATCGGTATTCATCCGAAGTGGCACCGCTGCCGCCCGCCTTGGTGGATATGGAAGCATCTGCAGTGGTGTACACATTTTGAGTTTCCTCGGTGAAGTGTCCAGATTCCAAGTCCTCTTGGTCGTACTGCGGTACGGGCCGGGGAGTCGACGATGACGACGACGTCGAGCCTTTCCTGCCGAATGCCTTCATCTTCCTGAAGTTGGGTGCCATGAAGGGCCCCAGGTTTTACAGGCCAGCTGTAGTAGCAGTAGTAGGGCAGGAGGAAGACCGCACGGCGGAGGGGGGATAGGAAGAAGGAGGAGGAGGGAGGGAAAAGGTCAGAAGAGCTTAGGGGGACGATCCGAGCAGTAGAGGGAGCAAGGACTGAGGCAAGATGAACGGCTGGGAATAGGGGAGATTCCGGTGGGCGAGGAAGTTCCTTATATGTGCTCCCGGATCGGCCTCGACGAGGTGTTTTCTGTCCCCCAACACGATCCATATCCTCAAACGCAGCTTGTAGCTAGGCCGTGGGAGTGATCTCCGCCGTAATTCTGGCCCACGGGCCTCGGCAAGGGGGCACATTGCCTCGACGATCCATCCATACTAGCCTCTTCGTGGAGTACTTGTAAACGGACCTTTCCTGGTGGGCGGTAGCCCTATCTCGTCCCAATCCAGCCTACCCACACCTACTATTGGGAGCAGCCAAGATCTGATAAAAATAACTCCCCATAAACTTTGTCTTGGTATATTTCCAAGACATGCCGTCAAGACGATGCTGGCTTTGTGTTGGTGCACCAGCTGCTGATCCCTCTGGGCATTGTATGGGACTGATGTCTATCACGGCTTGGAATTCCAGAAGACGACGCGGAGGAGGAACCTGCTCCTTCGGACGGACCCACCTCCACCTTTCCCCAGCCGAAGAAATGGCTCTCCTGTGGATAACACAGCTGCAGGTAATCCACAATCGGACCTCTGCTCCTGGGTGTAGCCGATCTGTTTCGACAGAGGCCGGTATCCTTGAGCTGCGGAAGCAAGACAGGGGGAAGCTCGCAATGACCGCGTACAGGGCTCTGGTACACCGCAGGCCAAGGAAAAAATGCCTCAACGGCGAGGATGATAGCGGTGGGAGAAGCCAGGGGACCACTGCCGACGAGCACAGGAGAAGTGACAGGTTTCGTCTTCAGAGATAGGTGATCCAGATGAGTGGAGCCCTATCCGATCCTCCATGGGTGGCCGAAGACGCTGAGTTTCAGCCCAGAGTCTGTTCCTGGCGGACAAAAGCCGGAGCGTTTGGTCTCGGCACGCACTATGCGGAGAGCTCACTTCAACATCTCTCTCGGTGTTTTTCAAACTATTCAGTGCCTCGTCCGAGTCCAAATTGACCCCCTAGGCGAGAACTTTCTTTTGTCGAGAGGACGCCAAGCGCTTGCTCGACTCGCCCTGGGGCTCGCCTCCTCCAACGACACGGCGCCGAGACGCCGAGCGTACATGTGTACACATGTAGTGGAAGAAAACGTCTCTTTCAGGTCCATTGCCATCTCTAGCTCTAGCAGATCTCAATGTTCAGCAAGGCGTATTAGTTCTCGGCGCCAGATGATAGCCATGCGAACCCTAGCGAATCACGGCTAGCGTTTTGCGGTAGGGTATTGGCGATGGGACTATCTGATTTTGACAGATTGTGGTGCGTGCACACTTGGCTGGCACTTGATCAGTAAGAGCCAAGAGGGGGAACAGAAGAGACGCCCTGCGGCGATGACGGAATGGCTTCTTCAGACACGCGATGTCACCGACATGCTGTTCAAGGAAAAGCTTTCGCTAACGTGAGAGGTATACTGTGGTACTATCAGATTTTGAGGTTTCAATCTCCGCCACTTCGCGACCGCCCCAGGGGCAACTGGATACACAAGTGAGAAGCGATACAAACAAGGAAAAGGACAGCGGCTAAAAAATCTGCGAAAACAATTTGCAAGCCCAAGCCTGCTTTTTTTTCTCCTTTATCTTTTCTTTCCTTCCCTGGCACCTATTGCTCGGAAACATTCTAGAAGCAGAAACGATGCGCCGTCAAGTAAAGACGACACATAAGAATAGGGGTCTCGAAGCGCGTGAGGGCTGACTCGGGGATGCCTGCCCCTTGATTGAAACGGGTGTAGTCGTGACAAGAACCACGGAGAATCCGCGGTCTTCATCCGAACTAGGCCCAACAATTTTTGCATGGGTCAACTCGGGGAGGCATGAACAATTCCTGGCCAGTGACGGGTGGCGGCGTGAAACGAGCATAACTTTTTCTTTTCTTTTCTTGTTTTATTCCCGATGTGAACAGGGACAGGAGCCTGTTGCCCTTTTAGGTGGTAGCAGAGGCGATTTGAAGGACACTTTTTTTGGAGGTCCACGTTTTGTCCCCCTCCCGAGTCATCGAGGGGAGATCTCGGCCATGACGAGACTGCTCCGTCGTCTCGACCGGGTCTGGGGGCTTGCCGAGATGAGACGCTTCCCTTCCCGCCTACGAGGAAATTTGCGACGCAGTTGTTATGTGCACCTGTCCAATTGTCCAAGCGCAATACGAAAGTGGGTTCGAGATGCGCTGTGCGTCCAGACAACAAATGACTGTGATTGGACACTGGGTATTCCGTCAGGGGCTGCAGACTGATACCCCGTGAGTTATATATCTCAGCAGCGATAGAGGAGGCGCTCCAGAAACGTCGTCGCCTGCCGGGCGCAACAAGGCTTGTTCCGAGGTTTGTCGCCGCTGGAGCATGGTGGCATCTGCTTGAATTGGCCAATTTCGTGGCCATAATTTCAAATTGCTCGCTTTCGCCAAGCGGTTGTAGATTTTTCCGTGGGGGAGGGGCGGGAGCCACCAGCCGAAGCCGAATGAAATACCGCAAGTCAATTAGCATCGCAAGTGGACACAGGGCCTGATTACTTCGTAATGTCTTTACACAATAAAGAGCCTCGGAACTGCCTGAAAATGCCTCAAACTTATCAGTAAGGGCTAATGCATCTATTGTACAGATCTTCGTTGCCAATTACTCGATAAATGGGGCTTTTCGAACTTGGACAAGCAAGGTCGTGAGTTCCATATTACACGGCACGTACGTCAATATTTTTATTCGATGTCTTTGGACAGGGAAAGCTCGTCCTGCAGGGCTTCAGCGCCAAGGACTGACGACGGGGGTGAAAGAAAAAAGAAAAAGGAAGAGTAGAGGTCAGAGGAAACGTCGTATGCTCGAGTTGAGGCTCTTCGGGTCGAGCAGGCACTAAGATGTGGTGCATATGCTCGTGGATCTGGGGGGTTAACAACACAGGGGTAAAACATCTGTACCCTGGCCACAGGCTGTAGTGCTTGGAGGTACTATAGTACAGAGCGAGCGGGCGCGAAGGTACCAAAGTACTACGTACGCAAACTGCTAGATGTGTTCAAGTGGAATATTCCAGAGTTTGTCGCAACCTTGCAAATTCAACTTCAAAGTCCTCAACTTTACTACAGAGACAAAGACAGAAAAGAGGAAGAGGAAGTTTATATGATGTAGCTTAAGCTGTAAGCATTGAAATAGAAATCGGGCGCGGTTGCACAAGAAGGACTGACACCTGAGGAATGGGCCAGAGCCCTGTCGACCCCCAAGTGTGCCCTTGTAGAGAAAACAACGGCGAAACAAGGTTAACACGACACGAGAACTGGTTGAAAACTTCTCCTTGAATCTGTGCCGAGGGCTTTGAATTGAAGAAGAAGGGAATAAGTCTGACGTTATTCCCTGTCTGAGAAGGAAAACTGCCTGAGAAGAAAATCTGAAGGGCGTAGTCCTCTTATAATTGTGTGACGACCACACTTTCATTCGTTGTCCTGAGGACCAATATACTGAGCCATCACGACAGAATAGGGTATATAATTGAGTTCCAAAGTAAAAGAATTTCCCCCCTTTTCTTTCCCTTTCATTATTATTATTATTATTATTTTTCAATCTGGAATGATTTTTCCTGATCTGATGATTCGGGTGGAAGTTTATGGCAATCCTTGGGGGACTCCCACTTGAGTACATCTGAGAGTAAGCAAAGGCGGTGGCGGCATCGACTCCCGCTATCGATAAGAGACAAAGCTCCACCACAGCGCGGGCAGGCAAGAAAAAATTACTTGCCGCTTCAGTTCTTCCTCTTGGCGTGAATTGCCCTATCCATTTGCAGAGTGTTGACGACCTCATCCTCAAATATCAAGGTCGGCAAAACCGGTGAAATTCCGCATTCTACCGACAAGATGAAGCGCAAGCTGAACGAGATAAACGAGCCTGCAGATCCAGCTCAGTCTGGTGCATCCGGAGAAGACACCGCCATAGAAAACCCAGGATTCTCGGATCTTGGACTCGACCCGCGATTGCTGCAAGCCATTGCCAATCAGCAGTACCAGACGCCTACTCTTGTTCAGTCCAAAGTTATACCTCTGGCTCTCAATGGACAAGATGTACTGGCCAAGGCAAAGACTGGTTCTGGAAAGACCGCGGCCTACCTCTTACCCGTCCTGCACAGCATTCTGAAGCGAAAACAGGTATGGTCTTGCCTCTCACGTTTCCTTCTCCCAAGAGTCCAGCCACTCGTGTAATTAGGACTCCCGTTGCCAGTTCTAACCTTGAAGCAGACCAGCTCTACCTCATCCACTACGGCACTGATTCTAGTCCCGACTCGCGAGCTTGCCGACCAGGTCTTAAGAAATGTCGAACGATTCTCTGCCTTTTGCGCCAAGGACCTGCAGGCCGTAAAGCTCACCGACCAGGTGACCGAGGCTGTTCAGCGATCCATCCTCTCGAGCGGCCCCGACATTGTTATATCTACACCTGCAAGAGCGTGGCAAAACATTAGCAACGGGGCGCTCTCCGTGGAGGACCTGACACACCTGGTCCTCGACGAGGCCGACCTGGTGCTCTCTTACGGCTACGACGAAGATCTTCAGAATGTTGCCAGGTCCATTCCGAAAGGTCTTCAGACTGTCCTCATGTCTGCGACCCTCACCACGGATGTGAACACGGTACAAGGCTTGTTCTGTCGAGACCCGACGGTACTAGATCTTGAGGAACCGGATGCTGAAGGGGAAGGTGTTTCACAATACTTTGTCAAGTACGTTTACCTTTCCAAACTCTGCAGAAATTTGATGAGGCTGACCGCGTCACAGGTGCGGCGAAGACGAGAAATTCCTGCTGGCTTATGTGATCTTCAAGCTTCAGTTGATCAAGGGCAAATGTGCGTTGGACAAGAACGACCCTGACCGGGCCATCTTCTAGACAACGTGTGCTGATGTGAATCTTAAATAGGCATTATATTTGTTGCAGATGTGGACCGTTGTTACCGATTGCGGCTCTACTTTGAGCAGTTTGGTATCCGGGCTGCGATTTTGAACTCGGAGCTGCCAGTCAACTCGAGGTTGCACGTGGTCGAACAGTTCAACAAGAACGTAGGTCACGTCTGATACCCCAAAGCTCCGTCGCCTTGTCCATATTGTTGAAGGTCGCTAACCAGGCGTCTTTCAGGTATACGACATCATAATATGCTCAGACGAAAGCGAAGTGATCGGGGACGAAGACCAGCCATCAGAGGATGTGCAGAAGAACGAGAAGGCAGTAAATGACGAGAAGGAAGTCGGTCGGCCAAAGAAGAAGCAACGCAAGACGTCCAAGCGAGACAGGCTCGAGTTCGGAGTGTCACGAGGAATTGATTTCCAACACGTATCGGCCGTCATCAATTTTGACTTCCCTACTTCCTCCAAATCATACACACATCGGATTGGTCGCACAGCACGAGCCGGCCAGAGGGGCATGGCGCTCTCGTTTGTGGTGCCCAAGGATCAATTCCGGAAGCACGTGCCAACTTCAGTCGAGACCGCCGAACATGACGAGAAAAACCTTGCCAAGGTGATCCGCCAGCAGCAAAAGCGAGGGAAAGAGGTGAAACCGTACGTCTTCGACATGAAGCAGGTTGAGAATTTCAGATACAGGATGAACGACGCCCTGCGTGCGGTGACCAAGAGCAGCATCAGAGAGGCACGGACGAGGGAGCTGAGACAAGAGCTCCTCAAAAGCGAGCGCCTCAAGCGCCATTTTGAGGAGAATCCAGCAGATATGGATCACCTGCGGCACGATGGCGAGCTTCGGGCGGCCCGGACCCAGCCTCACCTTCGAGCCAAGCACGTTCCCGATTATCTCCTGCCCAAGGAGGGCCGGAAAGCCCTCACCGCAGACCAGGTCGGCTTTGTTCCGCTCAGGAAGACGGGAGATCACAAGAACCGACGGTCCAAGTTCTTCAAGAGCAAGGGCAAGAAGATGGGTGGCCGCAAGTCAGATCCCCTGCGGACGTTCAAAGCACGGAAGAAGACCAGGTAGTTCTCCGGAGAAGGTCAGCGGATATAGCATTGAGATAGCACTCATTGATACCCTTGGAATAATTTGCATGCCCTAAATAGTGACGTTTCTCACCAACGATGTTTCACAGCGGACTGCCATTCCTAGGCTCGAGGCTCGTCTCGCCTGTACAATTTAGACCGTACTCCGATGTAGACCGAGGGCCTCTGGTGCAGCTTCGCCTCGGAACAGCCCATGACCAACCCCACCTCCCGGTGTTGAGATCTGATATCTGGCAGGCCCTCCCAGTTCGTGCTCCTCTAGAGAAACACTGTAGGATGTATATAACGACAACGATGGCAGGTCTCTCTCCCTCCTGCGGCTCGAGATCGTACGGCACCGATTCTAGAACAAGGGGACTTTTCGAGCAGACAACAGCCATGGTTTTGAAAATCCTGTCTACGAAGCGACCTTTTGCTCTCTTTTTTCTAGCTTCGCGGAGAAACGGCATTGTGTCTTCTAAAACCTCGGGTTCGTTGCTATAAATAAAATCCGCCACGACAGAGCTGGCTTGTAACGTACAGAGTCCAACTCAATGGCCTGTTTGGCTTAGAATGTCATGATCCATGTATATACAGTCCCGCCTGGTCATGCATACTGTATGAGATACCGCCAACAGGCCACAGATGCACAGTGCGCATGTCATAAGTGGGCTTACGCAGAGCCGCGTGGCCATGTTCAGCCACTCCCGTTCTGGAGACGTTGAAAGGCCGCCAGCGATCGGCAAGACGTGTTCGTCACTAAACAACACAACACGCACACACCACTTTTACCAGCCCTCCTACCAGCCTCAACAATTGTCACCTTATTCCTCCAGCCAATCACTCGTGTTGAATGCCTGACCACAGGATGGAGGATTTGTTAGTGTGCGAGGTTCTCTTCGTAAACTGATGTCATTACTCTTTAAGAATCTTCCAAATCAATTGCCACGTCTCTTGTATGGAAACACCTTCTGCAGATGGCGGCTGGTCCGGACTCGAGGAGGGGGGAAAAAACACCGGGACAGCCCGACTGTGCCTCGTTGTGACTGTTGTGTTCCCACTAAAATTCCCGTTTAGCTGGGCCTTTGGGAAAATTTCCTTCACTTGACGACTAAAAAAGAGAAAAACGAGACTAAGTTGGTTGGGGCTCGTTTCAAAAGAGACGGAAGGCATGACGCTGCCCGGCACTGCGCCTCCGGCGATGTCAACCCACAGCAGGGCTATCCACTCTTTCACCGGGCCCTTCTGGCTGTGGCTCAGTGCCCCTGCTATGTCGATGATGGCAAAGATACAAGTGTATCTATGTAAAAAGAGCCATATACCTTCCTTTCCCTTTCATGTCGTTGTCACTTCGTTCTGACTACCTTTCAAGTCAAGTGATGCCCCAAAGCTATAATCCACTACAGTATCTGGATATATTGTTGTCTCTGCAGGCGGCCTAATATTCAACACACCTTACACTCGCTATATTATAACGGCATTCAACACAATGGTTTCTCTGGCTTCATTATTGACCACCGCCCTGTCCTTGACGGCGGTGGTTCAAGCAATACCACAAGGCTCAGGCGGACAAGGCATGTCTGGAGGCTCATCAGGCGACTCGGGTGCGGGAGCAGGGAGCGGCAGCGAGGGCTCCGGCTCTGGCTCGGGCTCTGGCTCAGAAGGCTCAGGAGGCTCAGGAGGCAACGCGGGTGTGTCGACGACAACGACAACAGCGGACACAAATAACTGGGCGACGACCTCATCAGCATCCAGCTACTGGATCTCTTCTTCCACAACAGCAACAGGCGCAGCAGCCACCTCGACCTCGACGACGTCGAACTCGACCGTGGCCTGCAACAACTCCCCAGACCTGTGCTCCCGAAATTACAACAACATCACGCACATGGGCGCACACGACAGCGCCTTCGTGCGGGACTCGAGCACGGGCAACTCGATAGCGGGCAACCAGTACTTCAACGCAACGGTGGCGCTCTCGGCGGGCATCAGGCTGCTATCGGTGCAGGTGCACAACTCGAGTGGCACCCTGGAGCTCTGCCACACGGTGTGCTCGCTACTGGACGCGGGCTCCCTCGAGAGCTGGCTCCAGAAGATCAAGTACTGGATGGACAACAACCCCAACGAGGTCGTGACCCTCCTCATCGTCAACTCGGACGACCTAGACGTCTCGGCCTTTGGCGAGGTCTTCACCTCGTCCAACATTTCCACGTACGGATACACGCCCTCGACCTCCTCGGGGACGACGACCTGGCCCACGCTGCAGACCATGATCGACGACGGCACGCGCCTTGTCACCTTCATCGCCGCCATCAACGCCTCTACCACGTACCCGTACCTGCTGAACGAGTGGGACTACGTCTTCGAGACTGCCTACGAGAATACTCAGTACACCGAATTCAACTGCAGCCTCGACCGGCCGTCGACCCTCTCCTCGGCCAGCTCTGCCATCTCCGCCGGCTACTTGCCCCTCATGAACCACTTCCTCTACATCTCCATCACCGCCAGCGCCATGCTACCCAACGTGGGCGCCATCAGCGTCACCAATAGCGACAACACCACGCTAGCCGGCGGTCTAGCCTACGAGGCCTACAGCTGTGCCGACGAGTGGGGCACCCCTCCCGTGTTTGCCCTGGTCGACTTTTACAGCGAAGGGCCCGCCGTAGACACCGCCGACTTGATCAATGGCATCACCCCGACGGGCAGGATAAGCAGTCATGCGAGTGTGAGCAGCAGCGGGGCGGGGCACGCCCTCTCAAGTCGGATGAGCGGTGCGGGGTCGGCGGCGTTGGTGACTTTCGTTGCGGCAGCGATGGTGATGGATGGTGTGGCGTCGAGATTGGGCCTGGCAGCGGCAGCGATAGGCTGTGCGTACGCGCTGTGATGAGGATTTTTGGTCCGTGTGGCCTTGTCTTTCTTTCTTCTTCTTCCTCTTTTAGATGATGTTTCATACGATTTACGAGCCGGGGAAACTGTTTTTGCATAGCGATGGCGTTGGGCAGGAAAGCAGGCACAGAGTGGCTTGAAGGAGAAGGATAAAAAGATTATTTGAGATTTCCTGCAACAATGTAAATACCACGAAATGACGTGTACCTTTTCCGAAAAGACCACTGGTTCACTTGTGCTTGTCTTGTTCTGACTTTTGGCCCTGCATGACCCAATTCGAGTGGTGTTTGGCATATTCCTCCTCCCCCTCTTTCGTCTTCATCGCCTCCCTGAGCTCAAACTTGTCAGGCACATTCAGACCCTTTTCCGTCGCTGGTCTCTTCTCTATCTCGTCCTTCCACTTCTGAACGTGAGGGAAACTGTCAATTTCCACTCCTGCCCAGCGGTGCCTGTTTGCGCTGGTCAGCATTTCCTCGCATCTTTTCACATCTCGATCTCAGAGGAATGTGATATCTGGTGTAATCCATCGCGAGAGGTTGTCCAAACGTAGGAGCCACGAAAACAAGACCGACTCACCACTCAACCCAAGAGAAACAAGCCAAATCCGCAATCGTATACTTTCCACCCACAAGCCACACCTCTCTACCACCACCACCGTCCTTCCCTTCCTTTTCCCCAGCCTCCTGGGAAAGCCTGTCCTCCAGAACCTGATACAACCGCTTCGTCTCCGTCTGGTACCGCGCGACAGCATAATCGATCCTCTCCGGCGCGTACCGGTAAAAGTGGTTCGCCTGCCCCTGCATCGGCCCGATGCCGCTCTGCATCCACGTCAGCCACGAGATGGACTCCCAGTACTCGGCCGTGTCGTGGGCGAACGAGAGCTTGTGGTCCTGGTCGTAGCGCGCCGTGAGGTACTGCAGGATGGCGCCGCCCTCGAAGACGCGCTGGGGCGGGGAGGAGGACTCGTCTACTATGGCTGGGATGCGGCCGTTGGCTGGTTATTGGGGAGAGGAGGGAAAGAGGGGTGGGGGGGCAAATATTAGTTCTCATATTTGTCTGTGGTGAGGAGGAGGAGAGGACGTTGGTACGTACGGTTAATCTTTACGAACCAGGGCTCCTTCTGGATATTTTTGGTAATGTCTATCTTGTGTACCTCATACTCGAGGCCGAGCTCCTCAAGAGCTATGCTGATCTTCTGCCCATTAGGCGTGCCAGCTGTGTAGAGCTTAATCTTGGGTGCCATTTTGAAGCAATTTGTTTGTTGTGGAACATTGAACTCATATGTTGAGTGTGGCTAAGATAACCTGGGATTTAAGTTGTCTTATAATTACTAGAGAACACGGGGTGTATCTCCATGCGGAACTACTACTATATTGCCAGAGCAATCAATGATGTCACGACACAAGGCACAGGGTAGCTGAGGGAGGTGAACTTTTGGTGAGGGGTTGACACCCAAATGATGTTGATGATGGGTGCGAGACTTCCCTCGGCACCGAGCTCGGCTGAATTTAGGCTCTAGTCGATGTTCACTCTCGCACAAGCAGCAGAGCTTTGGAGCTCCACTCCACAGCACTTTGTGCGCTAAATCCTTCACTGCGGCTCTGAACACAAATTTCTGAAAAAACAACTTCACCTCATCTTCCCACCTCCTTTGTCTAAGCAACCATCTTGCACTGCCTCCAGAAAGAAGGTCGCATTCAAGGGTTCATCTCCAACTTGGAGCCACACATTGGTACAGATGTGATGAGACCCAGGTTTTTGACATCATTGAAAGGGGGGGGGGAGAAGAAAAAAAGATTTGGCCGATTGAGAAGGTAATTTCCATGCTCCTACTGCTCTTGGAGACAAAACACCACCATCGCACCTGATGCCCACGGGCTAGACGCTTCTCCTCCGTCTATACCACTCAACGGCGAATGTGTCATAGGACAGATTTTCAAGCCAGGATGTGATTCAATTTATTGTTCTCATGGTGTACGATCCTCCTCGAGGATTCGGTCTCCCAAGGCGCTTACTTGCTTCCATCGGCCATGCGGAAGACTCTTGTCGCCCGCACACACTTGGTAGGCAAAGAAAGGTCCAAACTCTTCTTTCTATCACCTCAGCCCGTCGTCTTCTGCCGGACTCGGTCAGCAGCCTCTCTTTCCCTGCCGATCTTGAGTAGGATATCCACGTGTTCTCTTCACGGAGATCTCGTGGTATACAAGACAAGAGTAAGAGACATTTCTCTGTTTCCGCAATGTTCTTTGAGTACGAGACTTCCTCTGCCTGTCTCCAGGCCTTGTGGGAGATCTCGTAATTATTCTGTTGCGACACTACTGCCGCTACATCAGCTGTAGTCCCTTTCGGGCTGAACACACGACCCTCTCGACCTCGAAAAGGAGCTCGCATAGTCATCTGGCTCAACACGATCTACACAGACCCCTTTTGCATCCATGCTTCCTGGGATTCATGTTCACACCTATGGGAAACAATCCCAATTCGGTGAACAAAGCCCTGTGAAAGCTGAAGGAATCGCCATGGTCTTGTCCTGCCAAAAAACCTCGTTAATCCTCGGATTATTGAGGACCCTTTCCTGGTACTGTTGATCTGTCAGCGCTTGCCTGAAAGATTTGGGCCGAGATGGACTCACGTGTTGTCTTCCTGTTGGCATCTTATGCAACATCTGTTCTTCCTCTTTCCCGCCCAAGGTAGTAGCTACCATCACCCTTCCCCTTTTCTCTTTTTTCTCTTTCTCTCTCTTGTTCAAAGCCAACATGACAGCATATCCTGAGGATTCAGCCGAGCTCTGTCACTCGTGGTTCTCATGACTCTGCCTGCATCTTGTCCTTGAGGTATGCCTCTAGGCCGCATCTCTCCTCGTTTGTACGCCGGTGAGTCTGGGACTTGTCAATGTGGACGACCTTGATCTGGGTCAGGCCACGCAAGGCGCCCAGCTCCTCGAACCCGAGGGCATCGGTCAGTCGCGCCTGGAATCTGTGGGCAAAGTACTTTTGCAGTTCATTCTCACGCGCAGACAGGACGTTAGTCGTGCTCTTTGAGATGACGATGACAAGGCTCTTAAGCTTGGGTACGTCCGCCAGGAGCTTAAAACCCGCAGCGGATTGCGGGCCGGTCCAGTGGAGTTTGAGAAATCTGATGTTGTTGTGCAGGCTTGCGTTCGTGGTAAGAAGCTCTTCTATACTACGCGTCAGCCTCTGCGTGTTGACAGAGTCATAGATGTCCCAGCTTACTCAGTTCACAGCCGCAGTTGACATAAAACTTCTGGGTCTCGTACCAGCATGCCAGAACCTCATCTCGGAGTGTTCTGGAGACACGGGCAAGCTGTAGATCGACGGCGTGGGACAGGCTGTTGTCATGCCGCAGACAACGGCATTTCGAGACATCGTGTCTGCAGATGAGGATGTGTGTGTCTTCATGGTAGCGGAAAAGGTTGGAAAAGTACCCCAGGTAAATTCGGCGACGGACCTCGAGCGGGAGCTTCATCAGAGGGAACCGAGTTTCGGTAATGACTTCGTCTGCCATGCAAGCCATTGTTAGTGGTGGACGGGAAACAATTCAGAGGCTGGGTCTGGTAGTCCTCCTGCTGTGGAGAACTGGCACTCGATTTGCGTGCGGTTGGAACCAGAGGAACGAAGCAGCAAAGCTGACAATGACAACAAGGTCAACTTACTTGCCAAGGACAGCAACTCTGTGCAGCCCTGGATAAGCTCGGTGCACTCAGAAATGGTGCTCTGGTCACACTTCTTCTGCATGGCCTTGGCAAGATGAGAGATGGTGTCTGTACAGGTCTTCCTTGCGTTCAAAGACATCCTCATCAGCCTGCCAAGGGCATCAGGGTCCTCATATCCATGATGATGGTCACCCATCTTTCGAAAGAGGGCCATGATCTCAGGAGACAGATTGTATCTCTTGTGCAGATTCCTCATCTGGATGGTGTAGTCATCAAGAGGGGGCGCCATCGTATCAGCCTCTGTTGGAAAAGTGGACGTGGGGTCTGCCTTGGTCTCGTCTCTGCAGAGCTGTGACAGATGGACAAAGGGAACTGGTGATTTGACTGTTCTCGAAGAACAACTAGGGCTGATGATGTCGCGGTGTGATTCAGAGAGGATAGAAAATGCCCCACAAGAAGGAGAGCGGGGGTTGGGGGGGAGGGAGCTGCTGCCCCTCCAAAACGTATTTACTGATTCTGGATTTGCTAGCTCGAGCTTCGAAATAGAGACAGGGTGGGGCTCTGGTACCCTGGGCTGGGAGAGAGAGAGAGAGTGAGTGTGTGTGCGCGTGCGCGCGCGTGTGTGTGTCGCCAACAGTACAGGCAAGCTGAGGCCTGGTCTTGCTGAACGACTGGTTAGTAACACATCTGAAGAAAATACAAGCCCCGCTTGTGAGCTTTTTCATAGCAGCCTTGCACAGCGGTAGTGTTCTCTGTTCACCAAAGAATCTCTGAGGTCACAAATACAGAGGAACGTGGGAGGCTTGTAAGGTTGTTGTTACAGTGGTGTGAGGATGTCAATAAGAGACCTAGCGTACCTTTAAGCAGCACTTTTGCTCTTGGTTGGGTGCGGCTTCCTTGGTAGTTTCCTGATGTCGAAATTAGCCTGGTCTGGCTGAGGATGGTCGAATACAGGCTATAAATTCAAATGCCCAAAAAGTCCTCCAGATACCAAGAAGAAGGGCTTAGTCTCGAACCTCACACAGACTCCAGATTTTTTTCCCGAGGAGAAACATATCTGGTCATGAATTGTTGTGAATAAGGCTGCGAAGTGATTGAACTGCTACCCTGGATCACGGAAGCAGGGGTGCTCTGACAAACGTGGAAGGCCCACTCTTCTGACAGGCGGCTAATGCGGGGCTCCTTCTAGAATATAAAATCATGCTGAATCGGGCAGGCTCTATATGATGTCGGAATATTGCATTGGAGCAATGTTTGAATATGCTCCTGAAGGTAGACAGGGGAATCATTTGTGTCAGGAGAAGCCTCAATCATGGCAGACTGTTGTAGCGCTCTCCGGCAGTCACGTGCGGTCGTATTTGATGTTGCAAATTCAGTGTCAGGATTCTAGGCTCTGAAGAAGGAAGGAGCCAGAAGCAGACTGATGGCGCATTGCTCGAGAAGCCCTCATAAGACATCCAGAACACTGTCCGTGTTGACATAAAAGGGTATACGCCACCAGCTACTGTATATTGCATACCCATCACTGCAGAGTTGCATTGTCAGGAGGTATGATGAGAAAGAGTCCATGTGATGCTTTGTGTATCTGGAATATTTCATCTCGGCCACAGTGGATCAACCTCTTTGCATCATGGCTGGAAACGCATTGGCAATCGCACACCCGTCCCCTTGCTTTATTCAGGATGTTCTGATTGGTTAGCCAGTAGTCAAGTGCTTGGGCAGAATGGCTTGCTTGCCAGCTTTACCAAACTCGATCGGCAATCAGATCTTGCTACCTCGGTAAATCCAGGAAAAGGCTGCGGCAGAAGGCCATCCTCAGGGACTAGGTGATGATGGTAAATCCATGAAAAAATTGCATTTTGTTTGCGCTAGTGCTGAATCCGTGAGCATCATCTGCACTCAAGTCTATCGCTGGAACGTCCTGAGTTTTTTTCCTCTTGGGAAGGACAGGCTAATCCTCCTCATCACCTTCAGCATCCTGCTCACTCTCGACCCTTCTGTCCTCGCTCGAGTTCCGGCCATTTGCGGCAGGTGTCTCGCTCCGCTCACGTCGCGGGGCGCCATCTTCGATCTGCGAGGCGGCTTCATCGTCCTGCCTCGTGTCCTCCTCCTCCTTGTCCGGGTTCCACTGAGGCATCTGCTGGAACTTATCCATTCTAGACCTAAACTCCTCATTAGGATCCTCGGGGGTGAGTTCGTATGCGTCGACCGGCTTTTTCTCGTGTCGATCGGCGTTGTAAATGCGCCGCGGCGGTTCCATTCTGTTGCGCTGCATCGTAGGGTAGTACCAAGCAGTCTTGGCGTTCGGGTCGATTGCAAAAGCGATCTCCTCATTGTACTTGGTGTCATGGCTGCCCTCGCTCTCGACGGTTGCCAGGTATGACCGGGCCCAGCGGAAGCTGAAGGACGGCTGCCCACTTGCGCTGACCGCTTTCGACACATTGAGGCTCTCGTCATCACGGTGAGAGTTCCGCAGGTCGAATTTGCCGCGGAACTTTTCCGAGATGTCTAGATTCTCGGGCAAGTACATCTCGTAGTGGTTCTGGTTCGGCGGCTTAGGGTTGCTGGCTGGATCCTCCATATGTGCCTCCATGCGCTGTTTGAACTCTGCATCCTCCTCCTCATTGCGGCCGATGAACTTCAGAATACTGTTCAGGAGCCGCTTGTCATAGCCAGCCTTGGTGTGGGAGATGGGCGGGTGAGCAAACTTGTATGTAACATAAGTGCCCGAATCTGGGAAGGCCTCGAGGTCTGGCAGGACGGGGAAGGCCTCAACCACCCTGAGGCCCTTGTTTCTGGAGTTGAGTGGCTTGGTCGGGTGCCTGACCCGGCTCTGGTCCTTCAAGTTGACCTGCGCCGCGTCAAAGCCCTTCTCAATTCTGCGCTTGATGGCGGCCGGCGTGCCAGCCTCAGGTTCGGGCGACTTCCTCTTGGGCGGCCGCTGGACGTTGTTTCTTGGAATCTGACGGAAGGGACTAGCTTTGTTCGTGTTCGCGTTGGAAATGTACTCGGTTCGGCGCAGGAAGGAGACAGAAGTGCCAGAGACTTGAGGTTTGCCGAGGGTCGCCAGCGGGCGCAAGAGGACACGATCGTGGGGATGGACTGGAGGTGGAACATCAGGCGCTTGGATAGCTGTGCACGCTCACTGTTAGCAGGCAGCTCATCTGTCTAGAAATGGATGTTCCGAAAGGAAGGGGCGCAGGGGCGGGTTTTAACATACAGTGCTCATCGCCATCGAAGACACCTGGCATGCCCACAAGGTCGATGGGCATCCCGAGTTCTGCATCTGCCTCGATGTTCAATGGCTGCTCTCTCGCAAGTCGAGAAGCGAAGCCTGGTGTTGTGTACTGTCCGCTCGCGAGACCGGTATTTGGTATGTCGAGGAGCTTGGGAGGGTTGGGTGGTGGCGGCAGAGCATTTGAGTATCGAATCCTGGCGATAAAGTCTTGGTGGTAGCCGCGCTCGCCATTGCGAGACGGTTGAGAGGACATGTTGACGATAAGTATGCGAAACAAAAGAGTCCAAAAAGCGATCGCAGGAAAGATTGTGAGGTCGAGAGGAAATAAGGGGGTTGATTTTGAGAAGTGGTGGAGGTTTTGACGGCTGCCTTTCGCGGCGAGCTTTGTAGTTGAGAGGTCGAAGTTCGCGCGCCGGCCGGCCACGACAAGCAAGCAAGGTTGGTGGCAGACGCCCGTGCGCCTCAAAAAGTAACCGCACACCCACTCAGCTTTTGGCCGCGCAACAGCGCCTTTTTCCCCCCGTTCTCGTCTACCCCCAAGCTCCAGCCGGCACTGCTTTCCCTACAATTCTGATTTTGCAGTGCTTCCTTGATTGATAGTCATAGCCATAGTTTTCAGTTGGAGGAATTTCTTTTGAGGTGGGGCAACGCCGCCACCCCCCCAAGAGAATCTCGAAAACTGCTTTCAATACAATCAAGGCGAGTCGCAGCTGCGCAGAGGCCTTGTCAGGTCTTGATCTTCGTCTAATTGGTACAAAACTCTACATAGCGCATGCGTCAAACGAAGCTCAGTTCGTGTTCTCCGTGAACTCATCTCAGCTGCCACAACCAAGAAGACTCGGGAACTCCATAACATATAGCCCTCCCCTGCGGAATGCGCCAATAGCAATAGCAAGACAGATGACGCTGCCCAGCTCCCATCCTTGATGCAGATGCAAATTAAAAATAGAATGTAATTTTGGAAGTCGTGAGCTCGCCACAAGAAACGGAGCGCCCTCGGCCAGCCATCCCATCTCCATCGTTCTCTCGGCCGCCCACTGGAGGCAGCACCTTGTGCCTGCTGTGTTTCGCCTTAATCGCTGTTCCTGGTATATCGGGTCTTGCCGATAGAGAAGGGAACATAACGGTACTTGATCATGTGTTGGATTTGCTTGCGCACTGCACGAATCATAAAAGTCAGCATCTCGCCATCACGGGGCAGCATTCGTATCCACTCACTGGTCAAGAAGAAGAGGATGAACCAGTACATGACCAGGACAGGCCAGAACACTGGAACGTTGAAGATCTCGAACCAGCTACAGAAGAAGGCAATCAGGATGGTCCTTGTCGCCGACTCCCAGAACTTGAATTCGGGAAGACGCCGGATGAACGGCCGGAACTCCTCGTCCTGTTTGGTCGGGAGTGAGCCAACAGACCCATCCTCCATCTCGTTATCAATAGCCTCGTTGGAGGGGTCGAACTTGGGTTGCAGGAATGCGAGGAAAAGGTTCAACAGGTAGATGCCGAGAGCATAAGCAACTGGTAACAGGTCAGCTTCATGGTTCGAAAGCTTGGGAAATGCACGGGCGAGAGCGCCGCGGAGAGTATGCGCATACCGATGTACCAGCCCTGCGCAACGAAGATGCGGGTGAAGAAGAGCATGAGCGCAACAGCGGTTCCGACCCATCTGTACGCCACGTACGGTGTTGACTGGTCTAGGAGTGCCTGGTACCGTCTCTGCAGCCGCGAGGTCTGCGCCGTGACGGCGGCGAAGGGGGTCTGGTCTGGCTCGGGGGCGTCCATTGCGTTGAACGCGGGAAGATGCGCAACGTCGAGAAGGCTGTGTGGCTTGGGCCTCGGAAAGCTGCTTGAACGCCTCGATGTATTGGACGTAGCAAATACGCAAAGGATGGAGAACAGGTGACGGTTGCTCTTGCTCGAGTACAATAGAACAATGGGCCTGGTTTGGTGGTGGAGAAGGAGTGATCGCACGGATGGGGGACCTGTGTGATAAGGTGATGGGTAACCTTTGCTTGGGTGGGTTGCAGAATGTCTGATTGCGACAAGGACGCGAAATCTGTCTTGACCTTTCGAGCTTGCCAACCAAACTAGCGGCATGGCTGATCCTAGCCTCCTGGAACTGGCGCCGCCCCCTGAGGAGATTGGCGAGGAGGAGCAAGTGTGGCTGGTTGAACTGTGGCTTGACTGCTTCCAGGTGCAACCTGCGCCAGGCCGGACAACAACCTGCGGCGGGCCGCAGCGGGTACTCGCATATCCTCGGCAAGCACCCAGCCAGCAGCACTCCGGTCTACCTACGTACATACATGGTGTTCTCCCTCACCTACCATCGTATCCAGTGGCCCAGTAAATTACCTGCATTGTGTTCTCGAACTGGTGTGTATCTTCTCTTGTCTTGATTTGAGTCTTCCTGGGACCGATTTGTGTGTGTACTTTGCTTGTCACTGGTCTACGCACGTCTTTCTATCCTCCCGCGATCGTCACGACCTTTCGAAGCATCCGCCCTGTGGTTCTCTCGCTTTGCGAGGCACTTCTCTTTTAAAATGCAGTCACTCAGGAGTCTGAGGCCTATTGCTTCCAAGCTGCAGCCCTCAACACTCCCTCGTGTCTCGCGGGCCTTTTCAGCATCTGCTAGGTTGAACTATGAATTCATCCAAGTCTCCGAGCCCAAACCGGGCGTCGGCCAAGGTAAGCCCTCACACCCAAGCGCCACATTATCTGCATTCACTTTATGCATAGAGGAGCACTAGCTAAGCAGCCTCGCTACCTTCTCTCTCACCGACTATAGTAACGTTGAATCGACCCAAGGCTCTCAACGCCTTGTGCACACCGCTGATCAACGAGCTGAACGAGGCTCTGCTGAAACTCAACGCCTCCGAGAGCGTCTCAGCCATCATCCTAACAGGCTCCGAGAAGGCCTTCGCCGCAGGCGCTGACATTAAGGAGATGGCGCCCTTGACGTTCTCGCAGGCCTACCTTAACTCATTCATCGAATCTTGGTCGAGTCTGACCACCCAGGTTAAGAAGCCGATCATTGCTGCGGTGTCCGGACATGCGTTGGGGGGAGGCTGCGAGCTGGCGATGATGTGTGATATCATCTACTGCACGGACAAGGCCAACTTTGGGCAACCCGAGATCAAGTTGGGTACCGTGCCTGGCGCGGGAGGGAGCCAGCGCCTCACCAGGGCGATTGGCAAGTCGAGGGCGATGGAGCTCATTCTCACAGGGAAGTCCTTCTCGGGGCGCGAGGCTTATGAGTGGAATTTGGCTGCGAGGTCGTTCCCGACTTATGAGGAGCTCATGGAAAACACTCTGAAGACGGCCGCGACGATCGCAGGATATTCCAAGGTTGCCGTCCAGGCCGGAAAGGAGGTTGTGAATAAGAGCCAGGACCTCGCCTTGAGGGACGGAGTCGAGTATGAGAGGCGTGTCTTCCACAGCCTTTTTGGCAGCGAGGACCAGAAGATTGGTATGAAGGCCTTTGCTGAGAAGAGCAAGGCTGAGTGGAAGCACAACTAGGTCTGCTGTCTCTTCTTGTCGATCATTGCGTTCGAGAAATGGAGCCAACCCTGCATGTACAAGTATGGATGGTATTCAGACTGATCTCTGGCGGTCGGATGATGGACCACGACGCACCTGATGTCTGTACCATAGTACATCGTACATACAAACTGTAGTACAAAGTTACATCTGCTGCGGTGTGAGTGCCCAACGCAGAAGTGGATCTTACGGAACCAAGGATCTTTGCAGCCGGGCCAAGCAGCTTGCAGTCATAAGCGCCCGCACCGCGATTTTAATCAAGGGATTCGACGATTACAGGCCGTAGTGGCCAGACACCTCGTGTTTGTGCAGTTTCGAGTACTTGCAGAGACTGTCTTGTTTCTGGCCACGAGGGCATCGCTGCTCTGGACAAGGACAATCAGGCCTGGCTGCAGCACCGGCCCTCTAAGAAGTCCCCTACAAATCAGCCCTGTCAGCCCTATTGTAGTATCTCACCACGGCACTCACAGCGCGCATCCCAGTCCACTGACCACGCATCGCCTCCACCGGCCGTAACCCTGCTAGCCACGAACCCTTGTCCGTACCCAGGCACCTCGACCATCTGAAATGCAGATGGCAACCAGAGAAGCACAGTCATTCTAGTACATCTTGCAAATTTCCCTTCTGGAAGAAAACATTGCCATCCTCCCTCCTGGGACGGAGTAAGAGGTCCCCTTCCATGTCACGATGGACTCTTCCAAACCAGGCATGGACCTAGAGAAGGAGCTGGCATGCTCAGTCAGTTTCCCCAGCCCCCTCCTCTATCGGCTACCTCGACCTCGAGGCGAGTTTCGAGTCAGTCTGCTAACCCTTCCATTCCACGACCCAAACAGATCTGCACCGAGCTCCTCTACTACCCTCTGACTCTTCTGGACTGCCTACACACCTTCTGCGGCGCCTGCCTCAAAGAATGGTTCGAATGGCAAGCCAACGCAGCGCGCAGCGCCCCCGAACCTCCTGCGCCTGGTGCGCCCGTCTTCACGTGCCCATCATGTCGCGCTTCGGTCCGCGACACGAGGCACAACTCGACGGTGCAGTCGCTGCTGGATATGATCCTTGTTGCACACCCTGAGAAGGCCAAGCCGCAGAGCGAGAAGGAGGAGATGGATGCACGTTACAAGCCAGGGGATAAGGTGCTTCCAGAGCTAAAGTTCCCGAGGCGCACGGCCGAGCAGCTGAGACTGGAGGAGCGGGACAGGCAGCTCATCGATGAGGTACGGCAGATGAGCCTGCGTGAGGCAGTGAACGGTGGCTCATCAAGCTCAAGGACGAGAAGGCACGGCGAGGACAGTGACTCGAGGAACCGCACCGCACGGAGGAGGGCACCGAGGGCGACGAGCGTCACTCGGGATCACAGCTCAGCCGAAGATCGGGCCCAGGAGCGGACAAGCTCAAGAAGAGAAACAGGAACAGAGTTGCGGCGACGGGCCGAGCAGGCGGCAAGGCTGTCGTCTGACACGGTCGACTCCCGGTCTGGGTACAGCCGAACTAGCAGCAGTGGATCTAGGCGGACAAGCGATGAGACTCTGGAGAGGCAGAGACGTCAGATCGAGCACCAGTCATCGCTTCGATCACTGATCAGCTCGTCAGACGCGGCGGATATCGACATAGAGCGGGAGGTCGAGGAGTTTGCCCGGCAGATCCAAGAAGAAGGCCTACTGGATGGGCTGGATCTCGACAACATCGACCTCACGAACAACGACGAACTAAGTCGCAGGATCACGGAGGCCTACCGACGTCGACAGCGGGACAGGGAGAGACAGCGGCGCGAGGCGCGGGAGAGGAGCCGTGCCGTTTCACGGCATTCCTACAGTGGGCCGGCCGAAGCCCCATCTCACGAAAGAAGCACCTCGGACTCTGTGAGACCGACGGCGCGTCACTCAAGAACGCCGAGTGCAACAAGTCAATCCGACGAACGCAGCAGACCGCCGCCGTCTTCGAGGTCTACTTTCCTCGAGGTCCACGACCAACAAAGGAGGCGTCGGCGGCCGGGCAGTCATAGCCGAGACAGGAGTGCGACAGTGCCAGTCGCACCCACGCAAACGGAACTGCGTGTCGGACCCCGGTCGCAAGCGGACCTGGAGGTCAGATCAAATAGTCTCTCCTCCTCCTCCCGAAGACCCATTCTCCCAGAAGAAGCCAGGAGTGTCAGCACTTCAGACGTCCAAAGCAGTAGCAATCGTCTTGTCGAGTCACCGCCGACAACATCCCTTCCCTTCAGTGCGCGGATGAGCGGTCTGAGCATTCCTCAACCGCAGCAGGAACGTACCAGCACCCCTCCCGAGCCAGACACAAGAATTCCTCGGACGAGGCCGAAAGACATTGTTGTCCAGCCGCCTGAAACTCAGGCGGGAGCATCAGCTCGAGCCATGGGGAGCCTTATGGAGTCGCCTGTCATAACCGTGGCCCCCTATAAACCGCGGTCCCCTTTATTTGAGGAACCCAGCATCACGTGCGACAGATGCGCAAAGGAGGATATACAGTATGAGCTTCATTACAACTGCGCCAAATGCCATGACGGCCACTGGAACATCTGCCTCACCTGTTACAGGCTAGGCAAGGGCTGCCTTCATTGGTTCGGGTTCGGCTATGGAGGATTCAACAAGTGGGAAAGACAACGTATCGTTCAGCCCTCACTGCCGGAGCCGCACAAGCTGTTGGCCAGCCGCTTTGTACAGCCGGCAGCCATGATCAGGTCTCCTGACAATAACAAGCAAGCTTGGTCGAGCGAAGATCCATACGAGCGACTGCAAAGCGGGACGTTCTGTGCGTTATGTCTTTCATGGACGAACGACTGCTATTGGCGGTGTGACACGTGCAACGATGGCGACTGGGGCTTCTGCAATGACTGCGTGAATCAGGGTCGATCGTGCACACATGCCCTCCTCCCTCTGGTCCATCAGCAGGTGGCCCAGCAAACTGTATCTCCGCCCCCCAGTCCGCATTCGCCCTCTCACCCATCTTCAGCAACAATGATGGTCGGTCTCAACGCGACAAGCATAGGGCCCTTTAAGGTTCTCACCTTCATTACGACTTGCGACGTCTGCCGCAGCCCCATTCCGCCGACCCAGAGCCGCCTTCACTGCTTTGAGTGCGTGAGTTCGCTTGTATCCGATTCTCGACCTGGAGACTACGACATATGTGAAGGCTGCTACGACGACCTAGTAAATGACGGAGCCATCAGTCCCGAGAACGGCTCTGCAGGCTGGCGACGCTGTCCTCAGGGGCATCGCATGGTCATTGTGGGTTTTCAGGAGGGCAAGAGCGGACAGAAACGTTACGTTGTGCGAGACCTTGTTGGTGGGCGGAGACTGAGTGTGGAAGATGTGCCAAACGACACAGAAATGCAGCGTTGGATATGGTACGAAGCCGATGCGAAACGTGAACGCCTTGTTGCCAGGGACGTTTCCCAGACTGCGACGCAGGGCTCGGCCTCGAGCGAGTTGTTCCCGCCCGATGGTGGGTTTGGCTGGAAGGCTGTTGCGCGGTGGGCGTGGTATCCTGCCGAAACTGCCACTGACGAGTTGATGTTTCCCAAGGGCGCCGGGGTCTCAGAAATTGAGGATGCAAATGGGGAGTGGTACCACGGCGTGTACATGGGGAACAAGGGACTCTTCCCGGCCCCGTATGTAGTCGTCCTCGAGGAGGGTAGTACCAGGAATGTCTGATAGCATCAGGTTTTAATGAGCATGAGCAATATTTCACACGAAGCATATTTAGGCATTTGGAAAGGGATCGAATCGATAGAGACTGCTTCTGGGTGCCAGACGGAGTTTTAGGATGGGATAATGTGGATAGTCAAGCGTCTTATGAATGGAAATGTTGGCCTCAAGTCAGGCACTTGAGCCAACCATCTATGCTTTTCTTCTTCTTTTCGCCCATAGTCGTTATGAACTCGGGAGTACTTGTTGCTCCTCTATACACTGACTGCAGGTATGCTTCCTTATTTTTGAGACCCCCTTTGCTCACAGATCTCTGTGCCGCAACCCCGTCCTCCCCCCCCCCCTCCCCCGGCAGCCCACTTTGTGCTCGCTCAAATCTTGGAATTGGAACCAATTTCTGATATTTCTCAATATTTGTGAATTTTCTTATTTTTTATTTTTTTATTCTAAAATTTCATCTGAATGAGTCCTTTAAAACTGCTGAAGGAATAAGTTCACATCGTACACGAAAGCTAGGCGCCTTTCTGCCATACACGTTTTACGCATCCGTGTTTGTCACCGAAATGGCAATGCAACGCTTGCGGTGCTGAGTACCGCACCGCTTTAAGGGATGTAAGTGGACTCCTTAGACACTGCCGGTCTCAAATAGGGGATGAACAACAACCAAGTGCCCGTCATCTGATGCAGTGACACTTCTAAAATTAGAGTCAATTGGTGCTCTGTGAGGTTCCTGTTTTGTTTCTCGAGGTGCTCCTCCTGGCATCACGCTAAGGCTGGGCAATGGTAACAAGGTAAACGAGCAGGGCTATACTTAATGTAAGCAGAAGTTGTGTTATCGATAAGGAACTTTTTAGTGGGTCGTCTCTGATTTCTAGGGTCTTGCCATCTCTGCATTTGGTCAACACCAAACTTCTTGCTTCAACATACTAGATTCTTCATACATCAATCTCGAGCTAGCTAACTACTTTGTCTTCCTCTTCCCCGAGATTCTGTTGATTGATAGTGCAAGCAGCCATCATTGCCATCTTCAAGCCATTTTGCATACTGATCTTCTTGTCATCTCGTTGATCATAGGATTTGAGCTGGCAGCTTGGGATTTCACCAGCCTTCTCTGCCCTGTCAAATCATATTACACTTACGTCGTCCTCACCACACCACTCCACCCCCACCTACAACTAGCAACAACTTCTGCCGCTCAGTTTGATTGTGACCAGATGATGAGAGTCACGACATTTATTACTCATTCCTATTGAACAATCGTCTCTGCCAATACCAATCATCATGGCGAGCCCACCATCCAATCCCACAAATCCCAACCAGCCGGCAAATTTCATGCCCTCTGTTCGTGCCGCTTCTGAGAAGAAGCTGGGCATGCTCCACTACACATCCCCTGCAAGTCATGGCTGGCATGGTGATGTGAGGAAAAGGTACATCATCCTACACTGTCCCTCCCGGGAATGATAAGGACTAACAGCCTCCAGATACACAGACTTTCTAGTCAATGAGATTCGCAAGGATGGCAAGGTTCTTCATCTTGAGAACTACGACGTGGCAGAGCGACCTGCTGATGTGGTATGTAAATCCATGACCTGCCTTGTCCAATTATCCAGGTACGGCGCATCACTGACCTCAATGCAGAATATTTTCCTCCCTGGACAACAGGGCAGTCCAAACAACCTCACCTCTTATTCAGCAGAGATTGCTCCGGCTCGGACTGTCACTGAAGATGATGAGAAGGCTCTACGGGCTCTTCTAGGAGAGGCTACCACTACCGAAGTTCTGAATTTGTACCAACGTATCGTTGCTTCTGGCACGACCCGTCTCGATCCCCAGATCAACCTCGTCAAATTTTTGTCCATGGAACGCGACGTTCGGGGCCGGGTCCATCAAGTATGTAAAATTTTCAGAGGGTGTAGTCGCTTCTCTTTTACTGACACCAAATATAGGAAATTCGCCGCATCTTCGATTCCCGTATTGCAACAGAGACTGACGGTGACGGCATTATCACCGCTATTCCTGCCAGCATCCGATTTGCACGGAAGCCTCGAGCTGCTGGTAGTGGTGGTCGAAATCAGCGGTCCAATCAACCCTCTTTTAAGAAACTGGGTGGTGACTATCTTCATTTCACACTCTACAAAGAGAACAAAGACACCATGGATGCTGTCAACCAGATCGGCCGTATACTCAGGGTCAAGTCCAACAACTTTGGATTTGCCGGCACCAAAGACCGACGTGCGGCCACAGTCCAGCGCGTAAGCGTCTATCGCGTGCGACATAAGGTTCTCGACTTTCTGAATACGCAGCTTCCTTACATGAAAATGGGTGACTATAAGTACAGCCCATATCCAATCCAGCTCGGCGACCACGGCGGCAATGAGTTCAACATCGTTGTCAAGGATGTTGGCGTCAAACGTGGCGAAGATTGCTCCCTCGAACGACGCGTTCAGCTGACAAAACAAGCTGTCGAGACCGCGGTGAACGAGATGGTCAAATACGGATTCATCAACTACTATGGCTTGCAACGTTTTGGCACGCACATAGTCGGAACGCATGAGCTCGGAAAGCTGATGCTGATGGAGAAATTTGACGACGTTGTTGACGGGATCCTGCACGTTGATAAAGACTTCATGAACCAGGTGGTCGCAGGTACGGTCCAGGAGACACCAAGCAGCCGAGACGAGATCAACCGAGCCCGTGCCATTGTCCAGTTCAAGACATACAAAAACGCGAAGTCCGCACTGCAGCTTATGCCGAAGCGGTTCGCTTCCGAGATGAACGTCATACAACATCTCGAGAAGAGCCCTCGCGACTTTACAGGTGCCATCTTGACTATTACTCGAGGAATGCGCAATCTGTACCTCCATGCGTACCAGTCGTATGTCTGGAACCATGCTGCTTCCCACCGCTGGGCCAAGTACGGCTCCAAGGTAATCCCTGGCGACCTCGTCTTGGTCACGCCGGAGGACACCGTTGTGGACGATAGCATCGGCGGGTCCGAGGAGTCACAATACCAGAAGGCCCGCGCTCTCTCTGAAGAGCAGGCCAACAGTGGCAAATACACCATCTACGATATCGTCCTGCCAGGGCCTGGATTTGACGTCGTCTATCCGGATAACGACATTGGCGAATTCTATGTGGAATTCATGTTGAGACCTGAGAACGGAGGGTTGGACCCTCACCGCATGCGGCGGTCCACGAAGGACTTCAGCGTGAGCGGCAGCTATCGCCATGTTCTTGGCAGGATGAAGGGCCAGCCAAAGTGGGAGGTTCGCACCTACGTGGACGAGAATGACCAGATGGTACCGACGGATCTCGACTTGATCGAGCTCCGAAAGGCGGCGGAGAAACCAACACTACAGAAGGAGGCGGCCGAGCAGGTTGCTGGAAACCAGGCCGTTGCTGTCACTGCTGAAGCCGGTCAACTCGCAGACGATGGCGCAGCCAAGACGGAGCGACGTCGCCAGCGGGAGGACCCCGAATCCGATCCTCGTGCCAACGAGACTTGGACAGAGGTATCTCAGAACGGCGGTTCTAAGAGAATCAAGCTGGTACAGGACGAATCTCGTCCAGACACACCAGACTCTGTGGATACCAGAGGCCCCCATGGCGGTGGTGCTCCCCTGTGGGAAGAGGATGGAGAGAATCATCCTGTGAAACCCATCCGTCAACCGATCATCCCCAGCAGTTCAGCTGGTGCCACGACGGCTACTCCTTCGGCCACTCCAACGCCGCAGCTCGCCACTGCCAGTCCTACAATCTCCACATTCAACGAGACAGATACTCCCGAGAAGCTCGAGAAGCAAGGCCAGGCGTCCGAGGTGCCCGGCGCCACGATCCAGGCGGACAACGCTCCCACCGACGCGGCCCACCCCAAGACACCAGCACTCCAGGTCCCCCGTCCTGATCGAGATGCCTACCACGCCTTCACCCAGCCCGATCTGTCCCAATACAAAGATGATGAGGTCAAGATCGCCGTCGTACTCCAGTTCAGCCTGGGCACGAGCGCCTACGCCACCATTGTCCTCCGCGAGCTCATGGCCGAGATCGAGCCAGAGCAGCCCGGCAGTCCGCTGTACCCGCCAGACCTCTCTGGCTGAGCGTCTGGTCCGAGAATGAGGTAGGGAGCTTTGGGGGGGGGGGGGAGGGTTTGGGTCTCACGTCTGCCACTGCGGCTCCACCTTTCAGACTCATTTGATGGGGTCGAAGCCTTTTTTCTTTTTTTTCACGAGATTTTCAAGAGGCCTCGAGTACCCCCCTACCTTTTTTTTTTTTTTTAAACCCCCCAAAATCACAAAATTTGGAGCTTCTTTTTCTATTTGAGGAAAGGGATCGGTCGGCTTTCTTCTCTCTGTAACGGAGGTGGCATTTCCGTTAGGTTAGGATACGATACCAAAGGATGCATACATACATGGCGTAGACAGGACCGGACTTACTCCAGGGCCAGATATCATGGACAGCGTTGACCAGAAATGCTTGTCTGGCTACGATTTTGAATTCTGTCACCCAGGGTTCTTCCTACCAGGAGCTCTGGGTAAGTGATAGCTGAAGAAGAAAAAAAGAGGCTACTTTAGTCAAGAGGTCAATACACAGCATCAAGTGATTCAAACAAGTTCCAATGTGCTTCGCAAATTTCTTTTTGGTTTTGTTTTTTTTCTTTCTATCATTTCGGTCTCTTGGAAAGAATTTCCCCTACGCCCATGAGTCCCTGGTACTCGCTATGGCGCAGATATCAAGAATGTCTCCTGGTCCCTCAAGTGCTTGCTATGCTTGCGATGCTAATGTTGAAGGCAGTTTTCTCAGCATGCCCAATGCTAATATGTTGGGCTTAGCTATGCTACTTATCCAATTTCCCTCCTCTACTCCTGCGCTTGTGAGAGCCTGTCGCTCGATGCTCCTGCTGCGTACGAGGACTTCGGTCCTCCTCTCTGCCGGTCGTGGGGGCAGTTGGTATGAGTGATGCCAGGTCTGCCATGATATATCCATTGGAAAATGTGCAACGGCATCGTTTTAATGGTGAGCGGCCTCAGCCTTTCCTAGGCCTTGCCTTTGGTGGTGGTGTTGTAATCGAGTATTGTGAACGTCCCCCTTTCCTAAATGTGCGGATCATCCACCTTAAAAAGGTTCGGTCATCCTCTCTCACTTTGAATGCTTTGGATCATCCCAGCCCCAGACTTGTGACAGATATTTGCCCATATTGACCCTCTTCGTCTTGAGCTCGATCATCCAGGGATGCTCTAGCATCTTCCAGGGCATACCCCTTCGTTTCGGGTTCTTCTCCAAGCTACACACACAGCGTCAGTCACTTTGGACCTGCCAACCACGAGTCATAGATACTTTGGAAAAGGAAATAAACTTACCAGCTCTCAATGAAGTGCTTGAAGTTATCACTCCAGAATATACCAGCCTCTGGCTCATCCTTGAGCTTGGGAATAGGCTGCTGCACAATATACGTCAAGAGGTCGATCAGGCCCGCCCGAGGCTGCATCTCTGTGCCGTCAGCCGGGAAGGGGAATCGATGCTGCGCCACCTCGAGCAATGTGACACCTGTGGACCACACATCCGAGGTGATGGTGTAGGTCTGGCCTGTGATACGTTCGGGCGCCATGTAGTAGCTGGTGCCGATGAAGGTGTTGGCCTCGCCCTTGGTTCCGAAGTCGCCCGACACACCAAAGTCGCACAGCTTCACCTCCCCATTGCGGCACAACAGGATATTCGAGGGCTTGATGTCGCGATGCAGGATACGCTTGGCCTCGAGATAGGTGAGACCCTGCAGGACACCCTCGGCGATCTTGCCGAGGACCTTCTCGCCAGTTCGTCCGCCAAGCCGCTTGACCTCCTTGTAGATACTGTCCAGGGACCCGCCCTCACAGAATTCCATGGCAATGGAAATGGTTGCTGTCGAGGGCTCCAGGAAACCGCCGTAGTATCTGCAGATATGATCCGAGGCGCAGCCTTTGTTGAAGTTGATCTCTCGCAGGATCTGCTTCTTGACGTCTGGATCTGGATTGGTCGTGATAACCTGGTCGGTCAAAATTAGCACACTCTGCACCCCCTGTGAGTCAGTCTCTTGGCTTAGTGGGCTTGGACTTACCTTGAGGGCAAAGATCGTCTTGCCTCCCTTGAGCTGACACCGGGTGACTGCGCCACCTGCGCCCTCACCCAGGCCACCGAGCTCAACGATACGGTTCTCCTGGCTCGCAATCCGCCAGCCCTCGTCATCTAGATCCTCCACATCTAAATTCCTTACCCTCTCCAGGGTCACCTCGTCCATAGCCCTCTCCAGGCCGTGCATGCTGTCCTGGCGTGACATGTCCAGGCCACCCTCGCTTGCGTTCGAGTACATCGATCCAGCGGCACTCTGGGGGTCCGGCGTACCGTGTGGTTTACCTCCCAGACCATATTGTGACACAAAGGACAGGTTCGAGTACTGCGATCCGGCTGAGGTGGGGTTGCTGCCACGGCCTCCGAAGCTGTCGGTCCGGCTGTGTGCGGCACTGATCTCGCTGCCACTACTCGCGCTGTGGCCTGGCTGGGCAACCGATCTGCCGGGCTGTTGTTCCTGAGGCGGCCCAATGCTGCCCATCGGCGTGGCAATGCTCAGTGTGGGCGGGGCAGGTCGTGAAGCCTTCTGGGGTTGGGGAGCGCCGCCGGCTGGATTGGTCACAGGTTTCACATTGGGAGACGGTGGTATAGCGAGCCCGAGTCTCGGTGTGCGCGCACCTCCCCGCGAACCAGGTATGGCAGGACGGAGGAGGGGCGCAGGGGCGTTCATGATGGGGACTGAATTTGAGGACGACATTGGGACTGGAGTTTCTTGTGTCTTGATCTGCTTTGCGTAAGAGTGGTCAGCGAACTAGTCAACTCGAACCAGACCCAGGATCGATTCCGTGTACCAGTCGACACAGTTGGGGATTGAATGTCGGGCTCAAAGGCAACTGACGGTAAAAAAGGGGAAACGAGAGGGTGGTAGCTCACAGGTGCAGCTTGATCGCCGCCGTTGCTTGCCTGATCGTGCATCATGCGGCGAGCCACACGATCGAGGCCCTCAGCGAGTGTAAAGTACCTCGTCTCCAAGGCAGTAGCGGCGTCAGGAATAAAGCAGGCCCGCCGCAGAGGCCCTTTGAACTCTCAGGTGTCTCTCTCGGCTTGGTTCTTAGCGGCCGTCGGCTAGGCAGAAAGGGGTGAAGAGCTTAATGATGACGACCTGCCAGCCCGCCGGGGGTTTGTGAAGACAAAGCGGGATGACAGTTTGAACGATGTTGTTGAAGAAGAGGAGAGGTCGCTGAAGAGGTACTTGGGACGGAGGACACGCGTCCGATGTCAAAGACAGGAATCGTGGCCCTCGTAACCTTGAGTGTGGTGGCTAGAGTAGTTGATTGACTTCGGGGGAGAATCGATGTGGCAGCGTCGTGTGCGGTTGGGACGCAACGCCGAGCGAGGTGAGAGGGGCAGTAGCACAACAGGCGTCCCCAGTCTTCAGTGTGCCGCAGCAGAAACACACGAGCAGGTGGTTAGTAGGGTTTGCCTTGGCTGTAGTGCTGGTGCTGGTGCTGGTGCTGGTGTTTCTGGTGCTCCCGTCTGCCGGTCTGGGAATGTCAGGAGGCTAGATCCGGCTGCTGGATAATGAACGAGTGAAAGAACTCGGGCCGTGAAATAATATGATGAGAGCTTTCTATAGAAAGCCCCTTATGTTCCGAGTCGAAAGGAAGAGGTGGGAGGAGGCGGAGGAGGAGGATGGAGTCGAGCTGGTTGAGGTTGTTGGTTGTTGAGGTAGGGTCGCTCAGGCAGGCGAGCGGCAAGTTGGACCGAGGAGTGAGGGGGAGGGGGGGGTGCGGAAGGGCCACAGGCATATACCCGTAGCAATGAGTACAACAGACCATAGTGCAATAGTGGCTCAGTACAGGCATAACTGTGGGCGGGGGGGCCCTGCCTGGCCTTTTGCTAGCCTGCTAGGGACTGCGACTGTGACTGCGAAACTGGGACCCTCCCTCCCTTCCTACCAACGGCCAACGACGCCCTGTGTGGCCTCTCATCAAGCGGATCAGTGGGGAAGAAAAGGCCCAATGTGACGAGGATTGCAAGGGGGCCAACAGCCGGGGAAGAAAAACCGGGGACGGGCTTGCTTCAGGCTGGTCCTAATGCTCTTGTGCCCGCTTTGTCGACTGGTCCAGCGGCTGCTGAGACAAGGGTTCAGGGGGCGGGACGCTGAACTCTATCCGTTGGCCACAGGGTTGCGTGGTTGTCTACGTCGCAGTCCCCCCAGCTGGCTCTTCCGAATTGACGTATCAACAAAATATCTCTTTACTCGTCTTGTTATACCTGAATCTCCGACAGACACACACACTCGCGAGCTGAAAGCCAATGGCCCCTAGGCTGCTGCAATGCACGGGTCTGGCTGATAGTTCTGCCAGCATCTCTGGGCGGCATCAACAAAGAATGACATCAGGAGAGAATCCTCCTTTTTTTCCTTCTTCTTCTCACTTTCTGACAGATTGGCAGTGTGTCCCAGACGGATGGGCCGAGATGCTGTGCTGACCACCTGCAGTAGCTGAGGAACAGCTGGACAAGGAGGATCTGATATATTGGGGGCGCAGTTCGGCACCGGCCTTCCTCCATATGTGCCTCCTGACCTAGGAGGAGATCTGACTTTTCTTCTCTCTTTCCGACCCTTTCTGACCGAGATGCAGTCTTTCGGGCTTCTTGCTTGAGCAGCCCGTGACAAGGGTCTCTGCCTAAAAGATCTAATAAACTGAGATGGCAAGGCCATGCCGTCTTTCCGATCTGTCGAGTCTGTCGGTGGCTTGTGCGGGCTTGAGAGTGGACTGTTGAGTGTGTGACGATGTGTGATGGCTGATCTGCGACCTGCATGAACGGGCCTATCAAGCTCTCATTTCCGTCTCTCGAATCAATGCAAGACTGTCCAAGTCGATGGAGGGGGCATTTAGAGCGATCAGGGGATACTGACTCATCAAATGTCACAGCTGATAGCTCGTAGAAGCAGAAGGATCCGAGCCACTGTACGTTACAGTCTACTAGCTGCCTCCCTGCAGGACATAGCATTACAAGCCTGTGTAGTCACTAACAGTACCGTCCGCAGCTGCTGCCAGGTCAAGTGACAGGGGGTCCTCAGCGCAGGGTTCACGCTTCCGTTAGGCGCGCGTCTGCTATGAACCCAGGCACCCAAGCTGGTTGGTCCTTCCTAGTGGCGGTTATTGGCCATGGCTAGAATCTGACCCCTGCGCCAGGCCTTTCCAGATTCTCTCACCCAGACTTTGAAGACCTTTTTTTTTTCCCACCCCCCCCCCCCATCATACAGCAGAAGCACACAGGAGTGACTGCTCGATCGATGCTCTGGGCCTGCTTCGTCATCTTAATTCGAGAACGCTATTTCGTAACTTGTTTCATAATTCTTTATTCGCTCAGCTGTGTGGGTTTGCTGCAGGGATGCCAGCCAGGACGAAAGAGACAGTCTCAAAGGCTGTGGACGAAGTATCGTCATCTGCCTCTGAACTCGAGGTTGAGGCCATTGATGGAGAAGATAGTGGAATCGAAGCGACAAGCGATGATGAGAATGATGATGAAGTCCAAGGAAGCGAGCCTCAGAGTGACTCAGACTCTCTCGACAGTTCTGCGGCACGGAAAAGACGGAGGATTTCACCAGAGCCCGAGGAGATTGACGAAGACGATGACGAGGAAGAGGTCCCAAAGCAGTCTGTCTCCTTTGTCAGTGCGCCTTCAAGAATAAAACGGAAGGATGTGTCCAGTGGTGGGCCTGCGACGCAGAAGCTCCCCGAGCAGGTTGCTGCCCCACCAGCTGACGTTTCTGAAGGTGCAACCACTGCGCCTACGGATCCAAACACAACGTTCGAGTCACTGGGTGTGCACCCATGGCTGGTTCGTTCACTTACGAACATGGCCATCCGAAGGCCGACTGGGATCCAGAAGGGTTGCATTCCTGAGATACTCAAGGGCAGGGACTGCATCGGTGGCAGCCGGACGGGTTCCGGAAAGACGGTCGCGTTTGCGGTGCCCATTCTTCAGAGATGGGCCCAGGACCCGTCTGCCATCTTTGCCGTGGTCCTGACACCTACTCGGTAAGTTTGTGGTGTTTTCTTTGGGGGGTCTATGCGAGTTGCGCCCCGTCGAGAGACGCAGAAATGGGGGCTAACAATGGTGACTACTTAGTGAGTTGGCGCTTCAGATGTACGAGCAGTTTAAGGCCATCTCCTCCCCGCAGACCCTTAAGGCTGTCCTCGTCACGGGCGGTGCCGACATGCGTGCCCAAGCTATCGCTCTCGCGGAGCGCCCACACGTCGTGATTGCCACGCCGGGCCGTCTGGCTGACCACATCCGCACGTCTGGTGAAGACACCATCTGTGGCCTGCGGCGCGTCAGATTTGTCGTCTTCGATGAGGCCGACCGGCTCCTGGCTGCTGGGCCGGGAAGCATGCTGCCAGACATTTCGGAGTGCCTCGACGTGCTCCCGCCCCCCTCGCAGAGGCAGACGCTCCTCTTCACGGCGACGGTCACGCCCGAAGTGCGCCTTGCAAAGGACAAGCCGCGCGAGCCGGGCAAGCCGCCCGTGTTCGTCTGCGAGGTCGACACGCAGGTCATGGCCATCCCCACCGGCCTCCGCCAGATGTACATCCAGGTGCCCGTCACGCACCGCGAGCACTACCTGCACGTCTTCCTCCTGACCGAGGCCAACAAGGACAAGAGCGTCATCGTCTTCTGCAACCGCACCGCCACCGCCAACTACCTGCACCACTTGCTGCACCTGCTCGAGCACAAGGTCACCGCCCTGCACTCCCAGCTGCCCCAGCGCCAGCGCGTCGATAACCTCTCCCGCTTCCGTGCCGCCGCCGCCCGCATCCTGGTGGCGACCGACGTGGCCGCCCGCGGCCTCGACATCCCCGAGGTCAGCACCGTCATCAACTACGACATCCCGCGCGACCCGGACGTCTATATCCACCGGGTCGGCCGTACTGCCCGTGCGGGCCGCAAGGGCGACGCCGTCACCTTTGTCGGGCAAAGAGACGTCGAACTCGTCCAGGCCATCGAGGCTCGTGTCGGCCGCGACATGGTGAAGTGGGAGGAGGAGGGCGTCAACCTCGAGACCCGCGTGGTGCGCGAGGCCCTCAAGCTCGTGGGCGAGAAGAGCCGCGAGGCACTTCTGGACATCGAGGAGAGGCGCGAGGTTGGGAGCAAGAGGAAGCGTGGCAAGGTCAAGCTCAGGGCGGCGGTGTGAAGAGTGGAATCATGGTATTCCTAGGATCAATAGCAAAAAGAAAACAAATTCCCTCCATTTTGTAATCCAAGATTGCTCACCATGTGGCTGTGACAAAGTCTTCATATTGAATCTGCCGATCCACATCCGTGATCACCAATCCATTCTGCTACCTGGGTAATCATCTCCATAGGTGGGAATTCAAGGTAAGATATAGCTGGTGAGGAAGAGGCGACAGAGCGGTTACTGCTCGCCATCTGTTACTCGGCGGCCATGCTTTCTTCTTCCTGGACTCTCTCAGGGCAGATACCAGGTCATTGTTTCTACTATACTTGGCTTTCCTTCTGTGGATGGATGCTTGCTCTTCGTCAAACACCACGTGGGCGGCATATGAAGATTCCTAGTCAATATGTTATGATGAAATGTTATTATAGGCTATAGACTATTGGATCTTTACTGAGATAAGGCCAATTGCTCTGGAAGGACGTCAACTTTACATTATTGTGCCAGGACTCGTGCAGAGTATCGAAACTCTGAGCAACTGGTACATTTGTTTCAACCGGAAAAAGTTGAAGAGGGGTCTCGGGCTCGATGATACAGCCACTTTCTTGAATACTCCTCGAGGTTTTTTATTCCATCATCCGTGCCTTGGCTCTCTTCACTCCCTTCGAGACAGAACACATCTATAAGCTCTTGGAAGTTCACCTCGGGAGATCTAACACAAATACAACGTCTTGAGATGCGTGCATTCCTTCCCCCTTCTCTACCGTGCAGAAGTCTCTCATGGGTAAGGCTGTCGAGAGCAAATTCGCCTCGATGCAGAATGTCATTCAGCTTGGAAGGTTTAGCCAAAGGACGCCTCAACATCAACTTTCTCCAAACCCCTCGCCGAACCGTTGTGGTCATCACGAACGCTCCTATCATGATTCAGAGATCGAGCCTCTCGAGGAGCTGAACGTCAGGGATCTCGTTACGACAAGCAGCGAAGGGCGGTTCAACATCGAATCACAGGTCAAAGTGAATTAGTCAAATCTTGCAAGAACTCGCAGAAGGATATGAAGATTATTCCGGTTTCGCTATCATCCCATCCCACAGGATGAACTGCGAACATATAACAAGGAGAAGAAGAAGAAGAAGCTTACAGTTGCGGGCGTTGAATTGGGAAATGACAACCTCATCATTACGCGTGTCACCGGGTGAACAGGGGATGGACCAAAGTGACGAGTCCAAATAGGAACCTGCATTTGCACCGGATATGATTTGTTTTGCTGGATGCAGCCTCTGATTCGGGACTGGCTGTGAAGGGTCTTGTTTGTGATATCATCAGCTGCATTCACAGGTTGCGGGCAAATGCCAACCTGACGCATGCAGATGATGTGCTATTCACATCAATACACTCTGCTCAACAGACTTGAGGATATCGACGTTGGAAGTCTTGCGACATCGCAAGAAGTCCTCTTTGTGCAGGCCCTCGGTGGACCATTGGGACCTTCCCAGAAGACCACAAGCGACCGTCTCATTGTAGAAGAGGGACCAGACGCTTGTGATTCTGACCCTGCCATTGCGGTCAGTAAACATAGCTTGATTGTGTCTCGGGTAGAGAGAATGAGCAAAGTCGAGGTTCTTCTGCCAGTCATCTCATATGCGAGCACTGTTTCAAGCCGAAAATAGACCGGCCTGCAACGAGGGCATCTCCACTGACGGACGACAGGTGTCAAAGACTGAAATATATATGCATCGTCCGTTTTCCCGCTTGGATGAGGCTCAATTCGCATATTAAAGTGGTCAATAGTGGGGACTTGTTTCAACATGGTATTGTTTATGTGAAGTTATATGTATCTATATATATTCATATTTATAGGGGGACGGGGTGGGCCTTCACTCATGCTGCGGCTCCAATTGTACGTGGCCCACCCATCAAGCTGAGACACGTGAATTTAACAACACAGCTATGTATCTTTCATGTTCGCCGTTACGAAACAATTCACCAGGGCTTTCAACAGCAGAATTACGGGGACTTTACATGGATAAACAAAATTATTCAAAGGGGGAGAGTGATGAACATTCCTCGTCTTTGGTATTGCACGGAAGTGACCTTGTCGACGAGTTTCGTTATTTCCAAGCCTGACCATGTTACGTCAGGAGAACATTTCATCGCAACACTGTCGTCATCAGCCGCAAGACAGTCGAGTTTGAATGTTTGACAAATATCCCAAATTTCTTAGCTTTTTGGACAAGTCCTAAAAAAGACGAAAAGCTCCCGATTTGTCAGGGACAAATCAGTACGTCGGATCGAGAAACCACAAGGTCTGGACTCAGACCGCAAGCGGACGGGCCCGGCCTTGCTAAAAACCTATTACACCATTTGCCACTGTACTAAGGGAAGGGCCAGGCACGTCGGGGCCGGAGGTGAGTTTTTTCTCGAGATAAAGTCCGGACGGGACGGGACCCTTCACAAGACGAAAGAAGGAAAAAAAATAAAAAAAATGAAAGAAAAATTTAGTGGCAAGGGCCCCCGGGATTGCGTCACATGCTATTCGGAAAGAGAAAGCGAGAGCGCGAGGTGAGGGTCGATCAGGGATCTCGTTCTGCTGGGGATACCTTGGCTTCGACGGCCAGGTCCCGGGGATTCGGACAGGTGGGGGCTTACCGAGATCGATTTACTGCTACGGATGGCCTGTGTCGTATTGTATGTACTATAGTATGTACAATGTCCCTGGTAGGGTGTTCTGTCGGTCATCATGTCAGCTCTAAACCAGGGCGTAGGGCTCGTCGGCGCGGAGGTAGGGTGTAGGATGGAATTAGGCGAGGGAGAATGGAGGAGGATAAGGCCACCATATCGCCGAAATACCCATCCATACTCGCGTATCAGAGGAACTTTGTTGACCAACATCTCCTGATGTTTGGGCATCTCGCTCGCTTGACTTAAGGGGGAACCTTGTTGGCGTGATCTGGGCTGATCTCCAGGCAAGCGAGCAGCAACAGCAGCAGCAACAACACGACGCTCACAGTTCGTAGCTCGCACTCGGGACCACTTACGGCAACGGAACCGTCGGTGACATGTCGGCGCTCAGCCAAGACGAGTCGGGCGACGCAGCCCCCCCTCTTCAGCCACCCCTTGCCGCGGCACTTACGGGACTTACGGCACTTACGACAGCACACGATAATTCAACGCGACCATGGTGAGCAACAGATACAGGCTCTCGGCTGGTGTATTTTAACCAAAGATGGCAAGGGTTTTGGCGAGGTAATTCGAACCTTATTGTGATCTAACATAGGTAGAATTGTGGGTCCCCCTCATGCAGTCAGGCCACGGGAAAACACGAGGCAGTGAAGGGAGGGGGGGATGTTTTACCTTTAGTAGCAGGGCGACACGTAACTACCATAAGTTTCTATGAGAAAATGTAAGACGGCCTATCTCTCAAGCGAATTGACTTCTCATCTGACTTTTGACAGCGGGTTTGTCCGCCGAGACGTCCCGCGCAGGAAGAGGACAGCAAGATGATCTTCAGTCCGGGCTGTCATGATTACGACGCTCGATGCACATTCCTCGGTGGCCAATTTAGGGTGACTGGTTGGCTACTCAAGATGTGGGATGAAAGGAAGCACCGGAGAAGAAGTAATAAAAAATCAAAATAAAGAAAGGGGCTGAGGGTAAGCCCAAAAGGTGCATTGAGCATCTGGTCCAAGAGATGGAACATCATCATTTGTCTGGGCTTCGCATGAATGTGTCATCCGGGGTCGGTCTTGGCTTGAGAAAAAACGGCGGCCCGTGGCCTCCAAGTCGCACCGCTTCCTCGTTACGGCCGTCCACTAGGGAGCCAGTCCATCATTCTGAGCAGTATACGAAGACGCACTTTGCTATTCCAGTGCCCGCCAAGAAGGACGGTAACACGTTGTCGCACAGCAAACAAGCTCTCAGGTGTTGGCTATCTGCCTTCTCCTTGAGCGAGTGTCACGTTGCTTTTCTGACAAGTGGGCGGGGCGGTAAGAAGTCTATCCTGAAGCGGGCGGCCAGCGGTCTGGCTGGGTGGCTTGCTGGGTAAGAGATGGCGAGATGCAGTAAAGGTACTTGCTATAGTAAGCGTTCTGCCTGCTCCTGCTGCTACTGTTGCTGCTAACGGGCGGGGAGGTGCGTTTTCATTGGTGACTGACGACAACCCTAACCCCTTCCTCAATACCACTCCAACTGCACATGAAAGTCTCGAACAGACCCTCACAGCAATACCTGGATTTCATTCTCAGGGAAGAACAAAATCCATTTGGTAGTAGTCAGACACATGGATTTGTGATCATGTAAAGCTGTTATAGCCAATGACGACGGCAAAAGCACGGGCCCTCGTCACAGACCTCATGATGGCATAATCGAAGTAATACTGTAGTAGATGGCATCAGCCCTATGAGTGGGGCCCCATATCTCATCGACAGAAAAAAGGTCCGTGGTGGGAAAGCTCGGGCGCTCCAGCGAGCACTGCGCGATCGCATCGCTGCTGACATGCTTATTGCTACTAGCAGGAAAGGGGCAGCCACTGCCGGGGAAGGTGCAGTGTAGTACAGTACATGCAGATTACATGTTCATGGTACTTTTTCTTCTTCTTTCTTTTTCGTTCAATGTCAAGTCGATCAATCAGCTAGCTTCTTCTGCATAATGTCGTTGGGTCCGGCGTCCTTATCGTCAATGGCATCGTTCCCCTTCTCCCAAATCCCGACACATCCGCCCGACCTGAGCCGATATTCCGCAATAACCGTAGGTCACCCGCAGAATATCCAAGTCTGGACTTCTCAATTAAATGGCTCTGTCGGCAGGGTTTGCTTTGATTTGAGCGAGTGCTTTTTCGACCTCCGACCCCCAGCTTCGGAGGCTGTTGGATAGGGATTCGGCAAATCATGCTGAACCCGAAGCCGATGTTACACCTTGATGGACGGACTTGAGGAACCAGGTGGGTTCAGGAATAAGGATGGCTGTGTGCTTTGGTGCGTGTGCTTACGGGCGCCAAGGGAACGTATGTAGTGACTACTGCGAAGGAAACTACAGTAAGATTTTCTCCCTTGCTGCCTTGTTGAAGCCTACTGTTGACCCCAAATGGTCGTGTGATGACGGGCCGTCTGGAGAGCCCGCTCGGGAACTTGTGGCTTGTGATGGTGCATCCTGCGGAGGAATTGTATACCCATTCTCCTTGTGCTTGCGTATTGCATGTCATAAGCCTCACCTTTTTTTGAGAGGATGAGAACAAGAAAAAAAGAAGAAAAAAAGGAAGGGTAAAAATTGGCGTTGGTGGGCCATGCATATTGTTTAGGTGGGCGGAGCCAAAATGTGAGGCAGTACTTGTGACTGACTGACTGACTGCAATTTTAATCATGCCCCGGCCTATTTTCGTGATGCCATGCATGGGACTATGCTATGCCAGTCACCTGACAGAAGAAGAGGAGAGGAGAGGGGGGAGATCGTCAAGAGCTTGTCTCGCATGGGCGCAGAAATCAGAAATTGACATTGCGCACAGGCCAGAGGCGAAGCTTGGCTGGTCATTTCTTTTCACCATGTTATCGTTGGTCTCGATTGGGCAGTGGGGGGAACAGGAGATTCTCGACCTCGCGCTGAACGCGTAGTTTTGCAAAACTTCCGCGATCACTCTCTCTCTTGTGAGGCAGCTCGGGCGACATCCGTGGCTGGGCATCAATTAGCCAGTGCCCCAGTCATTCAATCGACCATGTAACGAGGTACTACTATGGTATGGTACTGTCTCGACATAGTATGGTACCTTGTAGTACGAGTTCTATGTACTATCTCATGGTAGTAGCATGTGAAGAACAGCAGTGGCCTGTTGACTGGCCAGCAGCGACACAAGATGCCACGCCTGCTAAGGAAAGGGACCGAGCAGGGTCTGATCTGTTTTGTTTTGTGTTACATTTTGGGATGGATCATGAACAAGAAGGAATAACGGTCAGGAGTCAGCCTCCAGACCAAACCCCTCCCTCCTGTAGGCCAACGAAGTCGGTGTCTGGGGGTATGAAATCTGCAATGCGCTGCCACGTCTGTCATCAAGATGGGTGGAGGGGGAGGGGAAGAAAACAAAATTACATGGTTAAAAAATATGAATACAGTACATATGCAAATTCGAGTTTTAGCATGGCGGGCGGTAAAGGTTGTGGGGCTACAAGATGCAGAAAAGAAAACATCCCAGACCCTGTGCGAGATCGCGGTGAGTGTGCATGTGTGAGTGGGGACAGGAGGGGAGGAAAAACTCTGGTCAGAGCTTTTTTCCCTTTCCTTTATTGTAATGCTATAGCATTGTAGAGGATTTTGCTCAGACTTGTTCATGCGAAAGCGAAAAGCAGAGAAGGTTGCAGTAGGATGTGATAAGGCATGGTCTGTCGGGTCCGTGTGTGTGGCGCATCGGGTACGAACGGACAATGTTTTCGGGACGGTCGTGGGAGAGGGCCAAGGAAGGATGCGCCATGTGCAGTGCAAGCTGTTTGTTTACCTGCAGCGGCAGTGCGGTTGAAGCGCAGTGCCAGTTGCAGAAAGGCAGATCTCACATGACTGATGTACCACAGTACATAGAGTACGTACTTATGGTACGTATCCTTTGGGGGTGGGGGAGAAGGTTGTTCTTTGGTTGTTGTTGCTCCTGTAACTACTGTAAAAGCTGTGCTGTATGCCTGCCCAAGGGGTTGGTCGGCTTTGGGCCTTGGCCTTGTGTTCGAGGATCTGTCGGTGAAAGGGCGGGGATTGGCGTTTTGGTACTTACTTATGCCTGCTGCCTTAAAACTAACAGGGCTCATTCATAGGCGGGCGTACGCATGTATCAGCGATGCTGCAAGCAACAGGCAGCCTTAAAAACTAAACAAACAAACATCTCTAGTGCTTTGGCTCCCAAAAGGAACCACATAGATCAAACAGTATGTGCATATGGGACAAATGACCATGACTAATTACAGTTATGGTGTGTGGGGGACTTATTCATAAGAGCTGCACATCGTGAAGGTTCTGCGATACTGCATTGATTATGAATCACAGGGCGTGTTCAGTGTTACAGCTCGTTGCGGATTAATCATGGACCTTTATGGGTGGTTGCTTGGCAATTAATTCCGTGTCCCCAAGGAAACAAAGGTTCGAAATTGGTAATCAGTCAAATTTAGTTATTCAATTCATGCCCGCACAGGAAATGAAGGATGGATTGCATCAGCCACACCAAGTCTCCCAAAAAAATAATATGGAACGTTTCTTAAATCCGTAACGATTAGAAAACATGTATCCAACTAATGGGGGATGATGACTGGGTTGCCTGACCGCCTGCGGACTTTGGGCTGTGTAAGGTTGCTGCTAGGTATCACCACTAAACGCCGAACCGTGAGCCATAGACATAACGCAACTTCATCACCATCACACAGACGCTGCAGGACCTAAGGCTGCAGTAGGGTAATGAATGCCCAGGCTGTGCACTGCCGCCAAGATCAGGATTTGGGAGGGGGGAAACGAATGGTTGCGTCGTATTGCGGTGCTGAGAGGCCGTATCCGTGTCCACGTCGCTGTCGACTCATCGTGAGCAAGCTTAGAGAACTACTATACGCGTATGACATGACGACTTGGTAAACTCTTTAAAACACACTCACGGGTGGTTGGGCGCAGGCTATGCTATGCGAGAGCGACGTCCCGGGTGGCCGGAGACATCTCGCGCAATTTCATCGAGTATGAATCATCGGCAAGATGCCGCGCCAAGGAGTCGATCGTTTGGATTGATGAACCATCAGTGATGAGCCATCAGATCTGCCAGGACAGGGCGCTGTTGCTTACCGAGAAGGCCTTCGGATTGGTAAGGTATCCGAGCCTTTTGCTTTCAGATCTGGCCGGCTAGTGCTAGTTACTGTTTAGTGCTACAAATGTTAGTAGCACCAACCATAGTGGCTGGTGCTTGTTCTGGGCTTACCGGACGGGATTCGGCCTTGGGGGGTGGGAGAGAGAGAAAGAGAAAGCGAGAGCGTATGTGAACAGTAACAGGCCGGGGCGGGCGTACCGTAAAGACCGGGATTCAGTACGCCCAACACAAGGCAATTGATTGCAATGCGGGAAAGAGAGAGACACGCATGCATGCATGTACTTATTTGTCTTACGACCATAGGCAATTGGCAGATACGACTTTTGCGAGACACTTACCGCCCTGTCTCCAGAGATCTAAGCCTCACGCGAGGGATTCGAGGATTCGTGGCAGTCTGTCGTGCCCCTCCTCTGTTTGTTTTGTCCTTTCGCTCTCGTTTCCGACCCGACGACGGTGAAGCAAGTCTGAGGGCTGAGCTGAAGCATGGCCCTAGGAGAAGGCAGACACGCTGTACAGGTCCTGTAGCGTTAGCGAGGGAGATAAAACCGTAGACAAAGTACCCCTGCCATAGTAAACGAGTGGACGTGGTACTCCCCTTACGACCGGCCGGGGCCAACTCAAAACCCCGAAGGGACAGCTCAGTCATCCCGAGTCACAGCTTCAGAAAGCCTTCCTCCCGCTAACTTCGGTTTGTAAGCCCCCCCTGCCGTCCCCAATTGCGCGCGCCCTGACCGCAAGATATCCCAGCACACACAGGCCTGGGCAAGAGATCCCTGGGAAATCCACTACTTGCTTGTACCTCCGTACCGCTGCACTGCTGTGTTGTACACGCTTCTTGGCCCCGTGGACACCCATGGGCGCCCATGGATCTACCAGTTTGCACCACCCCTGCAAGGATGCTGAATGCTCCGCTGACTGCGAATTTCCAACGACGAAGGCCGAGTTGGACCCCGTGGGCCGCTGGACCCGACCCACGGCTCCGAAGAGGGAGAAAGAAAAAACAGACTTGAGAAAAGGTACTTACAAGGGCCCTGTCACGACCTACTTACTAGTTCTACCCGCATACAAACGAGAAAAAGACGGTCAGCTGCGATCGTTGATAAAAGAATCGTGTCTCCCCTCCGGTCCCGATCACAGACCGCTCACTCTGATCTGATCTCCTCTTCACACACAAAACAAATGCTCCATCTCTTAACTTTACCAAACCAACCTTTTTTACTACACACACAGTTCAGTCTTCACTTTGACTACTCCATTTGAATAGTCGACCCAACAATACATGCGGCAGACCCAACCTCATCTCCCGCCATAATAGTAGCTGTCCCACGGTGACTCTTCACCTACTACTACTACTACACCAACAAACAACCCCTGCAAGCCACCCACTTATTGGATCCGCAAACGCACCCAAGTTAAGCGTCTGCCTTGAGTCACCAAACAACGAGATTACTACGACCACTCCGCATAAAAGAAAACACTTTCTCCTAGTTTTTTCTTTCCCTCCTCTCAAAATGTCGAATACTTTTACTACCACATCATCACCAACGGCCTCATCAGTCTACGCCTCCCCCCTCTCTCCCTTCAAGAAGCAGAAGATGTCCATCACGCAGACATACTACCTGGCCCACAAGGCCAGGGCCAAGCTCTCCCACGAGGCTGCCATGCCTGACCACAACCTTCGTCTGCTCGTCGGCCACGCCAACCTCCTCGACAGCCTGATGCTCGAGCTTGCGGACGCCGAGAGGGAGCAGGAGTCCTGGTTCAACAACTCCGTCCGCAGCGCCTCCCAAACCGAGAAGCAAACCTCCTCGCCTCTCTCCAACGAGAGCAGACACATCCAGTGGGCCGACTCCATCCCAGAGGAGGAAGAGGAGGACGAGGACGACTACGACTCCTCTTCAGATGACGACAGCGACATCTCAGAGGACGAGGAGGATGAGGACGTCGAGATGGCCGATGTCGTCTCCCTGCGTCGGGTGCCTTCCCACCATCACAACAAATCAGCACCCTTCAGCCCCAAGATGGAGGTGGTCGAGATCGACATGGAGGATTTTGAGGACGACGATACATATGAGGATGAGGACTATGCTGGTCTCGCCCTCGTTCGCTCACCCTCACATCATTCCGCCGCCTCACCACCTGAGCTGGAACAAGATATGGACGAGTCCTCAGAAGACGAGTCAATGCCGCCCTCACCGCCCACTGCACTGCTGCCCACCTTCAACGAGAAGCAGCAGCAACCACACAACCAGCAACAACAACAGCAGAAGATCTCACCAGAAGAAGACGACGACGCAGATCTCTACGATGACTCAATACACTACATGCCTGCAGCTCGCAACACAGCGAGGCTGGTGAGCGCGATCTCGGTTTACTAGACTGGGCACCGCCACAAACATTCACCGCCTGCATCTTTTTTTTACCGCTGCATCAGCGCTCATAATTCGGCATCACGTGTATTTTACGGTCTAGCGATTTGACGACTTCATCTCTCGATACCTCTTCTGCATAGCATTGGCGTTGGTTTTTTTATTATTATCATTATTATCATTCATCTATGATCATGGAAACAAGCGAGGGGTGACCTCGAAGGCAAAGGGAAACGGGGCACAAATGTCACCACTCAAGGGAGGAACACTGGAACAGGCGACCCCGCGGAGGGGTTGGCTGGATTGGCAGATGATCGGCTATCTCGCTCACACATACCCCCAGTCTCATCTGGCTGCAGGTCATGGAGCAATGATAGGGTCGAGATACCAAACAAATAACACAAATCCTAAATCTCAAATACATAATCCGTCCCAACAAAAAGAAACTGTTCATCTTTGCGTGCATTTGTTGATTATTCAATCCTGTTTGTGATATGCTCATAATCTGAACCCTACTAAACAACTGCCAGATTTGCGTGTTGCCGTACGACGACGAACGACAAACGACAGCGACGCCGATCACAAGCAAGAGACTGGGGGAAAACGACAGCAATTGCGTCAACACCCATGTGGGGGCCGAGCTCGGAGGGGGCAGTATGATTATTCGAACAACGCACACATGCGGCGAACGCACACACGCACACACACACATACGCCTTGTGGCTTTGTCATTGTCCAGCCCAACATGCAACCCGGCAGAACCCTGCCTCGGCCTCTCGCGTTCTTCTCGCATACCCCAGATTATTTTGAAATTTATTTATTTTGAATTTTTCTCTTAACCTTCGTCATCGAAACCGAGTCTGGAAATCTACCTCGGTCTCGCTTGTTTGTCTCCTCTGTGCTACCTAGTAAAGTCCTCGGTCTTCTCGCCACATGATGCCGTTTTTACTCTCTTTCGATCTCGCAGATCTCATTTTGGTCAGGAACTGGTCGGCAGCATGTGCGCGAGTGCGAGACGAACGGGTCGTCTATCCAGCAGTCAGGATCGCACTCTTAGCCATTGGCCCCGCACCCTCCTTTGGCCCCCGCGGCCAAAAAACCAAGCATCCTTCCAACGTCCATTTTAAAGTTTCCGGTGTCAGTGTACCATAGTGATGTGTGTTGTGCCCAAAAGGCCGAATACATCCGTCCGAGTCCGACGGCATGAGCCTTGCCAGCTTGCCAGGGGCCCCCAACGGATTTTAGACTTGCGATTTGGTATTATAGAGAAAAAAAAAACAGGATCAAGACCACTATGGTACGTAGTACTACGTCTACTGTAACGGATATGAGCATGGGTATTCTGCTTTTTAATCAGCAACCATTAGAAAGAGCGGATGATTCATCAGCCATCAAATCCACAGGCACAGGATTGGGAGATTTTGCTGAGAAATTGAAAATCGCCCCTTCCCAGCCTATACGCGAATACATGATAATCGCACACAATACCTGACGTGCTTGAGCACGCGAACATTGAGACGCTCTCTAGAATCCTGATCGTCGCTTCTTTAGCGGCCATTTCTTCCTAGGGGCTGCTGTGTGTATGCTGTGCGTTGGCCCAAGTACAGTACTTTTGTGAGTGGGCTGGAAAAACTCTGGTGTGATGTTTCGTTTCACGATTATGCATAATTTGTTGGGTTTGATGGCTGGGGGAACGCAAGGAGGGGGGAAAAAAAACCAACAAAAAACCACAAAAAACCACACACTTGCATTTACGTGCGTAGTGAACCTTTTACCGCGCCTCAGCCGCGGCAAGCGATTCGTTAGGCTTGAACAAGTAGGGAGTAAATATGTTTGGAGGGGGGACAAGTAGGCAAGACCGTCGTCACGGCCAGCAGGCCCAGGTCAGTTGCGTTCGCTGGTCATGCCGACAGGCCAGTGCGGCGCTCCGACCCTGAGAACCTGCTATCGGCCGCGAATCAAACACGACACGAGACAAGAGGCACCATAGGACGTTTATGATCATTACTATCCTAGGACATGGCCTACTCGATGATATCTTTTGATTCTTGTCTTTTCTTTCCTTTTCAATTTTCCGTCTTAGGTCACCGCGCATGCACACATGTATGAACACACTTGACACACTTCAAACTCGACTCATGATCTCGCAAAAAAGGAAACCAATAGGGATGGTGATCATCGTCCTAGACGAGGCCACCGCTGTTTAATAGCCTGCCGATACAACTCGGCTACCTAAAGGCGGAAGAAAGGATGAGAGAATGAAAAGATGAAAAATCTTCACATGACGATACTATCCCCCAAAAGAATGTCTACTCGTCACCACAGGCTACTTCGTAACCGCCTTTTCTTGTTTTGCCTGCCCCTTGGCGTTAAATTGCGTGAGGTGTGTAATGGGCTGGGATGACTGGCTGGCAGGCTGGCTGGCTCTTGTCATTGGGCCGTGGTAATTGTTCGGCTGTTTCATGAAAACTGCACCAGACAGCGCTGGCCTGCAGCTGCTGCAGCTGCAGGAGAGGGGGGTAGGGGGGGGGGGCCACGAGCTTATCTCGCAGATAGATGATGACGGCGCAGATGGCCCTGTAGTAGTCGGTCGCCTGGCTCGGAAGACGGGTCGGCCGGTCGAGAGGGGGAGGGGATTGGGCTTTGTCGCAAGCACACCATCATCTCTATTTCTCACACACCTCTCGTCCCCGTCTCTCTTGTATTGGGCATTGAAGGAATGAACTACGTCTCGGATTTGTGTGCACCTAAGAAATACTCCAGCCCCCAAGTCATCCTGTTCATCCCTTAGGGAGAGCTGTAGGCGACAGGCAATGCCTGGTCGGGCGATCGCAGGCACGATGTCTGCATGCATGTACTGCACTGTACCAGGTACGCATATGCAGTCCAGCCCGACCCGACCCGATTTCCATCGACACAAGGCATTTCAGATGAGCCCAGCAAGTGGGGTATGACTCGCTTCCGAGGGGTGAAGAAGAAAGAAGAAAACAGAAGATCTTTTTCCCATTTCAATACTGAATGTTGAAGGGTTAGCTGAGATCTGCCAGAGTATCTTATCTACAGTAGGCGTACAAGGCAGATCACGCGCCCGTTGTCACCGGGGCGCTCGTCCGAGACAGCAGGTTTCCGGGGCCGACGCCGCTCGCTGCCGTCTGACCGCCCGAGTGGGTGTGGTGGGGGTACACTTAGAAATTCTGTGTGTGTGTTGTGTGTATGGGCAGCGATTCTGCACAGCTGACTATTGCAGGCTTGAGGCGCGCGATTGTGAATCGAGTGAGAAAGACACAAGACAGCTAGCACCTGTCGTCTCGTTGCTATGGCACACCATTCCTGATGCCGGCCCACATCTCTGCGTCTATACATGCATCCATTTCACAGCGCCACGACAGATACTGGACTCTCAACGGTCGTATCGCCTGCGGCGGCGACGCGGTGAACGGCCTATGGTACAGTATAGTGCCATGGTAGTACCAGCATCTGCCCGCCCTGCCCACAGCTCCCCTCCAGATGGGTCGTTTGATGGCACCAGCCTGAGGGGACCTGGGATGCGGTGAAGGGGCTGCAGCTAAGTGGGAGTCTGCTCGTCGTAAGTTGCAACTGCTAATGCACGCAAGAAGGCGGTCGGCTCCTCTTGCCTGCCCAGATCTGACTTGGGGTGGCGGGCGGCCCCACACACTGCAAACTATAGATGTGGGTGGGCACAAGCCATTGCGTGTCCTCTCTGCCAGTGTGTAGTGTTCCATCTACTGGAACTCACCGTCGCAAGAGCACTCCATTCCTTCTCTGCATCCCTGGGAGGTGAGCCAGAACCGTTTGGAGGGGGGGGGGGGGGCAAAGGGTTCGGGAGGAACGCTTCCGAGGTCGGCTGCCAACCTGTTGTTGTTGTTGTTGTTGTCGTCGTCGTCGTCGTCGTTGTCGTTGCCATTGTCACTTGTTTCGTGACGAGGGTTTCACCCCTCCTCGCTATCGTGTCGTCGTCGTGTCGTGTCGTGTCGCCGTCGCCGTGGCCGAGTTACGACGGGAGGCCTCCTCCTTCGCGCCCCTCATTCCCCTTGCCAGCGAATAGATACAGCGAGAGTGGGAGAGAGAGAGGGAGGGGATGACAGAGCTAGTCATCAACTGGTCCAAGTGACTAGTCAACAAATTCATGGATGAAGAACAACAGAGACTGCAGACGGGACCCCACAACCGTATCTCATCGGCCGCTTCGAAGAGGAGGGGATCTGGTCAAGATGGCGATTTGCGGGGATGGATGTGCGAATTGGGGGCACACAGCGGTCCGTCCGTTGCGTCTCTCCCTTGTGCTTGCAGGTTGGGATGCAGATGTGGATAGTAGGTGTGGATTGTGGATGTGGAGGGGAGGAGGGTAGGGAGGCTGGGCCTGGGGTGTTTGCATGTGTGCACGGTGGCACAACAAGAAACCACAACCACTCACAACCAAGGTGGATCTCATCCACCCCAGGGTACAACTCACTTCTCCGCCTTCCCGCATGTGAGAGGTGATGCGGCTCCCTCGGTGAAGACCGAATGGCATTTGCTCGCGTGATGCGGCTGGACTGGCCGGCGCAATGAGATGGAGACCCTGCTCCTCCTTCTTCTCCTCCTCGCCCATCAGCCCACCCTCGATACGATGAGGGGGAGAAGGGGGATGAGTGAGGTCCAAGCTCCCTCTCAGTATCTCAGATCCAAATGCTCCGGTGCAGGGTGGTACCGTGCAAGCAAGAGGAAGGTCTTTGCATCTGCATGTGCCCAGTTTTGATCTGTGCAGGACTCGGTGCAAAGGGTTGGACGGACGGAGGGGGGATTTCGGAGGGATCCACCTTTTCTTCGGACGACGTCGATCGGCGGCGGTGGTCATGAGAAGCCGGTTCTGTCTGCGGCACGGGCACGGACACGGACACGGACTCTGCTCAGGTGGTTGCAACTTGCATTGTGTATATTTATATGCCATAGCAGCTCGTTGTGCAATGCTGTGACACCTGATTCCGAGGTGAAGACCTGCGCTCACTGGCACGTTCTCTCTTCGTTGGGTTCGACGTGTCAGTCGCGTATCGGCGACAAAGATGCTAACTATCTGGAGGTTCCTAAATCGAAGATGATCCGAATACTAATAAGGAGTTACAGTCAAGACAGAATAACGGTGCAGTGCCCCAAGGAATATGTAGGATTGTATACGTTACCGTTCGTGGACTTACCATTGCTGGTGATTTCTCCTCGGAGCTGTGAAAAAATGTGGAAGTCAAGTATATCCTGAAACTCGACAGCCTCGTCTGAGGCCACTCACGATGAGGCTATAGTTGAGAATCACAGAAGACAGTGGCGGTCTCCAGCCGTACAGGGATAGTAATTTGCCTGAGTGACTCTGTCGTTCTATGAGCCCGCTGCGGGCGGGTGGATGAATGGATGCTGGTGGTTCGGTGTTTACTATTAGGGGGGGAAGATCTATTCAGAAGGTGCGCCGTAGAAAGATAGAAGGAAGGAAAGGTCAGTCACGCAGGCTAGGATGGTTGAAGCTATCTAGGAAGGGCAGGTGCGTGTCAACCCCTCGCATACTTACTCTAAGCACTTAAGTCAAGTAGTCATCACGAGGCTGTTTCTTACCTGCACTCTCCATTTATATCTTCATATCCTGGTGCGTTTGGGGAAAAGCGGAACCCTGGCATGGGAGCCAGGCCTCTCTCTTTGCTGATAAAGTTTAATTAGAGATGTTATTGCCCTCCCCCTCCCAAGCAGCGCCCTCAACTCCTTTTTTTTTTTTTTTTTTTTTTTTTTTACCGGCAACAACTAAACTGTACAGAGTCATTACTTTCTTCTAGCCCTGGACACCGCGCCGACTGCAGCATGGCGTCTGGTTGGATGTGGTTGTCGCCTGATTCGGACTCGGATGAAGACGGGGTTGTGAAATACAGTCCCGTCCACCTGCCTGGTGGGCTCGTGGTCTGCTATCGCCATCTTCGGGTCATCTGCTCCCATTGCTGCGTTGACTACAGCCTGACACGCCACGAAGACGACAAAGAAGAGGAGGAGGAGGAGGAGGAGGAGGACGACGACGACGACAACGATGATGACAAAGACGAAGGTGAAAATGGCGACGACGATGGCATTGAGATCCTGAACAAGGGTCGAGGAGAATCGCCCAGGCTGCCGCAGGCTCCCGCCTCCTCCGCGCCTCAACCCACGATCCACCTCCGTGGACCCATGGTCCTAGGACCCGTGCTACCTAGCCACTGGCTTACCGAGACGTCTCCGCCTCCCCCGACCGCGCCGCCCCTCAATCTCGTCCGTGGCACAGGCCGGGTGATTCCCAAGAGGTTCAAGGGCGGCGATCTAGACCACTTCAGCTCGCGTCTCGAAATGAGCAACGCCAACATCCGCTACCGAGACAGCCGCGACCCGCAACGCATGCTCATTTACACCGACGGCGCGTGCCTGAACAACGGACAGGCGGACCCCCGCGGGGGCTGGGCGTTCGATTGCTCATCCGTCGTTGTGCAGGGCCGGCTCGAGCGCCGGGGGCCCTGGGCTGGGCGCAAGGAGGAGGCAGTGACGGCGCAGACGAGCAACAGAGCGGAGCTGCGCGCCGTCGTGGCCGCGCTTCGGTACTGCGACTGGGCTCAGGGGGGCAGGTTCACCAGCTTGGTGATTGCGACGGACAGCGAGTATGTCGTGCAGGGAGCCACGTCGTGGGTAAAGGGCTGGCTGCGGAACGGATGGCAGACGAGGGGCGGGGGGGATGTCAAGAACAGGGACCTGTGGGAGTGCCTGCTCGGGGAGGTCGAGAAGGCGAGCGACCGTGGCTTGAAGGTCGAGTTTTGGCGGATCCCCAGGGACGAGAACACGGTGGCAGATGAGGCAGCCAAGAAGGCTGCCGAAGGACCTGCCCCGGAATATTTCCGCAACGTTGTGGTTTCGTGATTGTGCTCGAGGGAGCCCGTCACGATCTGGCAAGGCTTCAGAACTAATCGACGAGGTCGAACCCCCTTTGGTACATCATGATGTTTTGTCCCGTGCAGTTTGGGAAAATCTGTACTATTGTTGTGGTCATCTGACTAGAATCCACTTGAAAGCCTGTCCTGGCATCTAGTGTTTGCTATCGCGCCCATGTCTCTGTGGCAAATCCTCATCAACGGCATACTCATACGGGTTCTCCTCCGAGCTCTCCCGATCGCCGTTGTGCACAACATGCCCGTCAATCGCCTTCTCGTCGCCGCTCCCGCTGGAAACCGCCGTCTGGTTGCCACTCTCGTCCTTGACCGCCTCGTCCGCACCACCACCACCATCACCGTCACCACGGCCCTTCTCCGCCTTGTCCGCAGGGTCATTTGTCTTCTTGGGGGCGGTAGGGGCGAAGCGGCTTCGGACGCGGATGCCCTCGCCGTACCGATGAAACAGAAAAGGAATGAGGGCGAGCAGCGCGCCCACGCCACCGATGAGCGAGCCGCCAGGCCCAACGCCGAGGGTGGAGAACATCTGGTTCGTGAAGAGGGGTGCTACGGCTCCGACGGCGGATCTCACCACCGTGTTTGCTGCAATGGCGCTGGCGGCATAAAGGAGATACGTATCGACGAGGTCTGGCATGAGGAGAGTCAGGTCAGTATCTATTTCTTCTTCTTCTTTTCCTTTCTTTTGACCCATCAAGCCCCCTAGCGACGGGATATGCAACGGTATTCAAGACCCAGCAGGTGAACTCACAATTTATGAACGACACAGAAATGGTCAGCATAGCCGCGGCCAAGAGGACGCCCGCAAGGGTCGGGACGATCCAGTGAACGTAGTTGAAGTTGGCAGACCAGGCGAACCAGAACATGGCCAGGGCGAGCGCCGGTCCGCCGAACATGGCGGTGCGCAGCCGGTCCTCGGGCCTGAGCTCTCTGCCCCAACCGGCTTTCTTGTTCTGGTAGCGCGAATCCAAAAATACAATCAGCGCACCCAGCGCCGCGCCGACAATGAGCCCCAGGAGAGGTAGCTCGCCCACGCCTGCGTTCCAGCCGCGGTGTTCCTCGAAGACGATGGCTGTGGTTTGAGGTCAGTACTGAGTTGGGAAGAAGAAAAAGAGGAAAACGGAGAAAAATAAAGAGAACTCACGGTAGATGGCAAAGAGCATGTACAGCAGCAGGTATATCATACACATGTAAATGGCACACAGCAGCGATATGGTGTCGAGCAGGATAATCCAAGGCCTCGTCAGGGCAACCTTGTAAATGCTCAGCAACGAACGGCTGGTCACCTCGATGGGCGCCCTGATGTCCTCGAAGCCCGGCACCCGCGCCGCCCTGATCCTCTTGGCCTTGTAGTACAAGATCACCGGCCCATAAGTCTCGGGGATGGTAATTAGGAAAATCGCCGTGAATCCGCCCAGGAAAAGCAGCACATAGAAACTCCACCGCCAACCCTCGACCCCTTTTGTCAACTGCAGGAAGCCAGAGATGACAGGTCCCAGCGCAGGCCCGGCCCATACCATCATCGCGAAGCCGGCCATGGCAACACCGCGGTGCATAGGGCGCCAGAGGTCGGCCAGCACACCCGGGGCATTGCTAAGCGGGGCGGAGGCGAAGGTGCCCGTCAGGAAGCGGCCCACGAGCAGGGCGGCAAAGTTGGGCGCAAAGGCGCACAGGAAGTTGAAGGCGAGGTAGAGCAGGAAGGTGATGTAGAAGATGGGGCGGCGGCCGTAGAACTCGCTGAGCGGGGCGAAGACGAGCGGCCCTGCGCAGTAGCCCAGCAGGAAGAGGGTGATGGTCAGGCCGGCGGCCTCGGCGGAGACATGAAAGTACTCCTCGATGCTCTCGAGACAGCCCGACGGGCTGGCGGAGGCGAAGGTGGCGTTGATGAGCAGGAGCACGGCGCAGATGGTTATGTAGGCACGCCTCGTGAAGGCCCAATTCAGGGGGTTCTCGACGTCGTTTTCGTCAAAGGTCAGATGGCCGTCGTCGTTGATGGTGGGGGGGTGGTCGAGGCTGTGCTCTACATCTTTGCTGCGGTAGGGTTTGGCTGTTGGCTGGGACAGAATTCTTGCTATCCCGACCATTGTTTGGGAGGGAGTGGGGAGTGTGGTGGTGGTTGTGTGGACGAAGCACTTGTTTTTTTTTCTTCTTTTCTTTCTTTTCATTCCACAAGGAAGCAACTCCAATATTAGAGAATGAGAGATGAGGACTTGTGCTTAGTCGAGGAGACTGATCAACCAAATGTCTACCTCGATCCAGGTGGCTATACTGTACTTGTGCACTGCAGGCAAATGCTATATATTTGTGGTGTCTCAGAGATGCATACACATTTATGTACCTGCAGTGGTGACTGCTCAAATGGGTCAGCCTTTGGGTTTCCAGGAAAACCCACACTCTTAAAGAAGAGAAGAACGTCCACAAATTTGTCGGAGATACTGGTTCTCTAGGAGATTGGTGTAAATTACGTCAAGTGTCCCTCGAGTCTTGGGGTTTCGTCGTTAGGAGTTAAGTGTAGACGATTAACACCGTGAAACCCATGCCAAATACTAGTACAAAGCACATCGTACTAGTCAAAATCCATCGTGCAGGTTGCAGAACAGGTAAATGAGCTACAAGGACCAGGTGTCTGGGACCCTAAACTCAGGCATCCTGGCATATATAAGCTATAACTCAGTACAGTGGCACCTCCCTTAAAGGTCGTTATAAAGAGGTTGTACTCTAATAAGTAATTAATGAAATGCTTGATAGTTTAGTCTGGTAGACTAAAGTATTCCTTCTTGCATGCTGTTGGTACCATATCTGCTTCACAGGCCTACAGAGCTTAAAAGGTATCATGATCAGCTCAATATCCCTTCATCCAGCACTGAGATCCAAGGAAAGCAGCAAAGTGAAACAATCCCTTCAACTAAGCTTGAGAGCTTTACACAAACTTGACCATAATCAATCGATACACACGGCAAAGTCACCTTCTAGCATTACTGCCCCATCCCAAAAGACCCAGACCCGCTGCTATTCATTTGGACCTGCTGCCCCTTGAGCCGGTGTAGTCTTTTCTGCAACCAACCAAGCCACCTCTTTATTCCCACTCTGCACAGCTAGCTGCAATAGATTCCGACCATGCGAGTCCTTGACATTCAGTTGAATGTCAGGACGGTTGAGAAGAGTCTCCACTAATACCTTGTCACCATTTGCGACCACAAGGAGAAGGGGGTTTCTCTCATGCGAGTCTTTGTGATCCTGGTCTGCTCCATTCTCCAGCAGCAGATCAACAATGTCCTTGTTGCCATTCTCAGCTGCAAAAAGGAGCGCTGTGCGGCCCAGGTCGTCTGCATGATTTGCGTCCGCTTTCTTAAGCAACAGCTCTTTCATCATATCCTTATCCCCTCGCTCAGCTGCTGCTAGCAAAGCCGTTCGACCCTGCCAATCCGCTAAATTTATCGAATTCGATGGACTATCGAGCAAAGTGCTGACCGCAGCGTTGTTCTTTGCCTGCTCCGCGGCCAGGAGCAGCGCTGTCCGTTTCAGCTTATCCTGAAGGTCCTGACGAGCGTTCTTATCCAACAAGAGTTGGACCAACTTCTGATTGCCTTTCTCTGCCGCCAGATGTAGTGCTGTCCTGTCCGCCATGTCTGGCAGGTTGACGTCAAGCTCTGGGGAGCCCTTGTCGAGTAGAAGTGTCACGACATTGTCGTGTCCCTCTTCAAGGGCTATCAGTAGCGCCGTTCGGCCCTCGCAGTCGACATGATTTACTATCTTGGTCTTGCGGTTGGTCTTGCGGTTCGTCTTCTCTGTCGACCTCGGTGTGCCCCCATTGGGCACGGTATCGTCCTCATTGGAAGAGACCTCCCCGGAAACTTCATCACAGGAGTTACTGGCAATATGGTCGAGAAGCGAGCTGATGATTATGGTATTTCAGGTTTTCGCCGCCCACAGTATCGGTGTCTGGCCCCTCGGATCCGGGATGTCTGGGTTCGCACCCTTTGAGAGTAGCAACCCCAAAACCTCATGTTTCTTGTACTCGGCCGCTATCCCGATTGCTGCCCTGCCAAATCGGTCTTTCGCGTCTTTGTCCACTCCCTTCTCGACGAGGAGTTGGACCATTGGCACCAAACCTCTCTTGACCATCTGCAGGAGAAGTTGTTCCATTTTTCGACTCTGGGGCCTCAGGTCGAGTTCTTTTTCCAGTAACAAGCCGACTATCTGGGTGGTCGCCATTTTCAGCCGCGAGCTGCCAGGCTTTCTTCATCTGGGCGTCGCGGGCATGTGGGTCGGCTTTGTGGTCGACCAGGATCCGCACGATTTCGCAGTTGCCATTCTGTGCCGCATGGTGTAGTACCGTTCGTTTCTCATTGTCAGGAATGTTGGTATCGACAGTCCTCTGAAGCAGCGCCTTCACCACGGTTGCTCGGCCTTCAAGGACGCCAAGGCAGAGAGGCGTCCTCCCGCGTTGATCCAGCGCATTGATCGTTGCCTTCTCCTTTAAAAGTAGGTCCACTAATGCTTGGTCGCCTCTTCTCATTGCCCAGTGTAGTGGTGTGAGACCATCCTCATCTTTCATGTCGACATCTGCCCCCCTCTTCAGCAGCGAGCTAGCAATGCCTACATATCCCATCTCGGCGGCAAAGATGAGTCCCTTTTTGGTCAAGATGCGCTCATCACGAAGGCGTTTGTCTTCTCCCAAAAGTGCCTCAACTATTGATTCATGCCCCTTCTCTGCCGCAACCTGCCACGGCCTGTTATTCGAATCGTCGTAGATGAAAGGCTCCGCACCGCCCTTGCATAGAGACATGACCACCTCGTAGGAACCTCCCCAAGCCGCACGGTGCAGGGCTGTTTGGCCATCCATGGACTTCGCGTTGGCATCTGCTGCTGTCTTCCTGCTGAGTGGCTAGAAGAAGTGCGCTGCCAGCAAGCAAGTTTCTTGAGAATTCGTCGTCTTGATTGACTTTGACTCTGTCGTTTTCGTCAAGACTTAATAGCACCAATTGCCCCATACTGGATGTCTGATCCTGGCTGAGCCACTTTTTGACATATTGAATGATGTCTTTATGCCCGTAGAAGAACGCTTGGCTGTCTGGGCCGGTTTTGAAATACAGCACCATGGTCTCGGGTGGCTTAGAGCCCTTGGAGGCCTGAAGCTTGCATTCTTCATCGAAAAGCGAATTGTACGCATCTTTGTCGGAGTACAAGATCGCCTTCCAGTCTTTGAACCCTGTAGGAATGTCTGATGCAGCAACTGGCGTGTTGCGGTCGGTCGCTCCTGCATCTTCTGTGGAGGGAGCTTGATCCGTCGCCTCGTTCAGCCCGTCCACCGAACAATTTCCCACGGGCTTGCAAGGGGCTCCTGCAACCTTGCCGGGCTACCTATCCTGACTCTTATCTCCCAATATTCTTCCCCCTTGCTGCCTCCGCCAAGAGCTGAGCGCAAGTAGACAGGCCCGACGAAATGGCAACAAGCCGTTCCTTCTTCATTCATTGTGAGTTTGACTAGCAGTGCTCTAGTCCGGGAGTCCCCATTTTCGACCAGCAAAGCGTGCTCGTGTTTGCTTTCACCTTTTAAGGCTGATTGCAAGGATACCTGCGTGAGGGGGTGTGTGCCTTTCCAGATGAAGTCGTTCGGCTCGATGCTCTCAGTTCGAAACACTTTCCAGACTCCTTCGAGGTCGCCGTTCTCGCGAATTTCTAGCAACTCAGCATCATTTTCAGCCAGCGGCATGTCCAAAATATTGGTAGGACACCAGCTAAATCCAGGTGATGACATGGTTGCCGAATTATGAAAGAGGTGTCCCTGGGCGACCTTTCCCAGCTTGCGTAGGATGCGCTGGTAAATCTCTTGTTGTGACAGCCCTCCGTACACATCTACCCCGGCCAGAAGACCTGAGATCATGGGTATGTCGCGCGGTTTCGAGGTGTCGCGGGGACCTAGAATGGCAAGAAGATCGCCGAGACTTTGTACACTGGCATTCCTCAACTTGCGGATGGATTCTGCAGTGGCGTAATGGCGGCTAGAGGGCGAGATATTGGCCCGCCCAACTGCATCCAGTATTTCGACATTCGTCTTCATCTCCATATCTCTATTATATATGTCTCGAGCCATAATGATCGGCAGACTTGCGTACGTCTTGGTAGCTTGACAAAGAAGACTCGAAGCCATCTAATTCATAGTCGGAAAGGGTGTAGCATTTGAAGTAAGATTCTTTGGCAAGTATCCTACAGGCGCCATGACTGATGAAATATTTATTGCCCACCCAGTATCGGCAGAACACGTGTGAATACAGGTCCGCCAAGAAGCCATAAGGCTCTGATGATCATTCAGGAACCACTCGTCCTTTGCGACTGTTGGCGATGCAGACCAATGAAAATTAGAGAGAAGTAGCACATTCCTGCCCTTACTGGCCAACCTACCTACTGAAATATGACATGCATATCAGCTGAAACCCAAAAAGTTCACGCACAGCTCCGCACCCCAAGCTACGATATTATTTTTGGATTGTCATGCATGGAGCTCAGTGACGAGACTACCAATTACCTCTCGTCGCAGTACGCATCTCTCTCCATTTTAATTCAAAAGAAAAAATACGTGAGTGAGTGATCTATGGCCCCCACGAGGGCTCCGCCATCCATAACAATGCTTAACCGGGCTGGCGTCTTCACCCACAGCCCAGCTATCCGCTGACAGGGCGACTTTCCGGCTGCGAGTCCAGCACGCTGGCGGCTTATTTGGCCGCACAGTGACGGAATCCTAACGACATGCTGTCTGTTCTGCTGCTCGTCGGGCTCGATGTCATCAATAGTACCATCGCACAGCTTGCTGGCCGCGCCATCACGCCGGTGGTCCTTTTTTTTTTTTCCCTTTCCTCGTGGCTGGGTAGCATATAGCCCCGCCATATTGCTCTTCAGCTTCCGAAGTCCGAAGCCCCTCCTTTTCCTCTTAGCTCGCTTCTGTAATTTCTTTTTTCCCTATTCTTACCCCCCAGGCATCTTCTAGCCTTGCATGCACGTATACAGATGGACGACTGATGCCAGAGTCTGAATCGACCCTTCTGCAGGTGGCCATCCTGCAGAAGCAAGGCGTGGGGCTCGACCTGGAGATTCTGGCGCGAGGCATGCGTACCGCACCAGCCCTGCCATTCACAAGGTTCTCGAATTCTGTACTGGCCGTGTTTTGGATCCTGCTTCTCATCACTGTAGAAGCCATAGACCACAATGCATGGTGTTGGTTCTATTTCTGTGTGCTAACCACATCAAGTTTCTGCCTGTCTCTACATTGGTATAGACGTTTACCCTTGCTAACACGATACGCGGAGATTACAGGCTTGTTGGGCATTGATCTCCTCGGCAGTATTCAGAATATCGTCGCCGCTAGCATCCCACGCTCGACAGCCACCCTCGGCAATTACATCAAAGAGCACGAAACATTTAAAGACCGGCACGTGTCTAAAGTGCTGAAGCAGGCCGAGAAAAAGTACCCTCTCCTTGGCACAGCTCTACTCAACGTCTTCTTTCCTGGATCTTTGCGTGTCGACAAAAACAATGTGGAGGCAATCGCATTCTAGAGGGCTGCTTTGAAGAGGATATATGAAAAATAAGAATAAACATGGCATCAGGCTGGATCGCCTACCAGATGAAGAAACCAGACAAGTCAAGCGAAGGGATGGTTGAGGTGTGTTGAGAATCTTTCGAGCCTCCGAGACACAGGACTGGGCTCACACGTACAACCAACCTTTTTAAGGGTTCACTCGCCTCCCGAGTCCTCAGGGAGTGTCCGGGGTTCCTACTCTGTGGGACAATGAAAACCAACCCGCCCAATAGCATTTGCACGTCCCCATAAGATGGATTAATTCAGTCAAGCCTGATACCGTATAGGCACTGGGGAGCAGCCAATGCATCAGTTACACAGGACCCTCGGTCATAAATCTGTCTCGACAAGTTTTTAGCCTGGCACATACGGTAGTAGAACACTCTAGCTCTCAAATTTATCATATGCCATAGCAATTATGTTGTCTGTAAAGACAATAGAAGCGAGCAGATAGTACGTATTGTTTCGAATAATTTGGCTCGACAGCATTGGTCCCTATTGACCAATGGGAGGCTAACCAGTAAGACTAGCCAATCAAAACTTTGGATCATGCCCCACACCACCAGCTCCCTGCCACGCAAGTACATTCTAATACATTGTACCATAGAAGACTACATGAGCTAACTCTTCAGCTCTTCAGTGCCCCATTTCTTTCCTTCAACCAGTTCCCACTCGAGGCTCTTCCAATAACCAACCAATCGGCAGACCAACCGAAGATGACGTCCCATGAGTCCACTGCTATTCCCACTTCCACTTCCACTGCCGCTTTCTTAGCCACTCCCATGCAACCCAACGACCCAACGCCCTTCAAATGGGCTCACATCCCTGGTTTCGAGCTGCTGCCTCCCGACCAGCACGACGCCCATCTCTACCGCCGAATCAGGGAGTTCAACCGCATCAAACTCTCCCACTACGACGGCGGGTACTGTCCCGACGACGAGTACCCTTCCAACCTCGACAACCTCTGCATCCTGTTCTTCGGAGCCAAGGAGGTGCCGGTGATGGACGAAGCCTACGTCCGCGCACAGGAAGACCGCGAGAAGACCCGTAGGCTGCGTTTCAAGGAGCGCAAGGAGCGCCGAGCCAACGCCGACAACAGTCCCCGCCCCTCCGAACGCGACACCCTGCACGTCCCCGAGACCAACCCCTACCAAACCGCCCCTCCTCATCACCACAACAAGAAACGCGCACGCGGCGATGGCGCCGATGGGGAGGCGAAAGACGAGGAGGAGCCAGTAGCAGAGGCTCCTCAGACACGTAAACGCCACCGTGCCGGCAAAACCCCTCGCAGCAACAGTGACAACGAACCTGTCTGGGCCAGCGGCGGCGCCGCCTCTTCCTCTTCCACGTCCCAGAACCTCTGGAACACGCCACCCCTCATACACCCCGACATCGCCTTCCGCGAGTCCCTATACGATGCCCTAGCCGACCCCCAGGGTGCCGCGTTCTGGGAGCGCATTTACGGCCAGCCGATCCACATCTACTCCCGCACCAAGGTCAACCCGGAGACGGGCCAGATCGAGAACATGGACGACGAGCAGTATGTCGCCTACATCAAGGCAGAGATGTTCAAGAAGACCCAGTCCGGCTTCATCGAGGAGCAGAAGCGGCGCCGCGAGAGGGCCCAGCAGGCTGCGCAGCGCGCGTTCGAGGCCGAGAAGGCGGCTAGGGAACGGCAGCGGCGGGCTGAGGACGAGAGGAAGCTGCAGAGAGACATCGAGCGCAGCCTGCGCCGCGCCGAGGACCGCAGGAAGAGACGGGCCAGGGAGCAGAGGTTCGACGAGTACACCAAGCAGTGGAAGGACTGGGACGGCGAGCCGGCCAGCATCCCCTGGCCCACCGAGACCGGCTCCCGCAAGGAGCTCAGCGAGAAGGGCATCCGGTCCTTCTTTGTGCGCGGCCTCGACCTCAGGGGTTTCGGCAGCAGGGCGTTCTCGGCCAAGTTGAAGGAGCAGCGGGTGCGGTGGCACCCCGACAAGATGCAACAGCGGCTTGGTGGCAAGGACATGGTGGAGAAGAGCGTCATGGCGGACATTACGATGATTTTTCAGGTGATTGATACCCTCTGGGATGATACCCGCAAGGCTACATAAACAGCCTATGCACACAACGACACCCACGCGATATGGTATGTGGGATCCTTGATAGACTTGAGGAATGAAATGATTATTTACGATTTGACCAACATGTGTTGATTGCCCACTCTCTCTCTAATCACCGTTGCTGAAGAGGAAAAGAGATGGCATGAAATCGAATTTCTAGGGAAGGTAAAGTGCCCCTTCTACATAGCTCTAGTCCTATGTCCAGCTGAGTCGTAGCGAACTATTGGGCATGATATGTATATAGCTTTACCTAGTGATGACTCTCCCAGCCCAGTGAATCGATGCTAGGAAATGCAGGGAGTACCAAAGACTACTCTGAGGAGCTGAAAGCATAAGGCAAACGAGGCCAAAGTATGTCCATCAGTGGCGCGCTCTCAACGAAATGTGTTTCGAAGACAAAGACAAGACGCTTTTCGAGGAGACGCCGATATGTCTCTGGTGCCGCAGAATCCTGATTTCGATTCTGGACAATGATTCACTCGCTATATCAGGATAGAGAGGCTGTTTTGTCTTATCTTTCTTTTTCAAGCGAATCCTTTTCTAACTGTAAAGATGCAGCAACGCCTTGCTCCAATGCTGATTACTCTTCCCCATGCAGAGTGGCAGGTTTTATCGACAACGATCTTCATAGGGGTGTATGTATAATCAAGGGTTGAATGAAAACAAGAATCAGACCAGACACCCAGCCGCCGTTATCAGGACGAAGTGGTGAAAACAGAGAATCCAATATTCTCCCGGTCGTCGTCGATGACACGCGCGTACCTGTGATATTGTTAGCATCTTCTTGAGGAAAACGGGTGAAGCGAAGAGGGAGCAAGACTTACTCTAACAATAGCCTGAAGAACCACACCTCCATATCCTCCTTTCGCAATATTTTGTTTGCCCAATCCCTCCCCTGCAACGCCACTCGCTCTGCCTCCTTCTTCCCCAGCTCTCCGTCACCAAAGAAACGCACAGCCTCGAGCCACTCGTCTCCATGCAGGCTGAGGGGGATGTAGTGCGCCCACGCCTTTATCCACTCGTAATGCCATTCCCTGAAGAGGGCAAACTTGTAGATCAGGCTCCTGCTCTTGAGGAACGCATAAAACCGGCCCGAGAAGGCATTGCCGTCCATGTCCAGGAGATACTTGTATTGCCACGCATCCTGCTGCTCCACCCGGCTCGTGACCTGGAAGAACTCGGTCTGCGCGTCGCAGTCGCCGGGGTCGCACTGCCCCACGTGAGAGAAGCGAACATTGATGAGATCTTTGTAGTCACCACGGGGCACCTCTTTCACCACCCATTCCGGATGTGTCTCGTCGCCTTGGTTGCCTAGAATCTTGGCCTGGTCCGCCGCGTTGAGCTTCTGCACCAGTCGCTGTCGGTGCTGCCGCCGCCACCCACCGTTCCGCGAGAACCCGCCCGTGGTCGAGCCTCGCCAGTACAGCTCGTCTTTCTTCGTGGCCCAGATCATGTCCTTCTTCTCCTCGTAAGGAACCTTGTCGTACCAATACCACGGGGAGGGGTATAGTATGTCGTTGTACGACGAGATCTTGCTCTGTGAAAAGATGGGAAACAGGTCGTGCACGATGTTGTAGGCGTTCGGCCTATCAAAAAACCCATACGTCGAGCTGAGGCTCGGGCTGTAGCAGATGTCTGCCATGGCCGTCTCGTTGTAGACGAAACCCAGCTCGCTCATCGCGTACCTCTCCACGTCATCCACACGGTCGACCTCCTCCAGCGCACGCGCTGGGCTCTCAGGCGGGCACGACATACGCGAGTGCGTCCAGACGGGCTGGTGTGCAAATACGTTGAAGCGCGTGAGCTTGGTCTCTGTGAAATACGTGCCGTCGTTCAGATCCCGCGGTTTCTTGGTGAAATAGTTCCGCGGGTTGGTCACTGCATTCGCCGCCTTCATGTTCTTGTTCTTGGCCGTTGCCACCAGCCGTTCCATGTCATCATGCGGCACAACCACGCGGGGCTCGTCGTGGATGTTGAATGCCAGGTCCATGTTGGGAAGGTGGGCCAGGAACGGCTTCATCATACCCTCTGTTGCGTCTCGCTGCCAGTCACCGCCGCCTTGTATGTGTGTGATCCTACCCTCGCGGATCTGTACGCCCAGCAGCGCGTTGTCCCATCCCAATGCCTCGGCCGCGCGGGCGCGGATCGTGGAGGGCTTGAGGCCCCAAAAGGGCGTGATGAGCTCATGGATAAGGTCGAACTCGTCAATCAGCTGCACACCCTTGCTTGTGGCATACTCGAACCACTTGTCGAAGTTGGGCGGTGGAGGGATCCCGTAGCGGCGACGATACTCGGCCACTGCGTCTGCAAGCGTCTTTGACTGGCGCGCCTTGGTCTCTTCTAGCTTGTTCTCGGCCTCCTTAATGAGATGCCACACGGGGTGAGAGCCGCCGGGCGCGGGTTTGAACTTGGTTCGCGGCGCATCATGATCGATATCGGCGGGTGGACGATTGAGATTGGGGTCTTCGTGCACATTCTTGACGTTGGAAGGCGGTGGTCTCGGTAGGTTCAGGTTGGGTAGGAGCGTGGTAGGTCGTTTGGGCGTTCCTAGCTGCAGCACGCTGTAGGCGAGGAAGCACAAGAGCACGATAGCTCCAAGTGTGAGGGTCTGTCGTGGTCGCATCTTCCATCACAGTATACGGCCTCGCTCGAGCCTGCAGGGCCTTTGACTTTGAGCCCTCGAGCAGGGCTCGAGTCCAGATAGACGAGTCCAAGACTGAACGAGATGCGAAGACGTGGACCGGGGGCGAGGTCGAGAGGCGGCGAGTGAAGAGGCTACCTCCCAGCTTGTCCGTCAATTAGGCGTGTAAAGTAAGCCTTTTGAATGACATGAGGACAAAGACTCGAGGGCATTGGGGCGTCCGACCAAACCTGACAACTTGCTTTTGCAATTTGGCGATGCCAGAAAGGTGGAAAGGCCCGAAATCTAACATGGAAGCAATTCGTGGGATGTGCCTCGAGACGGAAACGGAGCGCCAGGAGAGAGCCGATAATCATCTACTTATCATTACCCGCTATCTGAGGAGGGCCCACTCGTATCTCTCAAACATCCCACACTACGAATGCAGGTAAACTTTCCACGGGCAAATGAATACAAGAACATGATGGAGCATTAGGAAATAGCTTTTTGAAGAAAGGATATAAGATGGAAATCGTGAAAATCCTTAGCAGCGCAATATTTCTGACATCACTGAACTTTGTCTACTAGTCTGAAACACTTTTGGGTATCCTATCTCGCTGTATCTTGCCGACCCGTGAATCAAGTACAGCAACGGCACAGAAGCAATGGCGCAGAATTAAAATCAGAGACAATCCTCACAGTGTGGAATGTGTCTGGTCTCCTTTCTACAAATTTACCGTAGATGAGAACCCCGATTGTTACCATCATATCACAATGCGAGTAGCTCGCTTTGGTCACAGATGTGGATGTGGTTGTGCATCTGTATGCGTTGGAACAGTGCGTGAAAAGTGAGGCATGATCTCTTGAAGATCGAGGTCTTCTATTTTAGATCATCTCGAAGGTATCTCTGGACGTGAAGGGTGACCATCACCATACATCCTGTGGATTTTAAGACACATTTTGCCATTTTTGTGCCATCCACCAACGCCGTCTATGCAACAGCGAGATCCTCTTCGCTTGGCTCATTCCATCATGACCTTTGTAATTGTCTAGTAGAAGAAACCAATGATCTTGCCAGAGACGTGCTTGCGACGAGCCTCCTCGTGGTCCATGATACCAGCGGAGGTGGTCAGAATGACGTAGCCGAACTGACGCGAGGGCAGCAGGCGGACAGTCCACTTCTCGAGATCGGCCAGCTTGACGTTGTAGCGGGGAGAGATGACACCGGTCTTGTTGAGGCTGCGAGGAAACATGTTAGCTGGATCTGCGTAGCAGCATTCTGGGGGTGTCCTTGGCGTCTTTATACATACCGGCCAATCAGCTGGACAACGATCTTGCCGGAGCGGTGGTCGTCAACCTCCTCGAACTCGCCAATGTAGCCTGAATAGAGATGTCAGCAAATGTTGCGTAAGACTAAACGTTAGACTACATGAGAAAATTTCAGAGAAACGTGTAAGATCTCCGCAGGTTGATCTATCGGCAACTTAAAAGACTGGAGTCGTTGGAATTTTGAGACCGTCGTCTAGTTATCATGCCGAAGTGGAGGGGGTATCCTGCAGTTGTGGTATGGTGGTATATAGGGGACGTAGTGCAGCAGAGAAAGGCGACATACCGTGCTTCTGCATGACCTGCAGGAACTTGACGATGACCTTGGAGGAAGGTCGGATCAGGACCTGGCGCTTGCCGGCCTTCTCGGCATTGTTGATGTTCTTCAGAGCATCGTTGAGGACGGAAGTGCGGACCATCTTGACGGTTTTATGGTGGGTTGAGTCGTGAAGGAGATTCTCAAATCTTATGCGAGATGAGGTATCTGCCGCCAAAAGATGCCATGTTAGCCTTCGGAGGCTCTAAGAGCGTGGAGAGTGCCCTCTGAGGAGGGTTCTGCCCGCTCAGCGTCGATGGAGAGAAGCGTATCGAGGAGGATCTGTCCGTCATGACCGCATCGTGAAGTCGCGGGCGGCGTCTGCTGCGTGATTCCTCGTTGCGACTGGGTCGTCCATCCTCGATTGCTCTCCCCGGCCTTCGCGAAGGGGCGTCCCCTCCTCCCTAGACAATTCTTCTCAAGTCATGATTACACACTGCAGAGTTGACATACCTCGTGGTAGATGGTCGTTTAGAAGGTGGGTGGGGGAGGAGTGAGGAAGATAATTGTGATGGTTGGAAATTGAACTTTTTCTCTCAAGTCCCTAAGCGCGAGGTGGAGTCGTTCGCAGCAAAGTTCGTTTTGTGGGAACTAGCCCTAGCAAGCTGCACTGCTCACTAAAAGGCCCGTGCACACCCAGCCCGGGCTGATTTTTTGCCTTAACGGCGCACGCTTTTTTGCTACCTCCGTCACTTTTCAATTTACCAACAACTTCAAAATCCCAAGACAACCGGATTTTCATTCCTTTTTCTCAACTCTCAACCACCCAAGTCTCTTCGAGGATCGCTTCGACAGCAACTTGACAAAATCACCATCAAGATGGTAAGGACCACCCAATGGCTGTCTTTTGCAAATCTGGGTCAGCGGGGTGCAGTTCGACAATCGGACAACCCCAGCAAGAAGTTCGTGGGGCACTGTTACAATTGCCGGCTGCACGCACATGACCAGACCGCAACAGAATATGCATTGAATCCTAGCCGCTGACTTTCACTCTTTGCAAACATAGTCGGACGTAGAAGAGAACAACGCCCCCGAAGTCGCCGAGGAGGTCGAGGTTTCGGCTGATGCCGCCTCCAAGGGTCAGATGTCCGTTCTGGACGCCCTCAAGGGTGTTCTGAAGCTCGCCCTCATGCACGACGGCCTCGCTCGCGGTCTGCGTGAGGCCTCCAAGGCCCTCGACCGTCGCCAGGCCCACATGTGTGTCCTCAACGAGTCCTGCGAGGAGGAGGCCTACAAGAAGCTCGTCATTGCCCTTTGCAACGAGCACAAGATCCCTCTGATCAAGGTGCCCGATGGAAAGCAGCTTGGCGAGTGGGCTGGTCTTTGTGAGTATACCCCATAATAGAAGGGAATATAGCCAGGAAGATGTGTACCTTGGACAAAGGAAAAGGAAATGGGTGACTGACTGCTACTCTACAGGCGTTCTTGACCGTGAGGGTAACGCCCGTAAGGTGGTCAACTGCTCCTGCGTTGTCGTCAAGGACTGGGGTGAGGAGTCTCAGGAGCGCTCTATCCTCCTGAACTACTTCCAGACCGAGCAGTAAACAGAACGAGCGTCACCACGCGATCTGTCACATCGAGGGGCGGCGGGGCGTTTACGGGGGGAAATCATAGGTGGAATATATGATGGGCTATCTTAACGGTCGGTCACATCAATGATGACCATTTCGGATGACTCGAGCTTCTTCGGTTGGCAATGGTTCGGACAGGGAAAAGTAGAGGCATATAGCTACCTCACACTCGGGACTTCAATACAAAAGTTAAACCACCACCAAATTCGTGCGGAATATCACAGTCTTGTGTCATACCCCGCTGGTCCTCATAACGCCTCATTGCTCTATGCTAGTAAACAAGGACACCATGATGCCTGAAAGAGACCGACAAGTCGCTGCTTACTTCTCTACCATAATGATGTGGTACCCAAAGTCCGTCTTGACCCAATTATACTTGGGCTTGTCAACCGTGCTTGGCTCAAGGTCCCAGGCGCAATCCTTGAACTTTTGGTCAAACGGTGCGTCCTTGGTCACCTCACCCAACGACCCTCCTGAATATCACACAGTCAGTTGCTCATAACCCAGCTGCGATCCAAACCAAGACCTCCCCCCCCCTTCTCTCCTCGAATACACACACTGAATTAGACTCACCCTGTTTTGCCTTGTCTTCCGAATAGTTCCTAGCAACCTCAGCAAAGCTGACTCCCTCCTCAAGCTTCGCTAGGGCCTCGTCCATCCTCGATTTCTTCTCGCTGCACAAGCTCATCAGTCATGATCGCAACTTTCAGGTGATCTCCCCCTGGCGAGAGCGAACTTACCATAGAACATGCCTGATTTTGATCTTCAGGCCGTTTTTCTTGCCGGAGCCCGCCTCCTTGTCGGCCTTGCCCTTGGCCCCCTTGGCCCCTCCGCCGGCTGTGGCCTTATCCGCATTTTTGTTTTTGCCCATTCTCGGAGTCGTTGGGCTCTCATCAGTGGCGTTCTTGCGCAAAGTGGGATGAGCGGGGTGGGATATTGCAGTGAGACGGGCTTCTGAAGGCGCGTCTAACCAAATCAACCCCACCACACCCTGGATCCTTGTTCCATCCGGCAGCTGGCGCTTACCTGTCGAGATGCCGCGGCCAGCTGGCAAGATTGTTGGGTGACTGCCCCCTCTTCCCCACCCGCGCCTCTTCTCCAATGTCAATGTCACCTTTCTTCTGGCAGCTCTCAGTGATGAGCAACATAATTTCACCATGTTTAGAGATCGGTCGACGTGTTCCCTTCCGCACGATATTTGATCTTCGGGGCTGCGAGGTCAAGGGGCTAGTGGATTGAAGTCGCTGGAAGAATCCGAGTGACACCGCATGTCTTGACGTCTTGACAGTTAGAAGGGATCAACCATCGATGTAATCAGCTGTATGGATTGTATGTTGGAGGAGGATTCAAGGAAACGAAGCTGTACAGACAACTGTCGGCGATATTCACTATTAGCTGGTTTGCCCAATTCAATCTAGCCCTGCCTTCCCTCACCATTCTACGGTGCTGGCTACAATTGCTCTCTACCTCATGCAACAGCGCGGAAACATTGGACCTTCCTGCTACCATGAAGCTCGGTCACGTCAGACTTGCAGTCGTATACACCTGTTGGTCACACGACTCGAGAACACGCTGAGAACCCCCTAACTCGCAGAAAACTTGAGGCGAAGATGCTCGGTCAGCCTTCACGCTGGTTGCTTGAAATTAGGATCGGCTCGTATTCGCTGCCCATAGGCTGTAAATACATCTTGGCACAAAGTTGCATGTTTCAAATACATTTTCTGCTGCCAGCGCTGGATCTGCAGTACAGGAGAGAGCGAGATGGACTTCGCAATTGGACGCCCAGTCGGACGATATTCATTTGCGGACAGTCCACAATGTATCTCTGTTGTTCGCAATCTCGAGATCCTTGCCCTCCTCCCTCTGTTTGAGTAGGTACGACGGTCTGGCCACTGTTGGGGTGGAAGCTGATCATCTAATATGAGCCCCAATTATTATCAGAAGCAATTTGAAACATCACCCGCCTGCATGCCTCTTTAACGACCAGCTCAACTGAAGGTTCTGTGGTAAGTTGAACTGTGAATTTGTGATTGTCTAGTGAGCGTACTGGCCCATATAGAAAAGACTGGCTTTCCATTGCATCTATGTGGCCTCCTTGAGCGTGCAGGGCCAAGGGAAGAAAGGCTGACACTTTCCGAATTTAGCAGGTGGGGTCGCCTTGGACCAAACACTAACACAGCCTCGCGTCGGAGTATGGGCTTTCTGGGCAGTATTATTGGTTTGAGCCACATAGATGTCTTAAATGCCCAAATAGAATCAGAATTTGAGCTATTACATTTGACATCGACTAGAACTCACCCTTTATATACCTGTCGTCGCCAATGCTGAGGTCCCCGGGACAGCTCTGAGAGGTGCTCCGCGGTACGCGCCAGGACGAGGGTTTGACGACGTTTCCAACTCTTCTTTGAGTTCAACGTGCAGCGCCACGTCGAGACTGATCCGGCTGTTTGTATGCAAGCTCACGCCCGGGACTTGGGGCTGTGGACATGCAAGGCTGGAGCACATAGGCATTCCCTCTGTCTGGTTCAATGAGTCCCGCATACCCACAGTTGGGTCCGTCCACAAAGTTCATAAGCGAGAGGGTCGGCCTGTCGTGAAGTCTTTTAATATGCGGTGTATCTTGCCCCATTACGTGGCAAAAGTGATATGTGTTGGTTCATTGCTGTTTTTGCATACGGGCAGCCCGAGCTCTAAGTTTCACTCTCGAGCACTCTGACAAGCGACTTCACCGCTCCATGGGGGGATGGGGCCGGGGGTGGCTATGCAATTGACAGAGGAGATTGATAACTGAGTCAAGTGGAAGAGGGCAAGGTGGGTTCCAACGTAAAGTTTAGACAACACAACACAGCCGTTCCAGGGTGTCTCAGTACGATCTAAAAGCCCAGCGGCTTCTGTTGAAGTGGTCTCTATGCAGCTCATAGCTTGTTGCGATGCCTTTGTCCTCATGTGGTCCTCCACATTCGCTTCGTTGAAATTCGGCATTTGCAAGTCGGCTTGCAAGAAAACCCAACTTATTAATTCAGCATTTGAACACTTTGATATGTGGCAACTAGACGATAGCGTGGGTATCTGCCGAGATATTGTCGGAGATATTAGCACGTACATCGTGTAAGCTCCACTGGAGGAGTTTTTGTCCTTGAGTAAAAGCACAGTGTGATATGGGGTGGCAGTGGTACAATTCCAATGGTATAACTCACAAATGACAGCAAGGCGTGACGTGGGTGGATCCCCGGTTGTTAATAGAAGTTCCGAGGATAGAGTTTGTCTGAAAGGAAAGTTCCACAAACATTTTATAGGCGATGACCCTCTTCTCGGAACTTCTGAGGTTGTTAGTGTTGCTGAGGTTAAGCAATAGGCCCAACTTCCTTACAGCAGACTACTGCCATGTGATGTTCTCGGAAGGCTAAAAAGATTATGACGAGGCTCAAACTAGAGAGACTCGTGTGAGGCGGATAGCTTAAAGGGAACCTTCCAAGAATAGAAAAGTTACAAGGATGAATGGATGGCGCTTGAAGAAAACGGCCAACGACCGCCAAGTAGTAGATGACATCGCCACACGGCATGTATTGGGACTCCGACCCGCAGAGTCCATCTTTAAGCCTCTTGAATGGTTATGATCGGCAGTGTCCACAAGAGAAAGAAGAGCTGAACCAGCCCAACAATCTGAGAAGGAGGTACCGAGGTCGTTCGCCAGCTGTCCCGGTGGACCAAAATCACTTTCTCTCAACTAACTAGATTCAATTTATGGAGATATCTGCTGTTCAAGAGGAGCCAATTATCCGTTACTCGCTGAGCTCTGTAGCACATACGGATGGGCTCCGCCTAGCCAACATTGACAGAAGTTTTCTCTATGATGGGGTCTGATACTGTTTGCTATGGGGTTTCTGGACAACAAAGATGTGTGTAATGATTCCCAATCCCAGCATCCAGGATGTTGGTAAAGTCATCAGGTCATCAGATCGAACTACAAGGAAAGAACCCTACCTCAAGAATTGGATAGTAGCATACAATTAAAGCACCAGTACTACCATAGTAGTTAGTTTAGGGTTGTACAGGGAGGTGGCGGTGCATACAAGGCGCGCCGCGCTTTGTTAGGGGGAAAGTATGGAGCCTACCCGGGGTTTGACATCAGCCAAGGCCACTTTTGCAAAGCTTGGCGCAATTAAGGTTACTGTGAAGCATCAACAACCAATGTTCCTTGACACACAACGGCTCCAGCTCGTATTCTGTGTTTTTCAAGGGTAACCTTTCGGGGCTACCGGGTCCATCCGCCCACTTTTGGCCAGTGTCCATGATGTAGCTGACCCTCTGTTGAGTGATGATCATTGCCTTGGCCGTTGCATCGCATCGTGTGAAGACTCTGAAAAGGCAAAGAGATATAGCTTCCAACAGATTATAAATACTGACCTACGCTCCCTCGAATACAGCTCACTTGATATCATCACAACAGCAACAACATCTTCTAGACTACTCATCCAAACAACAACAACAACAACACTTCTCTCATCTTACCAAACCGTATCCATTCCGATACCACCACCACCACCATCAAAATGCAGTTCTCTACCGCTATCGTCGTCCTGGCTTCTGCCATGTCTGCCTCTGCCGAGACCCTCTTCAGCGTCTCCGACTTCACTGCTGCGTGCATTCCTCACAGCTCCCAGTGCTCGTAAGCCTTCGAAACCCCCCTCACACAGACCTCCCAAACCAACGACTTGACTCCCTTTCGCCCTTTTTTTCTTTCTTTCTTCATACTAACATGATATCTTTGCAGCTACAACTTCAAGGTTCTCCAGCCTGGCACTGGTGAGACCACCGGCGTGACCTGCTCCGCCCAGAAGACCAGCGACGGCACCCTGCCCGCTGTCACCGACGGCACCTGCACCGACTCGGCCCGTACCTGGACCATCTCCAAGCCCGCTGCTGGCGGTCTCACCCTGACCGTCTCCCAGCAGGTCTCGGCCGCCTCCAGCCAGTCCGGCAGCTACACCATCCCGGCTTCCGACCTCACCACGTCCCAGACTGGCGCTAGCGTCCAGCAGAGCTACACCGGCCCCACCGCCTTCGACCTCTCCGACTAAATTGGCTAAACTTCGAGTTTTACCTTTCTGATGGGATGGGAAGCTTTGCGGGAAGGTCGTGTTTGAGGGGATGATTTGGATGGCGTGTATATAGATGTTGTGAACCGACCGCAGTACATACTATAGATCTCTTAAGGCTCCTTTGCCATGTCAATAATAATCAAGGTTGTCTCGAATATTGCTTCCCATAGATCACTTTGTGAACGAGAGCCTGTAATGTATTATGCTCTGTCGACGGTACAAACCCCAATTCAGCGTTGGCTAATCCTTCCGCGAGAAACCACCTTGTTCTATGCCTCACATTATACGCTCCGTTGCAGGTTCATAGCAAGGTATAGTGATCGCAACACCAAGAGTGGGCTCTGAGGCTGTTGTGTTGGTTGGCAATCCGTACTGGCTAACCAACGCCATCAACACCACCGAGTAGCAATGTCTGTAATGATGCTATAATGTGTCTACTTGCATCAGGCATACAGCCTAGCCATTGCCCCGTGAAACGGAAGCCTTGTCGATCAATGGACTGTGATAGGCCGACCGCGGTTCTTTATGAACTCGTCGTAAGGTTTTCGAATCACAGGTCGTTGGATTTAAGAGATATGACACGTCTACGTGCTTCGAACGTTGGAGGACGTACATTGTGACTGCTGGCGGACACTTCCTGTGCTATCACCAAGACCTGGTCATTATAGCCATGCCAGAAGAGACAACAGAAGAACTTTTGCAGACTGCTCCAGCCCAGCGCTGACTTGATCGATCGGGGCGATCGTTGCCAATAACGAACGGCCACAGCACCGAGCCTCGGCTTCTCACTGCCAAAGCTTCTAACTGTGGACCTTGTTTTTTCTTATGCCAACGTTGAGTAATTGCGAGGATATCAATTCAATTCATTTGAAGCTTGTACCATTTACAGACCCTCTGGAGAAAGCTACCTGACCTAGCGATATACCTCACCAAGTTCGTTGCCAAGTGACGAACGCGGGGCCACCTGCTGACTGACAGGTCGCTATACAGTCTTGCCGGAGATGAACAAGGCAAACCGGGTGTCTTTGTCCTCTCGTATACCCTAGTAGGGTTTCCATACTATCTGATCCAATCATACCTCCTTTTCTGCTGCCCTGTGCTCGTAGTTCCTGAAAAAGAGGCTACGTAATGGCACCTTTATGTGTTGGGCAATGCTTGTGGATAGAAGAAGCCAAGCACTGACCACTCATGTGACCACGTCTGCCGCAAGCTGGCGATAATTCCTCGTGGTGTCAATTTTGTATTCCGGTCCCTTTGGTCAACCACAGACCTCTTCATCATTGATATGTCTCTAGCAATCGATGTAATTAAAGAAGTTAGGTAATGACTTGAGTCTGCTGTCTTAGCCATGTCGGCTGACATTGAAAATCTGATGACGACTATTGTGGGGTATATTCGCATTTGGGAAAAACAGACACTTTGCCTGATTCCAAGCAGACAAAATCCGAGATAGTGTCGAGTCTGGGCATTCGCAATAGCAGTCTTCAAGCCCAGGTGCGGTCCATGCTACTGGGACACCAGGTTCCGGCCGTTATCACCACAACCATACCCTGAGACAGCATGAAGAAGTCTCTCTATAAAATCTCTCAGGCCCCGCCGACACCATTGGTTTCCTCCTCCACTTCCTCCTCGTCTTGATCCTCCGGTGCGCTCTGCGGCAGGTTATACTCCGTCTTCAGCTCCGCAACGACACCCAGCACGCGCTTCTTGAAGTCCGCGTCCAGGCTCTTGTTGTCCCGCCCGGCGGCCTCGAGGTCGACCCGCGCCACCCTCAGCACGGCTCCCGCAAGCGCCTCCAGCTCGTCCGCGCTCACCAGCTCCTTCTCGACCTCCTCCTTGTGCGCCTCGACCCGTTGCCTCGTGTACCCCCGCAGGAACTCTGTCACCGTGTCGTCGTCGTCGCCGTTGTTGTTGTTGTCCGTGGCGCCGGCGGGTATCCTCAGCCACGGGTCCGCCTCTTCCCGCCACGCCCCGGCATCTCCATCCCACGCCTCGTCGATGTTGTACCCGTAGAAGGCGTCAAAGGTCTTCTTGGCCTTGAGGAAGCGTGCCGTGAGCATGCTGTTGACGGCCTTCTCGCGTGCGTACTTGGGCGCGTTGCGCTTCGCATCGGCCTCGCGCTGCTCGGCGGTGCGCGGCTCGAACTTGATGTTGGACAGGAGGGAGCGGGAGAAGTTGCGCTGGTGGCTGGTCGTTCTCGTCTCCAGCGGCTCGGCGAGGTCGAAATTGAAGTCCATTCTTGTTTTTGCTGGCTCGTGTGGAAAGGGAGGGGGGTTTCCTTCTTCTTTTCTTTTTGTTTTCTACCTTTCTTTTCCTTCTTTCGCTCGTATCGGATGGAGAAAGGAGAGAGCTGCTGGTTGTGAAGGAGACGGGTTTTGGGAAGATCAGACGAGCAGCAGAGGACCGGTTGTTACTTGTATTGCTGCTGTGTACTTTACGCTTGACGTCGCTGGGCGCGGAGCATTTTCCAAGGGTCCAGGTTCAAGTGCCAGCTCACTGCGACCCCACACAAGCACCACCTGTAATTCGCATGTCGGCAAGGGGGGTCGAAGATACCAATCTCCAATTAGCCCACGAGGCGTCTCTTCCTCACTTGAGTTCCACACCTTTTGAGCGTAGTCCTGTAGATCTGGTTGCGAAAACACGGAACACGATGTCTTCTTTCCTCTCGAACACGGACTATCACAATCGTACAGGCGACTGATTACTTTACTTACTAGGGCAAGATGGGATTCTGGAAGAAAGGAGGCCGGTGCATCCTATAGCAGACAGCTGCCTGGTCGTGGGCCAGAACTGAATGCTGAAGATTCAGTCAACGACGAGAAGCTCTAAGTGGGCTTGCCAGCCCCGCCGTATATATCTGCTAACAACGCCCCGTTTCCTAGCCCATGTCTTGGCTAGCCAGCTTGAACCCCCTTTTTCCTGTCAGCGTACCTCAGGCTGCCACTGTATATTGGGACGAGGCCAATGCGCCTCCAGAAACATTGGACGTTGGCCATGAACCAAGATTCCAAGTGGTTGAAATGCTTGTATAGCTGGAAAGCGTAGAGAGCCAGAAAGACAAGTAAGGCCTAGGGGCTGGCGTCCATGAAGTTGTAATGAGGCGGGTGGTGCAAGAAGAGGGGTGGCATGCATTGCGCAGATTGGCAACAAGAAAGATAATGATCTGACCAATGCATCGCATTGCTGTGGTGGCGAGAGGACTGTAGAAACTCGTTGCGTTCTTTCTCAATTCATCCTATTTACAAGGAGAACGTCATGAGGGGCGGAGAAGTCACTCAAACTACCTCATATTAATGTATCATTTTAGACTCGGGAATGACTGGAGGTAGACAGACAGAGTTCGGCTGCCAGCCTCGAAAGTAGGTAACAAACCCCTGGGTGCAAGGTGAGTGAGTGTATCAAGTGAGCTCGCGAAACAGGTGCAGCCATTCCAACCACAAATGTCCTACAAAGTACGCCATAATCCGACATGATAGAGCCTGTCTATGCCTTGCTAGGACTCCACTCCGATCCTATTCCTCCTACAGCATACACCACGGGGCACTGAGCACCTGCCGAGCCTTCTTTGATCCCTTCGCACATGGTGATTCTAAACTCCCTGCTGCGCCGCCACTCGTCGCGCTCGATGCGCTCCACATTGCGTGCGATGGTCCAGTCGTCTAACTTGATCTGGCCCTCCGTCTGCCGTATATGGTCGCGTTCTAGCTGTTCGTAGAGGAGCCATTCGTCGAGTTGCGAGGGTTTTGGGATAGTGGTGATCTTCTCCATTGGGGTCTGGCCTGGGAGACGCTCGAGGGTAAGCCGGAGGGTGTAGACCTCGCTGGCCATATTGAGTTTGATACTCCAGCTGTGGATTTTATATCTGGGATGGGTGTCAGACCTGCTCGCTGTTGAATCCGAAATGCGTAGAAATCCCGTCACTTACAAGCCATCATATCTCACGCCAGCCAAAGGCGCAAGGAAGCTCTTGAGGCGGAAGCCCCGAAGGATGCGAATCTTCCCTCCCACCTGGGATAGCAGGTTGTTGTGCATTTCGTCCGGCCGGCCTTCGCGGATGTAAATGGAACTACCATCCTGCGTGTCTTCCTCGCGGCCAGTGAGAAGAGAAAGTGCTGCGATTCCATAGCGACCTTTGGTGGCCTTCTCGAAAGCTGCTCCAACAATGCCGTCTCGGTGGGCACAGCCGATATTCAGCCACCATCTAGTCACCATCAGTATTTTTGAAATCATCTCTACGGTGTCTGCTCGGAAATACTTACTGGCCCGGAAAAAACGTAGCATTACCCTCCACTTCCGAGATTTCGATGACCTCTTTTGGTATCCATACGCCTAACCCATCACTCGCGGTCGCCGACCAGACCATATCCCGCAGGCTGCCCGACATAAGATCTTCGTACCGATACTTGTCAATCGCAAGGTAATCGGACTCGAATCGTGACTGCCTTGATCCTCTGTGTCTTAGCAGACATTTGCTGCAGAGCCGTCTCTGAGTGCAAGCCACAGGGGTGAAGGGCATACCAGCATCTCTGTAGGCTCGAGGCAGTCTCTGTTTCGCTTCTCAAGCCCGTCTCAATGGCGTTGTCGCCAAGCGGCACCGCAGTGGCCTCTTTGTCGTGGGCTCTCAGCATGTCGGCCAGCAGCTTGTCCAGTCTCGCCCGCTGAATCACAGAGAAAGTAATCTTATGCTGCACAAAGCTTGAGCCGGCGCTCGATGCTGAAGACGCTGCACGATGGTGTGGCACCTCCTCGTCGAGCTTATCGACGAGCAGCATATCCAGAACGAAGTTGAGTTCCTCAAGCTTCTGGGAACTGAGGTTGGCACCTTTTGACAACGCCGACCGCACGAGGTCTGACAGCTCCAGGAGCTTGGGCACATTCCACCTGCCATCAGTGGTCCACACGCTGGCATCGCTGCTGCGGGACCGGATCGAGGGGTTGTTGGACATTCTGAAGAAAGCACCTGATTTGGGAGCTGACGGTGAGGAACATTGCGGGCCAGATGACAGAAGCGAAGAAGGCAGACAACCAGGGCGAACTCACCAGCTGTTTCTCCTGCGCTTCCATCGTAGGAGTCCGAGCTGGGCAGTTTGACTTTACGAAACTCGACAACCTGACACCGGCCGAGGTGTCAGTGAGACAACAGCCTTCAGCAACTTGAGTCGGCGTACCTCTGAAGCATCCGATATGCGGACACTCCTTGGCGGCATTGCGGGCTCTGGCGTGGACCGAGGGCGATTGATACCAACGGCTCTAAAAAAAACCATGCTCCAGGTCATAGAGGCGGAATTAGCCATGGCTTTTCATGTCGTGCCCGATGTGGAACCCAGGACGCTGGCGGCGGCCTCTCGCGTTGGATGACTTTCCGTGCAACAGCGATACTGGCCTTGCTACATAACAGCCAGGTGGGGTTGGGGTTGCAGGGGAGGGTACTCGAATAGGTAGGTGGAACATTCAACGATAGCTTCTGCGAGTTCGCTATAGGGTGCAACGGTCTGAGAATGTCTCTGTCGCGGTATGACGACAAGTATAGTCCTTGCTGTAAACAAAAGACAACTATCGTCCCCCTTGGAAGGAGTACAAGGCCTCTAACGCATCGTACCTGCCTCGTCAGACGAATCAGGCAATGAAGCGACGATGGCAAAGTGCGCCGAGCAGTCACGCTTGGAAGACAGCCTGGCCAGGATGAAACTTGTCCGACCAGCGATCAACAAGACAGAGAAAGAAGGCGGGGGGGGGGGGGAGAGAACGAGCAGATCCTGTCTAGGCTTGATGTATAATGACACGAATTTGATTTTGATATCATTATCAAGATACAGTCAAAATTAGAGTCATCTCTTTTGATCCGATTTTGACTAAGATTCTCTTTCATCCTATGGTGCCCTCTCCCACCTCTCGCTGTCAAATGAGAAGAATGAAGAAAGAAAGAAAAGAGAAAATAAGACCAAAGACCAAACGAAGGAGCGAGACACAAACCCGAAAATATGGTCGAGACGAGACAGGCCAGACTGCTTTGATTAGTAGATAACTGTGTCCTCCTCCGCCTCGACCATCTCATCATGGTCCTTCTCCTCGTGACTAGTGCGCTGTGGTACTCGCGCAGTGGCTGGGGAATGTCTTCGATCATTAGTAGCAGAGACAGCGGACTCATCTTGTGCAGCGGTTCTGGAACGATCATCTTCGACTGCTGGCTCACCGACTGTAGCGTCGACTTCTAACGAGGGAGATAGTACTCCCAGATCTTTAAGCCTCTGCTCCTTCCGGACCCTGAATCGCTGTAGCTCGTCCTCGATCTGCGCCTTGGTGTCACGGATCTGATCCTTGATGATATCTTGCTGCTCCTGCGTGGTCTTCCACGGACGGTAGTACTGCATGGCATGTTTGGTCAGTATCGATTTCGCTCTCTCGTGTACACGCACGTGTGGGTGGAACAGGAACTTACTAGCTTTGGCTCGCTCTTGGTTAGTAGGCTATGCGCCATAGCAAGCATATTGGAATGACGGGTGTTCATCTTTTGAATCCTGTGTTAGCAAGATGGCGGCCCCTTTGCCTCGATCACAATGTTCTCGGTATTCCAAAAAGACAAGGTCGGGCGTACCACTTGCTCATCAAATCGGACCTGCTCGATCTTCCTGACCTTGTCGAGCTTCGAGCGGCCCTCGGAGCGGCGCTTGTCGTCCTCGATCTTCTGCTTGGCGGCTTTTTCCTGCTGTCTCTTCTCAATCTCCTGACGCCTCTTCTGCTGCGAGTTGCTCGTGGTTTGACTTAGTGTGCTTAGCAGACCACCGAACAGGCGTTTGCCACGCTTCTTCTCCTCCTCCCTGCTGAGGCCTTCCCGTCGGTTGCGGTCCTTGTCATTAAGTACCGCCTCGGGCCTCTTCCTCGACGACGACTCCGACGCCGAGTCGCGGCGGCTTGTACCTGACGGTGGCGAGCGACCATGCCTCATGGAATCATCTGGCCGTCTGTCCTCGTCCGGTGATCGTGTACTCGGTAGAGGGCTGCGCCTCCTGGAGTCGTGAGTCCATCGATCCCTGTCTGGCAATTGTGTGTGGGGGGGTGAGTCACGGAGCCTTCTTGAGTCAGAAAGTCGTTCTTCCCTCTGCGGTGATGTTGCCACCAAGACGTCACTGGGCCGCCGAGCGGCTGGGGATAGACTCCTTTGCTCTCGAGAGGTGTCCTGCGCCGGGGAGTCCTCGTGCCGGTCACTGTCATCCTTGTCCGTAACTGCTCCCTTCGTGTTCCTTGCCTCATCTGCCTCGCGGCTCGCTGCTAGGTGGTCCTCGACCTTGGCGCGTTTGTTCGGCGCATCGCCATCCCTATGCTCGTCCGGGCTCGGCACTGACCCACCAACTGACTTGCGCTTCAACTGGTTCATCTTGAATAATGCCGTCCCGAGATTTCGTGATCTTATCCTCTCCTCTCTTTTCTTATTCACCGTCGCATCAGTCCATCCGCCCCAAATTGGAACAGTCGTCGCGGAGGTTTGATTTGCTTCCTTTCGAATGGTACTGTCTTGGTTTGCGAAAGGTGACGAGGGTTGGTGGGGGAAGGCTTGAAAAAGACAAGGGAAGATTCCACAGGCTAATGACGGATCAGAAAGTCAATAGAAAATCTATGAATTTGATCCCATGATGACGAAGTATGGGTGATGAACAGTGGATTGAGCTTGTCGAGGGTGCACAGAGACCTAATGTCAGAAAGCTCTCTTCCACGAAGCAGCTGGCTTTCTTACGTATGTACTTATGTACTGTGGCAGTACTACTGGTATGGCAGGCCCTGGTCCCCCTTCCCCACGTCCCACATGTAGGGAACACTAGTGCGTGCCGGGTTCCTTTTAGCCATCATGACAGGCTTGCAAGGAAGGGAGCTCTATGGGTAGTGGCAGGCATGGGTGATGGAAATTTCTGGATCGGCAGGCAAAACGCTGATGAATCAATCCACTGTAGATTCAGTTGCACTAAACATCATTTGCAAAACATGTCTTAGCTATAATTTGTATCCTCTTGTTTAGTCTCCCCGCCACAACTCCCACGCCCACGCCTACGTCCTTCTTCTTCTTCTTCCTCATCCCGCCACAATATTCTTTCTCACATATCGCGACACGCCCTTGAGTCGGATCCGCCAAGATGTCCCGTCATCACCCCGATCTGGTGATGTGCCGCAAGCAGTCCGGCATCGCCATTGGCCGCCTCTGCGACAAGTGCGACGGCAAATGCCCCGTGTGCGACTCGTACGTGCGCCCCACGACCCTCGTCCGCATCTGTGACGAGTGCAGTTTCGGCAACTACCAGAACAAGTGTGTTGTGTGCGGCGGCGAGGGCATCTCGGACGCCTTCTACTGTTTTGAGTGCACGCGCCTCGAGAAGGACAGGGACGGGTGCCCCAAAATTATCAACTTGGGCAGCTCGCGGACAGACGTAAGCTTTCTATTACTTCGCTGCCCTTTTAGTTGTTTCCTCGCGATTGATTGCAGCTGCTAACGTGTCGTGTTTCTCCCTTGCGCAGTTGTTCTACCAAAAGAAAACGAATCGGACGTATTAGCCCTTGTGATGCCCGGGTCTGGGCACTTCGCCTTATCTTTGCATATCCGGTACTGGCGTTTTGGGTTCATCGGGTTATACGCAAGAGCTGGTTCTGGCTCTTGTGTTCTGGGTCTTTGTGGTCAACATGTTCGACATTTGAAGGTGTAACATGGTATGAGAAATGACGAGCGTTGGAGGAAGCTTGTCTGGAGCAAGGAAAATCAAGATGGTTTGAGAAGATTAGATCTGCATGTGCAGTAGCTCAGGCAAATAAATCACTTGCGTGTGAAATTGGTTTGAATTAGACTCATGATTAACATATCTCGTAGGAACTCCGAAAAAGCCCAGCTCTCCTTGGACAGTGTCGCCCTCCTATACCCCTCTGGATCACTATGCGTGACCTCTCGGCACATTAAATGTAGCTAACCTTGACCCCCATACCTGCCGTCGCCTTGACCTTGTTCCAGCTCGTCGCCATTATGCGAGCTATGCGCTCACGCATGTTTCTTCTCCCAAACATCAGGACCAGCCCTATGATAAACGCGAGAAAGCGCATCAGCAGCATCGGATTGGTCTGGAGGGTCACACTCATGCGCTCAAGCATGGCACGTACGTTGGCAAACATGACGGCCGCTCGAGTCCCGAAAGAGGCCGGTGCGACGGCCTTGCTCTTGTTGGGAGAGGCTCCTCCACCGCTGGCTGTTGATCGCGCAGGCCTTGCTCTCGGCGTCCTCGGCCGTTCTCCCGCCTGGGCACGGTTTCGCCGTGCTGCCCTTCCGCCTGCCGATCCGGTTGCGCTCGTCGCATCGATGCCATAATCAACCTCACTCCCGTCTCGCCTTGCGCGCTCCTCCTCAAGCCGTCGTTTCTCCCTGTCCTCGTTCTCTGCGCGTAACCTCCGGGCCTCCTCGGCGTCCCGTCGTAGCTGCTCCTCCTGTCGCTGCCTCTCTTCGCGTTCCTTCCGCTCGGCCTCCAAATGGTCCTCTTGCAGACTCTGCAGGGCCTGCAGGAACGCCTCCCGCCTTTCGTCGTCGAGCACCGAGCTCACGCTGATAAACTCCCGCGCATAGTCCCACTCATTGTTGCGGATGAGAACGTGCAGTGTGTACAGCTCAAGGATCTTGACCCGTGCATTCAGGTCACGAGGCGTGTCGGCTCCACTGCGAAGTTTGGACGGTGACTTATGCCTGGAATGAGCACAGGGGGACGTCGGCGAGAAGTGGTTCGACAGATCTAGGTTCGGGCTCGACGAGGCGGCGAGGAAGTTCTCTAACCGCTTCTGATTGAGGTTCTGTGTTCTTGCGTGGGTCAAAAGCAGAGTAGCCCTGTCTCATTGTATCAGCAAGGCTCGGATGCAAGAAACTGCTGTCGAGAGACAAGGTTACGCACAGATTAATAACAACATCAGAATCTACGTCCCCTTCCACGCCGTGATAGCCGTTCATTACCACCTCTTCCCAGACATCACCATCCCGCACCTTGGCACATATCGATTTCCACTCCTGCAATCCGAACGCCTCCTTACCCTCATCCGGCTCGAGGGCGACTATAGCGTTCAGAATGGCCACGTAGAGTGTCCAGACCTTTATCCTCGTGTTCCGAGAGGCCTTGGCCACGGGGGCAGGCTCGATGGCGCCATGGGCTGCTTCCGAGCTTAATTGTGGTGGCGTTATCAAGGGCAGGATTGTGGTCAGTGCCTCGGGTAGCCTGCGCGTCAGGAACAGTGTGGAAGATTGGCGGTAAGTCTTGGAGACGTAGGATGCTGAGTGTCGTGCCGGAGTAGAAGATGTAAGAGATGATATGGAGGACGAGAGGGCCTCATGAGCTGAAGCGAAGTCCTGCGTACTAGTTGGGCTCAGAGTCGTGGTGAGCGACCCGTTTGTAGGAGAGGCGGCCATTATATTTTTTTAATAGCTGCCGTGGGCATTCACGAAGCGGACCTCGGGTTTCGCGAAGTAAAGTGCTGGAGCACTCCTCTCAGGCAAGCATCGAGATGTGAGACTAGAGAGAGGAATTGACCGTCATCCGAGAAAGAGAGAAATAGGACGGATCATGCGGAGGGCGTTGGTAAGACGTGGGCGTACATGGCTGGGGTGAGTTTAAATTTCGGACGTGGTTGGGATGTTGTTGAGAGGAACATGTGCCTTTTTCCAGCGCCTCTTCCGGCTGGAAGCACTTAACCCATGTTTTCGGTCATGTCGATTGCTTTCAACCTCGGCTCCACGCCATTCGTAAGTGGATCGTCATCCGTTCAGGCCCGCCAAATGCGGCTAGGATCCCCTGTACCGTGTCCCATTTCCCCAGACTTCAATGAACCCTCACCTTGTACCTGCTCGTCAATCCACATCAATGATCTCGGACATTGCCCTTGGATTTGTGACCGAGTAGCCAAGGTCTCTCTTGTCATATGATCAGCTGGCAGGCGACCTTCATGGTTTCTCCCAGCTCCAGACCAATTTCTTCCCCCACCCTCTGTTATGATATTGTTCTTGTGCTGTTTTGTCGATGCATCTCAACCTCTTTGTTTTGACAGGTATGAGAAATAACTGATAAGCTGGTGTGAATGTTAGGCTCAGCTTGGAAATAAATATGCCAGCGTGCACTGATGGCTCTTTGCTGGGCGATTTGTCCAGTCTGGCTGTGACCCTGTGTGCCGGCAGTGAATGCTCCTACTTCTGCGTGGCCCAGGTTGCCCTAGCAGGCTAGCAGTGGCTCTCTCTAACATGTTGACCAGGTCTTGAGAGGATGAGAGGCTTGCACTCTATATATAGAGGTACTTGTGAGAGCAAGCAAGGCATAGTAGAGAGAGCTTTAAGCTGCCAATTGAAGGACAGTTGCCTGGGGAAGGAGATGCCATGCTGCAACACACGCCGTTCGAATTACATCGGCCTTCGAATTATCTTGTTATTTCCTTACTGTATAACTTGCAAAGATATATATAATACCTCAAGGGATACATCTGGCGATGATCATTCTGTTGTTCTGATGTATCACATCGTTTGTGGCCTCCATGATGCTCTATATTGTCCCTCAAATCGATCAGGCCCATGACACACTGCTAATAAATGAACAAACATTTCCAAATGCTAAATATTGCAGCATCCCAGAAACTCCATCCTCTTTGCCAACAACAGCATTAAAGATGGAGGTGGACCGGATCAACTTCTGGGCTTAGCTACCATCCATTCTAACAGCTGCCAGTTGAAGAAGTGACATGAGCTTCACCAAAAAAAAAAAAAACCCCAAAAAAAAAACCACCAACCTCCCCCCCCCCCCCCAAAAAAAGAAAAAAACCAGGCAAGGACAAGAACAACCTGGGGCCAGGGTGACAGAGTGGGAAGCTGGAGTACAAGCTGGAGTACAAGATACGCATCGGACAATCCGGGCTGATGCTCTGCACTGGACTTCAGATTGTGCAGGATGAAGATACGACCAGAAACAGGATCATGATACTCTGTACTGTACATTGTAATGTTTCTTAGGATAGAGTGAGATTGAGAAGGGGTCGTTGATGAAGCAGAGTGCTTGCATGGTAGCAGCAGTAGATAGCCAATGCAATCAATCCTGATTGCCTGGAGACGTGACACAACGTTCACTAACATGATTTATAGGCTCGAGGTCGTCCATGTAAGTCCTTTGGCCCTCCAGCATCCGAAAACACACAAAGCCAAGCCAGTTGGCGAAGCTGACGAGAAGATGCGATGCTTGCGCAATAATATTTGCAGAAGATAGTCAGTCGCAAAGCTGGCAAATCTGCGCGAGCCTAGACCTTGGCATAATCAATCGTGCTTCCAATCCGTTGCTTAATGTCCAGTCAGTCTCAAGCAATCCAGAACGTTTACTTGCCAGCTTACTTGAAAGGGGGAAAAGGGAGAGGGGACGAGAACAAATATTCACGAGAGCCTAAGATTTGTATAGTACACCGCGTTTCGCGATCGTTGTCGCCATCGCGCATTGTACTACTAATATACTACTCGAAGGGAGCAAAGGGCATCATCAGTGGATACTTCTGAATCGACATTTGCCATTTCACAATGGTGATTTGGCTTTTGTGTTTTTATACATAAGTGTATATATCTATTGCCATAGACGCCCTTACTGCGATGGCATAGACTTCTCCACACTCTCATACAAGCCTGGCTGGAGGTGTTCCTTGAGCTCCTCCTTCGTGAGCCACTTGAAATCAGTGATGCCGTACTCGTTGTCCGTCAGATCCACCTGCCCGGCCATGATCCTTCCCTTGAGGTAAAAGACATTCGTACCGCGGACTTTGAGCGTCCTGTTCTTGCCCTCCTCATCAGTTCCGTATATCGGCTCCCGGTGCTCGAGAGCAATTGGATGCCGTCCGACCATCCAGGTGTTCATGTTGACACCTGCGGTATCTTCTAAAGCTCGAGAGGCGGTCTGGTGAATCATTGTCAGCCTTTTGCCAAATCCCCTCAACGTACCTGATATGTGTTTTCTTCTTGCTTTCTTTTCTTCTTCTTCGCCGCCAAGGAGGAAAAATAGATGGACATACCTCGTGCACTCCCTCATCCGGCCTGACCTCATCGTGCGGGAAAACCCACCTCTCCTTCTGATTCTTCACAATGAGATACAGCGTTCTGTCCAGCTTGCGATCCAGCCTCCGCACGTCCCCGGTCCGATCGGCCTCCGTCTCTCGGGCCAGCGGCCGCTCGATCCGCAACCGGTCCTCGAAGCTCAGAGCCTCACCATCTTCGCTCACACGGCTCTCCGCCTCGGTATACAGCTTCTCCCTGATGTAGTCCGGGTCCGAGAGCTTCTGGCCCTCCTCGACAAGCGCCTCGTCGTCCCACGCGTCCCGGCCTTTGCGCGTCAGCCGCCCGATCTCGCGCGCCATAACGTGGCTACGCTCGCCAAACTTGATGGCGAAGTCTACGCCTGCAGGCTGGCCCTCGCGGTAGTAGAACTGGCGCGCGAACGGCGTGCTGAGCCGCTCGTTCAGCCGCTTCTGGTAGAGGTAAAAGGCCGCTTCGAACGGCGTCTGCGTCCGCGTCAGGATGGGCGGCCGGCTGAGGATGATGCCGGCACGGAGGCGGTAGAGGGATTTAGGGTGGAGGAGGTTGGTGGTGGGCTGATGGCTGATGCTGGCCAGGTCGGCTGCGGATGCAGTGCCGCTGGTGACTGGCATGATGTTTGGTGAGAGAGAGGAGGGATTCGTGGTCGCACTGGCCGGAGTATTTGAGGAGTAGGATCGCTTGGGGGACGGCGACGTATGCTGGGGGAGTGTTGCGCAACGGATGCACAATTGAGGTGCTCCTACATTGGTCTCGCGTGTTAGCTGTGGATGAGCATTGTATGATCGAGGAATTGGCCGACAACAAAGAAGTGTGAACGTACTCCTTAGGAGAGGCACAACGACCCGCGACCCTCTACTTGAGGCCGTCATGACGTGGTTCGGGTCTTTTGTGCTGTGATCCTCCGAGATCCAACCCTTGGGAGCTCTTCTATTCCATCGACTTTTGGCGCGCGACCGATCTCAACTTTTTCGCGGACGTCAAAAGAGTACCTAGGTACAAAGCTGCAGTGCCAAGCCTTACCTAATCGTTTTTGATTGGCCAAAACTCGCACCGGCCCAGTGGGAGGAGCAGCCCTTCAAATTTCTCAGCACAGCGCCAGAGGTGTTGTCCCTCTCCTCTCTTCTTTCTCATCCACAGGCATGAAATCCTTATCTCAAGACTTTGTCCCCATCTCCTCCAGGACGTCTTGTCATTTACGAGTGCCCAGAGTGAAGTTCAGATCAGCCTGATTCGCTAGCGGCGCCTGCTGCTCGCTCGAGTTCTTCGACGGGCCAACCTCCCACCGGGCTCACGTTAGATAGATGGCTGTCACAAGAAATTCCACCGCGCGCGATGGTCTGTGTTCCTCGAGAGAACCCGACGCTGCGCTTACGAGACCAACGATCTTGAAACTCTCCGCCGGACCATCCATCGATTCTAGGCCTGCGCGCATTGTTCTCTTCAGTGCCAATGCATTGATTTTCATCATCACGAGATTGACTTTCCTGCTAAATAATGAACTGACTTTGTTCAATCAAGCTAGGGCGCACAATTGTATTGTGCTCTGTCGTTAAGCTCTGAAGCACGGGTTTGCAGGCTCAAGTCGGGAGTTCCCTCATTCAAGCTTTTTCATCAAAAATTCGAAGCTCGTCGCGAGTTCTTGTCAGGCTGCATCGAGACGGCGTCTTGAGAGAGCATAAGAGACATTTCCATTCAGTCAAGCAAAGCTACCAGTGCTACGTGCTGCTGTCCTACGACAAACCCCACCCCCAATATACGTGCAAGCTCTCGAAATGTCAGGTCCGGACCGTCCCCGGCCCCGCCAAAAATGCTGAAGAAGAAAACAAGAACAAGAAGAAAACCCGTCCCATAATATGTCCCTCGACGCCACGGTACCGTGGCGCCGTCATAGAAGAAATCATCCCGATAAGACAAACACCGGTACCATTTGGACTGCCCAGGGGTATCTTTCCAGCTTGCGCGACTCCGTGAAAAACATAAAATAAACGCCGTTCATTCGCTACTCGCCGAAGCAGATTCATGCGTCTCAAGGATCGTGATCGTCAAGATTTCAACTCTGCGACAGCATGCGCAACCTCGGTCGTCGCGATCTTCTCCCACTGTCGTTTTGCTTCCTCGTTGACCGTGGATGGGTCGGAAACTTCTTCGTAAATCTTGTGGGAGACGGCACGGTTGATCTTCTCATACTGATCGCGGGAAAGCTGGCTGGACTTCCAATGCGGTTTTAGTGCAGCACGCACAACTTGACTGATGTCTTCTTTGATCTCAAGTGGCAGCGTCTTCCGAGTGGGCGACAGCTCTTGGGATTGAGACAGTCGGACTTCGAGCTGTCGTCGAGGACGTGGTTGTCTCAGCTCGGGCGATCCGTTCCGCTTCAGTGGACGATTCTCTGAGTCGCTAGACTCTCCGTTCGAACGTGTTGGTGAGTAATTTGCAGGCGGGTACTTGGGCTCGATATGTGAGCTCAGAGACAGGACGGGTGATCTCGATGCGGACCGGGCTGTCGCATTTGCAGGAGGTGGTGCAGGAGGTGGTGTCAAAGACAATGCCCGTGGACTATTTCGTGCAGATGCAGACGGTGATGCCACAGGCGAGGAGGGGTCAACAGTGGGCGGAAGCCCAAAAAGACCACGAACAGTCTCGTCATCCGCGGGGCCGCTCTGTTCGACCTCTTTAAGCAGCGACGAGAGAAAAGATGGTGCCTCCTCCGGTGCAGCCGGAGACTGCGCAAGAGGAGAGCGATCATTCGACGATCCTCTAGACCTGGCGTCGACATGATGATTCGACGCCGTAGAGGCAACTTTGGATGATACGGCTTCGCCTCCTTGGTTGGTTATACGACGGGTGCGAGGGCGCTTCAGTGGCCGTGAGGGTTCAGGTGCAGGCTCCACCGGGGACGCAGTGATGGATCGAGATTTTCTCTTCCGGCTACTAGGCGTCGATGCTCGAGCTCTCTCAAAGTCCCGCCACGCCTGTCGCTCCTCACGAGTTTCGGGTGCTCCTGGGGTTCCTGATCCAGATGGTGGCGCAACCTGTTGCTCAACCACACCTTGAATGTTCCGAGCAAAGACGTCTCGAGCACCTAGCCTGCTTGCTATGCTGAGGCGTTGCTGCCAGCGTTGCCAATCGCGACGTTCTCTCTCGCGGGCTGCTTGGGATCGCCGGTATGCACGCAAGTGATCGTCTTCGTCGTCATGGGAATCAAGGTCGATGCCCGTGGCGCCGTGCACGTGGCTCGAGAACTGGCCCCAAGCCCCAAGCCACTGATCGGTACGAGCTCTGGTTCTCTCATTGCGCATGCTGGCCTGGGTACGGGGGAAAAAGTTGCGGCGGCGGCGAACCCGACCAGCAGTGCGGGCAGCCACGGCCTGGAACTCCTGGACTGTGATCTCGTTCTGGTCTGCACACTCCATGCAGAACCATGCACCGTCAGGAACATCGTCCAAGCCGATGCAATGTGTGTGGTACGGTGTATTGCAACCGTCGCACAGAAGCAGAACATCTTCATGGTCTGCGGTGTTGCAGACCGGACACGGCCTGCTTTCCTCCTCCTCTTCCTCGGGATTCTCGTCCAGCCATGCTAGTGGGTCGAACTCGGCAACTTGTTTCTTATCTTCGACCGTATATGTGTTGAGGAGGGCGCCTAGTGGAAAGACGTGGAAAAGTCAGCTTCTTGCACATCTAGCTTCGAGTTTTGCCCGAGGACCACTCACCTCCGACCTTGTCGTAGACCTCAACAAGGTGAAATGCCTGGCGGCAGATAGGGCAGCTATTCGCCTTTCCAGTCCATGCTTTCAAGCAGCTATCATGCAGAATGTGACCACAAACTTGGATGACAGCGATATTGTCATCGGGATCTAGGCGAGACTCATCCGTCCCACTCAGGTGTTTTGTTGTAACTATCGTAGTTGTGATGTTTGTAGTGGTGGATGAAGCGGTGGGTGATGCTGCGGCGGCGGCCAAGGGGAGCGGCTTGAGATCGCCAATGGGTGTGGGTGCGGGCGCTGCAGCAGCAGCGGGCAGTCCACTACCGTCATCGCCCTCATCACCTTGCAATTGCTGCAAGGGTATCGTACTGTCTAGATTCTCTAGACAAACGATGCACTGGTCTGCCATCACAGAATGCCAAATCGAATGAGGAGAGGGATTACAAGATAATCAAAGGCCGGGGGAGGCATGAATATGATGGTGTTGATGGGATCTGGAGGGGGTTGGACTTCCTATTGTCAGCTTCGTTGTAGTTGTCGTGGCTGGCGATAGGCGGGCGCAGGTGCTGATGCGATAGGGCCTAGGCGCTGAGGGTGTTGGGGAGGGAGGGGGCCTGTAAGCTGTGTGTGCTGGTGAGGCCGGTTTCCTGTTTTAGCGGGTCAGTCCGTCCCAAAAGGCTCTGCGCTGCACTTGGGAAGAGGAAGAATGGGGAAGAGGCGAAAGTGCAAGCAGCTTGGAGAATTTGAGGGAGCATGGGCTACCCTACTTACCTAATAGAACAGTGCGTCCTGGTACTATGGTTCCGCAGATGTGAGTGCAGTAGGTACCTCCGGATCCAAATCGAGCGACCGCGGGACCTGGGCGAGTTTTAGCACAGTGCAGTGCTGTGTCCTACTGACCCGACCGACCCGTTTCGTTCCTCACACGCTGCAAAAAGAGGGACGTTTACCGCGGTGCTTTTTTGGACACAAGACCGGGATTCTTTTTTGGGGGCTCCCTGTTTTCCCTCACGATGCGATGCTACCTCTCTCCCTGCCTTCTTGCAGACCGGTGGCATGGGTGGGCTCTGCGTACTCATCTATCCGGGTCATATGCACAAGAAAAAGGAGTGTATGAATCACACAGCTCATACAGCAAAAGACGATTACTACTACTACAGGTCACACATGTATCCAGCTGAAGATGAAAAGACCTTAATGACCGGTTGATGAAGGAGCAGTGACGCCTTAACTTCGATGACCTGTGGGGCCCCAACCGATACCTAAGACACGCATTCCTCAAGGGCACTACCCACCACCCACCACCCCCCAGACCATACAGTTGAGCATTGTTCTCGTAGCTCCATATTCATGCTGATCCCACCAAAAGAAAAAGAATACACAACACAGGAAATATCCTCACTTTAAATTACTGTAATACTCTTATCTTTGCTTTCTGTTCCTCTCGTTATCGAGAAGAAGAAAACCACACCCTTCAAGCGTAGATCGAAACTTAACTTCAACCCCCCTTCCTCAGTGGTTTTCAAGCGTCAGTGTAGGCAGGGTTCGTCGCCTGTCAAGGCAAATAAATGCCCACTCTCCAGTGCCATCGGCTCGGGTACCATCGTCCGTTCACCAACCACCTGACCCGCATCCTTCCAATTACTAAACTGGAGGAAGCCACTGGCGTGATTTAATGTGGCATTAGCTGGAAACACACAAATGAAGAACAAGAGTGAAAAGAAGACACGTACTATGTAAGACAAAGACGAGGAGGTGGCAGTGTATTTCGTACCTAGACGTGTGTGTGTGTGTGTGTGTGTGGCTCAAGGGGCGCACGGTGCAGACGTACGGATAGATGGAGGGTGACACATCAGCCGCTTAGGCTTTGGGGAGTGAATCACACTTGTCGTAGGGACGAGGGACACAAGTGAGCACATCCCCCCTCATGATCAGACTTGCCTACACCATCACCACAACGGATGACGTGCCCTGCCTACACTCTGCGTTCCCCTGTCAGGCACCGGCCATTGCACATCGGGGGCGGGTAGAATCAGGCAGCGCAAGCAAAACTACCTTTTCTAAGCATTGCAAATTCGGTGCTGGGGGAGGGGAAATTGGTTATTATCAGCATCTGAGCAATGGAAAGCCCCGGTCCTACAACTATGTTTCACGATCGACGTCGTAGGGACAGTATTGCGATCTTTAGATGTCCGTCATGGTCATCACTTTGCCAGTCAAAGGCCGCATCCCAAATGTTCTTCATGGAATCAATTTCTAGCTGATTCCTAGCCTCGTCAAGGATCCGTACCCATATCGGAGGCCATCATCCCTTCCCTGGTCGATTTGCGTAGCATGCCCTGCTGAGAAAACCATTTTATTCCCTGACACCACGAAATGTTGTGAAAAGCAAGCAAGATCATGATAACACCGCCCAGGCTACAGCCGTTCCGTCCACCTTTCTGCCTTTATCCACCTTACACCTCAGCGATCTCGCGCAATCTTCGGAGGGTCGAGCGCATGGCGGCGGCAGCGGGCGTGGCAACGGTGTAGGCACCACCGCTATTTAGTCTGTCGTCAGAAAACTGAACTACCTCGAATGGTGTGGATCCAGCAATCATATGTGGCCTAATGAGAGTGACTTACGCAACAGTGCGCTTGCAGGACTTGCAGTCCCAGATGCCGACGGAGTGACGCTTGACGCTGGTCTTGCCGCAGAAGGTGCAGATGTACTTGGCGTGCTGGGTGATTTCCATCTTCTTGACGGACTTTCGGAGGGAGGCACCGTATCTTTACATCTTCATGTCAGTTCCTGTCCAATGATCATTTCGTGTGGTTCCTTGTCGCCCTGCGTCGTAGCACTGTCGCACCAGGAGAGGCCACTGATTCGCCGTAGGCTCGTTGTAAACGGCTTCTCCAGGTCGAATAAGAGGGCACCAGCATGATTCCGGATGGACAGTGCAGGGCGACACGAATTGTTGTCAGGGTCATCGAGGGGGTTCGGTTGGTTCGTACCTAGTACCGTACTTGCCGGTCACTGTGAATTGAGTTGTCAGCTCGCCATTCTCGAAAACAACATCTCGAGCAAATTTGTCTTAGGTGTCCAGGACGAGCACTGAAGCGCTTCAGACACCACAGCAGTAAAGATGTAGCCGACAGATTGTTCATGGTTTCCTAAGCTCTTGCCCCGCCCACGCCCAGCGAATACTCTCGCTTAGCTCAGTTGACGTTTATATGTAGCTCTCCCCAATATTGTTGCCGTGTCTGTCTCGCCTGATGCGTGTTTCGTGGTGCGCTTCGTGCTCGTCCATCGCTCGGTCTGCTCAGAGGGGGGCTCAATGTGAGAATCTCGTTGACGTACCTCCGACCTTCTTGGTTCGCTACAGTGAAAGAAACGTCAGCAATTATCTCAACAATATCCACAGAATCAAAAGTTTCGTACCTTGGCCATGGTAATGGATTGTGGTGGTCGACTTTACTGGTTGCGGAAAGTTGACTTGTCGGAGGGCGAAATTTCGTGGTGGAGTGCAACTCGCTGCGTTAGAATTTCGCTGGGTTGGGTCAGATTGTGCGGGTTGCGGATTTTTTGGCTTAGGCTGGCCTGAGGCAGGAAAGTGACCCAGTCGGATCGATTGCGGAGCCCGCTGACTAAGTGCCTCTCACCAGCTGGCCCCAGCTGTCCCGCAACTGCGTTGGTTCCCCCCCCCCCCCCAGGAGATGTGTCAATGCTGAGAAGCCAGTCTACTTGATCATTGAATTGCAATTTCTTTATGGCCTTGCTGTTTTAACATTCCTCGCATTGGCACTCGGTCTCGGTGCACGCAGAATCTGTAGGGCAACAGCCGTTGCTCAGTCAATCTGCAGATACGTTGACAGGCAGTTGAGCCGAGGCAATGGCCTGACATCACCTAGGTATAAGTAGTACCAGATAGTGTGCTTGCACAAGATATGTTCGGCCCCTGTCCTTCTCTCGGCCATAACTTTACAAATTCGAATCTCGACATCAGTCTTCTGACTAGGTTCTCACTGTGAATCTGTGCAGCTCTGTGCTTTACCGCTTGGCGAGCGTATTCTCCCTTCCTTCCTTGTTACACAAGCCACCCCCTAGATTAGACTCGATCATAGGTTGAGCACGAAAGGTTCCGCCTCAACATGCCTTTCAAAAACCATGGTCGCCAGTATGACCTGGTAGTATTCGGGGCTACCGGTGAGGACTCCCTCGCTGCAGATGTCCGAATTTTACTGACAGGTACTCAGGTTATACGGGGAAGTACACGACAGAGCACATCACCACGAACTTGCCCACAGACCTAAAGTGGGCCATCGCTGGCCGTTCCCATGGAAAGCTCGAGAAGCTCGCTTCCGAACTCAAGCCATTGCACCCAGACCGGCGTCAGCCTGGTTAGTTACTTACGCTCTCTCAGAAATCTTACTCAAAGCCTTGCCTGCCTGACTGACAGCGTCTTCAGACATCGAGGTGTGTGACCTCAACGACGAGGACCTAAGTTCATTGGCCAAGAAAACCTTCATCTTGATCGCTACTGTTGGCCCATACGGAAAATATGGAGAGCATGTAAGCATGTCACGCTAAGACACATGGCCGTGACTGCGAGACTGAACTTTTTACAGGCCTTCAAGGCGTGTGCCGAGAATGGCACGCACTACTTCGACGTCACTGGCGAGGTGCCCTACGTAGCGAGAATGATCAAGAAATACGATCACGTCGCCAAGCAGTCGGGCAGCCTGATGTTTCCACAGATAGGTGTTGAATCTACCCCTGCGGATCTCATTGCGTGGTCCTTAGCCAAGCACATCCGGGTGAATCTTGGCGGGGCGAAGACCGGCGAGACTGTCATGTCGGTTCATAACCTCAAGTAGGTAACATCGAACTCACCTGAAGCGAGAGTTCTTTACTCACGTTGCAACAGGTCTGCTCCTTCCGGAGGTACTTTGGCCACCGTCCTTGACTTCTTCGACATGTTCAGCTTGAAGGAGATTGCCGCAGCCTTGGCACCCTTCGCTTTGTCGCCAGTCCCCAATACGCAGTCTCAATCTCAAGCACCCTCGCTGTGGTCAAGGCTCACAGGTTTGCGGACTGTTCCCGAATTGGGTCTGCAGACGACATTTATTGGCGCTGATACCGACCGAGCCATCGTGCACCGCACTTGGGGTCTCTTCTCGCAGGCTGCCTCCAGGAAAGACGAGTTTTACGGCCCAAATTTCAGTTTCTCCGAGCACATGAAGGTGCGGAACTGGTTGTGGGGCGTCCTGATACATTGGGGCATCACCATGTCTGCCCTTGTCTTCGTCACTGTGCCGCCCATCCGAAAACTGGTGAAGAGGTTCGTGTACAAACAGGGCCAGGGACCAGAGATAGAGCAAGCAAAGAAAGACGAGATCGAGTATCGAGGGGTAGGGATACCGGATGGTGACAACGGTGCTGGGAAGTTGGCGTACTCCCGGGTCTTGTTTCACGGTAGCATGTATGCTTGTAAGCAGCTCATCCCCAGTCTCGCATCCAATGACGACGGGCTTCCTAACATTGTAAATTAGTGACCGGTATCTTCTTGGCTGAGGCAGCTCTCACGGTCCTCGAAAATGATCTTGGTCTAGATGGCGGCGTCCTCACGCCTGCTTGTCTTGGTCAAGGCTTTGTCGACAGGCTTGGTGCCTCGGGATTCCGGATCGAGTCGACGACGCTGTCAAGGTGATTGGCAGAGCTTTTTTTGCTTATATCCAGTGGTAAACAGCACCCCGACGTGTTGTGTGAAAAGGTGGACGCCACTGTACATGCGCGGGATAAGCCATCTCGAACATATGGACCAACGCAAACGAGGGTTGGCGCTAGTCTAAAATTGCGAAATGCACGCGTGCGAGCTCGCCCAGTACCTTTCCACCAACTTGTTAGTATTCATTGACACGTATGTGTGTCTTTACCAGGGGAGGAGAAAGGGAAACAAGAAGAAACAGAAGAGCAAAAACGGATCAAAGTCACCGGCGGGGAACAAGGACGTGTGGCCGTGGGAGTGCACAGCATAGTGGTGATGCAGACTACATAACTCAACTGACTGGAGAGAGGGTTGGTAGTCATGTAAGCAAGGCTGTACGAGTCTATTATAACACTCTGCTTCTTACTTTTTTTTCTAGATCCTAGTCAGATACCTTGACGAAGTGTTTATTCCTCCTTGCAATGCAACCGGTTCGTACCAGAAAATAAGGTACAGGTTCAGTCGATGATTGTATGCAGTACTTTAAACAACCCTAAATTTAGGCGACGTCAGTGGTGCTGTGTACAAATGCAAGTGAGCATTAGGGGGACTAGTGCAAGACATGACCAGGGTCAAAGCTTGCTCCACGTTTCCGTAGCTGCATTTAGAACTCTGATTTTCTTTCTTGGTGCTGATGGTTCCCAGTGCGAACATGAAGTTTTGGGCAGCCCACTTCATTATACATTGAAAGCACGCAGGTTGTTCATACCTAATAAATCCGTAGAGAATACCTAACGAGCAGACATGTGGATACATTTTCAATACTTTAAAAAAGAAAAGAAAAGGAAGAGAGAATGCAGCGGTTGGAAGATACAAGAGATCATTATGTGGTCCCTGGAACAACGCTGGAAAAGAAAAGGGGTAGGTGGGAACTGTCCACAAGGAGAACTTCGAAAACGTATGGAAATGGTAGCTGATGCAGATTGCTGCTGCTGAACACTCTACATAGTAGTGTCGTTGTATTTGAATTTGCAGGACCTTTTTTGCTGCATTCAGAGTCTTGTGAGGCACACAGTCCAGACACGGAGCAGGGAACCACAAACCCCACCCCACTTCCATGTGTTGTACTTTGGGCTGGTCTGGCAGTGTTTCGATCTTCTAACGTCATTGAGCGCTGGCGAGCTTCCTTCAGTCCTTATTTGCGACCACTTCCTACATATTTCAGCCTTCGAACCAATAGGCTACACGCTTTGGGTGTTCTTTTAAAAGATCACAGAAATGGCCCCAGAACTCACAACATTATCTCGGTAGCCTCTTTTCCCCCCTCAGCGATCCACCTGCGGCAATTGGGCATAGAGTGCCCCCTTTCCAAACCTCTGCCAACCCACTCTTACGACCCTAGAATATTATTGCAGTCACAACAAGCCCTCTTACCTGGCAGCACAGACCCGGAATTACAGTCGTCCGTGACTGTCCCTCGCCTGCTGTGCCCAGTCCTTCTGGTAACCGGACCAGTTACAGCTCCCAGACCCGTTCCTCGGCATAAGGTGCCTCGACAGGCGACGTTCTCCTCTTTTTAATATCCTCTTCACCTCCTTGTTCGACATGTCTACAGCAGAAACATCCCCACTCCTCCCGACGGCAGAGAGTAGCCGTCTCAAGGCCTCGCGGACGGTCACCTTCAACGCCAACCCGGTCACCAAGACGATCGAGCCTGACGGCGACAACTCCCCTCCCACAGCCTCAGCCGGTGCCTCAAGCTCCGCATCCACCTCGGCAGCGCTGTCCAAGATGCGGCGGAGACACAGCGCTGGCAGCGGTGGCGCCATCGTGAATGCCCTCCCGGCGAACCCGGCAGCCAAGATCGGCCCGCAGCGGTCGACCAAGAATGCGCAGAAGTTGAAGCTGCTGCCCAACCCAGAGCTGGAGGACGAGGAAGACGGACCCGACGAGGAGAGCGGGAGGGATGTCTACTCGCAGTACACACGGATTAAAGACCCCACGGCGCGGAGGGACGCGGCGCGCCTGGGCAAGGCAGACAGGACGCGGCTGCCGAGGGTGACTGCGTACAGCACGGCGAACAAGTACGAGATGGAGGGCCTGATGAGGTTCCTCAAGGGATCGCGCGGCAAGACAAAGGGGGCAAATCCCAAGCTGATCGACGAGTGCATATACACGCCGTATAACTACAACAGCAAGCAGGTGGAGATGGGACATGCGCAGCGCCAGGCACAGATCCACTCCAGCCCGGTACACCCGTACGAGAGAAGGCATTCGACGGGGGAATTCTCGACGGCCACGGCTGCGGACGCTGGATATCCTCAGCAGGACCTCATAGATCTGAGGCACGAACACCAGATCCGTGAGGAGGGAGGCTACGATAGCCAGGCAGACACTTTCGGCCCGGAGAGGGGCGAAGAAGGCACGCTGGTAGAGACAGCCGACTTCGACATAGAGGTCCACACACCCGAAGTCTTTCTCTTTGAGTATGGCGTGGTGGTGATATGGGGCATGACGCTTCAGCAGGAGACTCGCTTCCTGAAGGAGATCTCCAAGTTCGAGGTGGAGAAGCTAGGACCTGATGATGTCGAGGTGGAATACTTCAACTTCTACTACACTCGCGAGTATCAAGCGCGCATCTACAACGACTTCATCGCACTGCGGGACAAGAACAACTACCGGGTGAAGCTGGCAATCTCGCACGCCCTGGCACAGAGCACCAAGACGTCCCTGTTTGAGGACTTGATGGATACGACCATCGACGCGTGCAAGGACATCCCGACGGAGATCTCGCTGACGGGCAAGATTGCGCTGAGCCGCAAGCAGATACACATGCAGATCGGCGAGCTGTTCATCCTCAAGTTAAATATCCATCTCGGCGGGTCGATCCTGGACACGCCTGAGCTGTTCTGGGTCGAGCCGCAGCTTGAGCCCGTGTATCAGGCTGTGCGCAAGTACCTCGAGATGGACTCGAGGGTCAAGGTTTTGACCGACAGGATGGATGTTATTGGTGATCTCTTGGCCATGCTGAAGAGCGAGCTAAGTCATGGCCATGGCGAGAAACTCGAGTGGATTGGTGAGTGTAGTCCCATAACACACCCCCCCCCCTCTCCGGGCCGGGGGAGAGACGAGGAGTAACTGACGTGTGCATTCAGTAATTGTGCTCATCGCTGCTGAGATCATCGTGGCTGCGATAAATATCTTCGTTGATATGTACTGGGTCGACTAATTTGGTGGAACGAGGGTCGAGTCTTTGGTATTTAATAGGCCCCTCCGAGGCCGACAAAATCAGCAAGAATAGAAAGCCACACACATGCACATATACATACTATCAGGCATATGGAGGGACAACCAAGCCCTCAGATTGTGTTTCAGGAGCTTCAGATAAGGTGGGATCATATCAGCATCGTTTGACTGGTTTGTTTGGGGCAGGAACTGCATCGCTGTAGAAACGTTGAGCATAGCTACTTCATTGTAGATAGCAGGAGGGGGGCGGGGAGGAGGAGAAAGAGGAGGAGGTGCTCTGCGGGAAAACAGGACAGCAGATTACAGAGCGAAAACACGCAATATAGGATCAAATGGGCCTTGATAAGAGGACATGGAGGCTTTGCACATATGCTTAGGATACCCGTGTCAATTTACTACTTATCTCCAGCGGCACTGACTGTACACTCTCACTCTCTTTCAATTTGCTTCATACATGCTGTATGGTTCTCTTTTTCATGGCACACAACTTTGCTCTGGGTGTTACAGCCATATAATAGACATATAGTCACATGCATTGAGATATAACAAGTATCATATTACTTTCAGCATGCCCAGGAATCATTATGTTTATTGAATACAGAGGTATACTTTTCTCAGAACCAGACCCATCCGACCCAAACGCCAAGACACCACCTTCTCATGTAGAATCAGGAGAGATGTTCAGGTCACCACTAGTCCTCATTCTCCATTTCCACATCGTCGTCTTGAGCAGGTGTATCCTCAGCTGGTGACTCGGCAGCTGCAGACCTCGCCTCTTTGGTCTTTTCTTCTTCCTTGTCCTTGTCCTTGTCCTTGTCCTTATCTTTCTCATTGTCCTTGTCCTTGTCCACAGCAGCCTCCTTCTCCTTGGCTGTGTACTCGTCCTTCTGGCTCTGAGGAAGCTCTTTCCAGCCACGAGCCAGCTCTTCCTCAACAGTCACATCCTCCTCTTTTGAATCCTCGGCAGCGGCGCGGTGCTCAGCGCAGTAGAGCTCGAACGCACTGGCGGACTGCTTTTTAGCGGTCTTGCTACTGCCGCCGCTGTCGCTCACGCCATTGGAGCGCTGGGCAAGCGGCTCCTTTGTCTGCTGACTACCAGAGCCGGCCTCGCCGGCGGTGGCGGAGTGGGAGAACGCGTCAGAAGAAGGCGACAGGTTGTGCACGTTCTGATTGATGAAAGTGGGCGGGGGTCCGTTAGTGCCGGACTCCAGGGCGGCGACGACAGAGGGCTTGCGGTGGCCACGCTTGCTGCGCAGCGGCTTGTCCTGAGGCTGTTGGCGGAGGGGGAGAGCATTAGTACCGGAAGCAGAACCAGCAACAGCGTTTCCAGATTTGCGAGGTCGTGACCGGCGTCCAGCAGAGGTGGTAGATGATGATGCGCGCAGGGGAGGGGCAGGAGCAGGTGAGGGTGAATGAGCATGAGCATGGGCAAGAGGGCCATTGTGTTCGATTGCTTCATCACGTACTGTCGGTGGCGGGCTCGGGCTGCCGTCGGAGTCCTCGACGTTGGTGCTGGTACGCTTGGCCAGCTGGTCTAGCAGAAAGGCGCGCTCAAGACGGAGCTTCTCCACGCCGCGGCGCAGGCGGAGCAGGCGGAGGCGCGCGGCCTCGTTGTCCTCCTCGACCTCGTTCGTACGCCGCTTGAGCTGCACGCACTTTCGGCGGTAGGCCTCCTCGACTGAGGGAGGAAGCGGGGGCGGTATTGCTATTGAGGAGGATTCGCCATTGTTAGCCCTGCGGCCTAGTTTGTGGACCATTGTAGAGAAAGAGACGTGAGGCAGGGTAAGCCTCGTGTAGTATGATGATAGTGATGATGATGATGATAATGTTGTTGTTGTTATTGTTGTTGTCGTCGTCGAATGTTCCCAAAGAAAGAAAAAGGAAATGGGAGAGATGGGAGTCAAGTCACAAAGGGCAAAGGGCAAAGGGCTGGCGGAAGGTGGAACCCGCATCAACAATGATGTGAAATAGTGGAGTTGCTGGAAACTGCTGTACTCACATGGAGAGGGAGCCATCTCTGAATTGGGGGACTGATACCTCGTCAAAATTGGTTTGGCTGGATGATGCGGCGCGTGGTTAAGATATCGAGAAGTGGGGATTCAATGGGCTGTCGTGTACGCAAGAGGAGGGAAGTAAATTCGCCAGAGTTACGTTGTCGGAGCTGAGGAAGATTGATCAACATGATAGACCATCCTGATGACAGACGGCCAGAACCCCTGGCGACCTCCTTAGGCAAGGTTGAGGCTGAAGGGCACCCCCCTACCCCAAGCTCAACGCCCGGACCACCTGGAGGACCCTCAGCCCCCCAATAGCAGGCTGGTTGGCAGGGCAGGCGAGGTGTGCAGGGGCCGAACATTTTTGAAAGCTACCCCACGTAAAACACGTCCACGTTCAAGTACCACCACGCCCGCCGCCCACCGCCACCACCACTACTTCACATCTCCATCACGAGGATCAGAACGAGGACCCAGCATTTGCACACGCGACTCGTGACCAACACTGCGAGATGTCGCTCAATATTCCCAACGCGCCAAATGCTGGCCTGTTCAAGCAGGGCTACAACAAGTATGTCTGCATCCCTCCTTGTGATCTTTCAGGCTGCATCCTTCTTTGTGCACATATGCTCACCCAGACTACCTCTTTCTTAGCTACGACTCTGAAGATGGCGCCGTCCTGCGCAACATCGACGCATGTCGCGCCATATCATCGACGGTTCAGACCTCTCTTGGCCCCTATGGACGCAACAAGATTGTCATCAACCACCTCCAGAAGATGATCCTGACCTCTGATGCCGCCACCATCCTCCGCGAGCTCGACGTTGTTCACCCCGCCGCCAAGCTCCTAGTCATGGCCAGCCAGCAGCAGGACGCAGAGATGGGTGATGCTACGAACCTGGTGATTGTTCTGGCTGGCGAGCTGCTGAAGAAGGCCGAGGACCTGCTCCGCATGGGCTTGAAGACCTCTGATATCGTGACGGGCTACGAGCGTGCGCAGAAGGTTGCACTAGAGGCGCTGGAGGAACTGGAGTGCGACAAGATCGAGGACCTGAGGTCACAGGGGGAGATGAGCAAGGCTCTGCGGACCGTCATAGCAGCCAAGCAGAACGGCAACGAGGACTTCCTGGCCGACCTGGTCGCTGAGGCTATCCTCGCTGTGCTTCCCAAGAACCCTCTTGCTTTCAACGTCGACAACATCAGGGTGGTTAAGATCATGGGCGGGAGCTTGGAGCAAAGCCGCGTCGTCAAGGGTATGGTCTTTCCCAAGGAGCCCAATGGGACCATCAAGAAGGCGAAAAAAGCCAAGGTCGGCGTCTTCTCGTGTCCCATCGACACCAGCCAGACCGAGACCAAGGGCACCGTTTTACTGCACAACGCCAAGGAGATGCTCGACTTCACCAAGGGCGAGGAGGCACAGCTCGAGGCTGCGATCAAGGAGCTGCACGATGTCGGCCTGCGTGTCGTGATTGCCGGCGCCACCGTCGGAGAGCTGGCCATGCACTACCTCAACCGCTACGGCATCCTGGTCATTAAGATCCTCAGCAAGTTTGACCTCCGAAGAGTATGCAGAGTGGTCGGTGCTACACCTCTGGCGAGGCTTGGCGCCCCAATGCCGGATGAGATGGGCAGCGTGGACGTCGTGGAGACGCTCGAAATCGGCGGAGACCGTGTCACGGTCTTTAGACAGGAGGATGAGGTCACACGGACGGCGACTCTGGTCCTTAGAGGAGCTACGCAGAACCACCTCGACGATATCGAACGGGCTGTTGATGACGGTGTCAACGTCGTCAAGGCCATCACCAAAGACTCCAGACTAGTGCCCGGGGCTGGTGCTACAGAGATGCAGCTGGTGGAGAAGATATCGGCGCAGGGCGAGAAGACACCTGGTCTTGCCCAGTACGCTATCAAGAAGTACGGCGAGGCTTTCGAGGTCGTCCCAAGGACGATCGCCGAGAGCGCTGGTCTTGATGCGACTGCGGTGCTGGCCGATCTGTACCGCGCGCATCACAAGGATGACTGGACTATTGGTGTGGACATTGAGGTGAGCTGCCCTTTAGTTTTTCCCTTTCCCTCTTCTTGCTACATTTCCCTTTTTTTGTATTGTGCACGCCACCTCTTCTGCACAAGCTAATAGCTATATGATAGAACGAGAGCGGCAATGGTATCTTGGATGCGCAGGATGCTGGTATCCTCGACCTTATGGCTACCAAGGCCTGGGCGATCAAATTGGCGACCGAGGCTGCCAGGACTGTTCTTGCTGTCGACCAGATCATTGTCGCAAGACAGGCCGGTGGTCCCAAGCCCCCAGGACCGAACCCGGTAAGTAATCTGTGATCTTCGCGCACGAGTCCTCGCTCACGCCCCACCCTATCATTGGTATCCCTGGGAACATATCAGAACTGACAAGATGTTGCAGAACTGGGATGAGGACTGAGGGCACTTTGTATGACAACAAACCCGACGTGACGGCCGACCAGACACTGCGCATCCATAAAAGAAGAACAAAACATAGACAGATTTGCGGCAAGAAGAGCCGCTCCATACGGGCCTGAATGATATCCGACTGCGGTTCTGAGGCAACTCGGCGGTGTTGATCAGCTTGGGATCATTGTGGGGAGGCTTTATTGTAGGAGAGTTGAGATGCAGATGACAGACAAGAGCCAAATCGCATACAAGACCCAACGATCAATTTTCGTTTCGACAATCACCTTCTCGATGAATGTGTGACATAACCACGACCCTGGTGGACTTGAGGTTCTGGTACTGGCCTTTCTCCTTGGTTGAAGAGTTCCATCAGACTCTGAAGACTGACAAATGGGTTCTTGGAGGGCAATGCGTATGTCAGATCTGTCTTGAAGGCAACATCACACTATCTGAGCCTCTTTTTTCGGTGTCATGTCACCAGGAATCTAACATCAAGTCCTCGCACATCTAGCTTGTGGTAATCTTCGAGCGAAGCTAATAGCCATGCACAGTGCTCACTTCACATAAATTTCCAGGAATCCCATTCATCCTTTGTTCGCTCGTTGAAGAGGACTTTTTTTGGCCCGATCCTAGACGGTCGCCGAGCTGTTATTCAGATATGCGAAGCAAGCCCTCGCAGCTACGACTATAGCACCTTCAGACTTGCAAGAGAGTCAGTCAGTAACGTGCTGACCAGAATGTCTAGAGAGCGAGCCGAACCCTCTTGACCCGACGCCACCCCGTCCAACTATAACACAATGCTAAGAGCGCAGGGCCAAGCCGCAGGCTTACTTGTCGGAAAGAAAAAAAGAGGGGGGGGGGGGCAGCTTTTGTACAGTCGGATAGGCAATGGCAGTGTTTCACTTTACGCATGTCTCAGATAAGAGCAAACGTGTTGAACTCGCCTGAGATCTGCTTCACCTACCATTTGCCCAACGAAAGAGAATAGAATCCGCCGGCTCAGTGGAGGCCGAGGGGCAATTCCGATGCACGATATGGCTCGTCACGTGTCTCGCCCCCTGGGGCTGTTGGACAGGACGAAATGCAGATCAAAAGACATCCTTGGAAGGCGAATAGTCCCATCGGAGATGATCGGTAGGCGAGAAGGAGAATAATTCTCGGCGGCGAGTCGGAAGGCATCAAGGCTGGCGAGGGACTTGTGGGCGATTGGCCAGGGCCTGATGAGGCTCTCGACCCGTCGGGCGGACCGTTAGCACAAGGCTGCCGCCAAAACATAAAAAAGAAGACTTGATCTGCGCAGGGCAGTTTTTCTTTGTTTCGGGTGGCTTGTTGGCTGACTACGCGCCCTGAAACTATCTTCCTTTTGGACGGTGGATGATGATATCTTGTGGTGGAAACAGCAGCAGGGAGCCCGCCAGAAGAAACGAAAATAGACAAGATGTGGCGTGCAGTCAACGCAGGCCGCCGATCAAGCCCGCCCTCCTCACTCATACTTACCTTTTTTTGCCTGGCTTTGCTGGTCCACCACCATCTTCTTTTTCACCTCAAGTCGCCGCATGAACAACATCCTGAGTGTGAGAGAGAGAATAGGCCCAGACCACCCCCCACCCCCGGGGCCCCCTTATCCACCCCCGGCCTGCCCTTCAGCGCGTGTGCCGTGGACCTCGTAAATAGATCGGGGCGACAAACAAAGGCGATCTAGGTGCTGATCCTTTCGATCCCACCACCACGCGGAGTAAACCCTCGCCCTCCAAGCACGTTTGGCAAGGTTGTTTTTCTCTTATTCTTTCTTTTCATTGTCTTTCGGTCTTTCTTTCTTCTTTGCAGAAAAGGATTTCGGAGGGATTTGCGACAATGTGGGGGTCTCGCTCTTTAATTTCGCCGCTGCAATGTGACACATCGCGACGGACGACTTTGGGAGGAGAGATGGTTGGGCAAGTGGACGTAGTCGTTTTGCTCTGGCGCCCAAAGATACTGTATATTTTATTATTCGAGAACAACCAGACTTCGTCGTCTTACTTTGAGAGGGACTTGGTGACTATGAATATAATGGTAGAGATTCACAGGACATACAAACCAAAGACAAACCAAATCATAATGTGGTAGTATGGGTGAAGAGGGCGCCGTGTAAGACGATTGGCCGGCTCACTTATCAGGCCTCCAATGGAAGGCATCAGTCAGCCTGATATAGATGTCAAGCCCAAAAGACAGAGTGACCAGCGGGCCTTGCACCAGCTCCTCAGCTGGTGGTCATCATGCACACAAGCAGCCGAGAAATTATGTTCGGTTCCGGGGAGTAGGAGGGGGGGGGGGGATCTATGGGACTGGTCAATGTCCTCGATTGCCAGAGCAAAGCCTCCCAAAGTGTTCTTTCGTGACGTCGATCAAAGCTGAGGTTTAAGCCCTACGGTCACCAAGAAGGATTTGACGCTTGACAGCAGCCTGATACGTGCGGGTATGAAAGTAATTGGAGGCGATACGCAGGTGGTTGTTGTCGGATCCCTCGCCACACACACTCTCTGGAAGAGAGAGTGTCTCTGTCTATGATCGACCTTGCCGCATTTTTGTGCCACAGGCACCATCAACGCAATCCTCCCGTCCACCAAAGTTGGTCCAGGGCATAATTTTTAATGAAAAGATCAATGGGTTACTTTTTGTGTGTGACGACAGTGCGATCTGTGAGCCAACCGTCTCGGTTGGTGACATTGGAGCAAGCGCCACCAGGATCACGCCAAATTACATACAAACATAGGAACAACGTTGCCCTTGATCAGAAATTCGGGGGCCTAAAGAATGCCCCGTGATGACGTTCAACAGGGTGACATCGCTACTGCTACTATCATCACTTGATGATGGGGCCTAATTTGATGAACGTCAAAACCGTGAAAATTGCTCGTGTTGTTGATATCGCGAAGAAAGGAGAAGAAGAGAAAGAAGAAAGAAAAGATAAAACCCAAAAAACCGGGCGCACCACCGTGGGGAACAACCAGGAGATGATGAGGCAACGTGAAGCTTTGGGATATGGTTCGATGTTTTACAAAAAAAATCTCGGGCCCGAAATTCCGGTGCTCGGAAAGGGGTGATCCTTTGGGATACTCCCTCTATGCTTTTTTGTGGCGTCGTTTGCGAGCATGATCATCACACGGCTCGACCGGCAGACATCCTTTGGGGCGGCGTTCGCGTGTGGTGTCTTGACGACAAGGCCCCAACACAACCTGGGGCCGAAAAAGGAGGAGAGACTCGGACGTCAGATGCAAACGAGATAATTGTGTAGAAAGTCTGGAAACGAATGGTGATCTGACACTTCGCTATAAGACCCTTGAAACCTTTCTCGGGAAATAGTTGATACGCACCTTGGCCTTTTCTGTTTGCCTTTGTCTGTGCTCTTGAAATTGGCCTCGTGCCTGTCCCTGACACAGTATATCACCAAGCGGCATATATGCTACCAAGACCCCCAGTACGAACGACGGTCGTGCTGCTTCATTAGGGCGCTAAGAGGCCAATCAAACCTTGCAGAGAACAAGCGCGAAGTGAGAAAAGCACGTTGGGTCTGGGAGGGAGGAAGGTTTGGAGGGTAGCACGCACGGGGTAGGTAGGTACTTGGGTAGCAGCCTGGAGGGATATCTGTCACATCATCCTCCCACTCCCACATTCCTTTCCTTTCCTGTTCGGGATCGGAATGAGATCGAAATGCTTTGTCCTTTCATTCATTCATTCATTCTTATTTGGATACTCATATGCCTGTGCTCAGCAGTGGCTGGATTGGAAGGGGCCAAGGAACAATTCATTTTCTGGCGTTGGGTTTGAAAGGGGGGGGGGGGGGTTTCCTGTTTCGAGAGCAACCTTGGAAGTGGAAGAGCTTTTCCATGGCGTTCATGTTTGGGGGCCAAGGAATGTGGGATAGAAAGTGTCACAGCAAGAACCCACTTTCATAAGTTTTATACTGTACTTGCATCTGGGAGGGGATCAACTGTTACAACGGTAGCTGAGACATGAGTCTCGATTGCCTCCACGCGATTGATGGACTTTCTACATTTTACAGTATGGTAGTGGTGATGGTCGTCGTCCTTAACGTTGATGTTGATGTTGACGAAGGAGAAGAGAACAGGGGGAAAATAAATAGGGTGGCCAGAATTGGGGGCGGGATCAGGGTCCGGACCGCCCCTCGGATCATTAGTGCATGCTCTTCATTGACGATCAAATCCTCATTGTCGGACGAGTTTTCAGAATGAGGAACAGAAGAGGGGCTTGTCCCTTATGATCTGGGGGAGCACCCACCTGGGTCCTGCAGAATGGGACCCAGAGGAAGTTCTGCCTCTTCCCGGATGAGGGAGGTAGATACAGATGGGAGGAGGGGCTGCACTTGTGGTTGGTCTGTCACCCGCAGAATCCTGCAGAGACAGGATTAATGGGGTCATTCGTCAGGAACGGCAATATTCGTCTACCTTGTCGGCAAAGAGGGGTGGATAAGAGAGGGAGAGAGAGAGATGAGCATTGCATCTCTCACCGTGAACAAAGCTCAATTAGCAAGGACATGCTGAGAGCACTAGCCAAACAGCCAAGATAATTGAATACTGGCGACGACACTCAAATGTGTATAGGACTGCTACTATCAAGTAAATAGCCGCGAGGAGGGTTGATGAGAAAGGGGTTGCTGCCCAACAGAAAAATCGAAAACCGAAAGGCGACGAAGGGGTGCTCTTTCGGTGGGACGGGACTGAGCGCTCGTATACCAACCAGGTTATGGTACCATTCTACTACGTAGTACTACGTACAGTAGTATTGAGAGCGGCCGGGGCTCCTGAGATTCAACCCGATCAGTGCTGGGATGTGGGGATTTTACCCTCGCGTACCATGGTTAAGAGTACATGGTCTGAGATATATGATAGGCTGTTTGTCCCCCCCCCCCCCCTCTCTCTGTAAAATTCCTAGGTCCCTGGATATTGGAGGGGTACAAAAAAAAGAAAGAAAAAAAAAGACTGGTTATAGTGGGGTGCCTCCTCTACTGTACTATGGTACTCTGTTAAGTATCATAGCACAGTACTATGTACACTAGAACAAAACAGAGACCCTAACCCAGCATGATGAACAGGGGGAAAAGAAGAAGAATAAAAAACTAGACATTCATCTTTGCTTCAAAAGTGAACACCAATAAGTTTTTTTTCCCCTCCTGGTATTAATTCTATTGGAAGAATCAATAGTCTGTCTTACAGGCCCAAAGGACGGAGTCAGCCCACACACGCGTTTATCAATGATGGAATTGCCACGTGCTGGGGTCAAGCCACTACTGGCCACATGGCCAATGTACTGTGTTAGTCTAGTAAGAGGGGCCGGGGGGGGGGGCCAGTTTCCCACGTTTCCAGGATCCGCGAGTGGGCATCAAAGGCTGCAAGTTGAGCCCACGCGAGGACAGGTTGTGCCCACTTGGGGTGAAGTTTTGTACTTGAACAATGCAGCACCAAGCCGTTCCAGCGACTTGCGTACTTACATAGCAGCACAAGATCACCAGGTCACCACCATGCAGGCTGACACCATTTCCTGGCAGCAGCGCTGCGGCAGGAGGTCAGATACTACTCACTACTTGGGTTGGTCTGGGTTGCGCGCTTGTTGTCGACCATCCTTCGTAAGCCCCAGAAGCCGCCCTAGTGAGATGAGATAGATGAGCTGATGAGAGGCCGCCGTGATGGTTAGGTCAAACGGCATGACCATGAGCAAAACCTGAAGCTCCCCAACCTGGGGGTGTGTATGGTATCTTCGAGGGTTCCAGGTTGATGGGTGGGAGAAGGGCAGGACTAGTAAACTCCTACCTGAAGCAGAGCCAGTCTAAACAAAACCCCTCCACCCTTGGAGTTGGCAGGCGTCCCTATCAAAGCCCACCCAGGCCATACCCCCGTCCTCAAGAAGGTTCTGCATAAATCTGGCCTGGCGGAGGCGAGGGTCGGTAACACGCGAGGTAGCAGAGACTGGATTACAACAGCCATTAGCGACTGGGGCGATTGGCGATTGGCTTCAAGAGAGAGAGAGAGACGGGCTATCGTCTCTTCCATGCTGCAGGAAAACCGAGACCGCGATTGGTGAGCCAACCACCCACCTTTGGAGCAGTACTAGTATGACATGTAAAGTATGTATGCACTAGGTATCTCAGTATATACTATGTAGGTGCATGAACCATTCGTGGATGAGGGAGCACCGAGTGGGCACGGTGACGAATTCAACTAAGGCGAAATAAGGAACAGCTTGCGGTGCAGTCTGTGATCGTAATGCACTGCTATGCTGCTATGCTGCTATGCCACGCAGATCCTGGCCTTTATCATTATCATCGCCAGGGAGGACCTGGACAAGGACTTCTGGACGAGTCCACCTTCTTCAGGGCCTTCCCAGGATGGTGTCAGTGGGCGCTGACATCCTATGTTCTTTCTCGGAGTACCGGCAGGCCGGTAGGGTGTGGGTGGATGTGTGCTGAGCGCAGGTGAGAATACCTAAACAGGCCACAACTGGTCCGAGTTGCTAGTCAAGATCCCTTCCCACCGGAAATTTGCCGGTTTTTAGAGTCTCGAATCGAGGAGAAGCGTGGTCCAAAGTCGATCCGTGCGGGCTGAAAGAAGGAAAAAAAGGTTCTTCTAGAAAATGATAGTTACTGGAGTAGTGCACGGCGACAGCGAGGTCTGCCAATAGAACATAAAACACAAGAAACTTGGCACGATATGTGATCCGTCTTTTCAGGCCACTTTTCCTCCCCTGCTGTGCTGCACTCTTCTGGCCTCACCAACAAAACCAAGAGATATACTGCTGTATTCCTATGTACATACTATAGTACTATACTAATCACTATGGTACAATAAGGGGTGGCCCCAAGAGAGAGGGACCCCCCCCCCCACTGCTGCCCTGTTGGGTATAGCTGCGATGACCGGATCTCACTAGATCCTACTGCCGCCCGCCATCCAGAGCGCGCTCTGTGCTGAGGGGACAAGCTGGTACGCTGGTAGGTAGGTAACTAACCACTAACTAACCAGGCTGACCAGGACAGCACTTCGATCTCATTTGCTTGTAATAGAACTATGTACTTGTGTATTGATTACTAAATGGTTAAGCCGCTATGTCTATATTGATAATCTCTTTTCCTTCTTCCTTATCGTTTCTCTCTTGCTTCTGCAGAGATACTACCATGATGCATAATCTGAAGCAGGTCAAGAATCTCGTAGGGAACTTAATCCACTTACATACCCAACAGCCAGGGGGATGGGCTGTCGTTTGAAGTTGGTAGGTAGAGACTGCAGGGGGGGGGGGGAGAGCAACTGAGACTCTTGTGGCCCCCAGACCAATAGGCTGTCGACCTTGTCTCCCCTCTTGCAGGAAAGTGCATGTCGTACTTTCTCCCGCAACAGAGGAATCCGGTCACATCCCACCCAAGCCCGTATTCTGCCGGTGGTGGGTAGAAATTCCAAGACCCTCTAGGTAAGAGCTGGCGGTGTCGTCACTTCTCACTGCTACTGCTGTTACGGGCACACCACTGTCCGCTGCCGCTGCCGCCCGTCTCACGCCTTATTCTTCCCCCTCTTTCCCAGCTTCATTTCAGCTCGCCCACGTACACGCGCACACACTTTACTGTTTTTTTTTTTTGTGATCCAACTGCACGGCCGAGAACCTTGTCCTCTTCTTCTGCTTCTTGAGGGATTTCAAGCTTTGTCACGAATCAATTATCGATCGCGTTCTGTGTTTCTGATTAATCTGCTGTCACGGCTCCCCTTACCGAGTACCGCGCATCCGGATCATCCCAGAGCACTTGCCTTGGGCTCTTCGTGTGCCCCCTCCCTGACGATCCACTCCACAGGCCGAGACGAGACGGAACGAACCCCGGGAAGACCTGACTATCGCGTGCTGTCTGTGGAGAAGACAATATTATAGGACAAGAAGACAGGCACGGCTTTTGGGGAGAAGACGCGACGATCCAGACTGCTCGACAGCCTCAACTCCTTGGCGACACCAAGGGCGGGGAAACTCTCCTCACAGACAAGCAATCTGCAATCTGCACAAGAGTTCATTGCGACGGTCATCCGTCATATAAGCAAACCCGCAGCCCTACAAATAGTATCTCAGCCGAATCAGGACAGACTGCGGAGCGAGACCCAATCCGATCCACCATCATTTCGAACCCGTCCTGACGTCTACGTGGGACTCCCTCTCGGCCATTTTGCAGCTCCATCACGTCGCGGCCGGGACTTCAGCCACAGAAATAGACTTATCCGCAGGGCAGGGCATGTACGTACATATCTACTACTACCACTACCATCATTAAAACCTCCGCACGAGGAGGGGGCAACACCATAGGAAGAAAGGGCAGGGAAAGAAAGGAAGGGGATAAAAAGGGCCACAAAAAAATTCAGGCCAAGGTGTGAACCCTACCAAGGTCCTCCTGTGTGCCCACCACCACCAACCTTCTTCGCCTGGATTCGGCACGAGGCAGCATAGTTGATACCACCCCTCCTGAAACAGCCTCCCCCCCCCTTGGACTCTAGGAGGAGTTCCTGTGCGAGAGTCCACACACCTTTTTATCTGTCTGCCTCTCTCTCTTTCCCTTTTTTATACTCACCAAGCTCCGTCGCGTTACCTACTTCAGTACATAAGTTACCCACGGGCGGGCTGCCGACTGAGCTTGAAGCCCTGAGAGAGGCCCTCGAGGATCCCCGGTAAGGACCAGAGTCACTTGGTACCAATTTTCCCCCTCCTGGTGCAGCGACGCAGGTACCACAGTCACTAGCCGCCGTCGTGGGCTCGCCAGTCTGCCAGGATCCGGTCGTGCCCCTGTCGTTCCCCCTGTCGGTGCCTCGTCCTCCTGGAAAGCTTCGAGCATCCGCGGGCCCTTGCGCCGGACGCCCAGGCCTCATCGTGGCCCATCCTCGGTCAGAGGCCCAGTAGCTATACACGGATCTACGCCACCCTGCTGCCTCTCCTTCGCGCGACTCATTTCCACTACCAGTACCTGAACAGAACATCCTGCCCACACAGGACCCCAGGGCTCGATCAGGCCCTCCGCAATCCTACCTCTTTTTTACCACCTCGCCCGCTCCGACCCATTTCACCCCGTCCGTTCATTCCCTTATCGACTCCGGGCCCATATGTTCCATCGATCACACGAGAAACAAGAAGGGTTTGCTAAGGAGCAGCGGGTTGCGGAAGCACAACTCGACAGCCTTAGACAGCTTGGTCTCGTCGGCCTGGAGACCAAGGGATTTGCTTCCGCCTGGGGAGGGACAGAACCGATTGCATCCAGTCGACCTCCCTCCAGACCAGGACCAAAATCGAAGCACCAAAACCACAAGGCCGTTCCCCTTCCCATTGGTGGTGGCGGCCCGACCGAGCCCACGTTCCCTGAAAAGGGTGAGTCGATCTGACATCTTCTTTTTCTCTCTCCCTTCTCCTCCACTTGTTCAGCCTCGCTGTCCCCTTGCCCTGATTGTCGCGCCTTACCACCACCTCCCCCTCCTCCTGCTGCTCCTCCTCCTCCTCCTCCTCCTCCTCTCCCCAATCCAGTGTGTGACCAGTCTTGCGTTGCACATCGACCCATTCCTTCTCGGGTCGCCATTGTTCGTGTCAGCGCAGAGGCGTGACAAAGATTCGTCGCGACTGGGCCAATTCCCCCGCCGTTACCAATCCGGAACTGACCAGCCCATTGTTTGCACAAAGGCCATTCTATTGCCGCCGGTACCTTACGACCCCCGTCGTCGCAACGGTCATCCGTTTCCGCGAGCTCGAGCCGATCCCGCGAGGGTGCCCGACGCGCAAATACAACTTCGAATTTTGGCATGATGAATGCCGACAGGAGCCGCACCCGGAGGGAGCGCACCTTTGTGGGGAGCGAGTGCGCTGTCTGCGAGGAGCCGCTGGAACACACGCTCCGTGGCGAGAGGATACTGCAGTTCTCATGCTCCCATGTGTCACATGAGGCGTGTTTCTACGAATTTATTCGGGAGTTCGAGTCGCAGTACTGTCCGACATGTAACGCACCGCTTCACCTCGACACAAGTCGGGGCGGAAATGTCCTCGACATCGGTACGTGCTCAACACAGCTTCACGCTGGTCTCGCGCGCGAATGACACACTAATCACATTCCGTCCATCACAGAGAAGATCAGTAGCATGGTACGATCGGTGTCCGTAAACGATAACAGGGCAGCAGCCACCCCGACACCAACACAAGGAACAGCAGCGGCAGCGGCGGCAGCAGCCTGGGACGAGCACGCCGGCCGCCCACCAAGCAGAGGCTCTGCTTCAAGAAACGCTCCGCCGCAGGCTGCGTCCCATGGTAGCGTTCGAGACCAGGCATCCGACAGATTCCTAGGACGGAACGGCCACACGCGAAATGACAGCGATGCGACAGGAGTGACTGGGGTTGCTTCCTCGGGCGGCTACCCTGAGACGACACAGAGCGGCCCGGCGCGGCGTCACGAATATGATTTGCAGGCCATGGAAGCCTCTCTGGCCAGCCCCAAAGCGGTTGCGAGGAATCCCATCCCGGCACCGACCGTCACCGTGCGATCCGAGTTCCCTACAATCAACAGATCGCGGCAGCAGCAGACGCTCACATGCCTCATCACGGTCGAGGTTCCCGACAACAAATGGCGGCCGGACCCTGATGATCTCCAGTCTGCGCCCCCCCTTCCACAACAGAGGATAGAAGACCAGTTTCCCCAGAGGCCCCCGTCTCCAGCACGGAGCGCACCCCGCTTCTATCCCTATGAGGCGCCAGAGGTCTTGGAGGAAATGACGGAGACCCTCCGCAGCCGGGTCGACAATTGGCATGGTCTAGACTTTAGTCGGTACGTGAAAACATGAGATGCCCTCCCCTTCTTCTGTTTCTTCTGTTTTCCTGAGGGCTGATAGCTGACTGACTCCGATTTCAGATTTGGTAAACTGCGGCTGTACGGAACTCTGCGAGTGGGAAAGGACAAGGTCTCGTGGCAAGAGCTTGAATGTTTCCTCTTCGCCGAGATGCTTATCTGCGTGAAAGAGAAGAAGAGCTCAAACCAATCTTCACAGTGGGACGACGGTACCCCTCGCAAGACCACAAGATGCACCCTCAAGGGGTCGATCCTGATCAAGAAGCACCTGAACGAGGTAACAGAGACTGGTCACATGGATGAGAACATCTTGACGCTCAGCCTCTCCGTCGCCGAGCTGCCGCAGTTCCACCTGCGCTTTGAGAACCGCAACCAACTGAAGCTTTGGCAACAAGCCCTGTTGGACCTGAACGCCGTCGAGACACCACCTGTCCGCAGCCCCGACTATGATCGCGGCGAATTCTCGGGAGAAGATGAGGAGGAATGGCGTAGAGACTCAACGAAGCCTCAGCGCGTCTCGTCAGTAGCATCTTCCTGGGGGGGAGCAAGGTCAGCCACAACGGCACCGACTGAGTATACGAACTTTGCCAGGAGCCCTCTCATGCCTTCGGTCCACGTCCCCATCGACGTCGTGGTGGTCGTGCCCATCTCGTCGTCGATGCAGGGTGTCAAGATCAACCTGGTTCGGGATGCATTGAGGTTCATGGTGTACACCCTTGGCGAGAGGGACCGCATGGGCTTGGTGACATTCGGCTCGGGAGGCGGTGGTGTGCCCATCGTAGGCATGACGACCAAGGCATGGCCTGGCTGGAGCAATGTCCTGTCCTCAATCAAGCCCGTCGGTCAGAAGAGCCACCGGGCAGATGTGGTCGAGGGAGCCAATGTCGCCATGGACCTCCTGATGCAGCGCAAGTACAACAACCCCGTCGCGACCATCATGCTCATCAGCGATGCGTCTACGTCAGACGCCGATAGTGTTGATTTTGTCGTCTCACGAGCTGAGGCTGCCAAGTAAGTTGTGATGCGCCAAGATCAAAACCACGAGAGAACCCCGAAGCTGACTTTTCTCCCTTCTAGGATCACAATTCACTCTTTTGGCCTGGGCATGACACACAAGCCAGACACGATGATCGAGCTTTCCACCCGGACCAAGGCATCTTATACCTACGTCAAGGACTGGATGATGCTTCGCGAATGTTTGGCCGGATGTCTGGGGTCGATGCAGACACTATCGCACCAGAACGTCAAGCTCAAGCTGAAGCTGCCAGAAGGCTCGCCGGCTAAGTTCCACAAGATCAGCGGTGCACTCCAGATCACAAAGCGCGCGACTGGACGTGATGCAGAGGCTTCTCTGGGCGATCTGCGCTTTGGCGACAAACGGGATATCCTCGTCCAGCTTGTCATCCTTCCCGACACCTCGACACAGGAGCAGCTGCCACAGGATGCGTGGGAGACCGTCGTAGCAGGACTCGAGGCCCTCGGCGGCCCAGTTGAACAAGAAGACCAACGTGCAGTGTCTGTGGAGGAAGTCCCGCTTATACAAGCAGACCTCACGTGGGGCGACATCCTGAGGGACGGTGCTGCCATGCACCTGCCAAGGCCATCGCTTTTGGCCATCACAATGCTGCCAGCGTCGTCGAACAAGAAGTCCTGGAACGGCTCACCACCAATCCCCCCGCATCCGCACATCGTGCAGCGGCGGATGGAGCTGCTCACCTCCGACATGCTCACCCGCGCACTGACCCTCGTCAGCAGAGGGCAGCACGACAGGGCACACACGCTCCTGAACGAAACGCGCTCGATCCTGAAGGGCCTCGGCAAGGGCGGCCTACCACCCGTCCCCGCGATGCCACCCAAGTCTAACCCTTCAACCCCCCTCAACGTCCAGAACGAATCCTCCCCAACCGCTGCTCTCACCCCCGACAGGAAACATACGCCCTCGCCCACAGCAGCCGGGCCTGCAAACTCTGGCAACTCGGCTGTGCCCAACGGCTTCCAGCCATCGGCCATCCCGCGTAGCCGGTCAAACGACGCGATTGGTCTCGGCGGTATGGGTCCCGCGGCAGGTATCGATGTGACGACCGTGTCGGCGCTTGATGCTGAGCTGGACTCTGCGCTTGAGTGGATCAACCACCCGGCCGTCTTTGGCCGGGACAGCAGGAAGGCGGTGCTGCAGGCCATCGGCGTCATCAGCAGCCAGAGGGCGTTCACGTTCAGGACACCCATCGAGGGTCTGTGGGCGGCGCGTGTGGGCGGCGTGAAGAAGCTGACAGAAAAGAGTCGGGAGTGGAGGGATGAGGGCGGTGGTGCTGAGGGGATCACAGAGGAGGCATGACCATGATCGTGGTTAGGCCTTCCTCACCCAAACCCTTGATAACCCTGAGCTGAGAGATTCAAGAGTTGGTGCTTGTGTTGGTGGTAATGTCTCTGTTCCCCCTTTATTCGGCCGATGTTGCCGTGATGATATTTTTGGCATGTTTTGTGTTATTATTCCCTGCCTCTTCATAGCGAACGGGATTTAGCGCGATGTTTGTGTGCTATGCGACGGACACATGGAGGTGCCCGTTTGCCATGTTCTTTTCCTTTCTCTCCTTTCTTTCTTTTGTCGCCCCGAACCAAAAAGATACCACTTGGATATTCTCGCTGATATCATGTCAGCTAACTGTGTTACGATATACATATTTGCCCTCCTTTTTTATTCCTAAATTTTGTTATCTAAAGATGATCTACTCAAGCGTTCCCCGTTCTCTTGTTCTTGTTCTGCTTTGACGAAGTGATGACACAGAAGATGAGAATATCATCATGTGCTGGATCCACATGAATTCAGCCTTGCTGTGATGGACAGGTCTTGGGAGAGTATATTCTTGTACTCAGGATGAGATCAGGGCAGCTGCTCATTTTACTATCTCGGGCAGGTTGAGTGTAGGTGGTAGGAAGGACAGGTCTTTGTCTGATGCAGCGATCACCTCCACACACTACTCTGCTCCTGATCTGACCGAAGGCCTGCCTCACTTGGGGTTAAGATATCTATGTACAGACTATAATCATGCAGAAATTTTGATGCGATTTTTCTGGATTGTGGCGCCCGTGAAGATGGCTCACACTCCACTCCCTATACTACAGCATACAAGACCATGATCATCAAGTCATCATGTATTAGGCATCTTCTTTGGAGGATATCATGCACGACTGGAGGGCTCCCGTGGCAATAGACAATTCTTGTTTTTTTTGTGGGGTTTATCTGGGGGGGGGGGGACGTCTTCTTTCTTTCTGTCTTGTTGCATGCACGCAATGAGGCCTCTAGATGAACCGTGATAAGAGGTCCATTTGCCGTCTGCGGTCTGAATATGGATGTTGCATGGTAATTTACATGTTTAACTTTGTTCGAGAATACTATTTTGCCCTAATGATGATCTCTTCTCCCACATCGGTGTAAGGGGGAGCAGACTTCAGGGCTGTCTGCTTGGCATATTAATTGGTCGGCCCCTCTCAGGAGGACGGAGGGGGGAACATGGGGCTTGAAGCGAGGAGGCACTTTGTTCCCATTTACTAGTGTAGAGAACGATTGATTGCTCAGGTAGTTGTATACTTCGTGGAGGGGTTATAAATTTCGGGGGTGTTGTATATCAACGTAATCCTGCCTGGTAGAGGACGAGATACAGAAAAGAACGATTGTTAATCACTGAACGTTTGAGGATTCGTCTCGGTCAGGTTTAGCCGTGCTCTAGCCCCAAAATTGTTCTGGCTGACCCTGCCTGCCCCTTGGGGCACGGAGAGCTAAAGCAGCCCCACAGAGCTGTTACTATAGTAGTATACGAGGACCCTGCTCAGCGGAGCGTGGATTCTCATTACCCAGTGATGCGGAGGAAGCTAGATAACAGCAACAGGAGGGCCAAAGGGTTTCCTAGAGGCTTGTGGGTGGAAGAAGTGAACAGCTTATCTAAGTATTTGAGTGTTTAGCAGTATTTGGGCCGTTCTGTCATCTTGGCCTCTCCTAGTGCTGGGGAACAAATGCTGATTGTGTTTTTTTTTTTCTTTCTCTTTTCTTTTGAAGCAGAAAATCGTGTGCTTTATTTAGCACAGTTGCAACTTTCCTGACCCGAAAGCGAGAGCGTGGCTGGCGAGGCTGGCTTCGTGGTCCCCCCCCCAATTGCCACCATCCTTCCACCACGAGATATTTGAAGACGCTAGTTCGTTGTGGTTGGTACTGCTGCGCCTCTGAGATTATGAAATGGACTCCATTCTGGATCATGACTAGGTCTGACATGAGAGAGAGAGAGAGAGAGAGAGAGAGAAGTGAGAGAGAGAAAGAATCTCTTGGGACAAAGAAATATGGAGCACAGGTCGTGTTCTACCCACAAGGTAGACACAGGTTCTTGAAAGGTTACAATTTTTTCTTCTTTTTTCTTCCAATAGCACATTGCCTGTCTTGAGATTCTGATATAATCACTGTAGAAAAATTACAGCATATTTGCAGATACAGCCTTAGGGCCAATGGGTGGTTGCTGCGAGGCCGTTGACGTGGTGTTCTGGTGGGGGCGCAAGGCACACTAGGTCACAGTGGAGCCCACACCACACCCACTGTATCTACAGGAGCTTGTCAGTACACAGTTGCAGTAACAGTACAGTACCAGCAACTTATCGACAGCACAGCTTCTTTCGCCCGCTGTTAGATTTGGGCACGGGATGATCGGCGGTGCCAAGCCTGAGGCAGTGCCGCGCCATCTGTAGTGGTTTGGATGAACAAACCTCTCTCCAACCCCAAGCTTGGTCTTTCAAGTTGGTTGCCCAATGTTCCATGTCCTGCACATGGCTTGCTACTGCTGCAACCCCCCAAAGCTGACACACCCTGAATCCTGCAACAGCATCTTGACGACAACCACCACCACACAAAGAAGGCCAGCAGATTCTCTGTCTTGAGCACTTGCGTTATTGACAGTTGACCGACGTCTCCACCCACCAACCCAACGCGATACCATCTCCGACGACCAGAAAAGATATCGAACCCTAATATTGACACGTCCAATGCCGCGTAACGTCATTTCCTAAACCCCCCTTCCCCCCAACAAGGCCAATCACACCGGCGCCTCGATGGCTGGCAGACCTCCGTATGGAGGATCCTCCCGCCAAGATGACCTCCTCCTCGATCTCGACGACCAGCCTGTCTATGGCGGAGGGCAGCGCTCAGCCCTGACCGATGACGACCTCCTCCGCTCCAGCGCCTATGATCACGATGGCGCTCAACAGCAACAAGAACAACAACAACAACAACCACCCCGGCCCTCTGTCTCCTACGATGACTTCCTCGGCGCAGGCCACCCCCAGACGACCGTTCACTCTTCCAATCTAACGTCCCCACACACGGCGACACCGGGCACGGGCAGCGCAGGCGTAGCCCATGCATCAGGGGGCCCCTACTACGCCGATAATGTGGGTGGAGCCAGGCAATACTCCCAGACCTCAGAACTCGACAACTACCAGCGGTATGCCGACGACTACTCGGACGACTACCCGGAAGACGGAAACTCGTACTACCAGCATGGAGGAGGTCCGCCCGGCATGACGCAGCACGGCGGTTACGGAGCAGACGCGCGACACAACGCCAGGAACAGGAACAGCATATTAGGTATGGGCGGCGGTCTCCTGGGCAGGGCCAAGAACATGCTGGGCATGGGCGAGGGCTACTCCGAGATGGACCTGCCGTTGACGGAGCCTGGATCATCGTCGTCGCACCAGCACCCAGATGCGCAGCAGGGCGCAGCGGCAGGCGGCGGCGGTGCTGGTGGGAAGAAGTTCGACGTGGGCAACTTCAAGTTTGGCTTCGGCCGCGGCAAGCCTGACCCTTCGACCCTGGGACCGCGCATCATCCACCTGAACAACCCGCCCGCCAACCAGGCCAACAAGTATGTCGACAACCAGGTCTCGACGGCCAAGTACAACGTCGCGACCTTCCTCCCCAAGTTCCTCCTCGAGCAGTTCTCCAAATACGCAAACATCTTCTTCCTCTTCACCTCGGCGCTGCAGCAGATACCCAACCTCTCCCCTACGAACCCTTACACGACCATTGGGCCCCTCGGCGTGGTGTTGTTGATCTCGGCGGGCAAGGAGCTGGTGGAGGACTACCGCCGGAAGCAGGCGGACAAGGCCCTGAACATGTCCAAGGCGCGGGTGCTCAGGGGCTCCAACTTTAACGACGCGAAATGGGTCAACGTGGCCGTGGGCGACATCGTGCGGGTCGAGTCGGAAGAGTCCTTCCCGGCAGATCTGGTCCTACTCGCAAGTTCCGAGCCCGAGGGTCTCTGCTACATTGAGACTGCCAATCTGGACGGCGAGACCAACCTCAAGATCAAGCAGGCGCTTCCCGAGACCGCAGCCCTGGTCAGTTCAAGCGACCTGGGCCGGCTCGGCGGCAAGATCAAGTCTGAACAGCCCAACAGCAGTCTGTACACGTACGAGGCGGCTCTGACGATGCAGGCTGGGGCGGGCGAGAAGGAATTGGCTCTGAACCCCGAGCAGCTTTTGTTGCGAGGAGCAACCCTTCGGAACACCCCCTGGATCCACGGCGTCGTGGTCTTTACCGGCCACGAGACGAAGCTCATGCGCAATGCAACAGCGGCACCGATCAAGCGCACCAAGGTTGAGAAGCAGATGAATGTGCTTGTCTTGTTGCTCGTCGGTACTCTGCTGGTCCTCAGCGTTGTCTGTACTGTTGGTGACCTCGTTATGCGGAGCGTGCAGCGCAACTCCCTTGTCTACCTGGACCTGGACGACCTCAATACGGTGGGCTTGGTCGCAAAACAGTTCGCCTCTGACATGGTCACGTACTGGGTCTTGTTCTCTGCGCTGGTGCCCATCTCTCTGTTCGTCACTGTGGAGCTGGTGAAATACTGGCATGGGATTCTCATCAACGACGATTTGGACATCTATTACGACAAGACCGACACGCCTGCCAACTGCCGGACGTCAAGCTTGGTGGAGGAGCTCGGCATGGTAGAGTACGTCTTCTCGGACAAGACAGGCACCTTGACCTGCAATATCATGGAGTTCAAGCAGTGCTCAATTGGCGGCATCATGTATGCGGACGATGTACCCGAGGACCGAAGAGCCACCATCGAGGATGGTGTCGAGGTTGGCATCCACGACTTCAACAGACTCCGCGACAACACGACATCGCACGAGACGGCACCGATCATCCAACATTTCCTGGCACTGCTCGCGACCTGCCATACTGTCATCCCGGAGCGCAACAGTTCAGGCAAGATCAAGTACCAGGCTGCGTCACCTGACGAGGGCGCCCTTGTCGAGGGTGCTGCGATGCTTGGGTACAAATTCACCGCACGCAAGCCTCACGCCGTCATCATCGAGGTGGGAGGAAAGGAGTTTGAGTACCAGCTGCTCGCCGTATGCGAGTTCAACTCGACGAGGAAGAGGATGTCTACGATCTACCGCTGCCCAGACGGCAAAATACGGTGTTACTGCAAAGGCGCTGACACGGTCATCCTGGAGCGGCTCAGTGACCAGAATCCCCACGTCGAGGCGACGTTGAGACATCTCGAGGACTATGCGTCGGAGGGTCTGCGGACTCTCTGCCTGGCCATGAGGGAGATTCCCGAGCAAGAATTCCAGGAATGGTATTCCATTTTCGACAAGGCATCCACGACTGTCGGTGGCAACCGTGCCGAGGAGCTGGACAAGGCGTCCGAGTTAATCGAGAAGGACTTCTACCTCTTGGGCGCTACGGCCATCGAGGATCGTCTCCAAGATGGCGTCCCCGAGACAATTCACACGCTGCAGCAGGCCGGGATCAAGGTCTGGGTTCTGACGGGTGATCGGCAGGAGACGGCCATCAACATCGGCATGAGCTGCAAGCTTCTCAGCGAGGACATGATGCTGCTGATTGTCAACGAAGAGACGGCGGCCGCCACCAGAGACAATATACAAAAGAAGATTGACGCGATCCGGACGCAAGGCGATGGGACGATCGAGACGGAGACGCTGGCACTAATCATCGACGGCAAATCGTTGACGTACGCGCTCGAGAAGGACATGGAAAAGATGTTTTTGGAGCTGGCCGTCATGTGCAAGGCCGTCATCTGCTGTCGTGTCTCGCCGCTGCAGAAGGCGCTTGTCGTGAAGCTGGTCAAGAAGCATCGGAAACAGTCGATCCTCCTCGCTATCGGCGACGGTGCGAACGACGTCTCCATGATCCAGGCTGCGCACATAGGCGTGGGCATCAGCGGTCTGGAAGGCCTGCAGGCTGCTCGCAGTGCAGATGTATCGATCGGACAGTTCAAGTACCTGCGCAAGCTGTTGCTCGTGCATGGGGCGTGGAGTTATCACAGGGTCAGCAAGACGATCTTGTTCTCGTTCTACAAGAACATTACCCTGTACCTGACGCAGTTCTGGGTAAGTTTTTTTTTTTTTTTTTTTTCCCTCGTCATGGAAGCTAGGATACATTTATTATTGTCCCTGTTCAATGCTGACAACAACAACAATAGTACACCTTCCAAAATGTCTTCTCCGGCCAGATCATCTATGAATCCTGGACACTGTCCCTGTACAATGTCATCTTCACCGTCCTGCCACCTCTCGCGATGGGAATTCTCGACCAATTCGTATCCGCGCGTCTCCTCGACCGCTATCCTCAGCTGTACTCTCTAGGACAGACGAATCAGTTCTTCCGACTGCGCGTCTTCATCGCCTGGATCGCTAACGCGGTCTACCACTCGCTCATGATCTACGTCTGGGGCGAGCTGCTATGGCCATGGGATCTCGTGCAGGGCGACGGCAAAACGGCCGGCCACTGGGTCTGGGGCACGGCCATGTACGGCGCGGTCTTGCTCACGGTTCTCGGCAAGGCAGGGCTCATCACGAACAACTGGACCAAGTACCACGTCATTGCGATCCCGGGCTCCATGGGGCTGTTCCTCGCGTTCATCGCCGCGTACGGAACGGTGGGGCCCCTTATTGGGATTTCTGAGGAGTACCACGGCCTGGTGCCACGTCTGTTCTCGTCGCCTATCTTTTGGCTGCAGATGTTGGCGCTGCCGGTGCTCTGCCTGGCCAGGGATGTTGCGTGGAAGTATTCCAAGAGGATGTATCGCCCACAGACGTATCACCACATTCAGGAAATTCAGAAGTACAACATTCAAGATTATAGACCTCGGTATGTTTTTTTTTGTCTTCTTCTTTTTCCCTGTCACCACATCTCGATTTTTTCTTCTAGCTGACATGGTGCGTGTGTGTGTGTCACTACAGCATGGAACAATTCCAGAAAGCAATTCGCAAGGTCCGTCAGGTACAGCGTATGCGCAAGCAGAGAGGCTATGCCTTCTCGCAGGCAGATGAATCACAAACGCGCGTGCTTCAGGCCTACGACACGACGCAGAATAGAGGCAGGTATGGAGAGATGGCGTCTTCGAGGCCGCAGGGTCAAGCTGGAGGACAAGTGTGGTGATAGCAGAGAAAGAAACGATCAAACAACACAACGACACAACACACAACAAATAACGAAAGAAAAAAAAAAACCCCTTGATAGCATGTCGGGCTTATTTTGTTTTCTTATTAATGTACACCAAATATGATGGATGAACCAACAACGGCTGGTATGGTCTTGCGTCAGGTTGTTTTTTTTTTTTCACCGCGAGGGCCAAAAGGGGTGTTCGGTTGGAACAAGGAGTTTCCTCGCTGACTTGAGAGAAAGCAGGCAAAATGATTTGTCTTTTCTTTTTTTTTTCGGCTGATCTTTATTTCTTCTTCCTTTCCATCGACTGCCAGAGTGATGAGTTTTTTTTAAGTTTTTTTTTTTTTCTTTTTTTTCTTTTTCGTTGCACGAGCCAAAGAATATTTTGGAGACGACGACAGAGATATGGGCCCTCGCTCCAGCATATTAGCTCATCGTGTGGTGATTGTTTCCGTGTGAGGTGGACTCCACATGAAGAATTCATACCATTCATTACCAGGGCCACGCATTCTACATGCATTCTTCAAAAATCACCATGTGCAAGCTGCTCATCAATCTTCCCCCAGAGGCCCTTGCTCATAGAGCCACTCAACCAATAATTCCCCTCCCCCGTCCTTCCCCAGGATGGGAAATGCATCAGGCGCAGTCATGCCAAAGGTACAAAGCTGCACATAGGCCGGAGGGATACACTTCCTGGACCGATCCATGTCCTCCTCGCCCCTGCCTCTGCCTCTCTGCCTCTGCCCACCATCACCGCTGGTGTTGCCGCCACCGCCGCCGCCGCCAAGTCCACTTCAAAGAACCTCGCCTTTGGCCCAGTTCGAGTACATAACCATATGCATACGCCAGTGCCCGAAAAGGGGGGTGGCAGCTTGCCGACCACCGCCGACCCGGCGCGCCACATTGCTCATAAACGCCTCGACCTGCGCGCGCGTGCCCAGGGTCCGGACGGCGTTGCGGATGGCGGCGGCCACCTGGCCCAGCGGCTTCTCGAACAGGTCGCGGACGGTCAGGAGGACGGGGATGAAGCCTACGGCGTTGGAGACGTAGGGCCTGTCTTGAGGCCGCCGCTGCTGCTGCTGCTGCTGCTGCTGCGATGCTGAGGTCGGCGCGGGCCTGTTTGAGGAGTTTCTGCATGTGTGATGCCGGCACGCACAGCATACGGTTCTCTAGGGCTCCACAATGGGTGAGGATGTTGTTGAGTCCGTAGCCTGCGCGGCCTAGTAGTCCGAGACGGCGGCTGGCCAGGGCGTGGGGCTCGGTTGGGCGGGTGCCTAGTTGGGCGAGGGGATCGGTGATGGTGGCAGTGGCACCATCATCATCATCATCATCATCATCATCATCATCATCACCATCGCTATTCGTCCCGAGAGGGCATGGAATAATAATATCTGCTGCTGTCGGCATACCCCCTTTCTTGCCATCTTGGCTGTGGCGGAGAACAAGACACCATGCGTCGAGGATGGCACGCAAGCCCAGGGCGTCCACAAGGGTGTGCGGGCAGTGCAGAGTGACGACGGTCCTGTCGAGAAAGGACGTGACGTGCAGGCCCAGCTGCGGGATGTCCCGGGTCAGGTAGTCGTCCAGACGCAACGGGCCGTTCTCTGGGCGGAACAGAGACTCGAGCTCGCCCGGGTCTCCCACCACACTGGGCCGGGTGGTCGGGGCTCTTGGGATGCGGCTTGCGACGAGGGTGGTCGGCGGCGCGCTGGTGGTGGGTCTTGTGGGTGTTATGCCAGGGCTGGGCGGGCGGTTGAGAACTCGGCTGGGATGTGGTACTCCAGTCCTCGTCCATCTTTCTGGAGGTTTGGGTTGGCTTTTGTCAACATACACACAATACCACTGTAAAGAATACTCATCACGAGCGAGCGTGCCCCTGTCTTTCTTGAAGGAGGTACACTCACAGAAGACCGCAGGCGGGCGCCCAGTTTCCTCCACCCTGGGCGCTGGATCAGGAACTCGAGGCTGCGCTGGAGCTTCCCCGGTTCGAGCACGGCGTCGAAGGCAAACATGGAGTACAGGATGAAAGATCGCCAGAGCGGGGTGTCGTCGAAGAAGGGGAGGGGTAGGACGGTGTCGGTAGGTACTTTGGCAGGTGTGCTTGAGTTCCAGAACATGGTGCTGCTGCTGCTGCTGCTGCTGCTGCTTAAAGAGTCTCAAGCTCGATGTGCTTTGGGGGCCCGGAGGGAAGAAGATGACGACGATAATGCTATGGTGTTGTTGACAACTGGCGCATTTATTGTAATTACTGGTGATCTCTTGGTAGCAGGTTATTTACATTTCCCATATGGACACAGTCAATGGCTTCTTAGATAAAATTGCAGTGTATTGCCGAGTACTGCTTCAGGTGTTTGGCAGCCCATATGAGTGGCCAACAAGGTATAGGCTTACGCACGACCTCGGGGTTCGGGGGAAGGAGATACGAGGTAGAAGATAATCAAGCAATAGATGTTGTGAAGCAAAAGATGTGACCTTGATGACAGACATAACGGGTGGCAAGTATCCATGATCCATCCTGATAGCAAGTATGAAAAGGAAGAGAAAAAAACCAAAATCCGTACTAGCAGTCCATCGATATGACACCTCCCAGCTCACATCATCTTTTTGTATTGATGGATAAGTACTATAGGAAAGTAGACAGTAGATGTAAGTCATTGTTTGCTGCTGCATTTCATACAAACATCAATGACCAAGAATGACCCAATAATTAGTACAACATTATCATTTACGAGAAGTGTACTAATTATGGTAGACTCGTCTAAGTCTTGTGAGCCAAGTCACTGACAGACAGCTCTTGTATAAAAACTGTTGGCATTCCTGGACCCAACATTGATCAAGTATCCTCCAGTCCGCCGTGCGTCCTTCTGAGAAGACACATGTACATGGCGGCGACCCAACCTGATACCAAGCTTGTCAGAGTCCTGTACACTGAACGAGTCAGTCACATCCAACCACCACCACCACCACCACTACAATCCACTAGGCATACTCAGCAATCTGGGCTCGTTACGAAGGGCCTCACAAGGTTCACACCAGGCCACAGGGAGACCTTGACTCTCCACGCAACCTGCGAATCTACTGCGCGGTACACGGCGATAACCCAACAGGCGAAGTCCTCCGATGGCAGTAGTTCTGTTCTGTAGCCTCGATTCATGCTGCACCGGCTTGAGTCGCGACTGACTGTTCTGTTCTCCAGCCCCTTTTCCCCCCCTTGTGTTGCCCATACTGTACTATATATACTCTTTTTCAGCGGTTCAGCGCTTTCTCTGCTTTCTAAATAAACTCACGACCGACACACAATGTGCACAAGACAAAGCCGTCCAGCAACAATATCACCTGAGTCGTGTTTTCCCGCTTCATCATCATCATCATCATCATCCTCCTCCTTCCATCCCCAGCCTAGCCCCCTAGCCTTATGCTCTGGCCCCCCCCCCCCCTTCCCATAACACCAACAACGCAGTAAACTTTCGGGAGATCCCCACCGAACTCGGAGCGGGAAATCCCAGACAGGGGGGCAGGAAACTTAATCTTGAAGCTTATGTCGACGCATGTTTCTTTTTCGTGTTCCTTTTCTAAGAAAAAAATAAAAGGGGGAGGGGGGGAAATCAATAAAGAAGAACTCAGGAAGGCAAGCGGGAAAGAAAAAAAAAGAAAAAAAAAAAAAGAAAGGGAAGAAAAGAACCCTTGTCGTCAAGGCTGCCAAGCTTCTCCCCATCTTTTTCCCCTTGGGGTGAGAGAAAGGTGGGGAAAGGGGCCACGAGGACTTTGTGGCGGTAATGAGCCGTGAATATGTTTCGGAACTCTGCAGTAGTGGGATCGTCGATCGCAAGCCAGTAGGCTAGGTAAGTAAGTACTTGGTTAGAGAGCGGCTGGGCTGGCAGCGGCGGCGGCGGCGACAACGACAACGACGAAATCGAGTGGTGGTGGTGGTTGCAGGCGGTGATCGGTGGCTGGTGGCTGGCATTGGCGGCCTGGGGTACAGTAATTAATGCATCTAATATATACCTAACGATTAATGTAAACTAATTTGGCGGCCGCCTACTAAAAATGACATTTTTCTTGTTATTCCAGGGATGTCACAACTTTTCGGACGCATCTTGATGTGATGTGGTGTGATGTGATGGAATGGGGATAGACTCTTTTCATCAAGAGCCTATCATGAATGGAGGTTGGGGGGGGGGGGTGCGTCTGTGCTCGACTTTGCTCCAACAAACAACCCGCCAGAAGCAACGTCTAAGTTGCCTATCCGGGAAGACCCGCTAGCACCCAACCCAGCCCAGCCTTTCTCTCTCTCTCTGTCTCCACCTGACCGACTAGTTTTTTTTTTGCAAGCCATCATTGCTTTCATTTGTCCTTCCCTTCGTTTCCTTCTTTTTTTGGTCTTTCTTCTCATGCTGCTGGGCACTGACACGAGCACAAGACATGTGATGATCGCCTTGATGCCCAAAGCGGGTTGTGTATCTATCGTCGAGATAGATAGATTAATTCCCCCCTCGGCGCCCCCCCCCCCCCACGAATAGGAAGAAAACCCACCACTCACGAGTCTAGGTGGAACAAGGTACCCCCACGCAAGACGTTCTCTCTGATCTGAACATATAGTAGGGGAACAAGTCAGTAATTGCTTCAGCAGAGGAAGAAGAAGGGAACAAAAGAAGGGGTAATGACACTATAATAGTGAATACTACTACTATTCTTCCACACCACCCGCGGGAGCGGCGGCACCCAAAAGGTAGGGTCCAGACCACCCCCCGCCTGACGATAAGGCGTGCGCACACACATTACGTCCCGATCACCTCGTCGTCATCATTCCCGTTACCTGGATTCGGGTTGGGATGGACTGTGACCGTACGCTATCTTGCGCGCCGGCAGGCACTCGTGACGTGACATACATCTTGATTTCGGATTGCCTGAATGTATCTTCTCTAGACTGTCTGGCCCCTCCCCCCTTCTTTCTCCGCCAGCCCTATCATTGGGAGGGGGGGGATTGACAGAGTCGATAGTCCGCCGTACCATTCATTTCTTCAGCTCAGCCTTGCTCAGTACACCAACCCTCCGTTACATCACACTATTCTCCACCAGAAAGGCAGTGGGTCAAGGTTGAGCAGCTATGATGCCCCCCCGAGGGAAGAACAATGTGCACGTGTGTATCAGTGAGTAATTCTCAGCTAGTGCTTGTCTTGGTGTAAAGCACATCCGCGGATCACAGCAAAGCAGCCTCGATTATACCATCACGATAGAACGGGGCGGGCCCAACTGGTGCTTTTGACTCCATTCACTCACTTCACTCGCTGCCCTCTTCTTGAGGGCCACACATGATGAGGAAGTTACTATTTGATTCCAAAAATTTTACTCACCATTCCTTTCAGCACCTTGACCACTCCCTTCCCACCAGGGATAGGAAAGAAAAAGAAACAAGAAACAAGAAGAAAAAAAAAAATGTGTTCATAAAATGGTATACCCCTCCTTTCCTAAACTGCCGTGGAAATGCTCGGGAATAGAAAATGAGAAACCATAAAAACCAGAAAAATCAGGGTCGCCACCCCAACGACCCAGATAGTAAAATTCCGATAATGCTTGATGACACCTCCCCCCACCCCCCTCTCTCACATGCAGACCCTATGTGCGTCCACCCACCCACCCATCTCCAAGCCTGTTGATCTTGGGACCGACATGCCACGCCATTTGCTCGCCTGGCAAGCAAGATCTGGTACGTAGGCCATGCAACCAGCGAACGGTCGAGAGAAGAGGGAAAAAAGTGAAAAGAAAAAAGTGCTATCTCTGGACCGATGCGGTCCCCCAGTGCGGAATACCAAGGGAGGCCAACTTTTCGACAAAACAATCAATGTCTCTCGCGCTGTCATGACTCAATCCCAAGGCCGATCGCCGCTTTGTCGGGTGACACAATTGAGCGTGCCCATGCCCGCGGATCCACTCGTTCCCACCGCCCCGCTGTGTAAGAGCCCCGATGGAATCCTCTTGGGGCCGAATCCGATACATCAACAACCGTAGTGGCTGGAATACGGAGACATGAGATTTGTGATGGATCGCACAGACTTGTGTGTCTTTTAAACTCAACAATCTCCAAAAAAAACACACACGTGTCCTCAAGGTCTCGTCGTTGCTAGTGTAATGTGAGAAGAATGGTGGGGGGGGGGGGGGCAGGTGAGGAAATGACCACACGCCAAAAGCATGCTGCAACCGGTCGAGGCGACGTGTCGTAGAACTGTCTTTCTTGCTCAAAAGTCTTGGGAAAAATACCCATAAGCGTAGAGATGGCCCGTAAGGTTAGATCCAACCTGCATGGGGGGGGGGGGCGATTCCGCAGTATCTGTGGGGTCCCCACGCATGTCGATCCTATCCGTCTGCTGCTGTGTTGATCATCGGCTGTTCATCCCCGTCACAGGCTGTATAGGCGTGACAAGTTCGATCGACTTGGGCCGCGAGTAGGCTGCCGGGCGCCGTGATGGGAGTGGTCGGTCAGAGCCCTGTGCGGCCATGGTGTAGCCGTAGTTGTCATACGTTGACGAATACACCGTCGACGAAGGGCGGCTTCCGTACGATGTACTAGGGCTGGTCGTGTTGCGTGATGAGAAAGGCCACATCGTTGTGGGATAGGAACCGCCAGAGGGCGTGGGCGGGCTTGGTTCTCCAGCGCTCAGCGACCGCAGTGCCGAGACTGCTGAGGTGTGGTGGTGGCTAGTAGATTGAGGTGAGGTCGGAGGTGAGATGAGCATGGAGTGGGGCCGTGATGGCGAGGCCCGCGGGATGATGTCCCTGGGCTCTGGGTCGCCCGCTGCATAGAATGGGTAGTTGGGACTTGTTCGTGTGCGCAAAGTGAGGGTTCTCGGTGTTGAGCTCGATGGAGACGGGTCGGGGTGGTCTCCGGCGCGGCAGCTGATTTCTCGTCAGCGAGCTGTACGTGTAGTAGCACAGGGGGGAGAGAGAAAACTTACGCCTCGGAGCAGTATATCGCCTTCTCGTCTTGAGGCACGAATTGCTTTTCGCATGTCATACTAAAATGGAACCATGACTGGTTAGTCAAGAGCTCGCGACAGAGAGTGTGTACGTAGACAGGAACGATATACGCCGTGTACAATGGCCCGCGGCGGCCGGGATCTCGCAAAGCACATCGAACTGCGGCTGAACGCAAAGGCCGATCATGCACCGTCCCACTGTTGCTGTGTGCATCACACGAGGGCAGCGAGGGCAGGGAGGGCAGTGAGTGACACCTACCAGAACAGGGGAAAGCTCTCCCTCTCGTCCGACAGCCAGTACTCGTCCTCCATCTCACGTTCCCTCTCTCGTGGGTTCTTGCCTAGCTTGGATCCAAACTGTGAGGTTCCCCTGCGGGTCATTGCTGGTCGCGAGGCCTTGTGCCTGGAGGATGGGTCGGTGACGGTGACGGCCTTCCTCACATCTGTATAAGAGGTGTTGGCAGAGTTGTGGCCAGACTTTCTCCGGTGGTGGTACATTGGACCTGAATGGTGGAAAAGACGACGAGAGTTCTCTGGTGTGGGGGCTGGGCTCTCCTCCCTCTGTGTGTGTCTCTCTATATATCTCGAGGGCGACGAGCCACAATGCTCGCTGGTTGGCCGTCCCTCACAGCGGTCCTAATACCGGACGTGGGGAAAGGCAGCGGGGTCCGAGATGCGGGACCAATCCAGGACAGTCTGGCGGAGAGGAGAAGATTGGGCCCGAAATTGAATCTTCTCGGGGCGGGCAAGGTTGATGCCCAGCTCGCAAGGAATTGCAAAGAAGAGGGAGACAAAAGTAGGGCGGAAGAGTAGTGTGGGTGCCTGGTCCAGAAGAGGGCTGCGCGGATGCGGCCCTTTATGCAGCGAACTAACAAGAAGAGGAGGGTGTGTGTGGGGTTTGTGATGCAAAGAGACGAGACGGATAGATGGCATGCAGGTGTGTCGGTGTGTGTGTGTAAGTGTCTCCCTGGGGGCTTATCAACTCCTCCGAAGTGGCGAACGGATGTCCAAAATTCGGCAGATCGTCGTCAATGAGGACCGGAGCAGTAGTGGCATATGAATGGGAGATATATAATAAACAAAACTTTTGTGTCTGGCGTGTGGCACCGATGACTCTTGCGCGAGTGGTGAGGAGAATGTCGCGTCGCGATTGCGCAGGGTAGTGCCCTTTACTTTCTCTGCTTTTTTCCCTCTCGCTTCCGTTCTGGCGTGATGGTCCCTTGTCCTTGGTTAAAATAGTCCCCAGTAGACAGGATCCAGGGGTCCTCCCGTTCAGGATGATTGATGGATGTGTCAGAGAAGACAACAGCGTTGGCCTTGCAAGCGTTGAGCAGAGGAGCCCAGCACGGTGGGACGCTCTTAATTCTGTTTGAACCAGGATGGTTATAGTACAAGAAGCCAATCCGGCTCCGTGTGACGAGTTACCGCTAGCGCCAGGCCGGGCGGCCGTTAGGGTCCTCTTTGGCGGTCCTTGGGTGTTTCTTGGGGAGGTTGGACGGTTTTTGTGAAGGTGACTTCAAGACGGGGTTAAAGAGATGAGGCCGAGTGTTGTAGTAGCAGTAGGACTGGGCAGGTCTGCGTGCGGTGGGGATCCTGCCGCGGTCGAGGCGGTGATGCTGGTTGTGCTGCTTGGGACAGGATGGCAAAAGGCACAAAACGCAGATGGGCGTGCCTTGTCCTCCTGACAAGAATTCCGGGCCAGAAAGGTCACGCAACAGCGGGGTTGGTGGCGCCTTGTCAAGTTATTACTGTCTTGGTTATGATGGAACGACGACGATCGTTGTGCACTTGCTATCCGGGATGTGGCAGTGAAAGGCTCCAATTGGTGATGGGTGGCCAAGTCCGGTGGAGAGAGAGAGAGATGCCAGATTAGTTACCAGAGGAGATGGGGTTACCACTGGTGTAGCCTATGGGAGAGGGGAAGGAGGCGGCGGAGGCTGCTGTGCGTCGTTGCTCGTTGTGCTTTGCTGTGCTGTGGTCCAGTCCGGTCTGTGTGACGTTGGGCAGATGAGGATGATAGATTCCAGGTCGGTGTTGGGCCTCTGTTGTGCTGGAGGGTGGGAAAGAGAGAGAGAGAGAGAGAGAGAGAGAGAGAGAGAGAGTGTGTGTGTGTGTGTGTGTGTGTGTGTGTGTGTGTGTGTGTGTGTGTGTGTGTGTGTGTGTGTGTGTGTGTGTGTGTGTGACCTGAGAGAAATACAGAGGAGAGGAGAACAATCCTGGTGTGTTTTTGTGTCGTGTGAAGAGAAGAGAGGAGGAGCGATTGAGAAATAGTACCAAGTTTGTTCGTTCTGGAAAGAGCGAGTGTGAAGGAGTACAACAGCCAGAACAGGAATGGCGGGCCCTGGATTTTATTTGTATGCTGGCTGAAAGGTTGTTTTGAAAAAAGTTGGAATTGCAGGAATGCAGCGAGCGAGGGAGGAGAAGTAAGAACGACTGACAAGAGTTCCAAGGTTGTTATGCGATCCTTGAAGCGAGAGGGACAGGATTTGGGGAGTGCGCAAGAGACGAGCCACGAGAGAGACACACACTCACAATTATGGTATAGAGACGGTACAGGGTGGTGACAAGGTTAGAGGGCGCTTCGTGGCCCAGGCCCCCCTTGTGACTCTTTTTTCTCTGTCTGCCGCGAACGGTATGGTGCAGGATGGTACCATAGTCACCATGTACAGCTCAGCTTCTCTCTCCACAGTGTTGAGCTCTTCGACAAACGGTGGTCTGACGGTGAACCGGAGGTCCTGGCTCACAGCGACGGATACAGTGGAGAAAGGGCCCGTGCTGCGTGTTTGTAGGCGAGCTGCTGCTGTTGCACCTGCTGCCGCTCGTCCACTGAACGGCCCCAGAAGGGGGGGCCCACTGTAACTTGCACCTGCACACCTGTATGCACCTGTACCTGGTTCCCTGCCAGCGCTGACCTGAACCCCGCTGAAACGGACTCTGCCGTGTGTTGACGTAGCACCTCCGTCCCGTCACAGCCTGCTGACGATACCAGTTGAGCCACCTGCAAGCCTGCGCACCGTTTCTGAAGGATCAAAGTCTAGACGCTTCTCTCCCATGTTGAAATTTTTTTTCTTCTTCCGTTCACTCTCTTCTCATCTTCCCTTGCTGTCATGCTCAGCTACTGGGTCACAAGCCCTGACAAGAATCTCGCAATGTGGTAACGGGTCCAAGGGTGAGGGGTGGGGTTCGGTTCAAAAACAAAAAAAAGTTTTTACTAGCTCTGAGCGTTTGGAAAACGTGCCTGAGGATGGCGATGTCAATGATCAGTACGAACGACTAAACACAACCCTTCACAGAGAAAGAGAGTTACTGGGCTCCGTCAGGTCTGGGCCTGCATAACTGGACTGGGGCGCCCAACTGGGGAGATCCCCCTCCCCTCCCCCCTAGGTCCTGTGAACGGGGCAGGTTCGAAAGAGACGACCCAGTAGCAGCAGCACCTGCACCCTTCGTGCTGCAACTGTCTCAGCACACAAGTGCTGTTTATAGTGGTTCCTATTTGTCAAGCTTTTGCAGGCCTACATTGCACATCTCCTCCCTCTCGCATCATGCATGGAGTGCCCGCCAAGGTACAACCCGTCACAGCTTGACAGCACAACAGACTGACTTGCACACGACCCAGCAAATCACAGCAAATCACAGCAAATCACAGCACAGCACAGCCAAGCACGACACAGCGCACCACACTATATACGTATCGGAATTTTAGACCCCATCCCCTCTCGCAAGGGAAAAAAAAGCTCATTACGAAATTATTGTTCAATCGTGATGGTTCTGAAGGGTTCTGAAGCGTGTGCTGTTGCATAAATGAGGCGGCAAGTGGGAGATGCGACATGACTTGGGTGCTGTGACTACATAGTGTATTGTACAGCATATCAATGCGCCAAAACAGCGAATGACAAGCCCCAATGATTACACGGGATACCATGCACTTAGTGTACCTTGTACACCGCGATCTGGTTTCCAGCAGCACGTATACCACAGTATCACGGTACCGTAATACAGTACGACCTCTCATCCTGGCTAACACTAGCTAAGAGGTATTCTCCCCCAAGTGAGCACGTTGCGTTCGAAAGTCATGGTGACGATGATGCCACGACACGCCATCGTCCAGCTCTTCTCCATCTGCCACGGCAGAAGGACGGGGAGAATCCACTCTTTTGCTGCTCCGGAACAACGGAGCTAACTACGGTACCATAAAAGGCCGTATTGCGTTGCTATTGCGTTGGTCGAGTGGGAAGAAGGAGACGCGGGAAGTTGGGGGGACGCGGGCGGGCGGTGCGGTCGAGACCTCGCTGATCCCATGCACTGTGGATAACTCTCCACGGTGCCAGGGAAAGGGCGGGGTGGGCAGTTTTGGGGTTGACCGGGCACAACACAGCACTGCGATGCACTGCACTTCAGTGCACTGCACAGCACAACACAGCAGCACCCAGTGTGTCGGTGAAGGGAAGGCGCCAGCGCACCATCAGTCAGTAGTCTCTGTGCCGTGCACCTCGTGGCCTGTCAGTTTAAGTCAGCAAACCAGATACGATGGCCTTTCCCTCCTGCGTCATCCGCTGCTTCCATGCCTTTTTTTGACCAGCCTGCACTGCCCCATCTCGTGACGTACCCTGCATGGCGACCACGCTGTGTGTACTCAGTAACTGTACTACTTGCAGGAGAAGGCGTGGGGCCAGAAGAACTGTCTTCTCTGGGCTCATCCACTCCAGCCTTTGTCGACAACAGACTGGTCCCTCCTCACTGGGAACGAGCCCATACTACGATACTACGACTGTAAGTGTCTAGGATCAACAAAGTACGTGCTCTTGGGCCATATCGACGTGCCAAAGACACCTCAATGGTTCGAGTCCGTTCCGAGAAAGGCGTCGATGATGCCCTCCAGCTTGAAGATTGAGCCATCGATCCCATGAGCCACGCAAAGGGAGTTTCCATTACACAACAACTACGTCTTGGTTTCTGACCAGAGGTATTGCATCATCCTTCACCAGGATGGGCAACTGATGTTGAACCAGACACGCAAACCGCAGCAGACACACATCATCCGGCCGATCCGATCGCAATGGGCGGACCGAAACTTTAATGAAATTCGTCACCAAACCTGCCGGCTCTTGAGGAACTTTGTCCCTGATCTTCCTCTTACTTCCGACTTTGACAGCTCGAATAAAATCTGGGCCCCCCCCCCCCCCCAAAAAAATACAGCCATCATCAGTGCAAGGTGTCTCCTTGTAGGGAGCCCGTGGAGCCGCAAGCCTTTTTCTTTCTCTCTTAGTACTAAATGTCTATGTCTAGAGTACGATCGACGCCTTTCCGTTCTGATCTGGTCGAATTGTTCCCAAGATAGAAACAGAATTCAGTGCGCCAAAGGAGTGAGTCATCCAGACGAAATTTGATTGCTGTTTGCATCAGCATGAACGAAAAGACAAGAAAACAAGGACCACTCTTCAGTCCTCCGGCCCGAGGCCAGAATGACAAAGCCAGGTTGCCATGCGGCTTTTTTTTTTTTCTTTCTTCTAGAAGACTGACAAACTGACGCCATCAGCTTGCGAACCCGCAAGGAAGGCTGATGGCGTGTCGTGTCGTCTTTTGCAGGTGGAGGGCGAGCGCCACAGGGCACACGCCGCCGACTTGACCGAGCGGGCTTTCTAACATAATAGTATGGAAGTGTCTTTGGAGAGGGTTTCAGATGTGGCTTGCTGGGATGGATCTCACCACCAGAACTGCGGTCTGCGTCAGTGGTCATGGGTTTCTTCCTTGATTCGCAATCCCAGCACGCAGCCTGCATACATGCGGCCAAACCCTTTCGAGGCAATGTCCAGGTCCCTTGATGTCTTGATGTCAGGGCAAATGCACTAGCAGATTTATTTTCGGGGTTCCAGTGGCTTGGGACCTTGATGGACGGCTTCATCGGTGTATTTCTGAGCCGGCAACAGCCTCTACTGCCTGCCTCGATGTGTCTCTCCCTTGTAAGAGAGAGAGAGAAAGAGAGAAACCGCCCGCCGGCCGTTTGGTCAAAGGAAACGGAATGATACTGCCCGAATCCGGTAATCCAGTTACTACCCGGGAGGGGGGGCTCAAGTCTTCTTAGGGGACGAGACGTGGGGGTTCACAATCCTCCCCGCTGAGTCATGGTCTTCATTTCCACTCGCAAACTCCTGCATTTTTGGCTTTGCCCGGGCAGGACCCTGCGCCACAATCTCTCTCTCTCTCATCCTGTCGGCTCCAGCACTGACGGCCGCGCGGAAAAACGGGCTTTCTGAGACAAACAGACAAAACGGGAGGGAGGAGATGGGTGATGAGCCTGAAGCAAGGAAACTCGACAACTGGGGGAGACAAAGGCCATTTGGCATCCATCTGCCGTCACGGTATTGATCAACTCTACCTGCATGGCTGGTTTCACAAGTCCCTTAGTATGCTGCGGCCCGTCCAGCGTGCAAATGGTTTCTATTCGCAATCCGGCGCGCATTCTGTATTGCACGCTCCATCAAGCCACGCCTGCAAGCAAAAATTCGCTACCAGCCTTCCCCGTTTCGCCCCTTCCCGGGCATCCCTCTTTCGGCATCCCGTCCAGGGGATCTACATAGTAGGGGAGGGAGGGAGAAAAGCGCTGTACGGGCCGGGGGGGGTGAAGAGGATGGGGGGATAACACAACACAGACGTTGCGTGCCGCCGTATCATCCCACGCGCTGCCCTAAAAGATGAGGGGAACAGACACAAAGAATAGTTGAGACTCAGGAGAGGCCGAAAGGAAATATTTCCACCGTCGTTCGATGTTCGATGGTCATCCCTGCCCTGGCTACCTTTCCACCAGGCTGCGAATCCACAACAGCACAAATGCTGCCAGGGCGAAGGCGGCCCCTATGCGTTGCATTCCGAACGGAGCCCGTTGTTTGGTCCAGTCCTGACACTCGCGGCTCCCGGATGTAGGCGGGACCAGAGGCTTCACCGTCCGTCAGAGTATCCACCTACAAAGACCACAAAGTCCACAAGCTCTGAAAAGTTTCGAAGAGCCTTGCCCGAAGGAGAAGAAAACCATTCAGAGAGCTTTTCACAAAATTCTCTGGCACGGTGCGGCCCATCTGCGTCAAACAAATGGCACCTCTTCCTCCCCTCCCCCTTCTTCCTCAGAAAGCTATCAGCGAGTGGGTTTCGAAGGGGGGCTGGGGGGGGGGGGCAACATGTTGACCGCTCAGCAAGGGACTCAGATGGGTTTTGTGAATTGTCACATCCGCGCCACCCCCGCTCTGGGAGTTGGTCTTAACATGGGCCAAAATCCGCCCCTTAGCCCTTGAAGGGGGAGGGTGGGAGATTGCAGGCGACTAAGACGTATGAAAGGTCATCATCACACCACATTGGCGAATTCACGCATACACGGCATTATAACTGTTACAAGAGAACGAATCAATGGGAGTCCAGGCACGCAGGCAGGCATTTGACTACGTGGGGGAAGGAGTTTAGGAAACGTGCGCTAAGATGATTGATTCATACCAACACCACGATGGGGAATTGGGGACTGAATTGTGACCTTGTGTGATGATGGCACCGGCTCAGAAGAAGGGACCTGGTGGACACATTTCCCAAGATCGTGATCGCCCGGGTCATCTTGATTCTCGAAATTTCTTTGCGAACCCCCCCTGGCTTGCTTTCCGGCCAAATGTGTATCACACTCACCGATACCAACCGACACCGATAATGAGCCCACGTTTCTTTTACCCTTGTTCATTATAAACTGTGAAGAGGCAGGGACAATACTTTGGCCCGGCGCCAGTGCACACAATAGCCACGAGGGTGGGTACGAAAACAAGAGGGGGAAAAAGAGCTAATATCCAGTCAGAGCGAATCCTTTCCCCCCCGTGTAAGTCTCACGAAATTTTCACTTGCTCGAGCTTTTTACGACGAACCAACATGCGAGCCAGGAGGTCCGGCCACAGTCGGCTGGGACAGGCTGTTCTGTTTGTGGGGAATCCCTGAGCCTGCAGGGACCCTTGAGGAGGGCCAGGATGCAAAAGCAAGCCAGGGGGAGAATATGTAGGTCCTCGACGGGTTGTGACTTGGGGGCCAGAAGGCGTCCAGCAGCGAAAAACGAAATGGTGAAAACACGACATGGTTTCCTTATCTGCTCCTCCTTCTCCTGGCCCCTTCGCCCTCTCAGTGCGCTCGATATGGAAACACAAGCGAATCGCTCTGCTGGTAGGCTAGAGGCACCGAGAGAAGCCCGAAGGCACACACGCACACACCATGTTGGTTACCCGAGGCGAGACAGGGCTCTTGAACGAGAGACCCAATGAGTACCTCGATGGCATGTGTAGTGGTTAGTACCACAGAAGGGAAAAATAATGTTGTCTAGGCCTCGAGGATCATCCAAAGAGCGCCAGCCTGTCATTCCCCCCAAGTCAGTCTAGTCCAGTCCTAATCCACACCCATGGTCCGTGAACAGTCGAACCCGAGTCAGAGTTTCACGGCCATGCGTTTGTGAATATCCCAGTGGTCCAGCCCATCAGGGGCCCTTGCAGGACACACCCTCTTCTCATATTCCTTCACGATGGCAATTTTTTTCTCATCACGGCCCTCCTGCGTCAGACGAACCCTACCTGGCTGCAGGTACGCCAAGTGGGCTGCCAGGAGCACACCACCAACAATGACTCGACATCCAATAATATTGCACAGTGCTATGATATGTTCTAGCTATACGAGTTCGAGGCCGGCACACACACGCGCGCGCACTATCAGCGGATCGGAGTTGTTTCCCTTATCTTACGAAAAATCCAGGACTTCAAAGTGGGATGCATGAGTGTAGTACCAAATACAATGACTATCTATCTATGTATTGCCTCTGGGAAAATGACCCAATCAGACCCCGGCCGGGGTCCGAGGTTTCGACATCAGTGCATGCACGTCGGGAAATCGTGGTTAGCTGCCCGACATTCTTGCAGGGTGTGTGTCGTTCAAACGAAAGACTGAGAGAGAGAGAGAGTGTGAGAATTATAGTCCGCCGTACCTGGTGGTAGTGTGCGTGATGGACGTGAGGGGTGAGTTACATTCCCCCTCCCCTTCCCACCCTCCGAGGCCAGAGGACAAAACGGGAACTGCCCAGCCACTTTTGAGAGAGAGGGGATCGGGGGGGGGGGGGGGGTAAAATGCATATATAGACGCGCAGCCAGTGCTTGCGTGATGCCGTCATGGACCCTATGGAAGCCGCTTGGTGAATGATCTGCAGTTTCGTGTAGTGGTGCATGCATTGCCTTGCATGCATGCAGGCAGGCAGGCAGGCAGGCAGGCAGGGTTTGTACATAGTACTCTGTATGTGCGGCAATGCGCACGTCGCCGTTTCTGGGCACACCTTGATGTGTCGTTGCGCGACTCGCTCGTTTCGTTTCGTTGCCCACCCATCCCCCCTTCGGCGACGGGACTTGGAAGGATTTTGTGGTCAGCACGGGGGGGTTTCTGCCTGATTGTCTGGACGGTGGCGGGCTCGCTTGAACTCTCGCGAACTGGGCGTGATCTCCCTCCTTTGACTGCGGAGTGTTTTGTCCTAGCTGTTGTTTTTCTATGTTTTTCTTCTTCTCCGCATACGTGCGTGCATATGTGTAATTATGGGTAAATGTGTAGATGCGTTTCTGGATTTGAGTATCTCCTCACCTTGCAAGTCTCTTTTTTGTCTAGACTTTGTAAGACAGCCTCTAATCATAGCAGCAGGCATTGTTTAAGTTGTTTGCATAATAATTATAATAAAAGAAGAGCAAATTCCATAGCCCGCTATTATAAGCCGTAAGTTGCAATAGTTGAATAAGACAGAAGATGAATACAGTCCATGTTCCAGTATGCTTGCGGATTAGAAGGAATCCGGAGGATGGCCTTTGCAAATATGCTTAGAATAGTCTGTGACCTCCTGAGATTTTCCCTGATATAATCTGTAACCTCTTGAATATTCTTCGGGATGATGTATGGCTTTTCCAAAAATTTCATAAGATCAAGTGGCTAAATAACTCATGCTTTTCAATTGATTTGTTTATTAGTGAATTATTCTATTCTTTCCCTATGCCCGATTTGAATGTCCTCTTCTCTTCCTCTATCTAGCATCCATGTTGAACCTTCAGATGTAGAATGTGACATCAGGACCAGTATCGTAGACGAATGTACAGACAACACCTACATTCTTTATGCGATCTCCAAATAAACACCGCCAGGCGTGGCCTGGTTGATAGCAGCCAGAAGCCCATGCATGGGTGTGACACAGGTGAGGTGGTCGAAACCCCTGGTCTTTGGCAGAAGATTGCCAGATTCCATACTGATACGGTTCCCAGAGACATCCAGGTCGACAGTCTTGTATTCTAGCCTGCCCAAAGGATACCCTTCATTTTGAACCGAGGTCCACGACGACAGCATCCTCGTCACCTTGACCCGCAAATGGGCGCGCAAACGAGCTCGGGTCGTCCGGTGGCTCGAACTTGGGCATGCTGATGACACAGGCTGGTGAGGCCTTTATGACCACGTGGGAGCCGTTGCTGGTCGCGTGGCTGTAGGTAAAACGTCCTACGACATCGTGCTAGGTACAGATGGTAAAAACCTGTCTTATGATCTATCTTGAAGACGACATTGCTTCCTCCAGCGTCGACCCATCCTTTGTTCCACGATACACTTTGGTGTCCACACTTTGACGCGCCTTCGGTTCATGTTGGAGGGACACTTGTCAATATTCAACAGGGACAAACACTGCGGTGACGTGCACAGGTGGGATGGAAGGATTCGACAGATGAGCAGATAGGTGTAAATATACATATTTTGTTGGCCAGCCCGCATAGAGCTCGAGAAGGATTTGTATGAATGAGGGCAAATTTTTAAAAAGACCGAATGTTTGCTGTAGCCCTCACAAGTGAAGCCGGAGCTATAAATTTTCTCTATTGTTCACGGAGGGCAGAGCAAAACGATGGCAAGCAACGCATACTTGACAGATTGCGATGGGGATTTACAACCAAGTATCCAGATCCACCTTCTTGCTGTATTAAGTCAGTGTTTCCAGAGCTGACAAGCTGGAGAGAGCATCCCAAGGTGCCAGAGATAGCTCCATCTTTGCTGCTGCCGACAGAAGCACCTAGACGTGTCTGGATAGAGTAGTTGGTTTCGACAGAGGAGGCGTTGTATGCAGCCGGAATTCTGAGACCAAGGCGTTCACGGCCTAGGTGAGGCATGAACAACTTCGGACGAGAAGAGGAAGCGGAGGAAGCGATGGCGAGCTCATGGTTGATGGGGGGAAAATGGGGCAACCTTGAACACCTGAATCCAAACAAGACGGAGCAGAGTCCCAAGTACGTACTTGAGTGGTCAAGTTAAGAAAGAACAATCCAAGAACATGATACAATAAGGGGAGGAACAGGTGTGGTAGGTCAGAAGGGGCTTTAATCACTGGCCAAGGATGGCCGAGGCATGTTGTAATTCTTAACATTGAGGGCTCTTGCAAATTCGTCAGTATGGTTATGAATTTTTTGACCACGGCTCTTCATCATGTAACTTCACATAAAGAAATGATCTAGGACTCTGGATTAATCGAGGGACTAACAAGCAGTTAATCAGAATAAAATTCTGTGCCGTCTTTTTTTGACTACTGATATAGTTGCTACAGTACAAGGATTCACAACAATATGCTCCAGTTTCCTTCTGTATAGTGGCATAACTTTATCTATTTGCTACATCAAACAGGAAATGACTGCTTTACAGATTGAGAATGAAACGCTATTGACACTGAATATTCTAAGTTATCTGTGTTACCTGTACTTTGCGGAAATATAAGAACATAGTCCAGTGCAGCCATGTCAGTGGTCCATTCTGTGACATGTTCGCATATGTTCTCTGTAGAGTTGATCAAGATGGCTGGAAAAGAATGACTACGAAGATTGATTATTTCTATCTGAACTTTCAGAGCATCCTATGTGTCCAATTTACACAGTGTATGCTGGACAGAGTTCAGAAGAGGGCCAGGCAAGGCTGACTCTAGCATAAAGAGGCTGACTCAAAATTTGGTCACTAATCTGCTACAGTGACTTGATGGTGCTAAGGTGTTTGAGCTTTAACGCCTTACAGTACAGCCGGGAGGCTGACAGCCCACTAGTCTAACTTTCAGGGTTCGGGTTTACCAACGCCAAACGATCGAGACGCGAATTTGCCCAGCATGGACGCACCAACGTCATCGTCCTCAAATTCAACCTCAACCTAATTCAGCTTTACCATCGTCCACAGTGCCACGAGATGCCGCCCGATCCCATACTGGACGAAGAAGACTACGCATCGTCCGAAGACTCGGACTTTGCCCCCGACGACGCGCCCGAGCGTGAGGGCGAGGCAGAGTCGTCCGAAGACGAAGAGGCTGCAGAAGATGGCGGCGCCGAGACCACCACGACCACCACTACCCAAGCAGCACCGTCTGCAGGACGCAAGAGGAGGAAACAGGGGGGTGGTGGTGGCGATGGTGAGGAAGCAGAGGATGCGGGGTTCGAGAATTCTGGAGATGAGGCGATCATAGAGAAGGGCAGGAAGAGGCGGAAGAAGGGACAGCAGGCGCAGAGAGACCATGATGACGAGGGCGGGGAAGGGGGCTTGATCAAGACGCGTAGTATGCGTGCTGTCGAGTGAGTCACTTGGCTGAAATTTTTCTTTCTTTTCTCCCTGGTGAATAGTCCTGCTTCCACTGGGATGTTTTGCTGACGAGACCTGTAGAAAAGCAGAGCGCAAGACACAAGTGGCGGCAGGGCCCGTGACAGTCGATGTCGATGCACTGTGGGCCTCCATGACGGCCGCACCGGCGATCCCTACAACACACGAGCCGCAGCCAGCTGCAGAGGATGTACAGGAGGGCAACACGGAACAGCGCGGGACCGGCGCACAAGAACCCGGCGCAGAGGCAGAGCCCAGCGACATGATCAAGATCAAGCGGACGTACAACTTCGCGGGCAAGGTCCACACAGAGGAGAGACTCGTGCCGCGCGACTCTGCAGAGGCCAGGCTGTATCTCGCGTCCAAGGGCGCGGGCGCGGGCGACCCAGGCGCTGAGGGCGCCACAGCCACTGCGGATGGGGGTGGCGAGGGTGAGCCGGATAGGCGCATGCCGCGCAAGGCGTTCCGGTCGGTGTTCGAGCCGGTGGTGGTGACTGCCGATGGCCAGCGGACGGACCTGAACCTGGGGATCGCGATGCGCCTGCAGGCGCGGGAGAAGGCCAAGAAGCTGAACACGGTGGAGAAGTCGCGCATGGACTGGGCCGGGTTCGTGGACAAGGAGGGCATCAAGGACGAGCTGGTGCTGGCGGGGCGGGCCAAGGGGTCGTATGCAGACCGGCAGGACTTTTTGGCCCGGACGGAGGCGAGGCGGGAGGACGATGCGAGGCGGCTCAGGCTGGCGGGCAAGGCTTGAGGTTGCTGTCTTGTCTGGTTTGCGGGAAGGGGTTCACGAATTGCATGATTGGCGTTCTTTTCCCGCTTTTTTTTTTGTTTGAGATTACTATGGAAGTGACGGTTGGCTAGAGATACCCTTTGCTATAGAGACAAAAAAACGTTGGTGGTGGTCATTTCCGTTTTCCCACAACAAAGAATCACAGCTTTGGCTTTGCTCCTGGAGGCAGCAACTGGACATCCTGATACGGCAACCCAAGAAACTTGTAGACGTAGTTGAACCTAGTTCCCCCAACAAGTCAGCAAATTTGTCTCCTCTGGGTCAACAATTCTCAAGAGGACAAGAATGTCTTACCTGTCACTCCCGAAAAAAGGCTCACTCTTCCCCTGCGCATTGGTCACCCACAGCCACGGCGCCCCAAAGGCACCTTTGTCCAGAGCCTCCTGGGTGGTCCTGGTGAGCATGTCCTTGACCTCCTGTTCCTTGGCCGCCACCAGGATCGTCTCGCACTCCTTGGGAGAGAATAGACCCGAGTCGGCAAGCACCTTGGCGAGCACGTCGACCTGCGTTAGATTCAGGTTGGGCGGCGTCCAGAAGGCGTGGAAGAGGTGCTCTAGCATGGCGTGGTACGTCTCGGTGGGGTATTGACGTTTAATGTAATGGAGGCACCGCAGGGGCTAATGTTTCACCGTTTGTTTAGAAGGGGGGGGGGGGCAAGTTCAAAAGAAGAAAAATAGAAAAATAGGTCGGCTTGAGTACAAAGTACTGACAAGTATAGTATGTCCCATGGACATGAGATCCTTAGGGAACCGGATCTGAGGCCGCCCGAAATGGTTCACTGCCCGGGCTGCTTCGTGATTGGTCCCGTAGAGTGCTTTGGCTGGGACGCTCCATGGCGGTTTGTTGCCTGTACCCGTTGTGTTTGTGAGGTTAGTAAATCACAAGTGTCCTTGCGAAGGCTCGGGCAGTAAGTAGATGAATAATCATCTTGCTCACCAGTCTTTGCGTTCACCGCGCCAATTAGCATCGGATGGAATCTGGATCGTCATCTTGTGAGCTTGGGCACCCTGGGTTTACCTCGACCCCAGATACTCACTCAACGTCGACGCCATGAGCTTTCAGTGTGCTCAGATTGTCGACGAGGTACACGAAGCCGAGGTAGCTGTACAGAGACGCTGGCGATTGGGCGAGCACCTTGTCAGCGATTGCCATACGCAGTACGCAAAAAGACTAGAAAAGGTAATTCTCACCAATATCAAAATAACAATCGATCTTACCACCCATCTTTACAAGCGCAAACTGAAACGCAATCGGATGGTTGTGAACAGAAAAGAAGAAACAGAGGGCATGCGAGTCTGGAAATTGTTGAAGAGGAGGATGGGTTCCCCGGTAGGTATCAATTACATAGTTTCGCATCCCCTGGTGAGGTAGGTGAACAGCATGCCTCGGCTCACTGCAACGTCCCCCTGCCACTCAGTACTAGCTAGCGACTTACAGCACTATGCCCGATCAGTAATCAGCCTAGAGACAACCGACGATAGGCACTAATTAGTACATGCCATACCTGAAGACAAACAGCGACGAGTAAGAACAATATATAGCACCTACTCGACTATACACACACATACACAACCAGACAGGATCGTTTGGAATGTAGGTCACTGCTATGTTGGACGACCACTATCACAATCACGACCACTCGCACTCGGAGTCATCATGTCCCAAGACAAGCCTGTAGCTCTGGTCATAGGCGCCTCGAGGGGAATAGGGAGACAGGTAGCAATCGATCTTGCTAGGAACGGCTACAGAGGTAAGTTCAGGAAGAAGAAGGAGAAGAAGAAAAAGGAGGCGGAAAAGAGAGAGGCTGAAAGTTATACACATGAAATCTTTTGTCTCTCTCTCTCTCCCTCTTCCCGCAGGGTATTAATATCGACTTCTTTATAGTGGTCGTTGCAGCCAAATCCACCAGTGATGCCTATTCCTCGACGACGCCTTTCCCACCCGATCCCAACTCACCCCAGTCCACCATCAGCACTGTTGAGCGAGAGATCCGAGAAGATGGTGGTGAGGCCATCGCCATTGCTGTCGATGTCAGGGACTTTGGAAGTATTGAGAAGCTGGTCGAGCAGGCTGTTCAAGTATGGAAAATGAAGACATTACTCCCGTTCTCCTCCTTCTTCCCAGCCTGCACGAGCCCTTCCTCCCTTCTTGTCCCATCGCCTAAAGACCTTCCCCCACTGCTAACAAAACCTCCACCCTCGTTCAAGACATACCATCGGCTAGACGCCCTGATATACAACCCCGGCGCCATCTGGTGGGCCTCCGTCAAGGACACGCCCATGAAGCGCTTCCAGCTGATGCAGCGCGTCAACATAGAGGGCCTCTACGGCGCCGTGCAGGCCTGCCTCCCCCATCTTACCCTGCCCCGGCAGAACGGGCGCATCGTCATCGTCAGCCCGCCCATCTACAGCCGCTTTTTCCGAGGCAAGACGGCGTATGCCATGGGCAAAGTGGGCATGAGCGTGCTGACCAAGGGGCTGGGGATGGACTTGGAGCGACAGGGTATGGTGGCGGAGGCGGGCTGTGCGGTGACGAGTCTCTGGCCTGCTGTGGTAAGTTCTTCATTCTGTTTCCTTCCTGCTTTTTCCATCTGTCTCATGGCTCTCTCTCTCTCTCTCTCCCCCTTTTCCTCGAGAGCAGAAGAAATGATTTGGATCTTGAGCTAACATTGCTTTCCCAAACCAAGTCTATACAATCCGCAGCAACCCAACAGGTCACCCGCACCAACCCCGCCGAAACCAGCGACCTCCGCAAGCCCACCATCTTCTCTGACGCCATCCTCGCCATCCTGCGCGCGCCGGCACCCGTCGTCAACGGCCAGCTGCTCCTCGACGAGGATTTTCTGAGGGCGCACTGCGGCGTGACCGACTTCTCGCGGTACTCGGTTGTGCCGGGGGCTAGTCCGCGGCGGATCATGCCGGCTGAGCTGCCGGATTTGTCGGTGAGGGAGCAGGATGACGAGGGGAGGCGGTATGATAGTGCGGCGGCGAGGAGGAGGGAGGCTGGGGGGAAGTTGTGAGGCGAGGGCATGCAACTGTGATTCATTGATCGACCACAGGGTCGAAGGCCGAAATGAAATGTAATAGGACAAGACGAGATTGATGTCTCGAGATGGTATTATATTACTGACAGAAAACACTTGCCAATGTTCAGCCACAACTACTATGGAATTTTCTTTTGGGATATCCAGACACTTGTACAAAAATCAGCCCCATGGCCGAAACACAGCTGGACCCGCACCCAACGATGTAGGCCCTGGGGAAAAGAAGAAGGGGGAAAAAAAGGCCCATATGAACACAACTAGAATCAGAATCGCTGACCCATGTAACGCCTTCCCTTTGCAAACCTCCGCACCCAGCCGTTTCTGGGATGTAATTCTATATCCAAAAGTGAGGTACTTTTCCCCATCTGATTCCCGAATGAGATAGATCACAGCGTCTCCGTGCTCTGGTTACCCTGTCTCCGAGCAGCGCCCTGCTCCTCGTCTTCACTCCTGTCGGTATCGGATTTCGCAGCGACACCAAAGAGGTCGCCCACAGCATGCGTCAAACTTTTGGCACGATTCCGAAACCCCCTCCTTTTTGGGCCGTCGATGGGCGACTCCCCATCGAACTCGCCATCTGCTGTGCGGCTCCGCTCGATGGCGCTCATGATGCCCACATCCTGCTGGTCCTGGTCGAGCTCATCTTGTGGCACAAACAGGCTGTTCCTCAGACTGGGCCGGCTGAGCCGCCTTCGCGACTGCGGTCGCTTGGCCGTGGGTGAGTCCGTCAGCAAGGTGGAAGGGACCAGACCCCGGACGGCCGAGTCCAAGGGCGAAGGTGAGAAAATGTGGCTGCTGTAATGATGAAGTCGTGACCGAGGCGCAGATGTGGAGGCGCGCGGCGTTGAGTTGACGTCGGAGGTGACGTTCAGTATCGGAGTGTCCTGGTTCGATGGGGATCCAGGATGAGTTGGAGGCTCGGAGTAAATAGGGGTGTTGCTTGATATTGTGACTGCAGAATCTGTTGAAAAGGCCTGCTGAATCCCTGGATGCACAAGCGGCTCGCGTGACGGCGTCCGCAGGAGTGGTGCAGACTCTGTGGCCTCATTTGGCGTGAGAAGCGATGCCCTTGAGTTTGCACCTCCCTGAGATCTGGGTGTCGGCACGCCCGTCTCCGCGAGGACTGCCAGAGGTTTGTTAACGGCATCCATGAAGCTCACCCGGGATGATCGCCGGCTTCTACCACCACTGCTACGACGCCTGTGCACCTCGGGCGATGGAACCGCGGGCATATCCTGCTCTGCGAGATGGATGGTATCCTCGACATCCTCCTCGTCGGATAGTACTTCCTCATCCTCGTCCCCGTCCGCCGGCGGCCGGCCGCTGGTGATGAGGAACACGCCAAAAAAGGTGAGAAAGCAGCCGCCAATGAATTTGATAGCTCGTTCTGGGGTAGTGCGCTCGAAGTCACGGTAGAGGACAGCACTTCCGATAATCACGCACAGCGTGAAAGACACAAACTGGATCGGTATAACCTGCGTCGAGTCGAACCTTTGCAGGGCCTTGTTCACATAGCGGATCTGCATGATGGCCGTTCCGAGTAGGATCGCTATCAAGACGTACGTGACCGGTGTGGTGAACGCTCTTAATAATGTGGATGATAGCATGGATGCCACACCCTTGGTAGAGAGGGCAGTATAGCCGCCTGGGGGCATCTCGTCAGCATTTCTTGAAACCTAGCATAGAAAAGAGACAGCACTGGCGTACCAAATAGGCCGACAAGGCCAAGATCGATCAAAATGGTGCGGTTCCCGTATTTTGGGCTCAGCCACATGAGGAGAACGATCAGGCTACATGTCACAGCCATGTACGTCTTGAACCCCATGGTTGTGATGTGCTCCCACACATCATGAGGCTCGAGCTTCGTTTCCTGGGTGTTGGCGCTCAGGACGACTGTCACGGCGCCGCCCACGGCAATGACGACGCCCCAGAAATCCCGTCTCCTGAACTTCTCCTTGAAGAAAATCGGCGCGATGACGCAGTTCGAGATGAGGGCCACCACACCCAGCGGCGAGACGATTGACGCGGGCGCAAAGCCGTAGGCCAAGAAATTTCCCATCTCCCCCACGGTGATCAGGATCTGGCCCAGCCACCAGTACGGCGACTTGAGGTACGTCGAGGGCGCCTTGGGCATGTCGTCGTCTTCAGAGTTCTCGGACCAATGTGTATCTTCGGAGCGAAACGAGCTCGTCAGAGGGTCCGACTCGCCCGCGCCGTCATCCCCGTCCCTGTCCCCATCGGCCCTGGTGCTCCCGTCGGCCGCCTCGTCGAGGGCGCCGTACCCCCGCGATGAACCGCCGCCGTTCTTTGCATTCTTGAGGGCCTGCTTGGCGCGCTCGCGAGCTCGTTTGCGCTCGCTGTGGAGGCGGGTATGGGCATAGCGCTGGACGTTGAGGGCGAGGGCGATCAAGATATTGCCCACAATCGCAGTGGTGATCCCAATGATTGAGGCCCAGTTCTTTGTAGAGTCGCCAGGAGAGCCATCACCGCCGTCGCCGCCGCCGTCGTCGAAGAGATAATTTGAAGATGTATAGGAGGGTATCAGGTACGGGATGGTTCGAGCGGGCAGAGAGGACAGCGTCGGTAGGTACATGGCCGCTCAGAGGCCGTCAGTCGCGGCTGGCCGAGGACTCGAGTAACGTCTGGGTCTGGTTGTATCATGGGTAGGCGTGGTGCTGAGATGCTCAATTCTCGCGGGCTGGGGGGTTGTGATGAGCGAGGGTGGTCGTATGGCAAAGTTCTTGTCGTTATGCGAAGGTGCTGAGGGGGTTAAGTTCGCTTTCTGGGGCCGAGAGGGCCGAGAAGGGGGAAAGTTTAATCAGGCACAAGCGGATTGAGCACAAATGTCGATAAGAATAGATGACGACAGCCGAAGGAAGAGAAATGAAACACGGTCCAGAGAATGCACGGGATACTTTGATTCCCAAATATCCAACAAGAAAAAACCCCGAAATCCGGGTTGGAAACTGATCAGCTGCAAGAACACAGTGGAGGGGAACAAAAAGATGGATTGTAGAAGAGAGGTGCCTGCAGCTAAACCTCAAATGTTGTCGTCAATGGGCAAAAACTATTCGATTGATCTAGGGAGGGAGGGAGGCTTATCGTCTGGGGGCCTGTCAGATCAGATCAAGGCCTCGAGTTGGGCTGCATGAGGCCATGCGATGCGATGCCGTCATGTCCACCTTAGCGGTGCTGGTAGAGAGTACTAGGCTCCAGTGGGCTGGTTCATAGAGGGGGGTGGGCAACTGGTAGGGCTCAGTGGTCGGGCCCCTGAAGAACCGCTGCCATGGGTACCCGGGCCTGTGCCAGGGCATCATGAAAGGACCCTGGAACGGCCCGAGCAGGGAAACTCGTATAATCAAGTACTTACTAAACATGTTCTTTCACAACTCGACGAGTCGAAGTATATTGAATCCCGGACATTCCGAGCGTATAGAACACGAGATCTCGGAAGGGATTCGACATTTATGGATGTAACATAAGTAGTACTCTTATGAAACGCTCGACACCAATATAACTTCAATCTGAAGGAAAAAGCACGAGCTGCCATCCGCTTCTTAGGATCTACGCAGCACGACGCACTCGGGATACGTAGGTACTGCAACGAACACAATATGCTCTTCAAACACTATCCCGAGTCCGAAAGAGGTCAGAGCGTCTTAGCATATCCACTCAGCTGTAACAAGAAGTAGGGTTCTATCCAGTATGGATACTCCATCAGGAATGTGCTGCTTGATAGTAGGTGCTAAGTGTACTCTTTGTAAGATCCGTTGAACAAACCCATCAAGCCTCGCCAACATATGGATAGTGTGGAGGGGTTCAGAGGATCACCACTAGAAACTACAAGCTGGCTGCGGGGTATGCTGAGGTGTCTAGAGGAAATGATACACAACTGGGTCTTGGAAAATATATAGGGTACATATGTGTTGTTATGTGTTGTTATGAGTCCCACCCATTGAAGGAAATAAGATGAACAAGGCGCAGCAAGTCTACTGTAAGTAAGTAACATAGTATGTTTAGCATCATGTTACATAGTATGTTGGAATAGAAGCCTGTGGAAACAGTGCCTTTTGCCCCCACTCGCGGGAGGGCCCGCAGTATTTGCTTGACATGTGAACCCTGGAAGCAACGCATCGAACTTCGCCTCACTCACCTCATTTCCATCATTGACAAAATCACTACCCACCTTGCTTATGACTCCACGATTCCGAGAGAGATTTCTCCCACTTTTCAAATCCCAACACTGACTCGCCTCGAGCGACCTGATTAAAAAGTTCTTCGAGGAAGCCGTGCTTTTGCTCTGGACGGATTCCACGAGCCGCCCGGTTGTTCCGAGTTTCTCCATTTGCCATCGAAAGCACAGTGCGATGCCCGAAGACGATCCCCAATCGTCAAAGAACCCCTTCATCAGATTTAGGCAGCACGTTGACGCGCGCATTGGAAGTGGTCTGTCGCTCCTGACAGGAGGGCCAGGGCCAGATCGTGTCTCAACAACACCTCAGCCAGATCCTCTTTCCACGCATCGATCCACCCCCTCCGAGCATACTGAAGCAGCCCGCTCAGCTTCGGGTCTGCCTTCTAGCACGCAAGCGATGTCGCCAGGCCCCTTTGACCGCAACGTCCGGACAACGACAGAGTACTGGAACGACTGGGCCCAGTCCTCGCCTTACTCCCCGTACAACCTCCGCCACCTGCCCCAACCAGTGCCCAATGACCTACCCACTGACGTTGCCGCCGGCGATGGCCACCTCTTTGGCTACGAGGACGCCTTTGAGGACCTCCTGGCAGCCGCTGCTGACCAACCCCTGATGGACCTCCGCAAGCATGTCGAATACAAACGCATCGTCGCCAGAGCCTTCAGGCACGGTGAGGAGCCTACCTTGTTCTGGGCCAACCGCCTCGTGAATCGCGGCCTGCTGCAGAACCCCCTGCCAGCGGCCGACCTGAACCCCGGCCAGAGACGCCATGAAGTAGATACAGCCGCACCCGAGGAGCAGGTTGCGGGCCAGCGCCCCGGGTCGGTGGAGCAGTGGTTTGCCGAGCGGCGGAGGCGGGCTGCGGAACTGGAACTCCAGGAGGCGAGGCGACAGCAGGAGTTGTTTGAAAGCAGGAGGAATGACCTGTTCAAGCAATTTGATAAGAATGTTACCTTCAACCCCGCGGACTTTGTTCGTCAGGTAGAGCAGATGGCACAGGAGTTTACAAAGGAGGTATGCCAAGCGGACCTTGAGGAGTGGAAGAAGGATGCTATGAAGAAGTTGGATAAGGACTTTACATTTAACATCGCCGACATTTTTCGCGAGGTGAAGCAGGTGGCAGAGGATTTCAAGAAGGATGTATCGGAGGTGTTCGACCTCGATGCTTTTCTGAGGACCGATGATGACAAGACACCGCAAAGAAGGCAGCAGCCTGCGAGCGAGGACGATCTCTTCTCCGCCATCGAAAGCGCTGTGGCAGACGCGGATACGTCGTTCAGGAACTTCGCCAAGGCCATGACGGGTGATACACAAAAGAATGAAGACGCTGAGACGTCCTGGCCTGCTGTACAATGGGCAGGATCGCAGAAGGGGCAGGCGCCACAAACGGAGGTGGTGACTCATGATGAGTCGCACGGCAAAACGATCAAATCAACGACCCAGCACGTTGACATGTTTGGTTATGTCCACCAAAAGACTGAGATTCGGACACTGGACAAGGATGGCAATGAAGTCAGCCGGGAATCTCGATACACCGTCCACCCTTCTTCTGACAAGGAGAACCAGGCCTTAACACAGGCCGGCCGGATCGAGTCTTCAGGTGTCGATCGCCAGGATGAGAAGGATGAGAAGGATGAGAAGGACAAGACTGTAGGCACTACAGGCAGATCCTCGGGCTGGTTCTGGCGATGAATCACGAAGAATGTTGAGCAGGGCAGTTAGTATGGTTTCCTCCGCTCCCTCATTCGAACCTAAAGCTCTCTACTCTTTACTGAAATATATTTCATGAACTTGCTGCCAATTCTCAGTTGTAAGAACATCGTCCTCTGCGTACTTCTCAAGATGTCTTGAGATGGGTATCTCCAAGCAGGCACGAGGCTTATCTTTCACGTATTCAATGCCATGCTATACTATAATACGGACAACCTTATAGACCAATCATCGTCACTTGTAAGAGGTTCAATATCAAATCCTGTCAGAGAAACTAGATATGATTCACCGCCGCACCTATTCCTTCCTAGGATATGTACTCGGGTGCCCCTTAGTCTTTGCAAACTTCTTGATATCGCCATTCAACACGGCCTGCACGATCAACCAGATGGGCGTCATGATCCACATCATGATGGTATCGACCAGGGCGTTGTTCCTGGCCGCGCTCCCCAGCGATCCCCACCTCATCAGATGGCCCAGCAGCGCGACGGTCACGTAGTACTGCCCCGCCTCCAGACCGGCGATGGACTTGCGCGCGACCTCGTCCGGGGTCTGCTGCGGGTCGTCCTTCTCCAGCTGGATCGTGATCTCGGGCTTAACGCGCTGCTCGTGCTCAAAGCCGGGCGACAGGATGGTACCCGGCATGACGACGTGGATCTTGACGGGCTGGTCCGGGTACAAGAGGGCCTCCTGTGTCAGGGTGTCGGCGAGGCCGCGGAGGGCCCACTTGGAAGGGTTGTAGGTGGTGTAGCCCACCACGCCGTAGAGGGCGAGCACCGACGACGTGAAGATGAGGTGCTTGGGCTGGTCGGCGGGGAACCGGTTGGCCGGGGACCACCACGCGCGCAACACGGCGTGGGCCATCTCGGAGGAGCCAAAGAAGTTGATGTCCATCTCGCGGCGCATCTCGGGCATGACGCGGTCGTCGTGGAAGAGCATCGGCGTGCTCGTCCCAGCCACGCACCAGACTATGTCGGGGGCCTGGCCGTTGTTCCACTCTGTGACCTGGGACACGACGGAGGGGGCGTAGTCTGGCTGGGAGACGTCGCATGGGATGGAGTGGAAGCGTTGTGAGGGTGACTTGGCGGCAGCCTGGTAAGGCGTGAAAAGCAGACATGTCAGCCACGGCTTTAGATATTACCAGGGAATCTTAGAGGAAGCCACCAGCTACCTACCGAGACCTGCTTCAGCGCCTTCTCGAGCTTCTCAGCGCTGCGTGAGATGATCACGATGTTTGCGCCCTTGGCGGCCAGTTGACACGCCACACTCAGTCCCATACCCTCAGAACCTCCTGTGACGAGGACAGTCTATATTCATGGTTTCGAAAACTCTCACATCAGTCATTTGCGCATCTCAAGCATGGAAGTTTCAAGGTGCCAGGCGTACCTTGCCCTCGACGGGCATCTGATTCTTGCTAAAGAAACCCATGGTGGACGCGATGGTGACAGCCAAGAGACCTGCAGCAGCCGCAGTCAAGTGAGACGTCTTGGCCGACTTTATGTAGTCCATCACCTCGCTCAACGGCAGCAGAGGCAGGGTGTTGGATCTGAACTGAGGCTCAGTAGGCTGCGATGAGATGAGCTCACTTCAGCTGGAGGGGCTCCTGTCAATCAGGCAAGGTTGTTGTTGGGTCCCTACTCTAGCCAATTTTGCGCAAACAAGCCCCCAACCGCCCACATCTGATTTATCAGGAGAGAGCTGAGCTGTTATGTGGTCCTGATTGGCCCTACAATTTTCCCAAGGTAACACGAGGATGAGGGGATGAAATCTGACGGGCAGTAAGGGAGAGTGTTCTATGTAAGATGCTGAGGCCCATGATTACGGCTACCGCTGTCTACTTAACTATGTGCTATATCTATAGTAGCAGAAAAGGTACCGCAGTAGTACTCTGCCGTTGTCGTAGTACCCCTGCATGTGTTAATGTGGGCGGGCAGTGATTCTTATCGATAAGAATTTTCTAGTGGGACCCCCCTGGTCTTGTCTTTCAAAAGGGCCTGGAAATTTTTTGGGTGTCAATTGTACAACCGAAACCAAGTTCTGTCGATCAAGCCCGTGTGCTTTTTCCGCAACGCCAAACCTCACATATCCTGTGGCCCGTTCGAATTTCCTCTTTGGAGAAATAGAGGGAGTCACAAACCATGGCCAAAAAGAGAAAGGCGACGCGCGCCTCGGGGCCGTCAGGCCCAAGAGACCTCAACCCCGCCGACGCGCGACTTGCCATCCGCACCTACGAGGACGTCGCCGACGACCAGGAGCAGTACTTCCTTGACAAGGATAAGATTATGCTCGAGGATGAGCCACGATCCAAGCGTGCTCGCACCGACGACCGGATAGATGACTTCCTGGAAGCATCCGACGAAGAAGTCCTCCGGGGAGACGACTCCTCCGATTCTGATGAGGAAGATGAGTACCAGGAGCTGCAGAAAGCCGCCAAGGCCCAGGCAAAAAAGATCAAGAAGAAGTCAGGCGGCGCTGCCGACGATGACGAGGAGGAGCAGGCTGGTGATGAGGGGGGCGATGAGGGCTGGTGGGGAGACTCGAAAAAGGAGTATTACAACGCCGACGCCATCGAGACGGAGGCAGATGCCCTAGAAGAGGAGGCCGAGGCGAAGAGGTTGCAGCAGAAGAAGCTTGCTGATATGGACGAGGCTGATTTTATCTTCGATGAGGATGAGTGGGTCGCACCAGCGGAGGAGGCGCAGGACGGGGCCGATGTTGTCACGGAGGAGCTGAAGGATATCGAGGTCACGGACGACATGGGCCCCGTTGAGAGGTATCGGCTGCTGCAGGCGAGGTACCCCGAGTTCGTGCCTCTCGTTGAGGAGTTCGAAAGACTGCAACCACAACTTGTCCAGTCACAAAAAGAGGCGCAGGGCAAGCCGGCGCAATCCCTGGAAGTGGCCAAGCATTGGATTCTGGGGTGCTACGTCGCGGCGCTTGCAAGCTACTTTGCCGTGTTGACATCACCATCACGAGAGTCGAGCGAGCCTCAAATCTCGCTCAGTCCAGCAGAACTCCGGGACCATGAGGTCATGGAGACCCTGGTGAGCTGCAGGGAGGCTTGGCAGCAGATCAGAACCCTGAAGTCTGTCACGGAGCTGGCTGGCGACATGGAACTGGACTCTGCCGAGGAGAGGGACATGTTGATGGTCAAACAGGAAGCCAACTCGATCAAGAAGGCGAAGAAGAAGGCTGAAGTCAACGGCGACAGCGAGAAGAAGAAGAAGAAGACCAAGGCAGAGAAGGAGAGGCTGGCCAAGATGAAGGCAGTCGAGGCATCGCTCGCCGACCTGGACGGTCTCGTTACGAAGACGAAGAGGGCTAAGAAGTCCAAGACTGTCAAACCAGCTGCAGACAACCACTCAGACTTTGGCGAAGAGGAGACTCTGGATGCAGGGACGGCTGCTGACAAGGCGGCAAAGAAGAAGAGCCTGCGTTTCTACACGTCGCAGATTGTCCAGAAGGCCAGCCGCCGCGCTGACGCAGGACGTGACGCTGGTGGCGACCTGGATATCCCATACCGTGAGCGCCTCAGGGACCGTGCTGCCCGACTCAATGCCGAGGCCGAGCGAAGAGGCAAGAAGGACTCCAAGCACGGCACCGAGCTGGGTGATGATGAGAGCAGCGGCGACGAGAAGGTGGCCAAGCAAGTGCGCGACAACGAGGACGACTATTACGACATGATTGCGCATCGCACCAAAGCCAAGAAGGACGACAAGACCGCGCGCAAGGAGGCGCTGGCGGCGGCGAGCATAGCGGACCGCGTGGTAGAGGTGGAGACGGTGGGCGAGGACGGCAAGCGAAAGATCAATTACCAGATAGAAAAGAACAAGGGCCTGGCGCCGAGGAGGAAGAAGGATGTGCGCAACCCGAGAGTGAAGAAGAGAAAGAAGTACGAGGAGAAGCAAAAGAAGCTGAGGAGTATGAAGGCTGTGTACAAGGGGGGAGAGGGCCCAGGAGGATACCAGGGAGAAACCACAGGTATCAAGACGGGACTTATCAAGAGTGTCAGGCTGTAGAGATACAAATACATCATATGACATTCTCACTGAATTTATACACAAAAGAATGAGCCCTCGATTTTGGTTTAATTTTGTGCCTTCTGTTCTATAATTCGTTGTGAAAGTGGTTGAATTGTTGTGTTCAGTATGTAAAGAGTAGTATGTGTTGGTTGCGAAAGTATGGCCAACCGGTGCCGACTCGGCTTAGCTGCTCTGCACTGAGATGACAGCATGCGAGCTTCGGAGTGCATTTGTCTCCCAAGACCACGACACAACAACGCAACAACTCCAATCAAGCGCAACAAATTCTCACAAATACTCAACTTATCGGGGTCGAATCCGATCGAGCCTCAAAAGACATGATAATACAATAATACATTTTCAATTTCCTCGCGACGATATTGCCGCTATCCTCAAATCGAACCGAATCCTTTTCATCGTCGACCAACCCAAACAACTTTCACAATGGCCGCAAACCTACCCGATGTCGACCTCACAACCCTCAATTCATCTGCCCAGATCTTCTCGGCTGCTCCTTCCTCCTCCGGGCAGACTCTCCCCTCGTACACGCTCCCGCAGATCCGTGCCCTGCACAAACAGATCCACCTCGCCATCGATGACAAGAAGGCCCGCCTGCGCACGCAGGTCGGCGGCAGCTACCGCGAGCTGCTGGGCACGGCTGATGCTATCGTGCGCATGAGGAGCGATATGGACGATGTGCAGGGGATCCTGGGGACGATGGGCGCGCGGTGCGGGAGGGGCGTCGTGGGAGGAAAGGTCGGCGGGCTGGCGAGGTTCACGGGGGAGCGGGAAGGGGTGGTGGAGAGCGGGAGCGGGAGGAGAGATCTGGGAGGTGCGGCGAGGGCAAAGATACTGGCAGGATGCGTCCTTGTGCTTGCGCGCCTGCTGAAGAGCTTCAGCAGGAAGGGGGACAACAGCCAGGTGGTGGACGGGGAGCAGCTGGTGGTTGCGGCCAAGGTGCTGGTGCTGGGACGACTTCTGGTCAGGAGCTTTGATGAGAGCAAGCCTGATGTGCAGGACAGGGCTGCGGTTGAAGCTTCGATCCAGAGCCTAGACAGGCTTCGGAGACGACTGCGGAAGAGTACCGACAAGGTATTGGAGGCCGTGGGCGAGACGACGAGCCGCCAACTTGTTCTCAGGGCTCTCTGTGCATACAGCCTGGCTACCAACTCTGGGACGCGCGACGTTGTTCGACATTTTCTCGACGTCCGTGGCAGCGCGATGGCATCGGTCTTCGACGTGGAGGAGCACAGGAGCACCGTGAATGTGGTGAGAGGCCTGGAGCTTTACACCAAGACCATACTTGATGTACAATTCCTTGTACCCAACAAGCTCACCGAGGCGATAGCATCCCTGAAGAGGGAAGCCCTCCTGTCCAGCTCATCGCTACGCGAAACCGAAGGGCTACGGCTGGACATCTACGAGCGCTGGTGCAGCGAAAAGATACGGGGCTTCAAGCCATCCATGTCGCACGATGATCTAGACGGCAAAAGGGCCGTCGAGATGCTGACAAGCTGGTCGTCCAAGGGCAGCCAGGTCCTGCTCGCCGGGCTGGAGAAGACGCTAGACCGCACGACCGAGTTCAAGATCCTGACCGAGATGCGCACCGAGGTGTTGCAGCTCTGGATACGCGACGGCGGCAAGGCGCGCGGCTTCGACCCGTCCGTGATGCTCGACAAGCTGCGCCAGACGATCAACGCGCACGTCATGGGCGTGCTCGACGCCAAGGTCCACAAGCTGCGCCTCGTCGGGTCCGAGGTGGCGTCCACCCTCGAGGTCTGGCGCGCGGGCGTGACGGACGCGCAGCAGCGGCTCTGGGACGTGGGCTCGCTCGACATGGACCTGCACTACGGCGCCGGCCCGTTCTCGCAGGACGTGATCGGCCGGCTGTACGGGCGCAATGACGCCGTTGCGCGGGCGGTCACGGGGTACAAGTCGTGGGCCTCGGTGATTGATGACGTCGAGGAGGTGGTGGAGCAGCTGAAGAGGCAGAGGTGGGATAACGACGTGGACGAGATCGAAGACGAGGAGACTATCGAGCAGAGGCAGCAGGCTCTGAGCCGGGACGATCCGGCGCAGCTGCAGCAGAGGCTGAATGTTGCGCTGGAGAGGGCCCTTAGGGACCTCGACAAGCAGCTGTCTGAGCTGTGGACGGCTCACGCGGACGGGGACAAGACTGGCAAGGTCGCAATGTATCTCGTGCGGATATTGCGAGACATACGGGCGAAACTGCCCAAGCTTGAAGCTGTGAAGGGCTTTGGGCTCGACATGGTTCCCTCGCTGCAAGAGAAGATCACGTCTGCTGTGGCGAGCGCACCCGTGGATGACTTTGCGAGCAACGCTCTCGCACGGAAGATGGTCGTGGGCCGAAGCTTGTGGGAGGGAAGCCCTGAGCTGCCGACGTCCCCGTCTCCTGGCGTCTTCAGGCTGCTGCGGAGCCTCATCATGGCCATGAGTGATGCTGGGACGGACCTTTGGAGCCCAACCGCTGTCTCTTTGTTGAAGGATCATGTGGGCAAGGAGCTCTCGAACCGCTGGATGCAAGTCTTGGATGCTCACCTCGCGCAATCCGACGTTACAGTGGAAAATGAGAAGTCTGAGGTGGAAGAAGGGGAGCCGAAAGACGAGGATGAGGAAGCCACTGCCGTCGCCGAGACGGCAAAAGAGGGCGATAGTGATGAGGCAACCCAGCAGAATGAGGCGAATCAGACAGAGCAGGCTGCAGAGGAGGCTGCCCAGAAGGTCGTGGCTGACAAGCTACGCAAGGACCTGTTGGTTCAATGGCTCTTCGACATTGGCCTGTTGAAGTGCTCCATTCCTGCGGATGAGCTCAAGACGCTGGAAGAGGCTGTGTGGAAGGAGGCAGAGATTGAGGACACCTCGGCACGCCAACGGCTGAACAAGGCCTCGCAGGAGTACTGGAAGAGGAGCAGCCTGTTATTTGGTCTGCTCAGCTAGTGATATGAAATCCCTACATAGGGCCTGCAATGCCTCATAGCTACAGTGCTGTGACTTTGTTTTTAGAGAAACAAAGAAAAGAAAGGATATACATCTAAAAGAAGCATGATATGCAGATTGCCATGAAGCAGGCGCTTATAGCTTGTGCCTCTTCTCACCACTGGCTAGCTTTCTGAATTCCCTCTGGGGGACCCCGCTGACGAACCTCTCCAGGCCGTCAAACACCTCTCTCACGTTCTGCGTCTCCATGATATCCCTCTCGGGCTGCTTGATCAACTTCTTGATCCCCAGCAAGCTATCGCCTTCCAGATGAGAGCCCAGCCTCTCGTCAATCTCCTTCAGCACCATGGCGTTGAACCTCTCATCCTCCCCCTTACCGGTGCCCGTCTCGAAGATGGCGTTCACGAACCCAGCCTCCTTCAGCTCGCTGGCCTGGATCCGCTTGCTCATGATGAGGGCCTCGTTCGCCTTGGCGTAGCCCAGCCGCAACACGAGGGCGCGCGACGCGCCGCCCTCGGCGACCAGGCCGATGGAGCTAAAGGGGGTCAGGAGGAACGTGTGCGGCGTGCAGTAGATGAAGTCGGCGTGGGCGATGAGGGCGGCAGAGAGCCCGATGACGGGACCGTTGAGACCCACGACGAGGATCTTGGGGTGCGTGTAGAAGGCGTGCGTGATGTTGAGGTTGTTGGCGACGAAGGAGCCCATCCAATGCTTGCGCACGTCGGTGTCGCCCTCGGGGTTGTCCCTGCTGATGGAGACGTCGGCGCCGCTGGAATGAGAGCTTGTGAGTCAAATGACCGATATGAGACGCTTTTTCGGGGGGAGAGCTGTGGAGTGGCCTGGCCTGGTCTGGCTTTTTCGGGGTTTATTTGGGATAAGGCACAGAGAGAGAGAGAGAGAGAAAGAAGGAGAAACAAGAGAATGAAAGAGAAAAAGAATACAAAACAAAGGAGAAGAGAATGACAAGGAAGAAGAACAAAAGAGTAAATGAGTAGGCTGGGGGCGCGGGGATGAGAGATGAAGGGATCGTGAAGGGGAATTTAGAAGAGCCTAGGCCAGACCGAGAAGGGGCGGGACGGGAATGATTGAAATGATAGAGGAGAGACAGGCTTGACAGGCAGGCAGGCAGGCAATACTACATACGCGGAGAAGAAGCGTCCCTTGCCCAAGAGGACGGTGATGTACACCTCATCGTGAGTCGCAATCTCGCGCAGTTTCTTTGCAATGTCGTAATATTGTTGTTGATTCAGAGCGTTCAACTTGGCCTCATTCTGAATAGTGAGGACGGCGACCCGGCCTTTGTATTCCAAGGTCGTTACCGAGTCTGCCATGGTGAGCAAAGACAAAAGCAAACCTGCGAGAATTGAAGAACAATTATGTTTTGCATACAAAAACAATGAAGAATTCAGTACACAGTATCCGGCCGTAGAGCAGTGAAGCTGTCATGTATGTTGTCTCGCGCCGATCTGAATAGTAAGTAGCAGTTATTATGCAAGTACTCTCATTGCAGTGGTAGTAGAGCGTTGGAGAGAGCGGCTCCCCCTCGCGGCTGAGAGAAAGAGATACCTCGGTACAATGGCTCGGCCACTGTGCATACGCCGCAAGTACCAAGTATCTCAGTAGACTAGCGATCCTTAGAGATCGTAGCTTCCCCCCTGCTTTCCCTTGATCTAAACCCCGAGATCGTTCTTGCCTGTTTCAAAGAAATGTGTGTGGGGGACATCCCTGGCACTTACCAGTTCGTAAACAAAACAAACGTCTAGCCCTTCAGGTTTCCACCTTTCCTATCTTCCTTCCCAACCCAAGCTCGGATTTCTAATCCGTGAACTTGTCTCACCCTTTTTTCCTCGTCGCGACCTATCACCTTCATTCCGCCATCCACGGGCACGAAGACAAAAACTATTCAGCGCAAAAACCTCTATCGCTCACCTCGGACAGGAATGCCGGCCACACAAAGATGACGTGCCGCTCGACACACGTCGCTTCATGGATAGTCTTAAACGAGAAGCCGGGAACCGCATCTCCGGCTACGAATGGCCAAGTCGCCGGCCACTGCAGTCCAGGTGAACCGTGAGGCCTCGAGGGGGCAGCACTGGTGGTCCCGTCGCAGCGATGTGGTGTGACTTCTCGGTGTGAAGGCCCAAGGAAAGCAGCATGTCACGATCCACCATCTGAGATCTTGTGTCTTGCTATAAGCAGAGTCGTTTGGCGAAAAGTACCTAGTGGCCCACACGACGTCTCATCTGCATTGGAGAGAGAGAGAGAGAGAAAGGGGGGAGGCGAGAAAGAAAAAAATTGAATCAAAGAGAGACCAAAGGACAGAACAGAGCAGCAGCACGAAGGATGAGGCAAAAATAGGCTCTGTTGAGGCTCACGATAAGTCAGGACCGTCCACTTCTTTGTCGAGGTCGCCGATCACTCTCAGCACCCTGTGGTCTACTGTCTCACCAAAAAAGTTGACATGACCTCAACCGGGACGGGGGCCCATGCGTTCAAATTTCTAGAGCTGGACACCGGAGGAATGGGTTGAGCATGCTGATCGCCCACCTTTTTGGAGCACTCGTCCCGCGGGCAGATCCCATTTGAGCTTCGTGTCTTAAGTTTGCCTCGCTGTGGTGGCCCCCCTCCCCCCTTCCAGGAGGAAAAAATACTTCATGTCACGATAAGGGCCTTCCGTCAAGTGGTGGAGCCGGGGAACGTACTATGGTATGTACCTCTCGAGGGCGGACGGGGTTCTCTTGTCCGCTTGTACCAGGGGAGAAGCCGGGGGGCACCAGATCATGGGAATCTCAAGTGGTTCCTCGCCAATCTAGGGACAGCTGTAGGGCTTTTCTTGTCCCAACCTTTCTGCGCGCGCAGCTCTCTCTCTCACGGGATCATCGTGACCCACATCCTCAATGTTCCCCCGCCCCTCAAGACGTAAGTGTCTCTGTCCGCCGTGCTCCCTTCCTCGCATTTGATGTAGACCCCGGTCTCCCATATTTATATCGTCTCCGCCCTTTTCTGCCTCCTTAGGGTTGCCTGTGTATCAGACATCGGCCCTATTCGTCTGTCGCAGGCGTCTCGCTCCATTCGACACTCAGAGGTGGGAGATATCTCACAGAGAAGGGACTCGGGAAAGGGGAAAAATTAGAAAAAAGAAAAAGAAGATGGCACCCAGACGTACCATCTCCATGGCCTCTCTGAGGACCAGGACATCTGACAACGAGAGCGCCTTTTCTGCCAGGGCAGGCCACGGAGGAGATTTTGGGTTGACCGAGGAACTTCACCATCGACTTTCTTGTCTACCGCCTGCAGACACCGGAAAACATGCCTACCTGTTCCTGTTGGCATGCTTTGTGCTCTCGGCGCTGGTCTGGAGTGAGTATCAATTCCTACTGCCCCCGCCCTCGCCGCCGCCGCCACCACCAAAGATAAAAGACATGGCTGCTGACCTCTTGTTTCTTCGTCTTTTTCTCCCCCTCCATCAGGCTATGGCTTCTGCTTCGGTATCCTGAGCGACTACTATGCACGGACTGAGCCCTTTAAGGGGTCATCGGCCATCGCCAACATCGGCACCTGCTGCTCAGGACTCATGTACCTGGGTGGCCTTCCGGCTCTGCTCCTGAACCGCATGTATCCGCGGTGGGCCAGGTACTCACCCTTGATCGGCCTGCTCATCCTCTGCGGCGGCCTCTGTGTGAGCGCCTGGGCGACCAACGTCACACAGCTCATCATCACCCAGGGCGTCGTCTATGGCGTTGGCGGCGCCATCGCGTACACACCGTGCACCATGTACATTGACGAATGGTTCGTCAAGCGCAAGGGCCTGGCGTACGGCATCATGTGGTCCGGGACGAGTCTGGCCGGCGTGGTGCTCCCGCTCATCCTCGAGCGCCTGCTCGAGTCGTACGGCTACCAGACGACCATCATCATCTGGGCAGTGGTGCTTTTCGGCATCACCGCGCCCCTGGCATGGTACATCAAACCACGCATTCCGCCGCTGCCCGTGCGCTCGCTGCGCTCCTTCAACCTGCGCTTCTCCGTCTCGCGTCGCTTCATCCTATACCAGGTTTCCAACACCATCGAGGCCATCGGGTTTTACATCCCGGGCATCTACGTGCCTATCTTTGCCGGCGACGTTCTTGGCGCCTCCGAGTTTGCCTCCTCCGTCTGCATCCTCATCTTCAACACGTCCGCCGTGGTCGGCTGCGTCGCCATAGGGTGGCTGATCGACCGCTTCCACGTCACGACGTGCGTCATGGTCTCGACCATTGGGGCCACCCTGGGCACCTTTCTCCTGTGGGGGTGCGCCCAGAACATGGTCATGGTCTACCTCTACTGCGTGAGCTACGGCCTGTCCGCGGGCAGCTACAGCACCACTTGGACGGGTGTCATGCGTGAGGTGAGCGGCAAGGACATGCTGTCCGCCCCGAGCACGAGCTCCAGCGACCCTGAGAGCCCCATCTCGCCCATCGGGGCCGACGTGGGGGCAGAGGGCTACGGCGAGGGCGTAGACCCCGTTATGGTCTTCGTCCTGCTCGCTGCTGGGAGGGGCATCGGCAACGTGGTCTCGGGCCCCATGAGCCAGGCCATGTACCACGCCATGCCGTGGAAGGGGGAGGCCAGCCTGGCGTACGGGAGCGGATTCGGCAGCCTGATCGTCTTTACGGGCATCACTGCGCTGGGATCTGGAATATGCTTCCTGGGCAGGCGGGTTGGGTGGTGTTAGAGAAAGCTGTGAAAAGGAAGAGGATGGTGTATGTGTGGAGATGAGGGTCGAAGAAATGTGGGAGTATGTGTGAATCGAGAGAGAAGATGCAGGGCTTCACACACGCAGTGAGGAGGTGAAGGATGTTGTTGCTGTCTGTACGTCCGGGCAAGAGAGGCCAACTTGGTGGTTCATCTCACTATTTTCTTATTGTTTGATACTCGTGTATTTGTCACTTTTGTTTGGTAGATTACAAGACATGTAGGTCGCACCTAGGAATTTTGATAGAGTTTTTTTTTAGAGACCAAAGGAGTTTGTCTGTTTGAGGCGCCCACCGACATTGTTATCCTGAACTACTTTTTACTCGCGAGATATCAATCCTAGAATTTTCCCGCTTACTTGCACACACACGCACAAGAACGTCGCAAGTCCTGTAGGAGACCAAAACTCTACTAGTAGAGGCCGGAGCCCTGAGGAGGCAAAGTGTGTGCATCCCTCGGGCATCACACGCAAGTACACCGCAGAGGTGTGGGGGGCAGATTCAAGAAGAGGCAGGGATGCAGAAACGCGTTCGCCCAGAGAGCAGGTAGATTCTGACAATCGATCATCTCGATCAGACTCAAAATATTCCCCGAGAGACATCTGAAACCAAGACAGTGATGAAGGAGGGATAGAATGCAGATTGGAATAGCGTGGTTTAACCCTCCCTTTTTCAAAAGATGCCAGTCAGGTTTTGCCAAAAAAAAAAAAAAAAAAAAAAAAAAGGAAAAAAAGAACGCCGACCCGTTCCAAGAAGTTTCCGCCCGCCCGCGCCTGCTGTTATGTATGTTTGCCCGCCCCTCCTTTTTTGAAGCCCGCCGCCGCCGAACATGCAAAACCACCGGCTATTTTTTTCAAACCTACTTGTTTTGTTTTTTGTTGTTCCTTGTTTCTTATTGTCTTTTATTCCCCAACGCCGTGTAAGAATGAGAGGAAGGATGATTGAACCACCACCGCCCGGATTCAATGTAACTCCGGTCAAGCCGTCATAGTGTTGGAAGATCCGGAAGGGGGGGGGGGAGTAGGTGTGGGAAGGGTTGAGGAAGAAAACGAGGAGGATGAGGGTGGAGAAAGAAAGAAAGAAAAACAAAAAGTCTTGCAATCGAGTTTCCTAGTTGGACCATTCGGACTGGTTCCTCTCCAAGACTGGCCTCTGATCCCAGCGATTTCCATCGATGCTCAACTCGTCATCCTCCCTGCTCCCCTCCTCCAACGCACTGTCGGCGTCATCATACTCGCCACCGTCCTCGCTACTGTATATGAAGAACTGCACAAAGATGCCCATGTCTAGGAACAGCGTGCCCAGGCTCCCCGCCAGCCACGACAGGTTGACCAGGATATACTGCCCGTACACGCGACCGGGGTCCTCGCCGGGCCGGCAGCCGTTGTTGGGGACGCTGTCGTCCCAGCACTTGGGGTCGAAGGCGAAGATGGACAGCACATAGGTCAGGTTTCCGAGGCAGGCGAAGAGGAAGAAGAGCATGCTCACGCCCTCGGTGCTCTTCCTGCGGTAGTTGAGCAGCAGCTGCGGCAGGCGCGAGCCCAGGTACAGGACCGCGCAGAGCCAGCCGAAGATCTGGCCCCAGAGATCAAAATGGATTTCACCATGAGGGTCTTCGTTGTTATTGTTGTTGTTGTTGTTGTCGTGCCCGTCCGATGACCCTCTTCCTCCGTGGCCACGGCTCAGGAACCAGCCCGCCACGCCGGCGGCAATAACCATGAGGACGGCGACGGTGTTCCAGGCCACGCGCTGCAGCGTGGTCGACGGCGGCGGGGGGCGCGCCGAGGGCTCGATGATGGGCACGACGGGGTTCACGTGGATCAGCCTGTCGGACCAGTCTGAGCCGCGTCGTGGGCGCAGGTCGGCGCGGTCCAGGAGGCTCGTCCGCTCGTCGGGCAGCGTGTGCCCGTTGCGCCCATTCCCGTTCTCCTCGTGCGCCGGCGCCGCCCCATGGGCTGCCTGGCCGTTCCCGTGCGAGCGAGTGCGTTTTCGCTGGGCGGGGGGCGCGACCACCTCGTCCTTCCACGTGAAGCCCCTGTAGTAGAAGCACTGTCCGAGCAGGACGATGTCGGCGATGGTGTAGTATATGGCAAGGATGATCATGGTGGGCAGCACGCCCTGCAGGACGGCGCCGAGGATGTTGAAGACATCGCCGAGCAGCCAGACGATGATGAACTGGAGGGAGAGGCCGTCGGCGGAGGAGCGGCGGAAGTTCTCGATGATCTGGGGGGAGAAGACGACGACCCAGCAGGCGATGGATATGGATCTGGAGAAAATCACACATGACACTTGTTAGCAGGAAGAAAAGGAAGAAGGGAAGAGAGAAAGAACCACATGGACATGATGAACAATGATTATCTCTGGGAAAGAACGTACCCGCAAATTCCAGATATTGCCTCGACGTCGAGATTCAATGGCCCTGGTGGTGGCACCATCACGGCAGATTTTCTTGGTCGCGTGGAGTGATCGCGGCTGAACCTTTTGTTGGGGCAAGGAAAAGAGAGGAGGATGCAGGAAGGGTCGTTTCAAGAGATGGTGACAGGAGCGAGAGAGTTGGAAATTATTTGTTTGGATGTCGCCAAACTGCTAGAGCCTACTAAAAGAGTGAAGTAGGCTGCGGCTGAAAAAAAGGAGGGGGCAAAGACAATGGCGCCTTGAAAGGAAAGGAGTCCCATGGTAAACTTGGAAAAAAAAGTACGAATTTTTCTTCTCATTCACACAGTGACGCCTTTTCTGCCCGTAGTGTTTCTTGGCCTGGCTTTCTCTCTCTCTCTCTCTAACACGGAGACTCCGAGCCCGGAGGCAGTGTCAGGCCACCCCCTGCAGCGATGATCAAGAAAAAATCGAAAAGGTTGCCTCTAGACAGCCGCTAAAGTTTGGACCAAAATCTGGGGTACAGAACGCGGGGAAGGCGGGTCTATGTCGCCTATTGGCCTGGCGTTGCGGTGCTCTGTAACACACCATTTACTATGGTAGAGGGGAGGGCCACCTGAACGCCCAGACGCCCCAGGGACTTGGGTCTGTCAGATCCGAGCAGATGGATGGGCTGGCTGGCTGTACAGATCGATCAGATCGTGGCTGAGATGAACCCCAAGCCAGGTTACGCACGCAGGGAAATTACACGGCTCCAAGTACTGTACTATGAACTGTTTTATTTATTTTTTTCAGGACGAGGGAGAGAGACAGGGAAAAGTAATAAAGCCTTGTAAGGGACTGATTCGTGAGATTGATCGTGAATAGTGTCCCTGAAAACGAAAAAAAGAGTTGAATTACTCTGCACTCCGAGCAAGTATAAGTAAATATGCTTGAGTGACGCAGGATCTGAAAACAATTGTAAGGTGGAGGGAGGTGAATTCGTCATCTAGCGGTACACAATTGTCTAAGGACTCGATGCCGAGTCGCTTCTTGTTCTCTTGACCTCGAGATCTTGTCGGCTTGTTCTCTGACACTTCATTTTGCTTTTCCCCATTTGTGCACCAAATTCAGATTTCCTCAATGTCTCACTGGGTGGGCCTTTCACTCTCCTTGATCTTATCTCAGCTCAACGCCCAGCCGATACCGGCATCTGTCATACAATGCGAAATCCATAACGCCCGTGGTTCTCAAAAGGCATACTATTCTGTAGTTCATCAAAACTTGCGTGTATACCAAAAATTTGGTATTTGCCTGTCTTGATAGCGACAAGCGAAAGGTTGATGGTAGACTTGAGTGAGAAGGCAAACGCCGACCCGGCACCGGAGGGTCGGCGCCGGAATTCTGAAGAGCCTCGGTCCCCGCTGGACGGCAGAGAACACAACAGATTGATTTATCAGCGTATCGGAGGTGCTGGGCTGCCCCTCTAAAAGTCCCCACCAACCCGCCGATGACGATGTTCAACACAAGAGCCGTCATTCGCAAAAGTAATTTCCTGACTCGCAGCTAGGTGCGGTTCTCCTTCTTCCCATTTGTGGACCTATTCCTGCTCTTGTGCCCCGGCGTATCGTCCGCATCCCAACCTATTGCATGTAAAAAGTCGCCCTTTCTTCTCTAGCCCCCAGTTGCTTTGGTACTTACCATCTTAGAAATAGCCCTCCTCTCGAGAACATGTCGATCATACCTGACCTGCCCACCGTGGACGACGACGCCTCCATGCTCTCCGCCAAGTTCGGCCGCGAGATCGCAAACTACTTTGCCGGCTCACCCCTCAACCGCGTCGGCTTCCTCCGCGCCGACCACGCCTTCCTGCGCTCCGCCTTCTCGCACCCGTCCACGCGCTTCCTGCTCCTCAATGAGCTCGCTCCCCTGGTGGACGAGAGTCAGAACAAGTTGGGCTATGTCAGCTACTCGGACGTGAAGGGGTTCACGGGGCCGGACCCATTCGAGAAGAGCGAGGAGGAGCTGATCAAGAGCTTCCGCTCCGACGAGGAAAAGCCGCTCATCCTGCTGCTGGGCATTGACGAGGGCAACAAACTGCATGCACCAAGCACAAGCGACACCTTTGGCTACAAGGAGTTCAAGGGCAGGCCATATTTTGCAGTCGACGTCTCGCCGCGTGGGCAGCTTGCCGAGGAGGCGAGCAAGGTGGTCGAGGCCGTGAAGGCGAAGGGGTACTCCTTCTTGAAAAACCAGAGGGCAATGAACCTGGCATATGGCGAAGGTCAGCCTTTCCTTTTCCCCCGCCCTTTCCTGACAGGGGATGTGCGCCAACAATGATGAGATCTTGATGATTTGAGGCTAACCCGATTTATGCAGCGGCTGTATATGCACAGGCGAGATCGATGTTTGACTGGAACACCCGAAACCCCTACTGTGCGCAGTGCGGATCCAAGACGCTCTCAGTCAACGCCGGAGGCAAGCGGACCTGTCCACCCACAGATCTGGCAGGCGGGACGCTGAAAGAACGAGGTCCATGCGCATCCCGACAGGGCGTCTCCAACATCTGCTTCCCGAGGACAGACCCAACCATCATCGTGGCCGTTGTCTCAGCTGACGGGTCCAAGATCCTGCTGGGCAGGAACAAGAGGTTCCCTCCACACTGGTACAGCACGCTGGCAGGCTTTCTCGAGCCGGGCGAGTCGATCGAGGAGGCCGTCCGGCGTGAGGTGTGGGAGGAGAGCGGCGTGAAGCTGAGCCGTGTGGTCATCCACAGCTCACAGCCCTGGCCCTTCCCTGCCAGCCTGATGATAGGCGCCATCGGCCAGGCCCATCCTGGCGACGGCGAGAAGATTGATCTAGGAAATGACCCAGAACTGCAGGATGCCAAGTGGTTCACCATCGAGGAGGTCAAAGAGGCGCTGGAAAAGGGCGTGTCTGGTCTCGGCGACCCAGCCCCTGAAGGGTGGAAGGAAGGATATCTGAGGCTGCCACCGCAGACGGCTATTGCCAACCGCCTCATGACCGCTGTTTGTGAGGGTTTCGTCGGGGCATCATCCAGGATTTGAGGTTTTGGCCGAAGGCGGAGTCAAAAGACTGAGCAGGAGAGTAACGTTCACAGCGTTTTAGATACATTTTCGATGGTTCTTCTTCTTCTTTTCTTCAATCTAGACACATAGATATAGGACAAGAGCCGTATTCAGAACAGATTTTGAAGTGTTTGAAAGAAAAAGAAAGTGTCCATACTTCAGTTCACATGCTTTCATCAGGATATCAGGAAAGTCAGGCGATTTCAAGGTTGGCCAGCCCAAACAGGAGACAGGGGAGGAGACTAAGGCGCCTGTGGCTGTGGTATGTGGGTCGTTATCGATAGAAATAGCGCTAGTTCAAGTCTGGTCTAGCGCAGCTTATCCGCCCATCATAAAAATCACGTCGGCAGCTCTCGAGTTTGTAACAATTTTCTTCCTTTCCTTCCTCACATCAGTACGGGTTACTCTCTACACCGTCATGTGAAGAGAATACCTCACAATACTGGAGGCTCCGCTACGGCGGCTTGCTGAGGGTCTTCCCATATTCCCTATGGATTTTCTTCCGTTCCCGGCCTCCTTAAGCAACGTTTTACCGACCACCTAACTGCCAGGCACGTCGTTCCTAGGTCCCTGGCGGTGGAATGGTCGCGACATACAGACGAACACCAAGAGACGCTTTGCAGCAGAGCAAAACTTTCATAGCATGATGGGCCACGTACTAGACCTTGGAGAGTAGAATTTGTCGAGGGCGAAGGATGGCGAGTGGACGTCATATCCCCCGCTGCCTGTCTGTATGCGCACTCGTAGACTCGACATGCTTCGTATGCTTTGACCCAGTATCGACATGAGGGGTATCTAGATGGGCGCCGAGAGCACGGCGGCGGTCTGAGGCAGGCTCTGCTGCGCTATGGCCTGAGATTCATATGCATGAGTCCAGCCTCGGTAAAACGCTGTGTATCATGTTCCCACGGTACATGATGTCTTGGGAGGGCGGATGCGAATGCACTTGGTCCAGATGGAGGTCATTCATGGCGGGATCTCGGGAGATGTAAATATCTGCCTGTGGCAACGCATTTTTTACGGCAGCTCTTCGAAATCATCATATATTGAAAATTCTGCTACACAAATCTCACTCGCGGATCCAGTCTTTCTTTTACTCTTCAATTTGGAATGCTTTCCACATGCTCGAAAAACTCAACGCGAGATCGAGCGCTGCTTAGTTGATCAGAGTCACGTGACCCCACCAGATGAAAATGTGGGGCCCTGAACTTTTCGTTTGACTGGAGCCAAATTCCTCTAGCGAACTTTCCTTTTCCCCCCTCCGACCAAACGACCACGACAACCACCTGAAAGGCGTAATAATCCTCACCATTAGAACCTCAAGATTTCTATTGGAAGACCGTCAAGATGTCGAAGATCACGGTCGCCGGAGTGCGCCAGAACGTCGCCGAGCTCCTTGAGTACTGTCAGTAAAAAAAAATCACCTCGTCGCCAATTCATCCTCACTCGTCCTCTGCCGGCCTGTAATACTGATTGTGTGTCCCCTCAACAGCCCTGGAGACCAAGAAGCGCAACTTCCTCGAGACTGTCGAGCTTCAGATCGGCCTGAAGAACTATGACCCCCAGCGTGACAAGCGTTTCTCCGGCACTGTCAAGCTGCCCTCCGTGCCCCGCCCCAACATGGCCATCTGCATTCTGGGTGACCAGCACGATATTGATCGTGCCAAGCACGGTGGCGTCGACGCCATGTCCTCCGACGACCTGAAGAAGCTGAACAAGAACAAGAAGCTCATCAAGAAGCTTGCCCGCAAGTACGATGCCTTCATCGCTTCCGACAGCTTGATCAAGCAGATCCCCCGTCTGTTGGGTCCTGGTCTGTCCAAGGGTATGTCATTGAACGAAATCCTCAAGCCATCGTCTCCATTCTGTCCACACAAGGAATGCTCTTCTAACATTTGTCAATTTCTCAACAGCCGGCAAGTTCCCCACCCCCGTCTCTCACGCCGACAACCTGTCCGACAAGATCACCGAGGTCAAGTCCACCATCAAGTTCCAGCTGAAGAAGGTTCTGTGCATGGGTGTCGCTGTCGGCAACGTCGGCATGACCCAGGAGCAGCTGGTCGGAAACATCATGCTGGCCATCAACTACCTGGTGTCCCTGCTGAAGAAGGGCTGGCAGAACGTCGGTAGCCTGACCATCAAGGCTACCATGTCTCCTCCCAAGCGTGTCTACTAAGTGGTCGCTACATTTGAGCACGGCTTGCTGTCCGTCTTTGCAACGATAGGAAGGTGGCACAGGAATGTTGGGCCTGCGGTACTAGCTAGCTAGCAAACAACCACAATGACCAACAAAGCTCGACAGTCTGGGCTTGCTCCAACCTGCAAACGCCTTGTCCTCTGCCAAATTCTTCATGATCACCTTTCTTCTGAGATGCTATCTGATCACCCTGACCTTTTCTAAGTCTCTGTTACATTATGAGGGTTCCTGAGTAACGTCATCACCGCCATGCACATATCCCATAGGTAAGGTCGCGACTTATACTCTGGGGTCTTGAATGAAGCCCAGACACGCTTTCATGCAAGTATACAGGCCCATAGGCCAGAAGATCATCTCGCATAAGCCCCAAGGTCGAAGTCAGGAAGAACCAAAGCTCGCCACGTGGCTAGGATCTCTTGAACGCAGCAGATGACATGAGCACACCACCTTCAAAGTTTGCAAGCCACGGCTCCCGCCCTGGTCACCACAAAGGATCGATACGCGTTCAGCAGCAGCGCTTCGCACTTCATAGGATCCAGTCGCCTAGGTCAGGAATTTTCTCCTGTGGCAGGGACATAGCCGCGAGGCTGACCCCAATCTCTGCGCAGGTGATGCGACGATCCTCCCCAAGGGCTCGGTTTCCTGTGGGACACAAGTGCGATCCGACCTGTTCCAATGGAGCGGTCGAGTTGCGCTAGATGCTGAAAGAACAAATATAACTTAAGCTTTGCTAGATCCCTGCGAAAACTGCAAGACTCAGAGAGCCTGTGTATAGATTGGCTGTAATCCTGCAGAGAAAGGATCCTGACCCTTGCCGCTGAAAGCTAACATATTCCTGCTCCAGGAGGGCGGTGCGTGAGGCTCATTTATTTAGCGGTTAACCTCTTCGCTTTCTCATTCGCACTGGACCCACTTTACGACATTAGTGGACCGCATCCGAGCCCAGGCGTCGACTTATACACCAAGTTCGCAAGACGTCTCCTACTATAGCTAGGAGGAGTGGATGAATAAGTGGCTCAATTGTTGAGCTAATTGGCTTGAGGATTTCGTGTACGTCCATCATCGTAAACAGTACAAGGCTATGGGGACTCGTGAGAGGATCGTATAAGTATAAAACTATGCATGAAGCCATGCGTTTGTTGGGGATGGAAATGCATATGGTTGCAACAAGCTGCAGATACCCTCACAGGTCACCATGCACTCGACATCTGGCATAAATCTTCTAGCAATGGGCGCAAGCTCAGCCTCTGCTGCGTCGGCCGTTTATACCCAGCCATGCCCCCTCTACGGACAAGATTTGCCAGCGCCGACGAGTCTCTCTACGAGCAATGTTTTCCAGGCCGCCACAAGCTCGCTCAATTCACAGCTTGCAGGGACTCTGAACGGGACGAGTAATGCGACCTCGCTCTTCGGCACGCTGGACACCGAGGCGACGGCCTTCTCGGTGGAGTTCTTCTCGCTCAGCGAGGACGACCCATTGTTCACATACCATTACACACCCTCTCTGTTCAGCCAGAACAACACTGGAGTGGCGTGGGTGAACTCAGACTCAGTGTACCGGATTGGGAGCGTGTCCAAGCTGTGGACAGTCTACCTGTATCTCATCACGGCCGGGGATGGGTCCTGGAATGATCCCATCACCAAATACGTCCCCGAGCTAGAGGCGATCGCAAAGACACAAAAGTCGGACCCAGTGAACAATGTGAACTGGAACTCCATCACCATCGGCGCGCTGGCCAGTCAGTTGGCCGGCATTGGTCGAGATGCTGTGTACTCGCCCCAGTTGGCGTCCACGCTGGAGCTGCTGGGGATTCCGAACCAGGGCGGCAACAATCACTCTACATGTGGCTCTTTGTCCCTGGATATTATGACCCCGTGTAACCGATCACGTATGTTCTCCTCTCCATACAAAACGATGAAAGGAGATACAATGAGGACGTGGGGCAGAAGAAGGAAAATAAAATGACTGACCATCCGCAGAGTTCTTCACCGACTATCCAACACAGCACCCCGTCGTGTCCGCCTTCCAGACCCCAATCTACTCCAATGCAGCGTACCAGATCTTATCTTACGCCATCGAGAACATCACAGGCCAGACCATGGAGGCCATCTTCGACCAGCACCTGGTCGCAGACCTCAACCTCACCTCCACCTCCTACGCCGCGCCCAACACGACCACCAACGCCGTGATTCCCCCTTTCGACACCACCATCAGCTGGTTTAGCGCCGACCTACACGACGAGACCCCGGCAGGCGGCTACTACAGCAGCATCAACGACATACGCGCCATAAGCAAAGCCATGCTCAGCTCAGCCCAGCTCGACCCGGCCGTCACGCGGCGGTGGATGAAGCCACACTCGCTCCTCTCCAACCCAGACGCCATGGTCGGCGCCCCCTGGGAGCTGCAGCGCGCCCCAGGCAGCCCTTACCTGATGATGATGACCAAATCCGGCGACGTGGGCATCTACGCGTCCTACGTCGTGCTCGTTCCGGAGCTCGAGGTGGGCTTCACCGTGCTGACGGCCGGCGCCGGGTATCAGGCGAACGTGGAGATCCTGGCGGACGTGCTGGCGGCGGTGCTGGTGCCGGCCGCACGGGCTGCCGCCAGGGACGAGGCCAAGGCCAAGTACGAGGGCGTCTATGCAGACGCGGCGACGGCTTCTAACATCACGCTCGAGGTGCTGGATGGCGAGCCCGGCCTGGCGCTGACGGGGTTCACCTTTGGCGGCGAGGACGTGATAACCACCCTGCTGGATGAACTCTATGGCAGTAACATCAGCGCACACCTGTACCCAACGGGCTTGTCCACGGCGACGTCGAACGGGACTACGGCCAGTGCCTGGAGGGCCGTGTACCAGTTGGACCCGGAGCTGACGGACCCAGGTGCGTTCTCGTCGGATTGTGTCAGCTGGGCACAGGCGGACAGCATCATTTACGGTACGTAATCCTCGATACATTCTTTGCTTTTCTTAAAAGAAAAAAAAAAAAAAAGAAAAAAGGAAAAGCAAGAAGACGCAGGTCTTAATTGTCTTTCCTTCCAAGACTTTGGCTGACATTGAACTTTCATGTAGGAGGAGTGGGTCTGGATGAATACCTGATCACAACAGCTGGGGACAAAGTTGTGAGTGTGACGCCCAGAATGCTGGGTGTTGCAATGACACCTAGCGCATGAGGAGATGAGGTTTTGCGGTGACGTTGCAATATAATACATCAATGTAAGATCGAATGGCCTTGCTCTTCACCATCGCAACAGAGGATAGACATGGGATTGAAGGGCTCCTCATTGACACATCAGACAAGGCCTCCCGCATTGGGGGGGGGGGGGGGGAGGGTTGGATCTATATTCAAGTAATGGTCGCTATGTAATGTTGTTGGCACTTAACTCGACGGATGTCATGGCTGAGCAGAGCCGCTTGACTGTGTAACAAAATTGTAAAGTTGGAGGCCAAGGGGAAAATACTTAGCCAGACAGAACACAGTACAACTGCGGAATCAAGTCTTCCGGTCACAGCCAAATCCATCAGACTCGTCACTGCAGGTAAGAGAACAATGTCATTCCGAATCCTGAAGACGAAAAACTCTGGTTTGTCGACGGGCGAACTGCCGCAAAGGAGAAGTAATGCCTTTGCCGAACCGATGTTTCCCAAACGTCAACCGGAGATTTCTGTCGTTCAAGAGGCGAACTGGCAAGGAAAGACAGAGGGAGGGTGGACGGGTACGTTGAGGATATCCCAGCATGTCAAAGTAATGGGGCAAAGCCAGCGATTGGCTACTCAAGCTCTATCTAGTTGATGCGGGGCGCCTGAAACAGGCCTGGGGGTCCCGTTCAGGACTCGTCTGGATCCTGGAGGATTCTTTTTCTGGCACTCCTCGAGGAGACGATGGGGTGTTCGTGGAATCGATCAAGAGATTTTATCGAACAGGCTGGACAGGATGAAGATACCTTTCCTAAAGTCGAACCTTTTCTGCTGGTTAGTTACTGTTGGTATGGTTGCGATAGGTGTTTCACTGATCCACTCGGTGTCCCGATACAGTAGGCCAAGCTTTCTTGTCTTGACTCCAGGGCCCTGCAGAAGTTCTCGACACTGGAAACCTCTCGCTCTGAGGAAGGAGACCTGTCGATTTGCCGAATCTCGGTCCCTTCCGATCGGTGTTGCTCCACAGGCATCTTCTTTTTTCTGCACTATACAGTCATCTACAATGCTTTTAGGTCAGTCCTGTTGGTGACACAACTTTTGACCTGGCTGCCGTGTGGCAGACGATCATGGGTGGGTTTGCCATTGGGGACTCTAAGTACTTTGTATCTACGGGGGGCTGAGACAGATCTGTCTGATCCATCTTCACTTTTTACAACAAGAAAGCACTCTGCGTTTGTCTCACCCATCAGGTTCTCCCTTCTCTCTTCTTCTCCTTTTTCTTTTCTCCTCAACGCTCTTCAAATATTTGGTGTCGAGTTGTAGACAGCCATTCATGTAATTTTTGGGGGGGTTAGGTACAACAGTGCATCTAATAGATAGTATAGGGGTCCAATTATAGTCAGCGCCCAAGGTGGGAAGAATAGGCTAGTGTAATGATAAATGAACCCCCACATTATTAAAAGCCGTCTGTGCAACGGATCAGTGCCTTTTCTTCTTCCTCTTGTAATGAATTACTTGGTACTTGGTACCATAGAATATTACGCGCTGACCAATGCATCCATACCACCACTTTCAGTCTCGCAAGACAAAAACACATGTATGGTAATAATATCCTTCTGGCTCCTTAAAGGCCAGGGACAGGCAGTGGCAGAATCTATGTTCATCATTTATACTATGCACTAGATACATAAGCTTGTTAGTCAAGCCAAGATACCTTCACAGTAACCTCCGTGCACTGTCACAAGTCCAAGCGCGCATGCCAGCGCCTACCCCTGTGTACTACAAGACAATAGGTCGATGCGAGCAGATGGAGCAGCTACCGGCAGCAAGTCCGCAGACGATGTGACAGACTAGGGGGTCGTCCCGCGAACTGCATCTGTGCGTTGAAACGCTCGAGAGCCCCCCATCTCATGGGCCAGCACGCCACTACCTCCTCGGAAGCTTGAGTTGCCACCTCGCCGGCGAGTCAGGAGGGACTGACGTGCCACGCAGATATTCGTCCTCGTTCTTTGCCCAGAAACTCACCGTCTGCTCACATTCCCAAAGGTCGCGACGATGCCTGTCTCAACGTCGCTTAGCGGCTTGTCTTCTACTCGACTGGACGCTGCGTGACTGTCATCGACTTGCCCCTCCTCAAACGCCTTGTCTCGACGTACAGCATCTTGTCCATAGACAGTCACCGTACGCCTTTCGTCTGATATTTTGGGTCGTCTACGGTTCTTCCTATCACGCAAAGAGATTGTGACTATGCATTGGTACACTTACACGTCACATTCACCATGCCCCCCCAGCTTGAATTCTGATCTGCAAGCCCTCTAGACCCGAGGGAGAGGCACTACCCGGCGAGGGTGTCATCAGAACTGTTCCCATGTGTATAAGCCACATTGGCCCAAGTCCGTGCCACTCATCGAAAACGGTACATCGCCGTCGGATGCAGTAGCGGCTTCAGCAGCCTCATCTGATCTTTTGAAGTCCTTGTCAAGAAGCTCTGACTCTAGCTCCTGTTGTCGAGACGCTGCGGAGCGTCTGATGCTCCACAGCCATGAGCTCCAGATACTAGGGCCGGATGTCATTGTCTGCTCTGCCATCTCATACATGGACATCACGGGCGGTTGACACAGGACTACGCAAATTTCATGGTCTCTTCTTTTTTTCGAAACTTGTTCCGTACATAGAGATATCATGAAATCAGATGTGGTGGGTTTCCAGGCGATACGTAACCCATCTACTCTGTTATTTCTCTTTTAGAACACTCCTTGTCCTCTCTTCATCTCTTCTCTCCTCCTTCGAACCATCGCCACTCCATGTTCAACTGAGAACAAAAGCTTAAATATCATCACCAGTGGTGATAAGGTGATACGCTTCAAATTCGATATGCAAATCCCTTCAGCGTCTGTCATCAGTCACTGGCCTGCGGCAAATTACACCAACCCGGTGACCAGAGGACCGGCGGCTATCATCGTCGTCTCTGTCCTGCTTTTCTTGGTCACTACGCTTCTCGCCATTCGAATCTACACTCGCTTGCGAATATCAAAGGGTTTTGGGCTGGATGATGTGCTCATATTGGTGGCCTATGTAAGTCTCCATCTACCGCCATTTTCTATTCAAGTTGTGCATACAATGAATTTAACAACAAAGTAGGTCCCAACGGCCGCTTTCGCCAGCATCTCCTTCGTGGCACAGGTGGACTTTGGCTGGGGCAGACATGTCTGGGATATTCCGCTCAACTTCGTGACTCCAGGCTTACAATTGAGGTGAGCATCATATGTGCTCAAGCCATTACTATCTGAGCAAGTCCTGGGTCCCAGCATTATACTAAACTCCTAAGCAGCCTGGCTTCACAGTTGCTGTTCGACCTCTCCACGACGTTGACAAAGCTCTCGATGCTGTCACTGATCTACAGAGTTGTGTCTATCGATAATAGCCGGTACAGATACATTGTAATCGCAGTTGCTGCTTTCGTCAGCCTCGACGGCCTGATCTTCTTCATACTCGTCACTTTTCAGTGCAGGCAAGTTGGAGCTCGCCCCATGTTGACGAGACTTTTTCCAAAAAAAAAAAAAAAAAAAAAAAAAAAACCCCATAGCTAACAGTGAACACAGTCCCGTTTCGGCATACTGGACGTTATCTATCGAGCCACAGATGTGTATCAACCAGCCCAAGCACCTACTCGCTGCCGGGTGCATCAACACGATTACGGATTTCATCATCGTCCTCATTCCGATCCCGTACGTCCGTCGTCTTAAGCTGCCTCGGAAGCAGCAGATCATAGTCGGCAGCCTATTCGCCGGCGGTGTATTCGTGACGGCTGCTGGAGCCGTGAGGACTGCGGTCACCTTTATGTCCTACGATGACCCGAACAAAGACCTGACGTGGAACTCTATTTCCGTCCTCATCGTCAGCGCTCTTGAGCTTCACATCGGCATTGTAAGTCTAGATTCTCATTCCATGAGTGCCTGGCTCCGTTGATCAACTTCCATTTGCTAAACGCTATATCGTTCTCTTTATCTAGATCTGCGCCTCGATCCCTTCTATCAAACCCTTCTTCGCTCTCTATCTTCCTCAAGTACTCGGACTCTCAGGCTCCTGGCGCTCCCGCCACTCGCAATCCCGTCTTGCAGCGGAAAAGGCCATGTCGCAGGAAGCTCTCGACCCAGATTTCTGGCACGTCACGCATCGAGGGTCCCTCGATTCCCCGGCTGCAAGCACGATCGGGTCTCCATCATTGGTGATGCAAATGAGAGGAAAAGCCCCGATGCCAGGCATGCCGACGCCAACGCGCCCGCCGCGAACACAGTCCACCCTGCGAACCTTCTCCACAATACAAGAATCGAAACAATACCGCGGTTCACTGCGGTCTGGGACGCCGACAAGCATGTCTACGACGTCGACATCAATACTCGGGCCCAGAGCCTCGCTAGCACAACCGCCAGACTTGAACAAGCCGCTGCCTACGATACGAACGAACTCGATTATGGGCTCGTGGTCCGTGGCGGAGGGCGACGAGGAGGGTGGCTCGTCAAATAACATCATGAGCGTTTATCAGTTTGTTCCTCATGAGGATGGTCATATCAGTGTGTACAAAACCAGAGGAGATGGCCATGGAGGATGATGAGGCGTGGAGGATGTTCTATTGTTCTTCGCTGGATGCACCATACCAACCTACTTGGGGGTTTTCACCTAATTATATACCGGGCCTGCGAGCGCCATTGGCCTGCAAGAGATGCTTGCCAGCGTAGTAGGACGAGGTCCACCACTCAGCCGGATTCGAATCTCGGCGAGGATGTGACCCTCTCTACCACTCACGGGTGATACCTGCGTGGAGCACGCTCATAGGTACGGCCGCTTGACACGAGCCATGGCAAGTCAAGATCTAGTGCGCTCGAGTACTGTAGTACAGCTGTTACTCTTTCGTGGCTAGATGAAAGAGCCCTCCTGGACCGAAACCAGATACAAAAGGTCAATATACAAGCATGAACTTCAAGTCACGTGCCAAGCTCTCAATGTGGGTGTCAACCCTGTATATTGTGATCATTTCCCAGACAATACAAGACGGACAGCGTAACATCACCATTAATCGTGGCGCAAGGCTCATTATTGTCCTACTTTTCATTCAACCACATAGGTAGTGAAGTCATCATCACCAAATCCGTCTTGCTAAGACTCTTTGTCAAAAGCGTATTAGAATGTATAAATCAGATGTACAACACTGTTTGTATATAGGAAATTTAGCCGCCTCAACATAAAGTTCCAGACCTGACCTTGGAGCATCATATTAAAATAGCTAGCGAAGATATAGCAAAAGAAGCCAAGCTGAGCGGTTGAAAACTGCGCGTTAGCCAAAGTATCTCGTAACTGACCCGTATAATCCACTCTCTATCAGCACCGAAGCCGTAAGTGTAAATGCTGTCGGTTTGACTGAAGGCGACGCGGCAACTTTTGGTCTTCGAGCATTGATACGTAAGCGCTGCTCAGTACATTCTAGATCTCAATAGAGTCATCGTGTGATCCTGAAGTGACGTAGTAGCCGTCAGGCGAGAAGACTACATATATAAATCAACCGCTATGGTACTCGAACCTCGATATTCAGACATCGCTTTGTACATCCCAGGTCCGAACAGTGCAATCCCATGATCCTGAGGCTCCACTACAACCGTCGGACGAGGAGACTGCAGACAGGGCACATTCGCTGTAGCCTTCGAGTGTCGATGTGGAGGTATCCCAGTCTTCCGGTCACGTTCTTCAAACACAGACATGCTCCTCTAGGTAATATGTTGTCACCATGACACAAAAAGAGCGCCGTACAATTGATTTGTGATATCCAATTTCGTCACAACGAAAAATTTTATTTACTCTTGGACTGTGCTCGGGGAGGACCTGGCGGAAGAGAGGGTGGAATAACTGAACGAGTCCAGTATTATTATTGTTTTTCAGGAAGAGAGAGAATGAAACGGAGATGCTGTGGACGGTTATGAACGAGCCACTTTGAAGGTTCAGGAGTTTCCCTACAGTCACGGCGGACAAGGGACTAGGTAGAAGAAGATGGTGCCAACTATTCGCTTGAAGTTGTTGAGAAACTTGTTTTCCATAGTGTCAGGGTCGTAATCGATTCCTTTGTACTTTACTCGATCTCGGCAACGATCTAACCAAGTATTAGTATATGTGACCTCTCCGTATGTACGTTTTCTTAAGAACGCAGAGTGACTTCCTTGGCTGAGCGGAAATGTCAAGCATTTTACCAAACATTATGAAGATATCCTTATTGTTGACGAGGCTGAAGCAATCAGGGAAAGAGAAATTTTATCATATGTATTTCGCTAATGCTGATACATATCTTCCTTGTAGCCACAAGCACGTATCGCCATTCATGCAAAACTCGCAGGTCATCCTTGATGCCGAAACAATTGAGCATCCTCCTTGCAGTTCGACTGCATCTCATTCAATGGCCAGTGTTTATCATGAACCACCAGTCCTGCATACTGCTAGACAAAATGAATGTAATCAAACACTTTTCTACTTACATGATAACATTGAGAATGTTTCTAATCCTTCGCTGGTATGTCTTTTGCTTGTTTGCTCGAAGGTAAATGGCCGGGCTTAGTGGTCTATGTGACGGAGGTAGCTAGCACAGTGGTAGAAGTGTTGAGGCCTTGATGGCCTCTTGATGTGTATGTAAGCCTTTGGCCCTTTACCTTTTCTCACATCTATCTGTTGTATTAACTATCTACAAACCCGAGATAGCAAATTTCAGGAGAGCTTGACTTTTTTTACTAGGCCTGATATCAACACTGGTCATAGCACTTAGAAATGAGCTACCAGGCTCTCAAGTGCTCCGTTGCAAAGTGGTCACCAGTACGTGCACTGGCTAGTGCCCTTATATCTCGTCACACTCTGTTTCGGCTCGGTTCGTGTTGTTCTGTGTACTTTATATAAACACTTTAACAATAGTCAGATGTTATCAATGATCTTGTACTGATTTGCTGATAGATAAATGAATCTGTATATGGGCTACATGCGGCACTGTAGACATTGACTCTGCCTCGCGGACAACGCAGGCGAGTCACAAGTTATGTGTGAGTACTTGTACCATCAAATGACACTATTTGGATGATAGTACACGGTGTACGTTCAATATTAGCAATTTTAGAATTGCTCTTATGAATCCAGTTTCACGAGGCAAATAAAATCTACCTGAAGTCCTGAAACCAAGTTGAATAACATCTGGAGGTTGAGGAAACGCAAATTGGCCGCCCCGCCCCCATCCCCAAAACGAATAAAAAAGAAATCGCTTGGTAACGGCAGATCGTAAACACCTGGGCAGAATTGGATTCAATGAGTCAAATGACATTGAGAGGGATCGAGCTTTGTTCTTTTCATGTTTGGTTACCTGGAAATTCTTGCGAAGCGTAAGTGCCGCAAACAACTGTACCTGTAGAAGATCTACGCAACTTGCATCGGCTCCTCTGCTCTCCGAACACAACAACCTCTGCGTCCAGTTTTTATACTTCATTACGAATGGAGCTTGGTTCGTTTGTTGACGAGAGAATCGTATCTCCTCCAGCTTTTGGTGAAGCGAAAACCTCAAGAGTTGGGGAAGATCGCAATCTGAAGAATTGTGGGTGGTTCGGAACGGAAACTGTTATTGAGCATGACACCGGCCAAGCCGATCAATTTATCTGGTTTCATTCGCAAACCATAAAATTCGTACTGGCATTGGCGTGTCGTGCTTAACTCGGAAAGCATAAAAAACCCCTCCCGGATGCTTTGCTCGCGTACCACAGGCCCTTTTTTCCGCCTAGAAAAGCATAAACGTTGCTTTATGTGTTCATAATCCGAGTCATGTGGTTGCAGACATGGTGTTTCGGTGAGTGCTGCTCTGGCAGTTGATACGACAATACTATGTAGTGCGCTGTGGATAAGGTTTTGCCTTGCCCGTTCCGAGGTTACGGCGAGCGTTGTCCATGACACAGCTGGCTTCTGTCGGTGTGCGTTGAATGGTTCAAATACAGCGTGAATGCGATCAGCACACATGTGCGTGAGGGCCAGCTTCCGGCTGGACGGCATGGAATAAATAGACCACGCGGGTGTGTGCTTTATACGATATCTGGGACGAGACGCTTGTGGTCCGGGAGCGGTGGACATCTCGAGCTATTAATACTGGATGGTGTTTTACTGCAAGCTCGCATCATTATTTTAATTACTTGCCGGGATTTGGTCGGCACATTGTGCCTTCAATAGCATGGAACAAACTCTGTTAATACCATGCTCCTGTACCGGGATTTGCCACTTCCTGGGATTTAACATGCTGTGCTCACTCCTGATGCATTTCTAATTCTCCACATCTCGGTCATCGTCCTCGTTCCTGGTCTCTCATTCTGCATCCTCTCAACGGTGTGCCACCCTAAAGTTTTGGCTTCATGACGACGGAGGTGAAAAACGGCGAGCCCGTCGCTGGCACAGTCGTGAGCGTCGTGGTGTCATTATTGTCTTTATCAATAATCTCCTCATTTCTCAGTTCGTCTTCCCCTACTTTATCATTTTTCCAACTGGACTAACTAATGCTGAGTCCGGTTTGTAGCGCAAAAGTATGGTACAGTCAAGAACTGGCGGATGTTACCATGCGCTATGTGGCGTAAGAAAAATCACCAACCTCCCTAATCACGATTACTGACTGCGGCTGCGAAATGGACCAGGCACTGTCTGCGCCTTCTCTTTGATCAAGTATATGCTAATCATTTCTCCTCCATTTGCCAGTCGTTTTCTGCATATATCTTGACTCGTTTCTGTTCGTCTTTGCCACTGCTGTTCTGAAGTTCGGGCTCGGTCTGGATTCAAGTTATGCGGTCTGTGACGGAGCTATTCTGCTTTGTCTTGTTGCCTATATCAGCACAAAAGTAGGTTCATCATCTTACACACTGTTGCAGACTAAACACATTTATAGGATTGTAAATTCTGGATCTGTCGCTAACGTTATTACGGTCCAGGTGGTATGTTTACTATGAATGTATGACGTTTTGGATAGGACACTAACGAGGAGAATGGTTGTTGCAGCTGATTTATTCATTCCTCGCTGAAAAAGCAGTAGGTTTTGTAACTGATCCGATCAATATCACGAAATTCGTCCTTGCTAACTGTGATGGTCACCTAGTATATCATACGTGGAGGGCTAAAATCTCGAATGGAATCAAAGTTATGGCTCTTCAACACTTTTGGCATGCTCGGTGTGTCTCCCCTTTGAAATGTAGTCTATTTTGGTCCATGCTCACAAAATCATAGGAGCGTACACTGTTGTTATCATCCTTAACTTTGTATTGTGAGTTTCACTTACCTCTCCTTGGAAAATTGTGTGCCTTGCTTACGAGCTATTACAGTCGAATTGCACGATTCGATGAAGGTGAATGCGTTATTGGAATGGAGAGGCGGGCTTTGTTGCCATTGATTACGTTTGACCTGGTTCTCAATGTGTGTTTGACTAGACTGCTCTTGGCCTAATGTGTTTCTTTTGAAATTAACAGGACTTTTAGGTCTACCTTACCTTGTTATTTCTCATACCTGTCACAGGTATACTCGTCCCTTTTGAACAGATCATGTTGGTGTTGGTCGTGCTGAAGCTGATTATTCTCCTAGCATTGCATTCATTCAGGATCAAACAGAGAACGCAGAGGAGGACAGAGATCCACAGAATGGCAGTGCGGACATTTTTTGGGTCAATGTGTACGCTTACAAGCAGCATTGTGTGAGTCCTCAGCGTTCCTGAATGGCAAATGTTCCAGCTCTAAGACTAACACATCTCGCCAAAATCAAGAAATCTGTCTGTTTTAACAGTTCTCAATGGTGAGCCAGGGTGGCTTTGTCTCCTGTGCTGTAACAGTGATGGTCAGTCTCACTCTCTTCTTCATTGGTCTTGGGTTTGCCAGACCATCTTCCCACATTCATCAGCATGCATGCGAGGAGCTAGTCTGTATATGAGGATTTAACACTCCAGTGCTCAGTTCTCTTCTCTGCTCTGATGGTTCACTGGGTTACATCTCATGATCACATAGGCAGCCGCCGCTCTGAAATGGCTTTACATGAAGGTTACTCGCCGTATGCTATTAACAGGCGCCTGAGCATCACCACCAACCAAGCCAGCCCTCTGCCACCAAAGACTGGACGCTTTCAGCGGCGTGGCAGACTTTCATATCTGCCTACATTTCACATGCCACATACACATCCCCGACATGGTTCAGAGGAGTTGGAAGAATATATCGACCTCCCGGGCCTAAATTTACCCAACAGGTGAATTTTACCGAGAGAAAGCATGGTCTCAAAAATGGAGGAGCCTAACATAGACCCAAGTGGCCAATTCGGCATGAGGTCTGGAACGGCGCCACGAGAGAGATATTCATACGAGCACTGCAGTGGCAAGATGATGTCGAACATATACGAAAAGCAAGGTAAAGGCGCAGCAAGCAATCAAGGAGCTGTCGCCGTCAAGGACAATGTCGTTTCAGAACGTTGAAAACTGATTAACTACAATAACGCTATCCCGCAAGACGAAGCAACATACTTGCGCGAGCCACGACTAAATTTGGTTCGCTTCATTGAAGTGGCATATATGAGGCCCTTGACTTCGGCACGGCGGGCTCGTTGAGGAGAGTTAGACCGCGAGAAGTTTGATTTCAAGCTTCATGGGCTCAAATCAGGCATGGAAGCTAGGTCACCCATTATAGGGTCAGACTTATCACCAGGTGCGTTGAGTATCATACCACGAGGCGGCTTCACAAACTCATCAGATCCAGTCTGATTTGAGTGCGGGCGAATACGACACCGCGAATGGACGAAGTTGTTGAAAATAACATTCAAGATTTTCGAGAAGAGGTATTAATAACATTGCAATAGAAACAATGCTAAACAAGTCTCGCCAGTGCGGCCAACTCAAGAAACACACCCTCAAGTTTATGAATTCGTACAGTTGCTGATCAAATCCATGATTCCCCCAACTGCGACTGGTATCGCTCCAGGATGGATAATACTCAACGCAGAGCTGGCGGCGATGGTCAGAACCTTGCCCCCGATCTCTAAGGCAATCTTTCGTTTACGGTGCGGCTTGTTTTGACTTTGCGGATTCGGGTCAGCTTCTACCGGGCCGTGCATAGAAGCCGCATGCAAACTGACTTTGAGCTCTGCCATATCTTCCTGCAGGTGGACCATCTGTTCGAGCGTCTCCTTCTGGCCCAGCCCAGCCTCTTTGAGGTGCTGCTCGACCATCACCTGGTAGTCGTGCTGCATCTTGTCGAAGCGCAGCAGGTGCTCCATCTCGAGCCGGCGTATCTCCTCGCGGCGGTCCTCGCGGAGCAGCTCCTGGTCTGTGTGGATGCGTTCGATCTTGCGCTCCATCTTGGCCCTCTCCTTCTCTAGGACTTCCTGCATCTCCTGGTCCCTCTCGGCAAGGGCCTCGGCCGCCTCCTGCTGTATTTTCTTTAATTCTTGTTTGTACTTCTCCTCTAGAACGAGCAGCTCCTCGTTGACGGCACAACCCGCCTCGGTTTCGCCGATGGATTTGCGCTCGTCCACCAGCTCTCGCTGCAGCTGCAGCGTCTCTGGGTCATGGTCGGCAAAAGAAAGCAGAATGTCGAGGGCAGAGCGCTGGTTGCCGGTGAAACGCTGCGTGCGCGCGCCGTGGGAGATCATGTCGCCCCAGAACTCCGACTTGGAGATGAGCTCGCTCTCGTGGGCCTCGGAGATGGTGTCGCTCATGGTGCCCCAGAAGGTGGACGCGATGACCACGTTGCGCATGGGTTTCTCGCCGCAGAGCTTCCTGAACATTTTCAGGTTCCGCATGGCGCCCCCGTCCATGCGGACGTCTGTGATGCGGTGGAGGTAGACGATGCCTGCCAGCTTGGTTTTTTGCTTGTAGGTTAGTTCGAGGTAGTTGGCCAGCTCCTTGAGCACCTCTGCATCGGATTTGTATGTGTCATTGAACCCCGGTGTATCGACTAGGACGAAGTTGTAACCCTCCGCGGCAAAGTAATGCGGTGTGACTTGTTGGGTGCCTTGATTGTTGGAGTGGTTAGTATGACTTGTAATTCGGCAATAAGAAATACAGAACAGTGGTCAAGTTCCTGAGTTTATTGTAGTCACTTATGAGACTTACATGACACGAGTGAATGCCCGACAATGCCTTCGTTGGTGCCCGTTGCTCGCTGAATAAAAGTAGATTTTCCTGCGCCCGTAACACCCATAACCCCTATGATCTGGCAACTCATCAATCACTTGTGTCTTGTCGTTTAGCGCTTGGGACTTACAAGAGTTGGGAGGGTGGGAATGTTCTCCAGTTCCTGAATCTGCATCTTGATTATCTTGAGTCTCGGCTTGTCCACGAGGGGGAGAACAATGTAACCAAACACTTGGTGGACTCAAATATATCCACACGCAATAAGTGAGGTGAAGACGTCCGAGAAGATGCTCGACAAGACGCCGAGAAGGCAAGGAAGGGCTAGGCAGGAGGCCTGACGAGGAGCATCCACACCAGTCAGTGATCGCGAGAGCCGCACGTAAGCAAGCACCTCGGTCTCTTCCCCTGTAATGTGAGGGTGGGTCCTTTTTTTGCCAGAATGTTTTTATACATCCGTGAAGGGTCTGACAAGGCTACTAACAACGACCTGGTATCAAATTTCAGATGGAAAATTCGGTCAAGGCAGAAGTTGAAGGATGTTCAGCAGAGGACAGTGGTAAGGTCATTTACCAATGCAAAGCCCCCATTAGCCGCTCAGCTTGCTGCGCAGGTCCTTGCAACTATTGCCTATTGCATCCCATGTGGCACTTTATCAGCGCATATATCAGTCAAACGACGCTTTCGTGTATCCATAGTAAGCACAGCCGCTTTGAGGGGACAGTGGGCTAGGCCCAAATTGTAGGACAGCCCGTCGGCAGGTTGCACATTAGGATCGTCGAGCCACACTAAATGATAGATCGCACACCCTTTTCTGTGCAAGTGGTCTACCCGGGGTCGAGACTCCAGCGCCAGTGGCTGTCACAAGTGAAACTATTAGCGCTGCGGTCCCTGAACCTTGTTGTCGTAGTAGAACTGATTAGGAAACTAGAGCACCGCTTTATGCAAGTTATCAATCTACTTCCTGAGTACACTCCAGGGCCTTATCCATCCGGGCATGGTTTCTCAGTATTCCCTTTCTTCTATTCTCAGGCGGAGCCGCCCCTGCCGACCCAAACACGGGCCTTCAGCCAGATCCTGGAGACCTGGTCATACTTTCGGCCTTCCTCAGTGCCGCAAGCCACAATGGCTGGCTGGAGCACCATCAGCAGAGGTTTGCCAAGAAGAGCTGGCTCTGGCCGCTGGGACTGGTGGAGATCCATCAAGCTGTCGCTAATGCGCGGAAAGGAACCGCTCCCTCTCTCCCTCAGAGCCTGGAGATCTAGGCATTGCACGACGGAGCGCTGTGACCAGAGCTTGGCCGAGAACTGCAGCGCCCGGTCAAACTCGTCGACCAGGAACTGCTGGTGTCCAGGGTCCGACGAGTCCCTGATCATGAAGCGTGCAGCGCTGCTGAGGAACTTCTGGCTCAGCTGCACCGCACGCTTCCGCCGCACGGCGCTGATCCCCGCCAAGTTTAACCCTACCCTGTCCTCTGCCTCACTCATGCCGTTTGTTGCCAAAAGCCTCATCAGTTGTGAGCGCCATTGATGAGCTTCCTTTTCTTGCACTGGAAAAAAAAACAAAAAACAATGTCATGATGTCTTGTCAGCCAAGTCTCCAGAAAATCGGTGTTTTACTATTGTTCATGGATATAATCCATGAAGCAGACTCACAATCAACAAGATAACCGTAAAGGCTGTCCACGACCTTGCTTGTAACTGCAAGGTCTGACTGAGCGGCCTGTTTGGCTTTACGGTCGACATCCTTCGACTCCTTAAAAGCTGACCCGGTGTTGGAGCTGGCGGAGAGCCCAGGAACACTATCAAGAATCGAGAACGGGTTGGCAAAGATCTCAGCACAGATGAAATTCGCCAGCATGCCGTGGAGCAGGATGTATGGCAGCTTCTTCTCCCTATCGAGTTCTGCGGGCGTTTTGCCATCCGCAGCCAGGACCATGAATGTTTTCAGCTGTGCCATAAGCTCTTGAATCTCCTCTTCAGGCCGGTTGAAGCATTGCTGTTTGTTGCCAGGAGCAGTGTCTTTGGCCCAGCCGTACCAGGCCGATGATCGGTTAGCGAACCATTGAACGATATCGCTGTCCGAGGTCGCGAAAGATCTGTTTTGCTCCATCATTGTCTTTGCAGCGGATTGAGCCGAGACGACATGCTTCTCTTGGTCCTCGATCAGATGTGCCAATGTCGCAACCTGGTTCTCAAGGTCTTGAACAAGCTTCTGCTGGCTCTGGTTCTGAAATGCGAGCCTGTGGTTCTGTCTCTCAAGATTGCTAATGTAATCTTGCTGTTTTTGGTAAGAAGATTCAAATTGAGAGCTCCGTCGGGACAGCTCGTCCTCGGTTTTTTGCAGTTGTTGGATGGCCACATTATACTCAGCCTTGCTGACACCAGCCGGCTCTCTGGTGGCCTGCTGGCCATACTTAGACTCGTACTTGGCGTTGTATGATTCGTGGCTGCGGACGGCAGGACGAGCAGGACTTCCTCTACCATCTGCTGTTCGCTTCCTATCCGTGTTCTCTCCGTGCCGCTGGAGGTCATGGTAGGCGCCGGCGGTGCTGGGAGCTTCTCTCACACCCGAGGGAGCACCTGTATCGAATGTACCTCGTCGCTGGAGTTGACCTGTGACAATTCCAACCTGTCCGTGCTCATTTATAGTACGAGCCACGAAAGATTGGTTCCCTATGTGCTAGACATGTCAGTATTGGTGGCTCCGTCCTTCCAGAGGGGAATGGGATATAGTTGACCTGCCTTCCGGGTCTTCTACATGGATCTCGCGCATGGCCTCTTCGATGGAAAGCCTTTCTTGTTTAGAAGCGGCAGAGGCTTGTGGATCAGCGAATTCGTCAAGGCCGATTCTGCCAGGGGAACATGGCCTGCCATCTTTGTCTTTGTGCCCTTTCTTTCCCATCTTGCAAGACTGTTCCAGTGGACCTTTGAAGAGTATATAGAGAACAACTCGGTGGTGAGAAATGTGGACTGGTTTTTGGTGAGAGAAGAAGTAGAAAAATGCTACTCCGTCTAGATACGTTTGCACGAAACCTGACCGGGCAGAGTTTCCGAGACGGTACGTTTTGACCCAGGGCATGATCAAACCTGGGCAAATCTGCCGATTCCATCGATCATATGCTTTTGGTTTATACGCCTAGCCAGGTCTGTTCAAGGCTCGGTCATGGTTGCAACCTATACACCGAACATTTTCCTTGCTGTTTGTGTAGCCATGGCTTGCCAAGGGGTTTATCGATGCTGACATGCATGCTAGCTAAGCGCCGGGACAGCCACAACTCCATCCAGGATCTAGATCCTAAAGCCTCGTCTTGTTGTATCTTCAAAGTACCCTCGTATCCGTACCCACTTCAGCCGCTGGTCACAAGCCGAAACCTTTAAGCAGAAGGAATGCCACTGAAATTCCTCAGCATTTTATTCAGTCATTTCCTATGGCATTTTCCTTTTGACTAAAACCAACAGTCGGATATTCTTCTCTGGCTCTCCAGAAAATCGTCCGGTGATGGTTTGAAACTCGACAACAATGTCCGGCAGCGTGAAAAAGCTCATAGTCGGCGTAGACTACGGCACGACTTTCTCAGGTGAGAGTCGTTCGCGTCCTCATCTTGCCAACAATAATGAACAAAATCTGACTTTGCATCATAGGTGTCAGCTATGTCTTCTCTGATGCCTCAAATGTCAGTGATGTGGAGATCCTAGATTCATGGGGCGCGGGCGATCAATATCAAAGACAAGTTCCTTCACGAATCTCCTACGATCCCCGCTATACCTGGGGCTATGACATTGGGAATCGCGAGTTGGCCTACTGGTGAGTCGCCAAGAACAACATCCTTTCCGTCTGTCTGGACTGCGTCAGGGACAATCAGTGACAATATTGAAAGCTGGACGAAACTTCTGCTGGACGACCATGCTATCGAAACGCAACACGATGATGGTAACCTCAGGAAGTATGTTTCATCCCCTCTCTTCTCTTTTCTTCTATTCCCTTGCTCTCTTGTCCGTCTTCCTCTGCCTGTTCCCATCAACCCGGAAAATTTCGAAGGAGGCATCGTTCCTGACGATATAACCACCCACCAACAGATACTATGGTGCCGGTTTCAAGACAACGCCCAAGGGCAAGACTGCTACAAATGTGGTTGCAGACTACCTGAAGTTTCTCTACTCTCACATGATGAGAGAGCTCGGGCGAAAGCTCTCTGAGGAGATCCTGGCCGTCACACCCATCCAATTCTGGTTTACGCTGCCTGCGCTATGGTCGCACAGGGCGCAGAACGCTACGCTGCAGGCGGCCACCCGGGCTGGCTTTGGGAGTAGGCACAATGATGAGATCCACCTCGTCAAGGAGCCTGAGGCGGCGGCTATTGCTTGCCTCAGTGGTCTGACTGCCAAAGGCCCATCTCCTCATGTGCAGGTATGTGATTCTTGTTGTCCGGGCGACAGATTCATTTCCCATTCAAGCATTTACTAATGAAGATAATGGCAACTAGGCTGGCAAGATTGTCCTTGTTTGTGATTGTGGCGGTGGTACTGTGGTAAGTCTTCATTTTAAAGATGCGGTTCAATCATCCTCTCGAGTATCAGACAGCTGACCACAAGCCCAGGATTTGGCTTCGTACGAAATCACTTCGGAAAGACCCAAGCTCTCGTTGAAGGAAGTATGCGTCAGTGAAGGTAATGCAAACATGTGATGAAATAACTACACCCTCATATTTCCCAAGTACTGACATGAATTAACGTCTAGCCGGAAAGTGTGGCTCAACCACGATCGACCGAGCCTTCTACCAGTTGATGAGGAAGCGCTTCGGCGGAGTGTTTGAGAAAGTACCGGAGGAGAAGCGCGGCGTGACCTCCAAATTCATGAAGGACTTCGAAGCCGCCAAGAAAGATTTCGGAGTGTCCGACCATCCTCGTAATACGCGGTTGAACCTGAAGATGCAGGCCAAGGCTTCTGAACACTACGATGATGATGATAACGAGGTTATCCTGACAGGGTGAGTGTGGTGCGGAGCCGTGTTCCATCAAGAATCCTTCTTTATCTGACTCTCCGTCTGTAGTTTCGACATGAAGCAGCTGTTCGATCCGGTGGTACAGCAAGTTCTGGGACTATTGCAAAAGCAAATCAAGGCCACGGAGAAGGCAGGACGTACTGTGAATGTGAGTCTCTCATGAGGAGTTGAGACAAAGTAAACATTTGGACTAGACTGTTGACCAAGTTACTGTACTCTAGTCAATCGTTCTGGTCGGCGGATTCGGCACCTCGCCCTATCTGTATAAAAAGATAAAGGATTGGTGTCCATCAGGAATTTCCGTATTCAACCCTCCAAGATCGTAAGTCCACGGCAAAAAGGAGTTTCCCTTACCAGGCATCGCAGAGGACTGACTCAGTATTGGTAGATGGGAGGCGATCTGCGTGGGCGCTGCCGTCCGAGGGCTACAAGGACCAATGGTCAAAGAGAAGAAGAGCCGATCCCACGTCGGATACACGACAGGCCGACCGTTCGAGGAAGGTGTCGATAATGAGCATGATTGCTATCATGACTTTTATGGTAGAAAGAGAGTCTGTGACAAGATGATTTGGATGATAGACAAGGTCAGAAGCAACCCTTTTCGCCTCAAGAAAGAAACTTGTTGGCTGACTTTCTGAGCAGGGAGAGACAATTACCGCAGAGACCAACAAACGACGATCGATCTACTGGACGTCTGAGGAAGGCGACGACAGAACTTATACGCTGGAACTTTATGAGAGCACCGCGGATTCTGAGCCTGAATTTCAGACTCACAAGTGTAAGTGGAATGACCGCCCACCTTGATTGTGTACAGCGTGACAAGTACAGCGCCGCTGACGATCCCTTTTACTCCGCCTAAAGCGGTCATCCAAGTCGGCACCGTGATCTCTGACCTGTCCAATGTCGACTACAACGTCTTTGAGAACAAGATAGGAAAGAACGGCAAGCGAACATACAAGGTCGACTTCGAGCTCATGACGATCGTCGAGGACCAGCTTGGGTATATGCACTTCAGGGTGGTAGTCCAGGGTAAGGTGGTCGGCCAGGCGCGGCTGAGCATAGAGAAAGAGTCCGAGAAACAGGACCAGCTGTCTGATTTCCTCACAAATTTGTCGCTTCAGCAGAACGGGTCTAGAAAGTAAATGGCAGTGGTTAATAGAGTGAGGCGGCGGACGGACTCTTTGATATTCGCTCAGACTGTACTGTACAATATGCAATACTCATACAAGATTCGCCTGGTGCTCTCTCGTTGTGGGCTATTAGTGGTTTTGTCTGGGGTAGACGAAGAGGTTTGTGACATTGGGAAGTTCGAGAGCCAAGTTCAGCCCCTGGGAAGTAAGGAGGTTCTCTCGCCACTGTGCCAGCTGCATATGCCCAACTCGTTCTCCCCCATGGGTCCCCCGCAGTGCTCTCGAAGTCTGGGCCATTCTAGCAGCAAACGACCCAACCAGAAAGCTGCAATCTATTTACGTCTCATAGGCAGCAGATGATCAGCTTGGGCTCTCCTCGCACCCTTACTCCCGGATCAGCCCCTTTCCAGATCCTTCCCCACGGCTGATAGATGGAGTGTGCCAGCACCGCGGGGCCCGAGCTGATCAGCATGGCTTCAAGACAATGGTACAAGGCCACAAACCAAAAAAAAAAAAAATATTGACGCCAGAAGGCCAGAACCAAGTATAACACCTTTTCCCCAAGCTATAGCAAGCTCACTTGGATCTAGTGGCTGCCGAGCTGTAAACTCCTTGTGTACAGCTGGTGCAGGAGCTATTCCATTTTTCCACCACCACTGGATTCAGCCGGGTGAGCCGACACAGAGCTAGCGGCCCAACTGGTTTCCCCTGGTGCCCAACGCCTGCTGGTCCAGGCAGACGGGGTTGACAGGCTCCCGGGACCAGGTTTCAGTTGGGGAGGGAGTTCAGACTGACTGGGTGAGAGCCCAAAGCAGAGACGTAGGATCGTTCCAAGGTCTGGCTCCTTGTTGTACCACGAGGGCTTCGTGGGCCGGTTCCAGACCATATCCACCGGATGGAGACGGGGCGACCGAGTCCATGGGCAATTGATGATGATGAAAACGTGGAGCACCAGTCTACGTATTCAATGGGTAAGGTATGGGTTACCCTCTAAGCCCAATGGACGTGGTTAGTATATAGAGTGCTCATGTCCTCCGGACGATCTACCGTTGACTCGATTCTATCCTCTCTCGGTCGCGAGAACCTCGTCTCAAAAGGGATGAAGTACTCAGACTCGCCGACGAGATCGACCATGTATGCAAGAAAGAGCCAACGCGTGAACATCACGATAAAACCGTTTGTACACAGAGCAATAATCATGAGGCTGGCAGAATTTTGAAAAACAGTTGCATTCATACTTTTTTTCTTCTTTTCAATTTTCCAACAAAACAAGTCCAGCAAAACATCCTCTTGAATGACGTCAAGCAGACAAACTCCAAAACACCTCGTACCCGAGCAAGCAACCCTTGAGAAAAAAAGAAAAAAACAATGTCCAACGCAGTGTCCATATTCCGAACCCAAAGCTGTGATCTGAGACTGTTGTCATGTGACTGTCCTGTCGTCCAGCAAGGTTGCCCCTTTCAATGATTCTATGCTACCGAGTTCCTTTCCTCCTTCCTCCTAAAAGTTCACCAAAAATCAAAAAAAAATCAAACACACTCTTGCCTGCGCGAGGCTGCATCCCTAGAGGTGTGCTCTATGCAACTCACGTAGGGGAAGGCAGCGGCTCCCCATGGTGATCCACTGAGGGCGCCTCGCGCTCCATGGATCCAGGTCCAGATGACCCAATGGCTGGCTTGTTCTCCAGGTGGTCCAGGATGGGTAGCCTTGATGTACGCTGCTGTGACTTTCGTAGTCATCGGCGCAGCGGAGGGGGCGCGGCGGGCCTTCTCACAGCTTGGCGCTGCACATGTCTCGGACCCTTCAGGTCCGGGCGAGATAGTGGACATTCCAAGACAGTCTCTCGTCTATCTTGCACTTACAATGCTAAAGACACTGACAGTGTCGGGTCTTTCGCATCTATATGAGCTGTCAGAAAATCTATACCGACCTGGATTTGGTCTCTTCAAAGACTGATCCTAGATCAAGTCTCAAATGACAGACATGGTGGGACTGACCGATAATTGTTCAGCCTGATTGCTGCACGAAGTGAAGGTCCTGGAGCCGAGCTGGATCGGTGCTCCTGATGTGGGCCGTGTAGTCCATGTGGATCCTCTCCAGTGTGTTCAGGCTGTCCTTGAGGCGGCTGAGCTGCATCATGACCGTGGGACCGTCAAGCTGACCGAGTTCGTGGACAATGCTGGGCAGGCCAGTTTGGATGGTGGACCATTCCTCTCGGAGTTTTGCTGACATGTCAACCTTGACTGGCACCTGGGGTTGCATCTTCGGGCTGGTCTTGCGGGATTTGGGAGACTTGCGACCGGTGTTGTTGGCGTTCGCGTCGCTCTTCCTCTTCCTGGATCTGGCGGCATCCTTGCGTCCGTCCTCGTCAGGCGAGGGAGGCGCGGCGTTGTGGACACGCTGCATGTGGTCATGGAGGTTCCACTTGCGAGGGAAGCCATTCCCGGGTTGGGCACGGTCACATCCACTGAAGGTGCAAGGGTAAGGCTTGGTTCCGTGGCCATGCATACCGTGCGCCTCCCTCTCGTGTCGGAGCAGGCAGGCCGTGGAGGAGAAGGGGAGTTCCTTGCAGCTCTCCATCTTGCAACGGTAGGGCTTCAGGTGGGAATCAACGAATTTGCTGTTGTGAAGAAGATCATGAGTATGAGGACAAATGTTGAGCCAAGGAATCTCGGAGACGACTTACTCGTAGTTGCACTTGAGCTTCTCTGGTCTGTGGCAGCAACCCGTTTGTCCCTCCCAAGGGCAGTGGTAGAGGCCATCGGCTTGGGGCAGTGCGGTCCTGTAGAGCGGATGGTCCCTGGCATTCTCACCTTCGCCACCAGGAAGTGAAGCGGCCCAGTCCTGCAGCTGGACCTGCTCGTCACCTCCAACGGCCGACATGCTGATCTCGAGGTTCGAACCAGTCATCATGGGCTGGATAGCAGGGCCGGTCAGGCTGAAGTTATCCATGACAGGGATGCTAGGGGAGCCGGACGAGACACTGGTGTTGGGGGAGCTTTGTAGGTAGGGGCCCCAATTGTCATCCTTTGGTGTTGTCACCTCGCTCAGGTTGTCCCAAGTCGTGGCAGGTGAGCCACCGGACACGCTGGTCTCGAAGTTCAGGTTCACGGGGTCGACGTGCTGGGGGGCAGCAAAGTCATCCAGGCCTGAGGAAGCACCGTGTCCATCCATGTGGGAGTACATAATCTCCGGCGTTGTCGTCAGACTGTGGGACTGCTGGAAAAGGAACTGGGAGTCCATGGAACGACCATTTCCCTGGAGTCCGTCCGTGTAGGTAGTGGATTCATTACCTGTCATGTCAAAGTTTGACGCTTGAGAAGCGCATTGTGACATTGTTGACTGGAGCCCGGATGGGCTCCTGCTCGGAAGCGAGTCGGTAGTCTTGTGGCTAGACGCAGAACCCTTGGAGCAGATTCGACGCATCGGCTCGGCCTTTTGAGTCTGGTTCTGGCAGACTGCTGGTGCAGCTGGCATCCAGATATTCTGAAAATCATCCACGGTCTCCATGCGGTTCCTTGTGGGAAAGGGGCCCAGTGGGAAGAAGTCCTCGGATTCTCCCTGGTCCGCAAAGAAGTTCTGTGAGCCTGCTACTGTCGCATTGTCCCATGCTGATCCTGACGGACCAGTTGATGGTCCTGTTTGAGAAAAAGAGAAAATTCCTGAAGCTGAAGACATGGGCTGAGAATAACTGTAGTCGCTGAGTCGAAAGGTCAGTGTCCTGTGTCTCCACAAACCCCTTGCCGAATTGAATGCTACAGTCCCGAGAAGAAAAAACAAGACCCAAAGTAGGAAAACAAAATCAAGCCAGAGGCTGTTCATCAAGATGATACAACTTTGTTCTGTATCGATAGGTTAGTTTTTACACCAACAAAAATCTCTGACAGGATTTTTACAGACCAAATTGAGAATAAGCCATGTGACCCGACAAGAGGCATCTTGCATTCAAGGGCCGGGGTTGTTTGGAAGTCCATTTGAATTGAAGTGCATCCAGGCAAATAGAAGGTCCAGATACAAGCGGAAGAGCGAGTCAACGGTTCATCCCATTGGTCGAGGACACGGCAAAAGCAGTGGCAATAAGACATTGGACAACAGTAATCAAAGAGAGCGGGGCAGCGTCCCGTTGTCGTGTGCAGTGTCGTGTGCAGTGTCGTCCTCAAGTTGGATCCAGGGCAGTGAGCAAGTATAAACCAGAACGTCCTTTGGGGGTTGATTCCTAACGGTTTTTCTTGTGCGGCAGCACGGGGCAATCAAAATAAAATTGCCGAGTCCTCAGGCGCCAGTAACGCTGATTTGGTAGGTTCCCAGAAAGAACAAGGCTCCAGGATCACATCTCAAGTGATAATGTCGAGACCGCAGAGGCAGACCAGTCCAATCCAGTTTCTCCGAATTGGCCAAAAGCAGTGCGCAAGGTGTCGATTCCACGGCAGAGAACAAAAAAGACGCCAGTGATATGCAGGGTACTAACAGTCCAACGGCCGGAAGCTGTTGCTAGTATGCCAAGGCGAGGTTATACTTACCTGGGCATCACAAGGTGACGCACGACGCTTTCATACGTCTATGTTGTAATGATCAGATCCTTGGTCCTTCAGGGACGGCTCGTCCACATGTCCATGAGTGAGGGCATGCACGACAAAAAGGTACCTGGTAATATCCATAGTCCTGTGGAATGTCGATATCCTGGTTGGTGAAGAATGGGCCTGTCCTGTCGTCCAAAACGGCTTATGGTGGTATGGCAAGATTTCCGCTCCAGGTTGACAGGTTTGGATGATATACATGATTTCTCATCACACCAAAACGGTGAAATTTCCAAAACACAAAAACGCCTCCCAGGGAAATTAGACAAGGGAAAAGGTTAAAATAGTATACCTCGTAGTAGTAGTAGCAGTAACAGTCTGCATTCTCCTGTTATTTGGGTCCATTGTGTATCCGGTAGGGTCCGAGTGGTTTGTAGAGACCATGATGGAAATGTTCCTCCAGAGATTCCTGGGTGAGCGGAGTTGCTCAGGGTCCTTTGTGGTTTGAGAGTATCACACGCTTGACAAAATTGATCAAGGTATGACACCACCTGGATGGTATAGACCTCAGAGGGCACAACGATATAGTTGTGGTCTTCTCAGCAGCAGCAGCAGAAAGCAGCAACAGCAGAGAACGCGAGCCTTGGGAAAGGAAATCAACGGCAAGTTTTCAGAACGGCCTGTTCTGTTTTCTTTCTTTGCTTGGAATTGTTCGTAGAGATGTCCAAAAGGGAAAAAAAGGATTGCAGCAGATGGACGGAAGAGACAAGAAGGATCCTCTGTGGTTGAACAAGAACAACGAGATAGTGAGAGCAAGTAGCACTCGAAGGGCAAAGTCCAGGGCCGGGTCAGGTTGTGGATAGATAAGAGGTGGCGAAAGGTCAACGAGACAGCGGGAGATCAGCAGGGGACATCCAGAGTGGGTTGTGAGGTTGGGCAGAAATGGTCCGATGGGTTGCTGTATGGTGACGGTGATGACGATGTTGATGAGGAAAAGAAGAGAAAGCACGGGGAAGGTTGGGCACTGAGAGGGACACGGTTGGGTTTTAAGCTTGCAGATGGGCCTACAGGGTCATGACAGGGCCTGAACCTGCAATTATTGCCTTGAAATTGGTGTGACCCACTGTGCTGCGCTGGCAGACGGCCACTGGACACAGGTGCCCTGTTCGCGACCCCACCGCACTGTTTGAGGACGCAGTTATCCCTGTAGGTGGTCCTTCCCTAGTCACTGCCAAGCAAATCAACGTCAGTCCCCGCCCCCCCCTTTGATTGCTCTTTCCTCCCAACGTCCCACTCGAGCACCTCCCCTCGTGCTTCGCTGTCCATCACGAGCACCAACAGACACAGCAAGTCGGCCTCATCACGGCGCCTCCTCATACCAATATCGTCCCATCACCTTCTGTAAAGGAACACTAGATATGCACTCCCGTACGGGCTGTCACATTGGCCGCAGCAGAACGAGTCGCGAGGTGTGAGCTGGCTCTCGACGCCTGCAGCTATCATTCGTCTGTGCCCTCTCACCGACTCCTTCTCGTGTGCGTGGCTGGCTGGTCGTCAGCTTCACCTGCATTATCAAAAGGACCACATGCTCTGCTTCCAGCACTTCCGGGGTACAGAGCCGGGCGTGTAGGATACCTCCTCCAGCCATCCCCAGCCAGCCCCCAGCCAGTAGTCCGCGACAACACAGCAGTCAGGAAGGTATGCCACGACACTCAACTGGCCAGCATGCTTCATGCGAGGACAGCGCATCCATGCAGGCAGGCAGTCCAATTTCTTATCACGCCAAGGTTCGTGCATAAGTGCTCCACGCGCGGGACGCTCGGGGCGTCTCTCCCACCAGTCATTCGCGACCCTCATCCGGAATTGAGAGCAATCCGGTTCCATCGGCTCGAAATTTGGCCTGGGCGACGTACTCCATCTCTGATAAGCTCATGATTCGGTCGATTCCCTGCATGCCCAGAGAAAACTTGATAATATTTGAATGCTAACGCGGCTAGCGATGAGGTGGGGAGTCTCGGCGTCCTGGTGCTCAGACTTCTCGTGTTGATCCCAATAGCGAGGACCAAGTTTCACCTGGCTTGTTATTGTCCCTCTGCTCCAACAACGACGCTGGCAAACTGGGAAGCTGCGCAGAGCCCCCCACTGTTGGTGGGATCTGCCAAAAACCTCGAGATGAAAGCCTCACCGCTTCGGCTCGGGTATGAGCTGGCTGGTCCTTTGGTAACAGATCTCCAGTACTGTACAGCCTCGCTCTCACGATGACACAATCAGTGAGCCCGGCAACAGAAGGCGTCGAAATGGTTACCGTTTGGATTGGAATGCGTGCCATCTTTGTCGTGCAGCTCTTTCTTCTCTCAGTGCCTGTGCTAATAGACCTGCGTTCTTCCGGGACCTGCAGCGGTACCGCCTACAGAGCTGTTTCCTGGTGCTTTCTAATGTGAGCGATAGAATCGAGTCATCCCAGTCTTCGTGCCCAGGTCATGCATGGCCTTTGGATGCCCCCTCCCCTTTCTTTTCCTTTCTTTTCTTTTTTTATAGGGTTGAATGTTGTTTCCTCTTGTTATCCTCTTCTAATACCTCTGAATACCTGATGGATTGGCGTCGTGAAGTCATCTGAATTCCGGGCCCGACCTGACGCGGACTGCTGTGAAAAGCAAGTGTCAAAAGGACTGCTCGCCCTCATGGCTCGGCTGAGATGAACAGGACGACCCCGGGATGGCTCACGCAATTCTCGATACGCACAGCCTCCTCGGCTCCAGCTTATTAGTAGGGCAGTTCTGACACTGGCTAAGAAAATTCTCAAGTGCGCACAAGGGCACTTTGTAAACCTGGGCCGTCGTCATTGGGGGACGACATGTTCCGGGAACAGACCTTTCGTTGATGGCAATTGTCTTTCTGCCCTTTTTGTCTATGGAATTTTCATTCGAGTCTGCGCTTTCTACTGCTGGATCGGCCACCCACGGAGACATGGTAAATGCGGCCACACTTTTCAATCCATCAAACAACACAATGAGCGTCCGAAGGTGCAGTCTCCTTGAGTCTCGACCACAGATGGGCCTGATTCCATGCTGACCACATCAATTTCATCTTTGCTCTCGCAACCAGGTCTGACTTGGTGTGGAGGAAGAAACTCCGAGGAGAGGCGGATGGAAGGCGGCCGAATGGATAGTCTAACCAACGTGGTGAACATGAGGGGAAGCGAGGATTCAGCTCGTCTTGGGAAATGGGATCTGGGAAGAACGACTATCCTTTGGTTAAGTTATTGGAGCGGATATCACACGATTGGACTGACAGGAATCTAGGGCAAAGGCTTGGTTACAACGCACATGATCTCATGCAAATGCAATGGCTCCTTCCAAGACTGGCATTGATGTCAGCAAAGAAGACCACCAGAATCTACCAATTACTGTGTCCGCTGGCAGCGAAAGCAGCACAGTATTTACTAGCTCCTAAAGGAGTGCATGGTTTCCGAGACTGATTGGACCATCTAGACCTTCGATACGCGAGGTACCAAGAGCAGAAGCAACTTTCTGAGCAATATCATGAGCAATATTCTCGACACTGCAACGCAGACACCACTCAAAGACCCAACCTCAGCGATGCATGGCAGGCCTGAGGCCCAATCCAGAGCGTACATGGACCCGCTTGTCGTGACACCAACCGCGCCGCCACTTAATTTCTCACATCTCATGTGCGACATATTTCGAAATCCCGGATGCAGACGAGCTGAACGCAGGCACCCTGGAGGGGGAATGGGCTCGAACGGTGGCTGATTACTCGGGCGTCTGTCTCTAGAACCAGGACAGCTGGATGGTAAGAGGAGGTATTGATGCCCAACCTGCAAAGGGCTTTCAAATTGATCATTTGGTTGGTCCGCGAACATCCAAGTCAGACCGCCGCCTCTGGAGGTAAGCGCCTCTGCATCGCGAAGAGAAGACCTGCACGGCGATTGTATAATGGGCCTGGCAGGGTGAATGGCGTCGTGGAGCCACTGACGATCCCACAGGAATCGTCCAGCCTACAGTCTGAAGATTCGTGCCCGCGTGGTCTCCGTTGCGATGGTCAGCAGGAGGCCGAGATGCAACCCATCCGTCACTACTCTGCTGAACCGCGTAAAGCCCGTCAGGATACTACCTTAGCCTCCCACTCCCTGAGACCAAGCCGCTGGTGCAGCTGGCATCGTGCAGTCATGACCCCGTTCTTGCGCGCAGAGCGCAGAGAGGCAAGTGGCGGCAACAAGTCGCATTCTGTCAGATCAGAACACACCATTAGTCTGTCCGTAAGCGCGCCATGCCGGAGACTCAATGCCTCAGTCCGTCAGTGCCCGACGATTTAGCATTTGGGGAGGTTGCAGACGCATGCAGCAATTCGTCTAATCAGCGTCATTCCCCCCAAGCAGTCTGGCAATGGTTTCAGTGTTTCAAGAACCGACATAGAATAGATATATTTGTGTGGTGTTCTGACCCGGTGGTGCAGCTTGCGACAGCAACGACTCGGCCGAATCACCAAGGTGGCAGACATGGCACCAGAACAGGTACGAACAGCAACCGCGTGAAAAGTCATCAGACCCGACGTGTTGATAGCAGCATGGGCTTTCTGGACTGTCAATCCACTAGGCCGGTCAGATCTCACGACCATAAGCGAATTCCAAAGAAAAAGCAACGTTGAGAACAGTCGCATCACCCCTTCGCTTGCAATAAGTGGAATAAATGGACACCACCCTTCGTGGTTTTGCGGATGGAAGAAGTTGAGTCAGTCCATCTGCAGAGTGACCATCATTGATGACCGAGGCTGAGACCGAGCCGCCATGGCTTACTCAGGGTGTGCATTTGTGCATGCTGGTTTCTGCTTCATTTGCATACCTGGATACATCCCATCAGAATATACAAGACAGTGATCTTTTGCTGCTGTGTGCCATCCCGGCATATCGAGCCTATCACCGGCTTGCGCTTTGCACCTTAGGAGCCATGCCTTTTTTTTTTGTTCCTTTTTTAATTTATTTTTAACCACCCCCCCCCCCCTCTTCTTCCTCTTTTTCTTAGGGGGGTGAGATGACCACCTGCGGGTCTGGCATCAATGCTTTTCGTTGGGCTGCAGTTCTGCATATTTCACTGCCCAACGTAACCAGTGCGCTGTCACCATGCCCAAGCGACCTGGGGAGGCCCCTGCAAAACCTGGCATTCCTCCAGATCCCAACCTGGATACCACTTCCACCTTTGGGCCACATCGCAACGTCGCGTCGAGGCCCAACGGGTACCATCTTGTTCGCCCGCTGAAGCTGACAGCCCGGTGTCTGCTCGAGGGGGTAGGCTTGCTGCTCGTGAGCAGGAGAAAGTGCGGGGACTTACAGCCAGATGTGCTGGTCTGGGATCTCCCTGGAACCGAACCAGCTCTTCTGTCACATCTCACACGTTCAGACACGCAATCATCCTTGACACAGTTCAGGGTCGAGAAGAAGCAGCTGGCCGTCGTGTGTGGTACGGTACGGCAAAGCATGCTGGGGTTGCTTTCTCTGACACGCCCGACTTCTGGTTCTGTCGCCCGCCTCCACGGGAATTGCTTGCAGCTTGTGGCTCGATGGTGTAAGTCCGCTGTTCCTGGTCGTGTGTGGATCCTAGTGGCGACTTGAGGACATCGTGTCGATATTGTCTCCAGCCTTGATTCATCCTGCCGCCCAGCTCGTGAGGTAGTCTTCGGCCCTCATCTCGAGGTTCCTTTCTTGCCACTCGCCGAGAATAGATAAAATCAACCCCCCGGGACTCCGAATCTTTGTCGGCACATTTTGGTAAACTGGTTCACCGATCTGGACCCGTTCTGACCAGCCAAGGTCTGAGGAGAGAAAAAGAAAGAAGAACAAAGGCAGTCTGTCGCTTCTTAAGCATTCCGCTGCGAGAAACAGCTGCTTCACCGCATCATACCATTCCAGAGGACAACCCAAGGACGAAGGGCTTTTGTACGAGTCGCCGTCCGCTTCGAACCCGAGCGCATCACCGAAAGACACACATTTCCGAGACTAGGACCAACTGCAATAGCCGTGGATCTCCTGGTAACGGGACCAATACTGCCAGAGGACATCCAGGAGTAAAGCATTACTTGACCTGACAAAAAAACAAAACAAAAAAAAAGAAAAAAAAAGGACCTTCCTTGGACCATTTTTGCTTTGAGCACTCCAGTGGAATATCTTGGACTCGTGTGTGTGTGCCGCGGCCACATGCTTCCCCTTCTCTAGACTGACTGTTTATCTGCTTGTTTTTTTTTCTTCTTGTCCTGCTCGTGTTTTTCTCCCAGTGGCCGGTCCAGGTTTTCGTCCCTGTCTCGAACCAAATTTTTTTCTTTTCTTTTTTTCGTTGGATATCCGGATACCCGACCCGTGGACACGGAGTGGATTCTCAAGATGGCACAGCCGGAATATTCCTACAGGAGCTCCAAAGGACCTTGGGCGACACGAAGGTGCGGACTACGAGATGTGATCCCCTGCTACGGACTGCGCGCCCGCTAACTCTGAAGGTAAAGCCCGGTGGTATATCAGGAGCCATTCTCCAGCAGAGGAAGTTATGATAATGTTAATACATCATACAACAACCCGCAGAGGTAAGGGCAGAACAAGATTCATATGCAACCCCCCACCACCCCTGGAAAGTTGGGCGCCGATGATGACGATCCCCTGCGAAGTACAACGTACGGAGCGAGCATCTCAGCCTATAGTCTCCCGGGGAGCACCTCAGCAGCAGCAGCAATAACGACCAGTCATGGACGATCGGAGACGACCTATCCAACCGCCCAATCCTACAACTGCTCCTCCTCCGCCAGCAGCAGACCTCTGGCGGTGACATACGGGACCACAGGAACATTGTCACAAAAACAACAACAGGCACAACAACAACAACAAGCCTATGGGTCATTCAAGAGCTCCAGCCCTCCAAACTGGGATTCGCAAGGACGATATTCGCCAGTAGACCCGATGGATGACCTCATGGCTTCCCCAAGCCTCTCAGACTACTCGATGGGCGAGAGCACCGGGACCACCCCGCCGGGCAAGCACAAGACATCCTCCAACGGCAAGCGCTCGCAGCGGAGACCTTCCAATCGCGACGAGTTCGACGGCCCGCATCAGTTTCTCCAGCGGCCCCCGCCAGAATACATCGCGATGCAGGAGCGGGAACTGCCCCATCTGCCCACCAACCTGCTCGTGCAGGAACAGGACAGCGTGCTTTCGCAGGTTAATGACCGCCTGTCGCAGTGTGCGTACGACTTCGTCGCCAAGTATCAGTTCCCAATCCCCCTCACCCAGGACATGCGGCCCGTTGAGCGCCCCCACGACCGTGAGTGGACAGAGTGGGTGTACCTGCTCAAGCGGCTAGCGACCAAGAGACGGATCCCAGCGCGGGTCCTGTACAACGGCCAGATCAAGCAGTTTGTCACGATCCTCGAGAACAGCCTGGAAATGAGGCACGCCGCCAAACACCAGAGCCGGCCCCTCAAGGACGACAGGAACATCCTGCAGCTGATCAGCGCCGGGATCCAGGTTGCAAAGATACTAAAGGATGCCCAGGCCATGGACTACCTGGACAGGCTGTACATCTCCACCGAACAGCAGATACAGGAGAGGGCCAAGGCTGCCGCCATGAGATTCAACCGGGTCTGACGAGTAAGACAAAAAGAGAAGAAGAAAAGGGTTTTTTACCACCCTTACCTACCTGGCCACCTCTGGACAAAACCAGGGCCTGGTGATGGGAAGAGTCGGCGTGACTTTGACTCACGACGCTTGAATATCTTTTCCACCAACGGTGCTTCCATTCAATTCGATTTGAATATATACTCACCGAATACGTTGCAGTTGCCAAACAAGAGAAAAAGACGTCTCCAGCACAGGTCTTGCGGAGACAAAAGGACGGCGCCATTGGGTATTGCCACCGGCCGAGGCCAAATAAGGCTGAGGGTTACCTTTGTTGTATGAAATACGGGACAACGAACCACAGATCTTGAAACGTTTCAGCGTAAATAAAAGGGTTCAGCAAAGGAGCAGGAGGGGTATGGGAATGGGAAAAAGGGGAAAGACAAAAACAAAGAGAGAGAGAATGTGAGAGAGGAGGGAGGGGGTACGACGACGAAGCTTCGTGCTTCTATTGTTGTCGGGCACCCTCTCTTTATAATCCTTTTTTGGGCATGACTGGACGACACAAACAACTCTTCTTGCTTACCTGGATTATTGTTTTCTCACGAATCGGCACGATCCGAGGGTAACAGAGGGAGGGAGGGAGGGAGGGAGGGGGAGGTTGGGCTGGAAGGCTGTTTCTGCTGGGCGCGTCACCGTCATCCCACCACATCTTTTTGCCCTATATTGTTCTTTTCCTTTCTCATTCTCTTTCTTTCATAATTTTCCTTTCTCTGTTTCCTCTATTTATCTTTGTCGTTAACGTAGTCTTTAGTCAGTCATCATGTGGCCTTCTCGATTTGTTTTCCTTCTCTCTTAAGAAAACTCAAGCGCCACTCGTGTAAAATTATTCCCTCCTTGTACCGAAGGAGCTAGGTACTCAGCTGCTCTGAATCGATATGACATGATGGCTGTCTGCATGCTGCCAACCAGTCAAGTCATCTGCCGCCTCGTTTTTTTCTTTCTGATGATGATGATACGTGTGAGAAGGGATTAGATATGTGACGGCGGGGTCATTTACATGCATGGGACTAAGAACGTAAGGCTGGCGCTGCCCAGCTCACCTTCGGTAATGGCACGGAAGCGTGGGGTCATCACGATCAAGTGTTGTCGTGGCAGCCCAAAGTATCTGCCGTGACGCAGTTTCTTCCTTTTTTCATCTTCCTCCTTCTCCTTCTCTTTCTTTCTCTCCTTCACCTAATCATGCAAGAATCCGTTTTTGGTTTAGAGAAAGGAGGAGAAAGAAAGAAAGAAAAAGTCTCGTTGGGGCGAGCGAGGGAGCAAGCCTTCTTTCCCTGACATTCTGCCTCTCGACCACAACTACCATGACGCCAATGACCCTTGTCGTACGAGATGACGGCTGGTCGGTGTCGCACACAGCCTGCACGAAATGCCCAAAACTGCCCAGTCGTGTTCTACAGCCACAAAGTTTTTGCTGTGGGAGGTTTGTCTGTTTGCATAGACTTTGATCATTCCATTTCATGTTGTCGTGGTACAGAAGACAGTGAGCCAGTTTGGAGGGGGGTCCATTTGGTGGTGAGAGGATTGTGGGGGCGGGGTTGTCAGGGTTTCCACGTCAGGGTTATTTACTTGTTGAGGAGTATCTCCTCTTTGCAAATCTCTCTGCAAATCTCTCTGCCTCCTTGTCTGCCTCTTGTCATCTCGTGGTAACCTTGTGATGAAGCCTTACTAGCGCTCGTATTCTACCCTTTGGTGGTGTCTGCCTAGAGAGGTGGCTAGCCCTGAGGCCGCCTTTTCAGGGTATGTGGTGTCAGTGTCAGTATTAGTTGTCACGCTGCTAAGAGCCGAATCGGACCCCAAAACACTGTACAGAAGCTTGTGTCGTGCGTGGCATGTACAGCTCTGTAGACTGATTGAATGGACATGTTCACTGAAATGCGGTACAAATCAGAGCAATAGCCAGGTCCACGTTGTTGTGGTGTCATGTCTGTTCTGCAACACAATCAATCCATTCATCCCGGAGTAACTCAAGCCAACCACCACACCATGCCCCAATGAAACGCGGTTCATTCTTCTTTCTCACCCCCCTAAGAAGGCTACTTTTGCTTGGAGCGGCCTTGTTGCAGGCCCAGGATCCCTGTTTCGCCGTCGGTCGACCCAGCATCCCAATCGGGTCCCGCCTCGGTGGCCTATGAAGACGTGATTGGCTGGAGAGGACCCCAACACCCTTGCTGTCGGTCCCCAAAACAGTCAAGTGCCGTTTGTCTTTCCTTATTCTCAAGTCGAGGAAGGGGGGAGGGGGCTCAGCGGCGACATTTCCTCTGGAAAGAGAGCAAGAACGTGGGAGGAAGGATGGAAGTAGTGATGCGCTGCACTGCGCTGTACTGTCGGGCGCGACTTCGTCTTAATACGTGACCGACGTTCCCAAAAACTTTCTTCTACCCCTGAGTACATTTGTTCTGCTCCTTCTCTTTCCCCTCTGCCTGGTGATTGATTGCTTCTTGTTCTTCTCGTAGATCTGTAGTGGACGACACAGCCTTCAGTCTTCTCCCCTCCCTCTCTCCTCCTTCATCCCAAAGAGCAATGTGCCAACAGCAACAGGCACTCTCCCGAGAATTGAGCGAATTAATGCAAGCAAGCAGTCAACTCCAGGCGACGACGACGAGGACCTTCTGTCTACCCACGATTACACAAAAGACGGCGTGATCCCAGGCGGGCCATTTCTCCACGTTTCGCCTCCATCATCTGCCGAGGCGGCTTCCCGCAGCGACTCGAGGCTAGGGACTTGGTTCTGTGCAGCGCTGGGACAGGCCAGGGCTCACAAACAAGACGCTGGGAAAGAAGGGGCTTTCGGCGGCTCCAATATACATCAATTGGTCAGGTGTTTGGCTGCCTGCCTGATTTGCTGGCGCTCGCTACTGCGTGCCGGCTGCAGTGGGTGCGTGCATACGTGCAGGAGGGGCAACCTACATAAGGAGCTTGGACTAAGGCGTCGACGGGTCCGAGGTTGTACGGGGACAAATCTAGGAAAGACGAGAAGAAAGTGTAAACCTCGACGTGGACAGGATTACAAGAGAAAAGGAAAAAGAAGAAAAGAGCGAAAAACAGAGGGGAAGAGAGAGAGAGAGAGGGAGAGAGAGAGAGAGAGAGAAAGAAGATCCACGAGTCTGATAACTTGAAAGAGGCGCCACATTGTCCTGATTCAGTCAGTCTCGGTTGGATCGGCATTCATCCTCTGATCGCGAAACTGGCATCCAACGAGAACCAACAGCCCCCTCCGCTGGATCAGCGGAGAGGCCAAGAACTCACTGGGCACTCTGGACATAGCACAACAACACCTCCTCCCCATCAACAATACCACCAACAACAACGACAACAGGACGCACTCATGGCGACTGTCATTTCTTCCGGGACCTCTCCGGCCTCGCGCTTCTCAATACCGCTGGACGAGGATGAGGAGTCGCAGTCATGGAGGTTCATCGAGTCCCTCAGCGCTGACACCGGTTCCTTCGATAGCGGCTCCGGTGAGCTCGTGTTCCCCGCCGCCAGCCCTTCCATCGTGAGCCAGGGCTCGTGGAATATTGTCCACAACAATGGTGGCCAGCAGCAGCAGCAAATGAGAGCTCTTACCACACCGTCACCCGTCATGTCTCAGAATGCCCATGCATTGTCAACTTCGCCCTTCTCTGGAGCCGCCGCCGCGTTTGGGCCCATGTCGACGGCTAACCTCGACAACAACAATAATAGCAATAGCAGCAGCCTTGTCTTTGACTTCTCCCACCTGCCCATGGACGCCACCCAGCAGCAGGCTTCTCAGCAGCAGCAGTTCGTCGTTACTGAGGCGCTCCTCAACGAACAGGCGGCGGCCCTTGCACCCCAGAACTTCGTCTTCACCCCACAGGATATGATGGTCTCTGGTTTTCACGCCGGCTTTGATGCCGTGTCGATGATCACCAATGACGCCTTCTCCACTCTGGAGCACCAGCACCAGCACCACACCCAATTCACACAGCAGCTGGATATCCCAGTGTCGATGCAGGGCACTGCAAATGTGCAACCGTGGGACCCAACAGCCGTGCCCCAGACCAAGACCTTTGTCTCGGAGCAGTTCACCACCCCACCACCGAGGTCAGACGGCTCGTCTATCTCGCTCAGCCCGAGGAGCCCGGCCTCGCCTCCTGTGAAAAAGGAACCACGCAGCGGCGGCAGTACTATCAAAAGCAAGAGGAACAACACGCAGGCCATCCAGAGCATCCCCAAGAAGTCTGCCGGTATTCAGAAAACGCAGAAGAAGAAGGCGTCGACATCGCCCCGCTCGTCGTCGTCGTCGTCGTCGTCGTCGTCGTCGTCGGCTTCTGACGGCTCAGACAGCCGGTTCAAGGAAGGCGTGCTCATGTTTTGCAACCAGACGGTCGAGACGTGGGGCAAGCCCAACTTTGCCGACCTGGAGAACATCGAGCGATCGTCGCAGAAGGGCCGCAAGGGCGCATTGTCGGAGGAGGTACGGGCCAACGCGCTCAAGGTCCGCCAAACGGGTGCGTGCTTCTGTTGTCATATTCGCAAGGTCAAGTGCGACCAGCAGCGGCCCTGCAAGAACTGTGTCAAGCTGTGCGCCCAGGTGCCTGAGGCCGTATGCTGGAAATTCCCCGACTTCAACGAGATCCTCTTCCCAGAAATGATGCGGAGCCACCTACGGCGCGACGAGACAGCCCGATTCATCGAAGAGAATGTCGCCTCTTTCACCATGGACGGCGTCGAGACCCCCTGCAGGGTTACGCTATCGTCGGGGCCGAGCATCGGGGCCAAGCTCGTCCTCGTGGCTAAGTTCTTCACCGCCCGGCACCCCGACTCCGATATCAATCGCCACTGGTTTCACTTTGTGGACAAGGACAGTCATTGCGTCGAGCTCGAGGCGCTGCGGTCCGCGCCCATTGGCCTCGATATCGCCGATGGCGCCGCCGGTGGATCGCAGAGGAGCGAGCTTCGGCGCAAGGTCGAGGCGTACGTCGACGCACTGGCCGCGGACCCGGGCTACGGGCAGCAGGTGACAGACTCGATGTATAGATCATTTGTCCCGCGCAGGGTCCTGGCTCTCGTCCAACAGTATGCCGCACAGTCGGGCGCGCCCATTGTGCGTAGGGCGCTGGCCATCTACGGCATGCATTACATCATGACGCGCCACCTGACCATGACGCCCCAATGCATCGCGAGCCTGCGCCAGGTCAACCCGGTGTCGGCCACAGGTGGTTTCCTCACCCCCCGTCTGTTGAACCGCCAGATCAAGTCCGTCATCGACGACCTCATGCAGCAGGAGGTCAACGCCTTGTTCGACGACCTCACCAAGCGTCTAAAGGGCAAGAGCCGCATCCAGTGGGCCCCATGCCTCGCCGCTTTCCTTGTGTTTTGTCTGCTGATGGAGGCCATCGAGGCCGCCGCTGACGCCTTTGTCGTCACTGACGACGAGATCGAAATCCGGAACAAGCGACCCATCCGCTTCGGACCGCGGTACGCCTTCCAGATCAACGACAGCATCGAGAACATGCCTTTCAAGCAATTCGCTTTTCAATTTCATAACATCTACCAGACACACTCGCGGGACGCCTCGGCCAAGTCTTTCAATCCGCTATTCGGCGAGGGGCTTAATGACCTGGGGGATCTGGACCCTGGGGCGTTGGAGATGGTGCTCGGGTTGAGAAATCTCATGGAGTGTCATTGTGAGTACCCCCTTAGGACATGTTTCATATATATATATATATACATATATTCCAGAGAGAGACCTCGACGGCCTTGAAGAAGCTAACCTTGTTTGCAGGGAATGAGATGGACTGGCTCACCTGCGACCCGATCCTGCCCAGCACTGGGGGTCACACATACCCCATGGACTCACAGGATCAGTACATCGGCCGTCTCGTGTCCAAGTTCCTGCTCTCCTTTGAGCGCCCGAGCTACATCTTTGCTTCTGTCTAGTCGCGTCGCTTCCTATGCAAGCCTGCTTCTTGAATGTGTCATGGTGTGACGAAGTGATTCCAATTATCTTAGTGTTGTGGGAACATGGGATGGGCGATATGTCACAGTGATGATGATGAAAGTCACACAAAACTTTGGGACATAGTATAATGACCAATAGGCGCTGGGAGATGATTTTTTTATTTTTTTTTTGGATGATGGTTGTATTAAACAAGGCTATTCTCACTTGGAAAGAGTATCATCACTCTCTACGTTGGTTAGACAGAGAGAGAAGGAGTAGGGCGGCCTGCAAAGTGTGTAAATCTAGGTTCTACGAATTTAGTAGTATGTAGGCAAATGCCATGGTTTTCCCCAGCCTCATAGATCGACGATCTCGGCGAACGGTGTGGAATATGGCGTCTTCTAGAGAAGAGGGGAGGGCAAGGCTCAAGCCGAAGCGAACCCTGCACTCCCCCAACAACCCCGAATGATCTAGGACCTGTCGATTGGAAGATTGACATCATGGGGATTTGATGGCTCCTTGAACAAAATCGAACTGCCGCAGCAATCAACCCTGAATTCGCCAGAGCGAACAGAGGATCGCTGGGCACAGATCCATATGTGTATGTGTGTGGACACGCATGTGTCAGCGTTTGACATTGTATACTCCCTTCCTCCTCTACCCACCTGGCTCCCCGTCGACCGTGGTCGAACGCGGCACCTCGAGATGGAAATGACAGCGCCTTGGTAAGACAGAAAACAGAAAAGAACAGAAAGCCGTCTTCTCCTCACGAGACGCAGCGCTGACCCAAAGTGCAGTCGTTTTGGCCTGTCTGGTTCGACTGATGTTTGAGGGAACAGAAGGGGGCGGCTGTATAATGCCTGCTGACCGCGTCAATAAAGATGTATGTCCGTTTTAGTCCCACTGATGCACTTGGATCTACACCAGCAGGGTGGATAGGACGGGCTGTCTAGGCCCTGGTTTTGTTCTCCCACGAGACCAATGAAAGAAGTAGCCGTCTTGTGCATAGGGAGAGACACCGCGGCAGGCATTTTGTGGTTGGTAATGACGACGTAGTAGAGAAGAAGGAGAAGAAGAGAAGAGAATAGGTGCGCATCATCTTCGTTGAAGAAGATGGAGGAGGGAACAGGGAATGAAGAGAAGATGTGAGCGAGGGGACAGGACCATGATTCTGGTTTCCTGCCCCAAATCTGTTCACCGTCGTGACAAAAGGTTCCCAAACCTATGGCAGTACGACCTGAGAAAATGTGATTTTGCACATCCAGCCGTGCTCTGAGCCCATAAAACTCGGTGCGCGCGACGCAACAGCTTCTTGCGAAAGCTGTTGGTGGTTGCTGCCGAGAGTTTGGTAGAGAAAAGAAACTTCAGGTCGCAGGTTTCTCAGGTTGCAGGTTTTTGAAGGCAGAAAATTTACGCGACAGGACATGGAAGTTACGTTAGACGTGGATGCAGGGGGACCGCCTGCCCAATCATGCAGCGCTGTCCGGATTAAGTGTGTGCCGTGGCTCCGGCCCCGCCCTGCGCGCTCCGAGTTCCGACCTCATACAACCTTAGCGCCTCTCGGGGCCCGCGATGGCTTCTCTTGTTTTCTCTTCTTCTTTTCATACACTTTTTAAAAACGCAGGACTAATCAACCGATTTTGACTCACCACCTCGATATACGGTCATATTTACCTGCCAGAATATAATTGGGGATCTTCGCTCGTCAACACTGCAACTTTGCAGGACCCGCAACGGCCTTCGACTTTTGCTGTGCGGGGAGGCGGGTTTTCCCCCGACATACGAGCAGTTGAGTCGGCATTGGAGCAGCAGCTGGAGGAGTAAGTGCTGTCGAGACGCAGCAAGTTCTTTTTGTCTCCCTGATGATTTCACCAAAGACTCACGTCGGCGCTATCGGGACTATCTCTGCTGTTCCCGATCGTCCGTAAATTTCGCCGCAACCTTATGCAACCTTTCTTCGATCCTCTCTCTCTTGACCGGTACTCGCGATGGAGCGCTTCGCCCCTTGCCCTACTTTGGACGGCATCTCGAAACTTTCGAGCCTCCTATTGGTGCCCCCGACCTATCATGTTGTCCAACTCTTGGTTTAGGTGTCAGATCCTAATGTCGTGCAACTTGATGTGCACAATTTTAGCTATTGTGTATACTTTCTTCTCAAGGCTTACCCCTGGGGAAAACCCGTTCCATGCCGCTATTGACTTCATCTCCCAGGCCGCTGCTCGCACACGACAGCAGCCACCCCCTGGCATCAACGACAGGGTCATGGCTCTCGAGGCTGGCGGATCAACATACACCTTGGGCAGTAAGCGGTGCCACAGCCGGGATCCTTGAGCTCTCGAGATGCTCTTCCAGTGGTCTCAACGTGGCGACGCTCCGTTGACCGGCTCAAAAAGTGTGGCAGTCCCACGAGGGCTTGTTTTTTGTTTCCCCCTTCATATCTTGCTGGCTTCCGTGTCATCGCCGTTTCTCCCGAAAGTCGTCAGATAGGTTTGCAACCATCACGGCCTTTACCAATGAGCTCCCGCTCGCCCATCCTCGTGATGATCTTTGTGAACCCGCTAAAGCTTGACCATCAGCTCGGTTGTTTCGCAACGCGGGATGTCTTCACGGACATGACACTTTCTTGGCTGTCAACGAGTTCCCATAGGACGGCGACGTGCAACACTCGATCGCCCTCCCAAGAAAGAAGATGGGATCATCGCAGAGACACGGCGTGCTGGCAGACTACGTATCATTTGTTCTCGTATTGACGGCTCACGTCTATAAATTGGATCTTGACCCCTTGATGAGAGATGGATCTGGATGATGCCTTTATGCCCAAAGCAAAGACACAACGACCGAAAGTCATATCACAGTCACTTCACTTCCTGTTGCACTGCTCACTTTATCAGCCGCACACACTATCGTCCGCAACGCCATAACTCTCAGGCACGCTTCTCACGCTCAGGGGGGGACTTATACACCTGGCGCATCAGTTACCCACACGATTTTGCCCCGCAAGAGCTGCAGAACTTGTTATTGCCCTGCTCTGTCGTGTGCGTGCTGCCAAAAATGATGGGATCTTCCCCTTCTCCTGTTCTCCTCGCCGCAGGCACAGGCAACGAGAAGCCAGACACGAAGCCGCAACCTCGTGACCCAAGTAAGTACTTTGATCACATGAGTATATATGGCAGGGCAGACTGCAAGTAGAGAGAAGACGCACGCATCGTGACGTACTCTGGCAACCACACTGCTCTACAATGTCTGGCGGAGACTGCCGATCTCTTTGGCCCTGGAGCACCCCGTGAACCGGCGATTCAGCCAAGCTGACCACATGTCTTATCAATCAGCTCTCGGGCGCTGAGGTGCTGTCTCTGGAAGGGTGGCCGCCAAGGTGGTGACCGGTGAAAAGGACCACGTGGGGTCTTTCCTTTTCTCCTTTTTTTCTCTTTCTTTTTCCAAGGTACACTTCAGGTACAGCTCGGCTGTGGCTTGCCATGTTGCCCTGGCAGACGCCAGATTCAGTAGACGTGTCGTATTTTCGAACTTCCGGGCCTGCATGAGAAGGAGGGGGGGCGCGGGCTTCACATGGTTTCATGTTGCGCTTGGTTCCGCACACGTGTACCCTGTTGGTTATCAGTGTTTCGCTTACTCTATTTTTTGTCGTCATCCTTTTATGCCCTGTTTTCCCTTGTTTGTTTCGAGAAAATACGTATGCTGCATGACCTGGTCTTCCTCTCTCCCTTTTTCCTTTTTCCCAACCAGCGAAAAAAACAGAGCTATTATTATTCAATAGAGGATTTATCCAATCCAATACCCCGAAAGGACTTGGTGTTACTACCTTCTGGCGTCCTTGGCCTTTTGTTGCCCCCCCCCCCCCCCCAGCTCTGCCTTGCTTCGGCTTGTTCGGTCAAATCAGGCAGACCAATAATCTGGCTGAATAGTCGACAATGCATCGTCTGCTTACTTACCCAAGGGATCTGCCAATTGGCGAGTCACTCCTCTTCCAATCCCACCCCCAGACGTGCTGCTCGTCCCTGGCGATACGTTGCTCCGGTACCACATGACCACGGACTGAACGGCCACCCAGACTAACCTCGCCGACCACAATACCCAGTGGTCCTCGCCCGTTGTCTGCTTCACCGCCACTCGGTAGGTTCGTCGTGGTACCATCATCATCCTGCCTATTGAGAGTCAAGCTGCAATTTCGAAGACGAGCCTGACAACCACGGATAAGAGGGGAAGATTCCTCGCGGGTGAGGAGGAGGTTGTCAGCGGGAGGACCCTGCTGCGTAAGCGGCCCCTCCTGGTCGTACTTTGTTAGCAACCTGGTACGAAGTACTATGGTACATGTAGGCCCCGGTTACGGTACCCATTTCATCTCATCCTGTCGGGTTCACAAACGCCAGGGGGAAGGGGGCGGGGTGCGGGTTGGACAATGGGGTACGGAACCCGGCGAACCCCATTGTACTGCAATGGTGAGCTCTCTTCTCGGGCCGCAGCGGCGGTTTTCCTTGCCATGTATGAGGGAGGAGAAGGAAAGAGGAGGGAAAAGAGATCTATTAATGGTTACAGACCTGAAAGTCTTCTGGCGTTGCGCCACGTAGCTGCCACCTCAGAGACTGGGGGTGTATGGGCTGCTCGCGCGACAAATACTCTTGTTCCTCCTCGCCGCCGCCGCCGCCGCCGCCGCCTCTTGGCGTGGAACTGCAGCTATCTCGGCCCTGCGGCCAGGACATCTCCGGTAGGGGGTTGGCGACCGTGCCGAAATATCCGCCTCGCGACATGGCCTCGTCGTCGTCGTCGTTCATCTCATTTTCTTCTTCATCGTCCTCTTCTCCTTCTCGTACTTTTCCTTCTTTTTCTTCGTCATCTTCGTCACTCCGTTGCGTCACCTTTTCCAAGATGCCATTGACGCCAACATTTTTCTTATGCTCCAGTGCAAGACGCGCGCTCTCGGAGTCGATCTCGCCGCCGTCTGGCAACCGCAGCCCTGAGTGGAGAATGTGCTGGACATCAGCAGCAGCGACCGCCTCGGGGACACAAATCCCATGCGGCCATTCGACAATGTGCTTCCTGAAGACGAGGCAGTACAAGCGGCGACAGAATTCCTGCCTGAAGGGCAAGGGTATGTCTGAGAGAACACGCGTGTAGCCGCTGGCCTGTTCGAGCATGGGCGGGCTGGCGACGAGCCGCGCGAGAATCCTGTCGCCGAAGACACGCAGGACCAGATGGTCGGTGAGGTCGTCGTCGTCGTCGTCGGCGGCGGCGGCGGCGCCACCTTGATGGTGCTTTTCGAGGAAGAGGTGAAGTTTCGCGCGCAGACGGTCCTCCGTGTTGACTCTTACGAGAACGTGGACGTACCACATGTAGCTTGTGACCTTGTCGGTTGCCAAGCTGGCGCTAAAGGGTGTCGGGTTGGCTGGGGAGCCTGTTCCTGTGAGGTCCTGAAGTGGTGCGCGCATCTTCGGAGGGGCGGTCGTGTTTGTTTCCCAATTTTCTTTTTCTTTTTCCTTGTTTCCTGGTTGGAATTGTGGTTGGTGAGAACTCAAGAGCAGGCTTTACAATCCTCTTGAGAGAGAAAGATTGGAGCGCCAATTTCTAGGGTTGGCAACTTTCACTCCTGAAAATATCATGACTGTGACTCAGGTCCTTGTCAAGGAGCAAGTGCAGCTCCTGTGTTTGGTGAGGAAGTGATGGCACCTATCAGGTAATCGTTGTGGCGGACTCAAAGGGAAGGGGAAAGGGCAAACCAACGGGCTGAAACAAGGTGATTGTCATGTCAGGTGTAAGCTTCTGCTTGGTGATGGCTGTGTGAGGTGGGCAGGGTGATGAGCAGTTCTCTCCTTCTCCCTTCCTCTCGCCTCGGTGTACTATTTGCCATGGCGCTCTTGATGTGGTGACGAGTCACTACTGGCACAGGGTCATGAAGTCATGCTTTCGCAATACGGTAATGGCACTCAAGACTAAATTGGCTTTCCAGCACCTTCATCCAAGTCAGACGGCAAGGCCTTTCGGAATCCCATGGGCCGCTCCTCCCGTCACAGCATGGCCGCCCAAGCCACGATCTTGTTGTGGGGTTAAGAGCCTTGCCATTTGAGGGTCACACGAGGAAGGCTTCACGGTCAATACCTACATCCGGGCCCCTCCCCATTCTCCTTCCTCTCCTCCATTCCAGCTGACCTTTGAACGTTTTCGATGATATTTCAGCTCGCCTGCTTTCAATGTTTTGGGAGCCATCATGAGAGCTTGTTTATTTTACAAAGTGCCATCAATGATTCATGTTCTTACCCCTTGTAAGAAGAAACATGGGATTTTCATTCTGATTATGATTCTTTCTCTCTTCTCTTCCTCTCCGTTGACCTGCTGCCATGTCTTATCATTTCAGATTGAGAAGGAGAATGCTGTCGGTGTGCCCTTTCCTATTAGATCATCTATCCGCTATATTCATGACAACGTCATCAGTTCTCGACCAAAAAGAAAGCATGCACGATGGCAAAAGCAATGCTATCGCTCTTTCTCAAAACGTTTATTCCGAGACGGAAGTGGCTCTGAAGAGTGCAATGTTTACATATAAATAATACGTCTACGGCTCAGCTGATTCTCTTTTTCCCTTGACCAAACTCGACAGATAACAACAACAAGAACAAGAACAACAACAACAACAACAACAACAACAACAACAACAACAACATGGTCCGAGGGGCCATGGAGATGCTGGGCCCCTTCGGTAGGCCCATTTGTTTGATCTCGTCTTTTGTCCCCACTATTCTACCGTCACTCCTGCTAACAATTTGAGTAATCAGGGGGCGGAGTCGTCCAGAGCCTGGTCGGCTCGTTTATTTTCGTGGCCATTAGGCCGCTCATTGTCGTGCTGCTCTGGTGCGGCATTTGGGTGTGCTGGGCGTTGGTGGCGTGGCGGGCGGCAAGGCTGACGGCCTTGTCGCTGATGTGCAAAGAAGAAGCAATTATCGCTACCAAGGGCAGTCAAAACGGACAAGGCGAAAAGCATGGGCAGCGCTGTGTCTCCAACTCTGCCTTGACAGACAAGGAACCGAGCTCTCCAAAATCCGACCTCCCGCTCCTCGTCTTGATCCCAGCCTCCCCCAATCGCTGAACATACTCTTCTTATTGTCACTCCTTTCCCCCCTTCCCTCATCTGACATCATCAATAGTCTTCGATTCTCGTCTCTGGTCATCCATTTTTGCTGGACAATTGTTGTCCGTCACTCATCGTCCGTCACTCGTCTGTTACTTACTTTTCCCTGCTATTGTCTATAGAAATATAACGTCCAGCCCCCACCGCTGATGTTCGAGTTTCGAGGATTAGGTGAACCAAATTCTTGGTAAGCCTTCGCCAGTGAGATTCATGGCGTCTCGGTCCTACTGACGGGCAGGAAATCCAACAAGATACTGCGAGAACTTTTCTGCTAGGCAGACGGGATTTCAGAGTCGGATCTGCTTCCACCAGTCTCAGCCACAACATACAGCTCAGACAAGCCCTGCTCAAGCCCTGCCTTCGACCATTTGCTAGGCCACTCTCAACCTTGGCAGCAGACATCTTGCCAGCACTCGAGATACGAAAGCCCTCGCACCTCGGAAAAAGATGGACATCCAACACCGCTAAGATTTTGTCGATTTCTCGTAGCTTGGCGGAAAGGCCTCCGTGGCCTCATAGCGTGGTGGTGACGGAGCAGAAGTAGTTGTAATATAATTATCGACAAGTTTCGAAGCCTCCCCGGTCTTGCAGTGCACATGATCGGATCCTGACTCTTCGTCAAGGTCTTTGGACGGTACTGTGATCTCAATGTGGTGCTCCATGGCCAGACTCCTCGCAGTAGCGAGGAGCACTTCTCGCTGCTCCTCTGATCCGACGTACTTGGGAATCAGCAGGTTTGCATCGACAGACAGCTTGCGCCTCAATCGATCCGATCCCTTTGTCGGTACCTCCAAAATCATCTCTTGGAGCACTCCTGTGTATCCGGTCAGGCCTCGATTGTACTCCTCATCCGTGAGCTTGCGACGCCGAGTGTAGAACCAGTAGAGCATGGTTGAAATGTCGGCGGATAACTGGGCCGAAGCAAAAGGAGTGAGAGTATTGATGGCATCAATCAGCCACAGACACTGTAGCTGTGAAGGCAACACGCCCCAGTCGCACTGAGCGGCAAGTTTGACAATGTCCCTGCAGAAGGCATGCAATTGGGGTCGTATGCTTCTCTGAAATAGACTCCCAGGCGTACAAGAGCCCTCGGAGCGGAGAGGCTGCTCGCCGAGACCATAATCGACAAGCAGCATATGTTCGAGGACGGGCTGGAGCGCAGCGCGTCCAATTTTGCCACTTCCCAGGAGATAATCACAACACGGGTCGAGCAGGAAGGGGTTGCGCAGAATCGGATCCGGGGCGCCGCAACACTGCGTATCGAGAAGTATGGCGGCCGCCGCGGCGAGGAGCAATCTGCGTCCGCGACCAACCTCTTTGAACCAGTCCAGTGGTGTTTCGCGGTACCAGGGATCCCAGGCCCGAGGGCGTGACAGTGCTGTGCGCATCTTCCGCAGTGTGCGCTCCCACTCTGGCGTGGGTACCATGGGCCGTCTCATCAGGGCGGCATATTCAGGCCTCTCTGGGTGGAGAGTCTGGGCGTGGGATTCTGCGTGCCAGGAGGCCATGCAGAGGCCGTGGACTTTCTGGAGCTCGGTGTCAAGGCCTGGGATTGGGGTTGGAAAGGCAGGGGGTTGGGGTCTGGATTCTAAGTTGCCCATTTTGTTTTAGACGGGGACTGTTTTCTTCCTTCAAGAAAAGTAAAAAGTAGTACTTTGATGAGCGAGCACGGAACTCTTCTGTAGTGGTGAGGAGGAGGAGGAGGAGGAGCAAGGGGTGGAAAGGAATAGCCTGGAGCTCAGTCTTCCGTGGAAGGATTGTTTGCTTTTTGGTAGCTTGTGCTTTGGAAATTGACCTGATAACCGGTAATCTCAAGATATTTGTTGGTTAACAATTGCGTTACTGTAAAGGAAGCCTAGGAGGAAGGGCTTCTTAAGAAGTGGCAAGTTGGGACAGCTTATGAGTGGGGGAGGGCGGGAGTCCCTCTCAAATACTGCGACTGTTTTCAGGACTCATGGATCGTAAAACTACTGACAGCCAGCTAGTAAGAGACAAGGCACGTAAAGATCTAAGGAGGGTATTGTGGTATAAGTACTGCGCATGACTCAAGGCCCGGTGCAATGCTATAGAGGCGATCGCCGCTTGACCTGTTTGTAGCGCGGACTAGCAGCCTACTAAGAAGACCAGGCAGCTCTCTGCAGGTCGAGCATGATGGAAAATCAGGCAAAGATCGTCGACGAAGGGTTTCAAGGTCAAAATACGGGAGTCATATGTCATTATCCAGGTCAACACCACCTCGGCAGTTATAGGCCTCATAGAAATTCGAGGTTGAAAAACAATCGGCTGCCTCCTAGTGGAGCGATATTGCCGTTAACCGTGTCTGCAAAATGTCCAGTTCCAACAACACGCCCTGCACACCCCCATCACTTTCCGCCTCCTCCTTCTTCAGGCCATCCTCAAGCCGTCTCGCAGCGGCCAGCAAAGGCTCGACATACCTCTGCTCGACGGCCGCGCCCATCGCCTCGGGCACAACCTCCTTGCACACGTCCGATGAGAACAGGAAATACGCAAAATTGGCGGCCTGCAGCAGAAACGCCGAGTTCTCGGTCCAGTATTCGAGCAGGGCCTCGGGGCCTGCCTTTTCGAGCGTCTCCACCAAGTTTGGAAAGATGTGGTACTGCAGCTGCTCGATGCACTGTGTGGTCGAAAAGACGCTGGTGGTCGAGCTGGCCTTGTTTGCAGCGATGAGCTCCTCGCGCAGCCAAGTCAGGGCGCAGGCCTTGAGGGAGGCAAAAACGCAGTTCTCGAGGAGGTCCTCGAGGATCTTGAGACGATGTGCGTCGTCTGGGTCGTCGTGCAAGACGAGCCCGGCGAGTGTGACGGCGGCGTTGCGGACGTAGATGGAAGGGTGGAAGACGGCACAGAGGGTGAGGGCGTGGTGGTAGGACATGAACTTGGTCTCTGTGCTGGGGGCGGCGATGAGCTTGTCCTCTTGGAGCCATAGGCCGAGGACGAGGATGGCCTCGACGCTGGCGGGGTTCTGTAGGATCTGCGACTGCGCGTCTTGCCCGAGATAGTTCTCCAGCAGCGTGTGGTGGTCGGGGAAGAGGTGCATCTCGGGCCGAGGATGATCGGCCTCGAAGACGGTGGACGAAAAGACCCAATATGCCAAGAGGCAGATGGTGCCACCCGTAGAGAGCCCAATGTCTTCTGCGCTGCTGACATCCTCAGCGTTTCGCAAGGGCTGTCTGTTCACCGGTCCGGTGCAGATATCCTGAATGAGAGAGGTGGACGATGACAGTCCCAGATCTTGGGTGAGCGCCTATTTTGTTTCTCTCTTCTGTGTCAGCTTTGCATCTCCGCAGCAAGTCTTTTCGTGAGCTCACTGACCACTAATTTGCCCACCATGGTGTCCCTGTTGGCAAGGTCCGGATCCTCTCGGAAAGCCTGCGTGGCCGTCTTCCGTCCCGGGACGATTTTGTCTGGATTGTAGAACTCCAGCAACCGCCTTGTCCACTGCATATCGTTCGCATTGACGTACGACTCCAGAACACAGCTTGTAAAGGACAATAATAGCCGCCTCTGGACCTCTGCCTCCTCAGAAGTGCTGACCTCGTGATCAGCCTCTGGGTCCGGCGCATTCTTAGACGCGTCCCCGTACTGGTCCGGGTTGGCCACCTCGATGCTGGACTTGCGCATGGGGAGGGGCGGGCGGGTCGCCTGCCCAGAGAGGCCTGAGAGAGAGTGAACTAGGTTGATGATGGAGGCGGTCATCTCCTGGTTCGGCTGGTAGGTCTTGTAGACGGTGAGGAGGCTGGTGGCGAGGAAGCGTGAGGGGTACTTGGTCCTGATGCGCTTGTGGAGAATGGCGAGCATCCCGAGCAGAATGATGAAGCGCCGCGTCACCTCCTCTGGTGTCTTGACGGATGGCTGATCCTTGGCGTCGTTGTCGTCGTCGGTATCCTGAGAGCCGTCCTCCTGGCCGTCCTCGGCGGTTGTGGCCTGCAACCCCTCGATGATTTCGAGCACCTTGATGATGGTCTCCCTGGGGTTGCCCAACCTGGCCACCGTCTCCAGGCATGGCTCACACCCTTGCACGGGGACCAGCATCTCGACCAGGTCCCAGCCGATCTCCTGGGTGAGACGCGCATCCTGGAGAATATCGTTCAGTCTGGGCAGGATTTCGGGCGACAGGAACTTCTCGATGATGGTGAGATAGGTGAACCGGTCCGTGGCTGGAGGCCGAGACTCGGTGAGAGCCTCGATGGCCTTGGAAGCGTCCGCCATGTGAGCTGGAACGAGTGTTTGTGACTAGTTGTGGATGTAGTTGACCAAGAAGAAAAAAGAAAGGACAAAGGTGAGGACGAGTCAAGTTCACTGGTGATTGAGAGAATTACTATGGGCAGCTGTGGTTTTGCCCTTCCCCCGCCAAGGCAACGACTGATCTGCAGGCAGTTGGCTGCTGGCAGGGATCTGCAAGGTGTGTGCTGGAGGTGAGGTGGGGTCAAGGAAGGAGGGGCTGTCTATCGGGCACCTACTGTATGGTGCAGTACACTATGAGTTGGGGGTCCCTGCAATGGATCTAGTCGCAACTGCAGCCCTGAAAGTGGGTGGCTTAGTGCTGCAACAGTGCCTAGGTCCAGTTGATAGGCACTGATGACGCCATGTTCAGTACAAGAGAAAGTCTCTCACATTTACGCGCTGTTTAGATTCCACCCAAATGCTGAGACAGGACCACCAACAGCAGATTTGTGCAGCGTAGCCGTGGTCATTCTTGTTGCCAAGCCCACCTCTCATATGATGACTTGGTCCAATACTGACGCCAGATTCCCTGAAGGACATACAAAAAGAATTAAAAGAAAAAATTGAAAAAAAAAAAGGGGGGGGTGGTTGGTCAAATCTGAAAACTCATCAAAATACATACCAGGATTCTGCAGTACATTTATCGAAAGCTTTGTTGATCATCACGAAGCATATCTGCAAGCATCGTTTGTAAGGGCCAACGTTGGTCCAACATGTCCTGAGCGTTCGTTCCATACTTTAAGTAATTACTTCAGCTCAGTAGAGTGAGATCAGCAGCGTTGAGGTGGGCTCGTGTGCGCCTCATTCCCGCCTCAAAATGACCGAGTTCCGCTGCTAGACTTTGGAGACAAGAGTACACCGCAATTGCATACTCGGAAGTAGGCGGCCAGATTCCTCGGCCTGAGGAAGCGTATGCGGGTACTCAGCCACCGAAGGTCCTGCAGAACGCCACAAGAGGCAACACAAGAATTTATAATATCTGACTAGGTGCTGACAATCCGGAGCGCGCGTCTTGGCTTGAGGTCTTGGCATGAAATCCACCACCATCACGATAACCACTGCACAGATTCCTTTTTTCTGCCCATCAATGGCGCCGGGGAAAACTGTACTTAAGCATTGTATGTCGTATGGATTAACAAAACATCCTTGATATTGCAATCTCTGCTTATACGATAATGACAACTACTTTACGAAGCCACATCTTCACGATTGCTTACTGATGGCCGCGCATATTTTCGCGTCGACTTGCTGTCGTGATGGTTACTGTCTGAAAATAGAAAATAGATTACTCACCGTGTGCTCGCTTAACTGTCGCTTGGGGAGAGGGAGGAAGCTTGGGGATGGTCTATTCCTCTCTGTCTCCACCTTCTTCCATCTCCCAAGAATTTCTATGTGATGACCACAAATATGTCATGGGTTGGTCATGGCCTGGTATTCCGAAAACAGAAATCGAAATTCCAACAGGTTGCAGGTGTGGATGCAGCACTTTGGCCCGAGATATGTGAAGATGAAGTGTTGGGAGGATTTGAATGAGGCAAACGTGTATAAATACAAGCAAACCCAGCCCTCAATCGTCTACCAGGACTTGGAAAATCATAGCACTCGATACCAGACAGAAGACCAAGCTGCCTTGCCCTGCATTCGACTTGCCTTGAACATTGCCTCCCTCCAAATTTTGATCCCCCCAAAATGAAGTCCATCCACACAGTCTTGCTCGCGGCTGTCAGCCTCGCATGCTCAGCTCTGGGCGATGGTGAGCTCTCCTTAATCCAGGTTACCAGACCACACGCCCTGACGAAGCACAGCTGTCCCGTTCGAAAGGCTCAACAAGAATGACTCGGTAAGTAAACCATACCCACGACGCCAACAACCCATAGAATTGTCCTCCGCTAATCACCCTCTCTCCCAGATGCTCCTGATCCTCGACATGCAGGAGGGTCTCTATGGTCTCGCTCGTGACTTTGACCCCACGCTCTACCGCGACTCCATCATTGCGCACGCGGCTATTGGCCAGGTATTCGACATCCCCGTGGTCATGACGACGTCGGCCCAGACAGGTGCGTGTTTGTATCTGTCGAGCTCCCCTGACAAGCCCCCAGGCGTGCAGACCTTTCAGTCTCTGACGTGTTGATGTGATTTTTGCTAGGTCCCAACGGCCCTCTTCCTCAAGAGATTTTGGACATGTATCCAGATGCCCCGCTGATCCAGCGCCAAGGCGAGGTTGACGCCTGGGATAATGCCGATTTTCGTGCTGCTGTGCAGGCGGCCAACAAGTCGCAGATCATCATGGCTGGTATCGTTACTGACGTCTGTGAGTATCTATCGGTCCTCCTTTCTTTTCCCTCTTTAGGCTTAAGAGAAAGGGGTGAAAGGAAGAGAAAATGCACCCAGAAAGAAACCTAAAGAGGCCCATCGCTCTCTAGTGACGGCGTAAAAAAAATTATAAAAAAGAGAGAGAGAGAGAGAGAGAGAGAGAGAGCAAAACAGGAAAGAAGAGAGAAGAGAAGAAAGAAAACAAAGACGAATACAGACCATTGGGCAAGTCTCCATTTCCATACAAAAAGCACCTCGCTCACAAAACCATTTCTGTCCAGGCACAACTTTCCTCGCGCTCTCTCTCCGTGCAGAGGGCTACTCCGTCTGGGCCAACGTGGAGGCCTCGGGCACCACCACTCCGCTGATCCGCGACATCTCCAACGACCGCATGGAAAAGGCCGGCGTGAGCCTCGTCTCGCTGTTTTCCATCATCTGCGACCTCATGCGCGACTGGCGGGACACGCCCGGCTCCGCGACGCTGATTCCCTGGCTCGACAAGTATTACCCTGCGTACGGGATGGTGGCGAGGGCACATCATGCCGCGATCGAGAATGGAACTTTGGTTCCGGGAGAGGCTTCGCTGCCGAGCTAGGTGGGCTGGCTAGTGATCCAACACTCACTCTTTGGCTTGAGCAGGGCGGCGAAGAATGATATTTATGAACGGTGGCGCGAGATGGCTGGCGGTGACAGGTAGCTGGGGAGGATTCATACTTTTATTTTTCTTTGCAGGTTGTCGAGTCTGTGTTCGAAAGCGGCAGTGGAACCAGCCATTAACATAAGATTGGAACCCATTTCTTGCTTCTCAATTCCATTTGTAGAAGTCCGTCTCGCGCACAACGCTCGTACGCCACCTATCCCCGCCGCTTCCATGAAGAGTCTTGTCTTCATGTTCTTGACCCCAGCAATCTGCATGACTGCACCCACACCATCAGACGAGCCAAGCAGTCCACAAATGTCTTCCCATCTGCCCAAGTGAGGTATCCGAGTATCAATCCTCCTCTGGCCACGCACCGGGGACTAGCTGGGGCTGTGGTTCGATCCACTTCCAAAAGTCCGCTGCGAGCTCTTCGCTACCATGACAAAAGTTCCAGTCCAGGCGCCAATCTTCTGGTGTAGGGCCGGACTGTATACCTGCGATATACAGACCTTGACGTTGGTCCCAAATCCCTTTCAACTTCATCGTTTGTATTGCCCGGAGGTCTCCTGTCGAGATTGATTTCCCAAGGACAGTAAGATCGGCGCCAAACTCGGTAAGCAATCTCAAGAATTGATGTAGGCGTGTTTGTACCCGCCTTCCCCTGTCCGTTGCAAGCCCAGGCTCCGAATCGGCTAGAGTCCGCTTGGCACGGACCACCTAGAGGTAAAGTTTCATGCAGAAAACTCCGCTGGCACCTGAAAGCCCTCGTTTTTCAAGGCATTTTCAGAGCCTTTTCAACCATCGTAACCCTCGCCAGCCCTCCAACTTGGTATTTTTTTGTGCCAGGAGCATGCCTCCCTCCGGCTCACACCTCTCCCACTGGGAACGGGCCCGGATGGAGCTCCTCTTCGAGCACGGCGTCGACAACAAGGCGGTTGCTAGCTTTTCTCACTGCTCAGAACGAATGGCTTGATACAATCGCAAGAAATGGCGTATTACAGGCAATCTCGAGATTAAACGATTGTATATGGGATTCCAGCTAATAAAGCTATATTATGAAGAGGTGCGATGCTAGCTAGCAGCTCTGTCTGAAGTATCAGCTGATAGCTTTGGTATAGAGGGTTAAGGAATTCCTCATATATAAGCCTGATTCTGATCTCCAAGATATCTGCGATTTCCTTCTCTGGGAGTACGATCTCGAGGTCTCTTGATCGACTGTTTCATGCTATATCAAGGCTATGGGCTGGTTTAACAAGAAGATCCGCTTGATTGCAGCGCAAAGAAACTGTAGAAGGCACTCTATGGTGTATTACAAATGGTAAAAGGGAAGATGATTCGTTCTTTACTATCTTAAAAGGCGCTTTGCCAACTGCCTGTCTATATAGAAAGGAACAGTAGGCGCTAGTCCTAATTAGGACAGAAACACCAGTAACTCACAACTTGCTCTAGCCTAGTGAATGGCTAAGGGGTTAGTCACTATTTCCTGTGACTGCCAGCCCAGGGCCCCACTTTTCATTCAAGCCCTATGGCTGCTGCCACAGAAACGATGAGCTTCGCAAGGCCTGGATCAAAGACTACTAGCGCTTTCGATCTGACCAGCTTATATATGTTGACAAGAGTAGCTGTAAAAAAAGAGATAGCACTCGAAGATATGAATAGGCACTGCTAGGATTAATATCAGAGATGCGCTCTCGTCTGGAGCAAGGGCAGCAGTATCATCTCCTCCCTGCTCTAGCAGTTAATAGCCTGCTTGATGCCTTTGTATATTCAGGCTAGTCCTCTTTCGATAGCTTCGTATTATGAATCCGCAATTGCATTCTGCTGAAATATACTCGCTTTCCTAGCTTGCGATCTGTTTTGATACTTGATAATGTATTCTAGCATCATTGTTAGCAGCTGAAAGATCTCTGTAATGCAGCTGGAGTTCTGCTGGTTTATCTGCTATTATACTCGTCTAATCTGAACCCTATAGAAGCATTCTTCAAGGATTTCAAGGCGTTGTTAAAGAAGATATATTGCAAGAGGTATGGAGATTCGAACTCTTGAGATGCTTTTATAGCGTTTCTAAAGCAAATAGCTTGGGCAGTTAGTAATAGAAAGGAAGCTATTAAAGGGCATTTCCGTATAGCGAGAGTTAATTTCGATAGATAGGAGATAGAGGAAGCATAGTGAAAAGGTGAAAAGGGAGGGCAATAGTAGATAGATGGAAAGGAAAGACTTAGCAGCTAGATATAAAAAGATGAGAAGTACTATTAATACAGCTAGATAACAGAAAGCAAGTAGCTAAATTCATATATTAATTTCTATAGCAATATATTCAATCTTCTCTTCTTATTTCTTGCAATGCTCTAAGCTATTCTTTTCTCTTTTTCTATCCTCTGAATCGCTTTATTTACAGCTATCTACTCCTCCTTCTCTAGGCTTGCTAAGCTTAGCTTAATTCTGCTCAATGCTGCTAATGCTGTAAATAATTCTTCTAGCAGATCAATATTCCCTTCTTTCTCCTCCTTCTCCTCCTTCTCTTCCTCCTCATTACTGAACTGTTCCATTGAATCTGATGATATTGAGAATAGTACAGGTGCCTGCTTCGAAGAGCTTGCAAGCAGCTGGATAAACAAGAGTATAGATGCAAGCATCTCGAGCTCTGAGAATGTTGGAAGCAGCATCAGTAGCCTAGCGATCAATCTCATATTGCCTAACTCTGCTGGCAGTATGAATGAGAGCAGCTGGTTTTCAGCTCTAGTGTTTTTATCGATCTGTGCAGCTGGCTTTAGCAATAGTCTTCGAGTACTCTCGTTAGCCTCGTTGCTCTTGTTAGCTTCATTGCTCTCAAGCTGTTCAGCTAATCTCTTCAGGCTGTGCATGTATTGATTGTATTGCTAGCAGAAGAGCTTAATAAATGCTTTCAATAGTTTGTATATTCATTCAGGTATGCTCTTCTTCTCATACCAAGCTAGCTTTATCTTATATAGCAATCTAACTGATATTCTCAAGTTTAGAACTGCTTTGCAAGCAGAGATAAGTTCATCATTCTCATTGCTATCATATTCACGCCTCTCGAATGTTTCTATTAGCTATATAAGCAGTTCAGTTCTCGGTACGCCCTCTAGCTAAGCTAGCAATGAGCTGTATAGCAGAGCTCTCAGTAGCTGCTCTAATATTTTTGCTCGCTTCTTCCTAGTAGTATAAGCTTGAGATAGCAATTCCTTATCATCATCTGCAGCAATATAGCTAGGCTTGCTGCTTAGGCGCTGGAGCAGCATGATAATCTCCTCTGTAGCACCAGTAGTACCAGCACCAATACCAGAAGCTATATTAATAGTAAATGTTGAGCTTCCTCCTTCTCCATGCATCGAATAATAAGGCTAATTAGTTGATATTGCAGGCATTATTATCGAAGGGGTTGCTGGTATCAGCATTAAGGGAGTTGCTAGCATATCGAATGCCTTCTTTGCAGCTTGCTAGCAATCAAGATATTGCAGGCGCCTTTCCTCAAGAGCATCAACGATCTCACTGGAAAGCTGTTTCTCAGTACTAAAGCTACATTATACTGATTCCGCTTATCTCGAGAGATTGCCTGATTCAAGCTTAAGATGTATACTATCTTTCTTGCATGGCCAGCATTACAGATATCTCTTGCTACTGTAGTTTCAGCAGCTGTAGCTCTCTTTGCATATTTACATCTCGATCAAGATATTATATATCTCATTGTTTTTTCTCGTTCGCTCGTTTTCTGCATTGATTATCTGCTGCATTTTCATTCTTGCTTTGGCCTTCTTCTGTAGCTGGGATCGAGGCTTCTTCAAGAGCTGAGAATTGTGGATTAAGCAAAACATGATAATCAGGAGTAAATCGTATGAAGGTTTAACTTTCTGCTACGCTTTTATCAGCTTGTTAGCAGATAAATATCTGAATCTATTGCTTTCTGCTAGCGAGAGCTCTTTGAAAAGCAATATCTAACGAGTAGTAACAGATTCTCGAGTGCTAGCAGCGCAAGTACTAGCGAAAATAGGTATAGCAGCAAATCCCATCAACAGACAGCTCATACAATTCTCTATCTCTTTGCAATAGCATTTCCAGTATACATAGATTGTATAATTATTGCTAAAGTCTCCTCTGAGTTCAAGAACATTAATATCTAGCTAGGAACGAAGCTTAGAGCTGTTTTGAGATCAGCTCTTATATATGAACTCAATAGCAGAGATTACTATAATCTCCCAAGCCTAAGCCTGAGGAATAGACAATAAGGAAGGAAGTGCTAGATCGGATAGAGAAGAGAGCTCTAATAATGCTTGCGAATCTGAAACTTCAATGCTCTCAGCAATAGCTGATAGCAAATCCAGCAGCAGCAATAAGCGTACTTCAGCCTCATTCGTAAGATCTTGCTATCAAGCAGCTTCAGCTGCTGTACTTAGCAATACAATCTTTACCCTCCTCTTTCCATTAGCATCGATCTTCGTACTGATACTAGCTTTTTTGGCAGTAATCTTCGAGATATGCTTCTTGGGCGATGAGGCTGGCTTAGCCTTAGCTTTGCCAGCAGGCTTTCTTTTGGGTAACATCGCAGATTCGAGAGAACTGCTAGCATGCTGAGAGGGTTGAGAATTCAAGCGCAAGCTCCTGCAAGACAGTAATAGCATCAGTTGCACTGTTTATCAGCGTGCTAGTCAGAATTACTCCTTAAGCAGCTGTATAGCCTGGCTTACCTGCCAGCGTGCTCGCAATTTCAGCTCACAGCAGCAGCAGCACTTCTCAGCGGCCTAGGCATCCTCTGGCACAAAGAACACCAAGTTGGAGGGCTAGCGAGGGTCACGATGGTTGAAAAGGCCCTGAAAATGCCTTGAAAAACGAGGGCTTTCAGGTGCCAGCGGAGTTTTCTGCATAAAACTTTACCCCTAGGTGGTCCGTGCCAAGCGGACTCTAGCCGATTCGGAGCCTGGGCTTGCAACGGACAGCCCACCTGCGAAGCACCAATGAATAGCAGTCATCACAATATTGCGTTGCACCTTTCAAAAAGAAGACAAGAATCCTGTGCCCGGTACTTTCCCACCAGCCGGGACATGTCGACAAATCAATGTCTGTTGTGATCACTATCCTCATCAAATCTTCCCAGGCCTTGTCATCAGCCGTCTCATTTCGAATGATCCTGGGCACAACACCCACATGAGGGTGCTTATAGCAATTCCCAGCGCAATAGAAGACGAGATCTATCATGTATGTGCCATCTGCAGCCCATTCTCGCACGGTGTCTTCCATGGCCACACCAGGTGAGCACACCATCGAGCGAAAAGTATTGGCGCCGTATCTGGGTCTCCACACTTCCCAAATTTCCTTCTTTCTTGATCTTGGCTGCACTGCGTGCCAGGATAAATTTTCAAGAAGTTCCTGAGAGAAGGTGGCATCTTCCGAATGTTCAAGAATATTAGCGCATGTCAAAGTCCCGAGATATAAGTTTGATAGCCCGTCACCGAGAGCTAATTGCAAGTATCCTCGGGTAAGCAGCGGCTGCCAGCTTTCCCTGCAGACACGGGAGATAAATACGAGCCCGTACATGGAATTCATCCAAGACGAAGTATGAAGCATACTATGCAATTGTTCATTGTCCATGAACTCTTGAATGACATTGTATCTTTCAAAGCAACTTGCATACTGTTATGTCTTGTTAGCAAGGCAATTACACAAACAGATATGGTGGTGTTACCCATAACGCAGTGCATCCATATTGATCACAGTCGAGAGGAGACGCAAGGCCCTGTCTGAACAGCTCACGAATCTGATGTACATTGCCCTGTCTCGCATATCGAAAGACAAGCGAGTCTTTATGTACAACATTGAAAGTGGCGAGCGAGGTCTGCCATCCAAAGGTAGACATGGTGACAGACAGATCCCAGCCTTTCTGTGCCAGCCAAAAAGGAAGCTGGAGACGGGCTCTGTAGCCTTGTCATTGTCAATCATACCGTTTCTCAAGAAAGTGGATGCTCGTGCTTCTAGTACATACTGGATGAGGTTTTCGATCTGGAGGACCTGAGTATTGCATAGCCAGAGGATGACGGCTCGACCCAGGGAAGCTCTGGGATGCGGCCTCGCTTTCGAAGACTGTATCTTGCCTTATTCGGCATATCATCTTCACCTTCTTTTTGCAAGTATTCGGCCGCCTGTTGCTTGTCGCGAAGTGCCTTCATGCGCATCTCGTCCATAGCCACAGCCTGTTGTTGTACCAGCGTGCTTCGGTTCATTAGCATCACTTGTACAGCAGTTGAGTTGAGGTCATGGGCTCACGTAAGCTGGACCATTTGGATGCACACCATATCCAACTGAGTCGACTGCAAACTGGCCTGAGTGGCCTGGAAGCTGGCCAGGGCAATCTGCATTGAATTGAGCGCTCTATCCAGACTGCACTGAAACTTCTCGACATCGCCCTTCTTCAGAAGTACCTTAAGCTTTGCAAGCCCCCGCCTCCTGCGTTTTCCGGAGTCAATCTCGCTGCTCAGATCCTTCACCAGGTTTTGCAAATCGCCCAGAGCTTCTCGACAATGGCTTGCGACTGCAATCGTAGGAGGATGGTCATGATAAGATTGGGGGGCTATAATTCCACCATGCTCAGCATCAGAATTGGGGTTCACCCCAGGGAGGACCTTCTCGAGCATGCTGATCTCGCGCTGGAGGGATTTGATAGTGTCAGGAGCCTCCTGGACCTCGACCCATAGTTTCCTGATCTTCCAGATCGTCTCCCCGACTGTCAGGGCAAAATCAGCAATTCCGACAAGGCTGGCTGCCGCACCAACAGCCTCCATTGTTCTGATATGTGGCTGTTTGAGTCAAGAGCAAAAGGGCATCGAGATTGGAGAGGTCAAAACTTCACTGGGGGGGTATGGTCTGGAAGCAACAGCAGGACTAGAAATTGATCCAGAGCAGAACAAGAGGGGAAATTTTACAGTCTCTCTGAGGCGGCCTCCTTGAGGCTTTGGTGCGGGGCTGTGCATTTGTTGGCTGTGGAGGGCTGTAACATTCTCATGTATGGGATTGGGAAGCCGACCATGCATAGTAAGCATATAGTTCTGACAGACAGACAGCTCATCGTCCCAGACTGTCCAATCAGCCCGGCTGGGACTTTTTACACAAATGAGAGCCAGGACTGTTGCATATGACCATAGCAACGACGCTATCCACCTGCCTTCCTGTGCAGCAAAGGAGAATTCAAAAAGAACCTCGATTTGTTGGATCTTCTCAGAACGGACTGAAGGGAACATATGCCATATATTTAAGTGGCAGCATGGCGGCATGGAGATTGGGCAACCTCGCAGCATATCTGCTGACAAGGATGTTAGGGAGACTCATTATCTCTGTGTAAGGTTTCCCGGAGAGATGCTTATCAAAGAAGAGAAAGAGAACAAAAGACATGCAACTAATTGATATTGCTCAAAGTTGCTGATGTTATGTATGCTGCTGAATCATTGTATCAGCGGCCCTTTGCTATAGCTCGCTCAGGAAAACGCATTTTCAGTGGTGGGATCTGCCAAGTTTGAGAGGTACTGAGAGATAATTTGCCCGATGATGGAGTAGATTCTCGGATTACGGCAGGTGGGCCAATGACATGTACGTACTTAGCATGAAGGGATTGGCTTCCAGCTGACCAGGCTGTGCATAAAGTATGTTCACCACATTAGCAGGAATTCATCAGCAAATTCTTTGAGGAAACGCAGTTACTTGGTCTTGCTTTTAAACATATTTGCCGATCTCTGGAGTACTGTTGATAGATAAAGCTTCACAGATCCGTGGATTGTGCTGGGATAAGCTACCAGCCAGATACTGTAGGCATTTGGTAGATCTCGTTTATAACTGGGGAATTTGGACTTTTGGCCTGGCTGAATACTTCCCACCTCAATTGTGGAACTGTAGTTAAAATTTTGGCATTTCATTACTTGATGGAAATTCGAAATGTAGATTGACTGAAGCGATAGATAGAGGTAGAAAGTGTACAGGCGGTGGACAAGCTGATCTGCTGCATTTGTTTGGCGATGGCTTGAAGTCATTGCCATCACAGGGTCGAGGTTAGTTTCTAATAGACTCCCGCTAAGGTTGGTCCCGACAGATAGTAACGAATCCACAGCGGTTAAATGGTTCCTGGCGATACGGGAATATCTCCCACGGGCGGTCGACCAGCCCGTAATTTAGTGGGTTTCGGCAAGGATCAGGTCCCAATTTCGGGGCGTTGGCTCCGATCATGATGTCACTGACGCCGTCCAGGTTCAACGGCGCGTTGCCCAGCATTTCCTGTACGGTTCGAGGTTGCCAGTCAGTCAATGCCTCCAGCCAATGTATTTTGCCTTTTCCCTCTTTCTTCTGGAAGCACACGAGGGACCTGATACCAGCTAGCATTAGCACCTAGATACTTGGACCATGGCCACAAGATTCCAAATCCAGGTCCCAATTCTACTGGACTCTCCCAAGTTTGAAGAAGCTACACCCTTTACATTCCTCGTTGGTGACGACGCCGTACCACCTTGAGCCTTCTCTTCCTGTTCAACCTTGTCTGTGCCTCCTTTAACAGACTCCAAGTCGCCCACACTACAAACTGGGTCGTCTTTCAGCACGTAGAGAAGCGTGCCACGAGCCCCCCAGCCGCGCAATGACGTCCCCGCCGCAAACCTCGGCGACTGAATCCGCAGATGGCGAGGTCAACCTCGAGACGGTCGTGCAGGAGACGGGGCAGCCAGCAACCATCGTTCGAGATGGCCAGGGAGAGCTCGTCTATCCGGGCTACGTGCCTCCAGCTCCACAGTCTCCCAAGTCCCCCGAGCCTTCCGATGCCAACAGCCCACCATCCCTCGGCCGAACCCCTCGAAAGACAGTGACGGCGCCCGTGTCGGCAACAAAAGACAAAAATATGATGCCCATGACGCGTCCGAAGATGGCAGAGAGGCCCGCTACTGATGCACCTGGACGGGTCAGGCGGCAATCATCTGCCGTGCCAATGCCGGCAATCAAGAGATCTGGGACGAATGTCTCTCATCTCCAACAGGCCTTGTGGACGAGCCCATATGATGAGGACGACTCGTCGAGCAGCGATATGTCTACGGACGAAGATGAGGACTTGAGTGCAGACGTCGAGCGGATGGACCACGCCATTGGCAGCAAGGCACAATCCCAGCAGTTCCGTCGATTTCGCGTCGCGAATGAGAATTACAAAACGAAAGGCAGGGTCTCGAGGCGAGATGGCCGTCTTGCGATCTCGATCAAAGACATTAGCACCAATGGTTACCTACCGAATGCCCTCGGCGCTGCCATCACGAAGGTGGTACCTTTGAAGGAGGGTGAGATCGGTAGAAAGCCTGAGGGGGAGGAGGAGGGGGAGCAGCCAGCAGCCGAGAGAACATCATCCGAGGCCATGGTCGATCCCGAGAGCCTCCGATGTCCGCCGCTCAACATTGTGATCATGGTGATCGGGAGCCGTGGAGATGCACAGCCATTTCTCAAGATCGGAAAGGTACTCAAGGAGAAATATGGGCACAGAGTCAGGATAGCAACGCATCCAGCCTTCCGCGAATTCGTAGAGAAGGACTCGGACCTCGAGTTCTTCTCCGTGGGCGGGGATCCTTCTGAATTAATGGCGTTTATGGTCAAGAATCCCGGGCTGATACCAACACTCGAGACCTTGCGAGCTGGAGATATCGGCCGCAGGCGAGCAGCCATGAACGAGATGTTTGGCGGGTTCTGGCGGGCATGCGTCAACGCCACGGACGATGAAAAGGACGTCCGAAACCTGCAGATGATGGGGGAGAGACAACCCTTCGTCGCCGATGCCATCATTGCCAACCCTGCCTCCTTTGCGCATGTCCATTGCGCAGAGGCACTTGGAATCCCGCTCATCTTGTCATTTACGTTCCCTTACACGCCGACGCGCTCGTTCCCCCATCCCATGGCTAATGTCAAGAAGAGCAATGTCGACCCTGGATACACGAACTTCATGAGCTACCCCCTCGTGGAAATGATGGTTTGGCAAGGTCTGGGCGATCTCGTCAACGACCTGCGAGTCAAGACACTGGGCCTCGTACCCGTCTCCACGCTCTGGGCACCAGGCTCCCTCTATCGACTAAACGTCCCCTTTGCATACCTGTGGAGCCCATCTCTGGTCCCCAAACCACCAGACTGGGGCGACGAGATTGACATCTGCGGCTTTGTTTTCCTCGACCTCGCATCCTCATTCAAACCTCCCAATCCTCTCGAGGAGTTTTTGAGTGCAGGAGAGACGCCCATCTACATTGGCTTTGGCTCTATCGTTGTCGACGACGCCGAGAAATTCACTAATATGATATTTGAAGGTAGAGACCCAGTCCTCCTTCTACTCTTTTCCATCACGGCGGTTGATATATGCTGACCCACAATGATAAATAGCTGTTGAGCTCGCTGGTGTGCGTGCGCTCGTCAGCAAAGGCTGGGGAGGACTGGGCGGCGACAGTTTGAGTGTGCCTGAAAATATCTTCCTACTTGAAAACACACCACATGACTGGCTCTTCCCCAGGGTCAAGGCGTGTGTGATTCACGGGGGAGCAGGAACAACAGCGATTGCTCTCAAGTGCGGAAAACCTACTATGGTTGTGCCCTTCTTCGGCGACCAGTTCTTCTGGGGTAACATGATCGTACAAGCAAAGGCGGGCCCCGAGTCGGTGCCGTACAAACAGCTGTCTGCAGAGAAACTAGCCGAAGGGATCAAGTTCTGCCTGACAGAGGAGGCACAGAAGAATGCCCAGGCTCTGGCGCGCGACATCGCGAGGGAAGGGGATGGGGCGGAGAATATGTGTGCGTTCTTCCACAACCACCTGCAGCTGTCCGGCAAACACTCGATGAGGTGCTCCATCCTGCAGGACCGGGTGGCGGTATGGCACATGAAGGGCACAAGCCTGAGGCTGAGCGCACTGGCCGCCGATATTCTCGTGGAAAGGGGCTTTATCCAGTGGCGAAAGCTGAGCCTCGTCAGGCACTGCGAGTGGAACGATTTTGAAGGGCCAGGCGAGCCTGTCACTGGTGTTCTTGGGTCTGTGGCTGGCTCGCTCGGTGAGGCCTTTGGTGGCATCGGCAGCGTCCCCTCTCGAATAGCCAAGAATTCTCATATGAGGCGAGAAAAGAAGGATAAACAAAGACAGAAGCGTGAGACGGCGAGACGCATGAAGAAAGGCCAGGCTCTAAAGGATGGGCATGTTGGCATACCTGAACGCAAATCCGAGACGGAACTCAACGGGAACGTGACGAAAGATACGAACGGAACCTCTCAGGCGCAATCTAGAGAGGCAGGACACACGAATGACCGCCGCCCTATCCCCAGACACACCGCCGCCTCGCTCGAATCCGCCACGACGCAAGACGCCGAGCCAGACTCCTGGTACGTCAACGAAGTATCCCGCGGAGCACTCCAATCCGCCGGTGCCCTCGCCAGCGCGCCCATCGATCTGTCGGTCGCGCTCGCACAGGGCTTCCACAATGCGCCCCGTCTCTACGGCGACGACACCGTGCGGCGGCCACCGCGTGTGACGGGCCTCCGCTCGGGGCTGCGCGCGGCCAGGACCCAGTTCGCATATGGTATATACGACGCTTGGACGGGCGTGGTTCGTCTACCCGTGCGAGGTGCAAAGAGCGGCGGGACCAGAGGGTTCGCCAAGGGTGTCGGGATGGGCCTCAGTGGGCTAGTGCTCAAGGACCTCGCCGCCTTGACGGCGCCGGTGGGGTACACGCTCATGGGCCTCAAGAAGCAACTTGAGAGGCGGCGGCAGCCACAAAAGCAAATCCGCAGGGCAAGAATACTTCAGGGCCAGCGAGAGCTCAAGGATCTGGGCGCCGAGGAGCGCAGGAGGCGCGTGGAGGAGGTCGAGAAGGGGTGGGAGGTGCTGCGGCGGCTGTGGGAGACGGTGGAGAAGAGGGAGAAGGATAAGGGCGGCCTGGGGGCGCAGATCCGGGTGAGGAGGAGGAGGCGTGGCGTGGGGCAGGCGTTTGAGAGTGTTGAGATGGCGAATAATGCTCTTGGGGCAGTCAAAAGGGGCGAAGAGGTTAGGGATGCCGTGAAAGATTATAGGAGGTCGGAGGATCTCAAGAAGTCATAGGTGGGTGGCTGCTTTGGATGCACGTTTTGAGTGATGTCTAAGGTCTTGGTTGAGGCAATTCAAGTCTAGAGGCCACTCTGATCGCAGGTCGACAGGATAGAGGCCCAAAAACATGAGACATAATATAGACGGACTCGAATAATGAAGTCGCGGCCTTGGGATTCAGCTGTACATGACTGAGTCCTACTAATAGAAAGAGTAATGAAGTTGAGTTAGTGTGGTTGAAGGTTCTCTTCAGATATAATTTTAATGGCATAGGTGAACTCTACAAAACACTCTTTGCAAACCGTTGTTGAAAAACTTTGTTTCCCCTAATTCTATTATCCTTCTTCTCCCTCTCTTTTTGTTTTCGTATTTCTCCAAGGCAAAGCGGCATGAAGCTGTATTCACAAGGTGAATGACAAATCTTAATGGCTTTCCCCCCGATTTTCTTCTTTCCCTACAGTTTTCCTCTTGTTCTTAGGCCCCCTCCCCCCGAAGGTGTATTGTCCGGTGCCTAGGTACTGCAGTGAAACCCTGAGTCTTGCTTGTATGCCCAGGAATTGGTAGAATGTAAGTTTGAGGTATCTGCTGCTTCATCTTCCACACACACCAAGCTGCAACTCAGGCACAGCTCAGATGTCTAACGCACCTATGTCTTTGATGAAGATGCTGAGACAGGGTTGTATCATATTATACATTAGTAAGATCATAGAATAAAGATACAACGTAGTGGCTGACGCTATTATATCTACCACCAAGTATATATCAGACACTTAGGCCACCTTCCTACCATTCGACTTCACTAGCACACTTACCTTTCCAAAGGAATACACGCCCGCGATTTGATCTAACGCCATGCTCTTCTTCCCTTGTCCTGTCCCGTCTTTTCCCCCTCGAATCTTTTCAACACATGCCCCAGAGCGCTACAACACACGCAGCTACAGAGGCTGCCACAAGATAAAAGGGTATAATCCAGGCTGTACGCGTAAGCCTTGAGCACGCCTTCCAGCTGGCGGGGCTCCAGGACTGTGCGCAATGCCGAGGCACCTGCTGATACAGCATTGACACTGGGTGCTTGCGTAAAAATCCCTGATCTCAAGGCTGGCATCTAATGCGACGTTGCATAGTGCTGCTATGATGGCCGACCCCATGGATTGAGCAAAGAGAAGAAATGCCAGGGCTGAGGGAAGCTCGTCTCCTGTCACGGCTGCTTGAATCGCACTCATAGACTGGTCGGAAGGCCAGGTCGGAATGTTGACTTCGACACCATACTTTCGGTGAATGATCGAGTGTTGATCCGGAAGATGAGAGGGTTCCATAAGCCGTTTGCAAGCAGCTTCCTGAACCCACGCCGGAGATGATCTGAAAGCCCACCCACATGTCAGTCGAGCTACCAGGCTGGAGTGTCGAGTAGAGGCCGCTGCCGGTGAACAGGAGGACCGTGGCAAAAAATACGAAGGATATGACATACCTGGCCTTCATGACTGCGCCTCTCTCGTCAGCATGAACAGGGTCTTTCATTAGCGAATATCCATCCACCACCCATGCTAGCAGAAGTGCTGCAGGACTTGCAAAGTATGCCGACCGGTGCAGCTATGCCCGGCTGTGGGAGAATCATGGGGAAAAGATGTACGCGGCTCAGCAGTGCGTCCACGTTCTTGATAGCCTGGCAGTAGATAGGCAGATAATATACGGCTTCCGGGACAGCCGCCATTAAGCAAAGTCTGAAACAATGCAGACACCCACACAGTCCTCTTAGCAACCATGGACAGAGCGATCAGGGCATCCTCGCTGTTATGGCGATCCCAGAGCACCCGGATTAGAGATATAGCACTTGCGCCACAGAAAAGGCCAATGACGCGCAACGAGTTCCACGCGTGCTGGTTGCCGCCCCATTGGAGAGCGAGCAGGAGCATAAGGACTGCTAGCACAAGCAAGGACAAACCCAAAAGATTGAGAAAAATGAGACACGTTTGGAAGTACCTTGGTGATCTTCTGCTTGGGTGCCAGCTCAGAGATGCGAAGAAACAGGATCCTGATGGCAGCCAGAGAGCAGACCGGAAGGGCGATGTAGAAAGTTGGGTATACTCTCAGTCCATGCGCTGAGTATACAAACAGTTTGAAAAGACGTATCTCATTCTCCACATGCTGTAAGAAGTGAACCGTTCCCAACAAGAGGGCCCACAACGAGTCCAGAATGAATCTAGGTGCGACGGACATAGCGAATGACGGGCATTTGGTTAAGGGAGTATCATTTACTGGATGTAACAGCACTCACTCCCTGCAACTAGACCGATCAATGCTAATGATTGCTATGGAAAGTCAGTATGTCAGGACTTGTTGCAAGACGCGTTGCTATCTTTTACCTGGACACTTCTCTCAGGGCGTGCAGCCCGAGATAGTGCGATGAAGCCCAGGGCCAGCGGTGCCGGATACCTACGCTCCCAAATTGGTATACACTGGCGTATCATCCTCTATCTTGGAGCGAGTTGAACTCATCTGTGGTGCGCGGTATGACCTGATGCAGCGATCATCTCGCTCTTTCTCTGCTCCCCTTCCTTACCACCCCGAAACCACTACAGCCCCTGGCGTCCATAGTTCAAAATTACCAGAGGCCGAAGCATAATCGCCGTTGCTGACGACCATGGTGTCCATGAGCATCAGGAAGCACGCCAGGGTCACGCAGGTCACAATCCCAGCTAGCTTGATGCCTTCGACACACTCGACCGAGTCGATCTCATTGAGCCCTGCGCGCTCTTTAACAGCCTGGCCTGCCTGCTCTCCACCTTCTCCTCCCCCCCCCCCCCCAACTAGGCAAAGTTTTCTGGCAATGCCTGTGGGCAAAACATCACCGGGCCGTCGGCGAAGTTGTGGGCTCGGCAGTGGAGCTTGGAAGACCGAGCCAAGCTTGCGCCACCAGCGAATCAAGGAGTGCGCGTCCTGGTACATCTGTAGAAATCTAGGTAAGCGGTGGGGGTAAAAACAGCTGGTAGACTTTTGCTCGACGGTCTTACTACATGGCAGGGCTCTAAGCTGTCATTGATCCACAAGCTAACCGGGCTGACCGGGTGTCAGCCTGTACTGGCGCTCACCGTGGAAATGATGGGCATCCGGCGGGGCAGGTCCGAGTTGAACATGACAGACCATCAGAGGAGAAAGGAACGAGGCCTTGAAAAGCCAGAAGAGGGAGGGGAGAGGGGGGGGGGGATCAGATACGATCCGACGAGCCTTCCGCCGGGGTTTGGTGAAGGAGGAGGAAGAGGAAGAAGAAACACGGCAGCAGCCATGTCAGATTGTAAAATTACAGACACATTGTACGGCGTAGGAAGAGTGTTGAACCGGGGCTAGCGCATCGATGTCTGAATTGGGGGCCGAGATTTGGATTCCAAAGCACGAAAATATCGTGACTACTTAGTAGTCCACATATTGATTCTGCGCTTCGAATTATCACCTTTTGCTCCCTACTTCACTTCCCTCTTCAGCGCTAGCCAGCTCTGTGTGTAGGTGTGTGTGTGTGTGTCCCTGCCCTGTTCTCCAGATGAAAGCATCTCGTGGGGACAAGCGAAATCAGCAGCACGTCGTAGCTCACCCTCCTCAACTTGGCAGCTTGTCTTTGGCGCTCTCTTCACCTCTACTGGCAGCATCCAGCATAGCCCTACGGTCACTGGCAAACGCTCTGCTCCGTCTTGCTACGCCGTCACCGAGCGCAAGGATTCTCTTCGCCGGCCGTTGCTGAGGTTGTCTGAGAAGAGGAAACAGTAAAGTGGTATTGGGTGGCTTTGGACGAGCACAGAGAGGTAAAGGGGAAAGGCTCTGCCATCAAGGATACTACGATGATCTGCTAAACCGCTGTCTCAGTGTCCAAGGCCACACACAGTCAGAATGTTCTTCACTGGGGACTGGAGGTCCTTGGCTTGTCTCTTGCAGATTCATAGTGCAGCAAAAGCGGCCACTCCCCATGCTTCCAGAATAATCTGCTTGGGGCTTCTCCAGCAAATGCATCACAAGATGGATGCGGAGGTCGGAGCTCTCACATCCTTATTTCCTATCTCTCTAGAACGGATGGATTGCAGGTGGATAGTCAGTTTGTCCCAGGCCAGAGCTACGAATCATGGGTCTCCTTTGATCGCTGGAGAAAACGGATCTTTCTCGGCCTGCATTGCCAAAGCAGGCAAATCATTACGGCATTGGATATGCAGCAGGGATGGGCAAATCATCCCCCCCCCCCCTTTGACAGCAACACGGCGGCTTTTCTTACTACGCAACCTTTCAAACATCTGTTGAAGCACAACCAAGTGTCTAGCAGGTAAGACACCCTACAGATAACCGCGCGTGTATTGTGGCGAGATGACAAGTTAGGAGTGTAAGATTCTCGGGCGTCCTGGTCAGGTGCTGGTAAGGTACTATGGTATTTACTAGCTCCCCTTCGACATGGCGGCAGTTTACTACTTAGAACATAGATAGGGGGTGGGGGGCAGGCTTGACAGGACGGGGCACACCTGTTTAGGAGGTTTTGTAAGGGGGAGATTATTTAAGCTTTCCGGTGGACACGGGCGTCAAGAGGTCTAGAACGGGCGGCCGCCACCCAAGCAAATGCTAGTAAAAGGCGCCCAAGTGGATGCTGACAGTTGTTGACAAGGGCGCCGGGCCTTGTTTTGGCGTTACACAAAAACCACTGAGGGCTGGCTCTGGCGCTGTGGGTGGTCCCTAGTAACAATAGCAGTAATAAGATTGTGCTTTACCAAAATTAGCCATGGGACGCGGGCGCGCTTTACTTTGGAGAGACAAAGGCACAAGACGTTGATGGAGGCCCGGGCCGGATGTGCGGGATGCCGATTGATTGATAATTTGCTTGCCCGCTACGGTACATGATTGAGTAACTTGGTACCGATCTCTGTATTTTTGGGGCGGATAGGTCGCTAGAGATTGATGTGGAGGATCATCTGAGAGAAAGAGAAAGAAAGAAAAGAAGAAGAAAAAAGACGTGATGAGATGATCATGCAGAAGTGATGGTTCAACATCTTGGGCCTTACTTCATGGGCTACTTTCATAGTGCTCAAGGCTTTGTTTTCCCTTCTTTTCCTCATACCTCGGCCACCGTAGCATATAGTTAATCAAAAAATGATCCTTTTTCTCTCTTCTCTTTCTTCTTCCTGCTGACTGCTGACTTGCTGGATCTTCTCTTTCTCTTAGGTCTGACTACATCCCAATGCCCGAGTTTGGTGTGAGCTTGATATGATCTCACCGAACGCCACTCGGATGTGGTGGATCCTGGACCCGCAGCCCACTTTGTATCCACGGGGATCTTCAAGAATCGATCATCATTGATTAGTAGTGTCATATGGTGAGTGCTGTACTGTGGTACAATATAGTAGTAGTTGTTGTAGTGTGATAGGTGGTTCTTTTTTGGGGGGGGGGGGGCGTGTTGGATTTCCTCAATGAATCAACTGAGAACGGAGGCCTCGGTATTCTTTTTGTGGGCCGAGGAGGGTTACTTGCTGCTGACTGAGGGGGTTTTGTCTCGTGTGACTGGCGGGATGGGTGGGCGGGCTCATGGAATCCATCATGAAGTGGAAGCTGGGAACCCGGCATACAGGATCAATGTACTATGTATTACTGTGTCAGGAGCGGCGGCTGTTCCCTGGTTCCGAAGCCACTGGCTACTACTGCCGGCTGGTCGGGCTTCTTTCTTCTTTCTTTGCATTTCTCTTTTGCAAATGGGCCATTCAATCCCGGTCTGCAGTTGAGAATGTGATGGCGATGTCTTACACTATGCACCACAGATATCACAGATCACAACATGCATTTCATGCACACACACACACATATATATATCTTGCGCCTTGGGAACAATGATTGGAAAAACGAAGGGAAAAGAAATGAAAGGGGTTGCTCGGAGGATGAATGGGGATTCAATCCTCCCAGAGATCGCCGACCTGGTGGTTGACGGCTCTCGGCAATCTCCATCCAAGAATCAATGTGTTCATGATGAGATCGGGGTTTACTCTCCTGCCCAACAAGTACTTAGCATTGTATGTACTAAGTCATGGTGTAAATGCATGCATACTCTGCTCCGTATACCACAGTAGCATTTCTCTCCCTCCTCCCCCCTCCCCCTCTCCTAGCCTCCGTCTTTCTCTCTGCCAAGTTGTGGGGACTCTTACGCTTACTGATGCATGCATGTGCTATGCACATCTCAATATCTACAAGGGTGAACAAAGTTCAACTCGAAAAAAGCTACTAGATCGAGAGAGGATAATGCTATGCAAAAAGTTTTAGAGTTCATAGCGGCCGTGCTCAAAGGGGGGGTGGGAAACTACTTGACGGCAGAAGACAGACAAGCACATGGATCTTGCACAAATACCTCCCATTTGGGCTTCTTCTGCAAACTGATTTGCATGGATTTGCAGCAAACCCCCCCCATGGACGAATGGTCAGTCCTGAACATGCCCTGCCGAGACTATTATGTGACTCCTGTGGTGTCTAGCGCCACCTCCTTCAGGATTCCCGTCCTTGCAGAAGGGGATGGGAGACTTTCTCTCTCACACATGAGCCCACCCACACCCCACATGCTGCCCACCCCCTCCCTCTCTGGGTTGATAATACATAATGAGCGACTGCTTTTGTACCATAGTACTATGTATGGTATTACTGGGTGGTCATACTATTCCTAGGTCTATCTAGCAGAAAGGGTTCTGGGCTACAAACACCCTCTCTCTCTGGCCCTGATTTTCTTGTTGCTGTGGGCAGGATGGGGTTGTAGTGGGAAAGTACCACCCCCCCCCCCCCGGATGACGGAGGTTTTAACTCTCTTGAATCCAAACTACGACGCTGGGATTCGGCCATCAGGGTAGCCATGTGCTCCTGCCCTCTCCCCCTGCACATGTACCACCATATATGTGCACTGCCCTTTTTTCTTGCCTCCTTTTTTCTTTCTTTTTTGTTGATTTTTCATTGGCTTTGCAACGATATCGATCTAAAGCAAGCACTGATCGTATCAGACTGTAGCTATAGGTGTAGCTGTATCCTTGTCTTGTTCTTTTTTTTTTGAGGGGGGGCGTGGTCGCGTGTGTGGGATGGACGGCTCCTTATGGTCTCTAAATCCCATTTCATTTCTTGGGACGAAAGTCAACTGCCTCTTCTCCCTTCTCTTTTCCTTCCTTCTCTCGCTCTCCTCTCTCCTCTCTATAGTTTTTCGAAAACAATTCACTCCGTTTTCCAACCAACATCAAACTTCCTACTGTTGTATTATTTTATTGCTCTTGTCATTGCTCTTGTTTTTGTATGCGCATACTTGGTTTTACATTCTTTTTTATAACTCCCCTGCCTCGGAATCTCGTGTTTGCTAATCTTATATCCGGAGCAATCGGGAAAAGGGCAAAAAGAACCCCAAAAAAGAGAGAGCTGAAAAGAAGACAACCAAAAAAGACAAGAAGCCAAGACTGGATCCCCCTGCTTGTAACCTGACTCGTTTCGCGATCTTCCTTCTCTCTTTTCTCAATCTCTCCATCTCTCAGTCACCTCCCCCCCCCCTCCTTCCCTGAAAACCCAGCAATCAACCTACAAGTACATCGACTCGAGCGCCAGAAACGGCGCCATATCGCACGGCGCTGCACGCACGCACAGAATTAATTCCAACAAGCAGCAGTCCATCGACTCTGGGCACCTGTCCTGCCTCTTTGTGCTGTGCAACAAATTCTCTGTTCCTCTCATGTGACACGAGGAGAACACCCCCCCCCCCAAATGGCATGAAGCACCCGCAGGCCGTCGACGAGCAGAAGGTCTGGATCCACCATCCCGCCGCCGCCGCACCAAACGGTCCCGCCATCATGGCGGCCGCTAATGATGACACCAACGGTTCCAAGAGCGAGAAGGAGGTTTTCGACCACGAGGCCTACTCGGGCCTCCAGGTCGTCGGCGATGGCCGCCCCCAGATTGTGAGCAGAGAGGCCCCCGAGGTCGTCGGCCCGGGGAACCTGCCCGAGTACGCAGAGCACAAGGCCTTTGGCCAGTATCCTCCGCCCCAGGTCTCGCCTCAACAACAGTACAACGGCGCTGCTGTCGCCTACCCTCAGTATCCTCCACATCAACAACACCAACAACCATCACCACCACCGCCGGGGCCTGCTGTGCCAGCAGGAGGTTCAGTAGGAGGACAGGGCATGGCGGCAGATTATCACTACCACAACGGCGGGAACCCATTCGAGCCTCCAGGCGCCAAAGTCAGAGCTGCGAGAATATGTGGGCTGAGGAGAAAAGTGTTTTGGGTGGTGCTGGCCCTCGTGGTCTTTGGTCTCATGGTCGCCATCGCGGTGGGACTTGGATTGGGTCTGGGCGAGCAGAATAATAAGTCTTCGAGGTATGTTGTCAACAGGTTTCACTTCCCTCCTCCTCTTTCTCTCCTCTCCAGGCTTGATCCCTCGAAACTCCTCTCCTTCAGATCCCGGACCAGGTGATTCGGCGATGAAGAAAGAGAGAGATAAGGAGAAAAAGAGGTCGGCGAGCGGGACGGCTCGTCAAGCTCTCTCTCTTTTTCTCGCAACAAAGAAAACCTGCGCGCTCAACCGCTTCCGGAATTAACCTTCCTCTCTAAACGCTGCTAACGTATCTCTCTCTTCTCTATACACAGTGCCAGCAGCAACTCGACAGCAACCGCAACCTCCTCATCGACAGCCACGACCCTCCCCGCCGCGACGGCCACGGCCACCGCCACAGGCAACACGGACATCATCTGCCCGACGGCCAACGAGACGCTGTACACGCTGGCGACACAGACGAGCAAGAAGTTCCTGGTGCTGTGCGGCCGCGACTACAACAGCGACAACGGGGCGACGGACCTCACGTCCATGAATATCACCACCTTTGAGGGCTGTCTGAACGAGTGTGGCAACCTGGACGGGTGTATTGCTGTGGGATGGGGCAACTACTATGGCACGAATACCTGCTGGCTCAAGAGCGGCATTGGGACGCCGAATCAAAGCTCGGACTGGTATGCAGCCGTGGAGGATGACTCGGGGTGAGAAAAGGACAGAGAGACAGAGAGAAAGAGGACGAGACCCCCCCGGGGGGGTGGCAATTTCACTCGATTATTTTTCAAAGGCGAAGGATGTAAAGGAACAAGCGATATTTTCGAGCATGCTGCTGGCGTCACAGGGTATTTGTGGCCATCCGTGCATTATTGTTTAAAAAGCAGAAATGATTCAACCATATATATATATATATGTATATCTCTCTATCTCTCTCTTCCTCTCCCTCTTGTTCTCTTTTCTCCGGGAGACCGAGCGAGCATTTCTTGGTTCTGTTTCTACTTCTAGAGAGATATACGGAACGAGTGAAAGGTGCATAGAGAGGAAAGCCCAAGATGCATGTGAATTGCAGAAGCCGTCCAGCCCCCAACATATACTCCATCCCATTTTCCAGGGGAGAAACCGTATGACTGTTCTTGACACAAAGACAGAAAGAAAAGAGCGAATGTCCCCCACAATTGTCTACCAGAATAAAACGCCTTCCAACGACCGTCAATGTGCAGATAAAAAGTATAGAATTCCACCCCAGCTGTCTTGTCGGAAACGAACCTCTCTCTCTTTCCCCTCCTTCTCACCTCCTCCACACCAGAGCCAGCCAAGCAGCAATACGATACCCAGCAATAATCCCAATCATGATGCCCACATTCTTGCCCAGATAACCAGCCTCATACCCATACTGCGCCAGCACGCCGTCGCCGGCAATCAAGCACCGGTCCGCCAGCGCGGTCTGGTACATGCAGTTGCACCCGGCACCACACGAGTACGCCCGCCCGTGGAACTCGTTGACCATCATGCCCTCAAAGACATACTTTTGGTAGTCCCAGTAGCTAAAGACGTACTTGTAAAAGACGTTGAGCACGGTGGGCGAGACCATGAACCCGTTGACGCACATCCAGAGCCCGTTGGCAAAGGCCACCAGGGCGAGGGCGACGACGAAGTTGGGAAACAGGCTGGACACGAGCACGACGAGGCCCTCGGCGGCGAGGAGGTCGAGGAAGACCCACATGACCCAGGTGAAGAAGGCGGCCGCCGTGGGCTGGAAGTTGGACAGCCAGTAGGAGATGGCGGAGAAGCCGAGCGCGATGAGGAAGAGGTAGGGGATGCCGATGAGGAAGTTGGACACGACGAGCTCGGCCGCGCCGTACAGGCCGTTGTGGAACTCCTTGACGTATTGGTTGCGGTCCTCGATGAAGGCGGGGACGTAGGCTACTGCCATGAAGGACATGAAGGCTCCGCCAAAGAACTGGAAATTATATCATGTGTTTGTGTGAGCCAGAATCCAAGAGCAGGGGGAGGAGGAGCTATTGGAACAAAACTTACAATGGCGTTGATATAGGGCTGGATATACTCCTGCTCCGTCTTGAGCCGAACCCACACTGTCCCCATCATGATGGCCAGCCCAAGGTACATGGCCACCCGCACACCATAAGCAATCACATCACGATAACTCTTGATAAACGACCGGTGAAGCAGGGTCAGCACCAGGCTCGCGAACCCAGGCTTCGTCTCCTCCACGACCACCATGTCGAGGGAGGAGGTGCTGCTGCCCTGCCGCACGTGGTGCCGTTGATGATGATGGTCCTGGTGCTGGTGCTGGTGATGCTGCTGTGCCTCGCACCCCCTGATGACATTGGACAGGTGCTCAGCCAGGGGTGAGGACGCCCAAGTCTGCTGCATGGCACCCAGGCGGCGCTGGGATGGCTGTCTTCCTCCACTCCTGTCTGAGGTGAAGTCGATGTTGACCTGCTCCAGGAGGAACTCGGCTGGGTTGACGTGGAGGGGAAGAGGATGGCCTGCGAACTCGTAATACGGACCAAGGGCATGAACGGGGCCGAAATAGTGTGTCTTGCCGCCTGAGAGGAGCATGAGCTTGTCGAAGAGGTTGAATGTCGAGGTGGACGGCTGGTGTATGCTGGCCACGACGATGAGCTTTTTGTGTTGGAAGGTTTTTCATGTCAGTCTTGAACTGAGCCCAAAATGTTCTCTCTCTCTCTCTCTCTCTCTCTCTCTCGGAGGATGACAGAAAGGGAGAGAAAGGATTCGGCAATAGAATAAGGAAAGCAGCAAGGAGCCTTTACTACTCACATTGTTCCGCTTAGCAACCCCCTTTAGGTAACTAATAACCTCGAAACTAGCCACAGAGTCCAACCCACTCGTAGGCTCATCCAGGAACAGAATCCGAGGGCTAGTAATAAGCTGGCTAGCAATCCCAACCCTCCGCTTCTGCCCACCGCTGATTCCCTTCCGGATCGGCGTGCCAATAATGGTGTCCGCCTGCTCGCGCAGTCCAAACGCATCCACCAAGCCGTCCACCCGCGCCGCCCTCTCCCGCCTCGTCAGCGACGAGGAGGCTTCTGTGCCCCCCGACAGCCTGGAGGCAAAGGCCAGGGTCTCGCGCACCGTCAGCGACCCGATGAGGGCGTCGTCCTGCTCGACGAAGCGGCTCAGCTGCCGGAATGCTGCTGGGGAGGGCACGGCGCCGTTGACGAGGAGCCCGCCGCTGACCTTAGCGGCTCCTGTGCCACGGGAGGCTAGCACGTTGAGGAGGGTTGTCTTGCCGCATCCGGACGGGCCCATCAGGGCAAGTATCTCGCCTGTGAGAGAGAAAGAGAAAAAGGATGGCCATGTTTAGCTTTTGATTTTCATGAAAGAGAGATGTGTATGTTGCTCCTAAAGCAAGGATAAGGATATTTCTTCATAAAAGAACTTACCAGCTTGCACATGACCCTCGACATTATCCACAATCACCTTGGGCTGTTTTGTCACCCTGTCCTTGACAGTGACGGTGACGCCGCGCCACGAGATGTTGTTCACCGTTGTGTTCCGCAGGTGGGCCTCGGTGGCGGCGTGCAGCTCGACGTCGATGTACTTGGACTCCTTGACGACGGCTGACTCGCCTTCGGAGCTGTAGGCTCCTCGTCCGCTGCTCGCCATATCTTCTTGAGTTGGTAGATAATCCAGGGTTGCCGGACAAAGGGTGAATTAATAGAAAAGAAGGAGGTGATGGAGAATAATAAGAAGAAGAAGAAGAAGAAGAAGATGATGATGATGAAGAGTAGGGATGAAGGAACTAAAAGGAAACGAACAAGAAGGGAAAGAAAAGATAATGGCTGCTTTCAGAAAAGACAACAATTGATTGTTGGCAAGGGTTCAAGAAAGGGATCCCGTTTCAAAAAAAAAAAAAAAAAAACAAAGATCAACAAGGCTATTATAAAGGTTGGAATGCCGTTGTAGATGAATGTTTTACGTGAAAACCAGGCCTGGCCCTCCACTCCCCTCGGCTGACTGACTCCCTTTGCAACCAACCCGCAGCACCCAGAGAGTAAGAAAGAAAGAAAGAAAAAAGAAAAAAAAAAAATCAAAGAATGGTGGTTCTGGCTGACACTGTGGAGGGCACTGAAGGAGGAGCAGCAGGAGGAGGCGGAGGAGCAGCAAAGCAGTACGGAAACGGCCGCTTATGGAAAGGTGACCAATATCCCGAACGTCATCGTCGGCGATGAATTTAGGTTCTGACCAAGGTCCCCGAGAGTGAGTGAGCAAGAGAGGATGACTTTATTTTCTTTGTGTTCCCTTTGATGTTCGTACGAACCAAAGAAAGGAAGGTGAAAAAATAAAGATGAAGAAGTGAGAGGGGAATATCATCATCGTCAGGCGATGGACTGTGGTGTAGCCAAATAAGCCTGCTTCCACGCCGCGTTCCTCGCTTGCAGTAGTACTGTACTGCAGTAAAGGACTGTAGTAAATTAGCGTAGCCTTGTCTTTCTTCTTCTATTCAACTGCTGTCAGACATATGCAAAAAAAAGAAGAGACATACAGTATAGACACTCAGTCAGCCGCCCACCATCTCACTCACCTACGCCCTCTTTTCAAACACCCCCTGCGAGCCACGAGCACCGTGCAGGAACACAATTCCTCGTGGGGCGGGCCGTCTTTCACGTGCCAGTGTGTGTGTTTGGTGTGTGTCAGTGTGCTCTTGACACATCCCTCGTGAAAAAATGCCCCGTCCATGTTTCTGTCCCGAGCCGTGTCCTGTCGCGTACATAGTGGAAGGGTCATAAAGGGTCATACTAAGAAAAATGTATCCCTTTGGTCGGCTTGTTCGCTTTCAGGGCCAAGCCAGGCAGGGGGCCTGTAGAGGGGCGGGCTGCATACTGAATGGCAGAAGTAAATCTCGCTCCTGACAGCAGCAGAGGAGACGATGTTTCGCGCGTGCCCTTGCCCTTGCCCTTGCATCGGAACCAAATTTATTTTGGCGCAGTGCGGCTGACGCAACGCAACGCTGTGCCAGGCTGTGTTCTATGCTGGGTGGTTTGAACCAAAAGCAGAGACAAGATTCTGATCTCTCACACACAAAGCCCATTCCTTTAACAGGTGAGCTTAATTTTCTTTTTCCTTTTTCCTCTTTTTTTCTCTTCCTCTCCTTTATCTGTTCTTCCTTTCCTTACCCATCTCACCCACCACCACAATCACACCGGTTTTCGTAGTGACCACAGCAGACTTGAGTGGGGGTTTTGGTGGTGTCCAGGACAAAAGCCGCCACTCGGAAGAATGCTCCACATTCGATTCTGGCCCTTCCGGGTATAGTCCTTGGTACAGAGTAATAGGCAGAAGAAAGAGAAATAACACCAACTCATCTACGCCAATACAGAAATAGCAGGCTCTAGTGGTCGCTGCTGCAGTGTAATTCGGGCCTCGGGGACTTGGAAGGAAAGAAAGAAAAAAAAGGGCCAATGAATAAACGCTCAGTCACGTCGACGATTCACTTGGGTCGTACCAAGTCGAACACAGCATGAGTTTCCTCCGATGTGGCCCCTTGTTGGTGAAACGAGGCGCTCGGGTGCCTCCTCTGTTTGTCTTTTGCTTCTGCAGCATGACCTTTCGAGTCTCACCTTTTTTTTTTCTCTGTTCTCTTCTTCTTCTCCTTATCACCCACCAAAAAGAAAGGAAAAAGAAAAGAAAAGGAAAAAAAACGGCCAATAGAACCTGGTCACTTCTTCCTGTTGTATGTTTCGGAGGTCAGCTTTGAACATATCCAGGGTGTTAATTAGCCCTGCCCCCTGTCAAGACAGGGAATATAATGTGCACATGTTTTAGGAATACTTGTTTCTTCTCTGTGTAGCGCGTGCGCCGGAATGAAGTGCGTTGTTGTTGTTGTTGCTGTAGTAGTACACACATGCACGTCAGCCTTTCCCGACGTTGTCCTCCCAATCTTTTCCCCAAGACAAAAATACGTGGTCTCTCTTCCCGTTACAGGGCCAGCCTCTTCCCGTGTTGCTACTTTCTCCAAATCATGCTCATTGATCTCTTGATCCAAGATTTATAAATATATATATGTGTGTGTGTGTGTGTGTGTTTGTGCGTTTGTTTCTCTCTACCCCGAGGATCCCTTCACTGCGGTGCCGACGTGACGGAGGACAACATGGAGTCGATCTCGCTCATGACGTTGTCGTCTACGTTCAGGCTGTTGATCATTTCGGCCTGGGTGAAGCCGATCCAGAAGGCTGGGGTGAGCTGGGCGGCCTTCTTGGCCCTGTATATCTCCTGTGCGACGCCCTTGACCTGGCCGCAGGCGGTGGCGGCAGCCTTCCAGATGACGCTCAGCTTGGACAGGGCGCCGATGCTGAGGCGGATCTGCTCGCGCAGGTCATCCTCGTCCGGGATGAAGTACAGTGCCCACTTCGACAGGTGCACGATGGACGCCATGGTGATGACGCACGTGAAGAAGTGCGTGTGGTGCTGCAGCGGCACCGCGTACGTGATCATCCTGGCGATGTCGCACGCAGCCGTGATGGTGTGCCGTGTGTGCGAGTTGAAGGCGTCACCTGTGGGCACCGCACGGTAGGGCGCACACGAGTTGACGCTGCGGGCAGGGGAGGCATCAAGCTGGGAGTGCGGCTGATGAAGCATGATTGTGCATCTAGAAATGAAGGAGAGAAGGCAGGGGGAATATCAGCCGTCGCACGTTGTTATTGATGGCTCGAGGTTGGCCGAGACAGGGGAGGGGAAGGACCACTCACGCAGTGGTGATAAAGTGTGCCTGGAAGAGCATCTCATCAGGCGCGCAGCTCTTGTCGATGGGGTCTCTCTTCCCCGGTGGCAGGTGTAGCCTCCAGTTGGTCAGGTGCGTATCCATCTTGACCAGGTTCTCGTCCTCGGGGAACATGATGGGAGGACACCTCATGAAGCGCCCGAGGTTGCGGATCGCGGCGATGCGGTAGGCGAAAGACGAGAACGTGCGGTCCTCGCCACTGAAAACCTGGTCCTCAAAGTCCTCCAGATACATCGGGTGTGGTATGTTCTACGCGGAGAACATTGCTCAGAGTCAGATCATGCGGCCACAAAAAAAGAAAGAATAGGGCTAAAGAGAGAGAACATAAAGTACCACAGACGCAGGGGAAGGGGGGAAAGGGCTACTGCTGCTCTCAGCTCCCCTTAACTTACCCCTGAGAGGTACTCTGACTCCTCGCAAGGGAGGCCTGGGAGCGTCCCGATGGCAGTTGCATCGTAGAGATAGAAGTTGGTAACCCGGTGGACGCCGGCAACCATGCCGTCACAGACGTAGAGGTCCCACCACGTGCGCCGCCAGCTCTCCTCAAGAATAGGCAGGCCCCGCCCGTGGAGCGTAGCGTACTCTCTAGTGTTGAGGCCAATCTCGATAGCTATCCTCTCGGCCTCGCCAAGCAGGTCCCTCGCCTTGTCCTGCTGACAGCTCCCATCCAAAGCCACGATGAGCAGCAGCAGAGCCTGGACGAGGAAGCCGTCCCTGGCGGTGGCAGGGGACTGACATAGGCGCAGGGCTTCGTCCAGATATGAGGCCCGGGCCGGCCCGGCCTGCAGGAACAAGGAGCCGACGTATCGCATGGCTGTCATGAGGTGCTCCAGCTTCTGGCCCGTCTCACGCACATGGCGGCTTAGGTGCTCCTTGGGCAGCACGAAGGGGTGGGCAGCATGGTAGTGATAGTAGAACGAGTCAAAGCACTTGTCCTCGATGCTGATGATGGGGGCCATGGGTGGCGCGCCGTGCTGGATGGCGTCGAGGGGCGTAGAGAAGGGTGGGTTCCTGTACAGCTGTAGGTGATTCATGGACGACGCGGCCGACAGGAAGGGTGCGGCGGCTCCGGCTGGACTGGAGCCGTTTGTCGTGGTGCCCCCAGTGAAAGCGGTGCTGGTCAGGCCCGGGGCGATTCCGGCTCCCAGCAGCATGGGGCAATTGTCTGGGCCGGGGCCCTGCGCGCCTGAAGGGACGATATCACCACCACCCCTGGCATCTGGAGAAGAGGAGGCGTGGCGCTTGTTGGGGTTCGGAGCCATCGCTCTGCGCGGGCCCTTGTAGCCTCTGCGCGAAGCGACATAGACGCACTCGATAGCCGAGCTCACGCAGCGGGCGCAGGGTGTGTTGCCATCACACTTTAGGTGTTTGGCACGCTATTCACGGGCAAAGAAAAACCCCGCTCGCATCAGTCGATCCATTGCAACAAACACAGTCTGACTTGTGTGTGTATGTGTGTGTGCGCGCGCGTGTGTGTTGAGGGAGAGGGTGAAGGGGGGGGGGGGGGCGTGCAGGGCAGAGGAAGGTATGCTCTTACACAGCCAAGGCATGCCGCAGGAACCGAGGGAGCAGCATTGGCGGGCGCAGACTGAGAAGCTGCATCTGGAGAGAGGCGACTGTCGGACGCTCCTGAGCCGTAGACTGCGCCTTGGTTAAAGTCGCTGACGTGCGATTCCAGGGGCGAGTCTGAGCTCGATATCGATCCCGCCGGGCGCGGTGGAGTCGCCGTCCCATATAAATCCATAGTCATAGTATACGTATGAAGCATGAATGTAAGCTGTGTTTGTAAAGATACCCTAAATAAGTGATGTGTGGAGGAGGATTGAAAAGAAGAAGAATTGAGAGAGAAAAAAGTTCCAGCAGCTGCCTTCGGTTCGAGAGGAGGAGAAAAGACGGACGACCGACCAAAGCTGCACGATGACGAGGCCCTGTGGGAGGAGGCGACGATAATCTGGACCCAGCGTATGTATGTATATTGTAGCGAGGGTCGAGCCGATATTGAGGTAGATGGAAGGAATTAAATAGTCCGTGGAGAAGAGTGTGTGGATATTTGTCTGTATCTTGCTGTGGCCTTATTTTGGTATGAAAAAGTGCAGTGACAAGTTTCAGTAGGAATGGAAGTGGATTTGAGTGAAGTTGGAAGGAGTATGTGGTTGCGGTGGTTGCAGAAAGAGAGAAGGAGAGGCCAACCAAAAGTGGTGAGGTGAGTACTTTCCCTCTCAAGGATGATCCGGATCTCAAATTCTCGACGTGACTTCCTACCTACCCCGACCTCGCCACTTGGCACCTTCTGGCGTACTGTAGCTCCAACAACCGTCGAGCCTCTTTTCTTTTCCTCTCTGTTATTCCTCTTCTTTTTGTTTCTGTTTTTAGAAAGAAAATTGGTTTTGGTCTTTTAACTTTTCTTTTTCCTCTCCCTCTTCAAAGTCTATCTAGAGCTGAAGTAGTAAGGGTGACTGCTGCTGCTGATTGATGGAGAACGGCCAGCTGACTTCGTCTGTCCCTCCCTGAACCTTACTTGCCACGGCAGAGAGTGCAGTGGACTAGGGCGCAATCACTGCAGCAGGCATACGTCGGAAGTGGGGGGACGGGATGAGGATACGAGGAGGGGAACGGGATCAGGGAAGAGACAGAGACGGACGAGAGAGAGGAGAGGGAGAGGAAAGGGGGCAATTGGATTGGATGGGACGGGACATGGAAGGCAACAGAGCGAGAGAGCAAGTGGCAGAGGTGGCTTGCCGTTGGTGTTGCGTTCGTGCTCTTTCCTTGCGCAAGTCCATCGCAGGAGGAAGGAAAGATTGCCTCTCCTGCCCCGTCCGGTCTCGCAAACTCCGCCGCGGTACATGGTACTAGCATCAACCTGCAGTGCCTTGACGCCTGCTGTGGGACAAATAGGCTGCCTAGCCTGGCTTGTCTGGCTTCTCCTCCTGTGCAACGACTAGGTAAGTACTACTGCACATCGTAATAGACCCAAAGTCTCACTTCTCTCCTCTCCTGGTCTTCTGCTCTCTCTGTCCTCTCTCTCTGTCCTCTCTCTCTGTCCTCTCTCTCTGTCCTCTCTCTCTGTCCTCTCTCTCTGTCCTCTCTCTCTGTCCTCTCTCTCTGTCCTCTCTCTCTGTCCTCTCTCTCTGTCCTCTCTCTCTGTCCTCTCTCTCTGTCCTCTCTCTGTGTGTGCTCATCATCCTCGTGTCACCAAGCTGCAGATGAGCACTACGAGCCGTTAATCATCCACCTCCCTCTTTCCCTTCTTTCCCCTGGGCTAGTTCATGTAACTAATATATGTGCGTGGTGATTCATCCACGAAAAAGTACTTTTTGTTTTGACATCTCTCTCTCTCTCTCCCCCCCCCCCTCTCTCTCTCTCGCGCACACACACACACTTCTCTGATCTCGCTTCATCCAGGTCCGTCGAGAGGGGAGAAACAGAGATTGGCTTGAGGAAGGTGTGCGGAGCCTTGTCTCAAACTGCAGCTTTGTCAGGTCCCGATGCGACCTTGTGTCCCTGGCCGGGAAGAAAAAGCAGAGCCACTCACGATCCTCCCTCATCCATGCACAGCATACCACCATACACTGCATATCATACATGCCTACACGAAATTTCTCCGAGCACCACACGGAACATCCTCCCTCCTGCCCGCCCGCCCAATGCACTTCCTCTCGGCAGGGAGCTGCCTGCCTTGGCTGGCTGTGACCATCCAGAGGCGTCAGATGGTCCATTTTGGTATTCTTCCTGACACCAGAAGCAACCATCGTCTCTCAAGGCGGTAGCATCAAGCAATGCTGCTGTGTGGTTTGGGTGTGTGCGTATACAAGCCAAGCCAAGCCCGTGCCAGAGGGACATCCTCTTCTTGGGGCGCCCAGACCACGGGAAGGACAGACACGGCACGATCATCATGTGCTGTGCTGTCATGATCTCCAGGTCATACCCAATGTGCCTCTCCATTTCACACACGTCTCTCACCATGTGGAGTGAGTTCCGCACCAGAGAAAACCAAAATCTCACGATGCCGTTCCCCAAGGCGAGGGGACGTGATACATATCCACAGTTATTGGGTTATGGTAATCACCCGCCGCACATCCCGTCATCTTCTTCGCGCCGAGATTGCTTCCCATGACATGAGAAAAGAGAAGAAAGTCTTAGACCAGCCTCGCAATCTCAAAGAAAAGGTACATTGGAAGAGAGACAAGACGAGGGATGGAGGGGGGAACTTCTGGGCCCCGGGGGGGGGGGGGGCGGGGCCAGGGCCTTTTTTCTTCTTCTACCTTCCTTGGCTGTCTTTTTTCCCCTTCGACCCTCCGCAGGCGAAAGGCCAAGGCCAGACAAGTGTTTCGGATCGGTGCAGTCACGGGTTGGTTGGTCGGAATCCCAGCTTTCTCAAATGGCGTTGGCGTCACTTGTGGTCTCAGATCCTACACTGCTTGGAAAGCAAGAGAGGCACCCCCGGCGGTTCCGATGACTGGAGCTCGCTGCAGTGATCGTCCGTTCAGGTTAAGAGACTGCGCTGCTATACACGTCACCGTCAAATCCATTCACGATTTCAGAAACGAATCAATTGCTTTTCCTTTTTCGGGTAGGCACTGCAGTCCTTTCGGATGTGGGGTCTTCTTCATACCAAGTTTTTGGCTGGGCTATCCCTCTCGACCTGCTTGCCGGTGTCCCGTCCATCACCTATTTAGAGTGCCATGCATGCCACTTGATTCTTGGGTGGGGGGGGAAGGGTTATCAAAATTAAAAACGAGATGCATACATTATGATGCCCGTCCCTCCTGAGGTCATCATATCTTTTATGGTCATGCCTTTCCATCACCGCAGAGGCTCTCGTCGTCATGTGGATTCGTTGTGTCTGTTTCCTGATTCGTCTTAATCGTACAATAAATCGTACAATAAAATCCAGTAGCCTTTTTCTCTCGCCTCGCTATCTCTCTCGTTTTGCTGTATAATTGTTGGTATGTTCAATGCCGCGGTGGCAAGGCGCAACGTGGAGAAGGCTTCAATTCGACACGACGGCCCTTGCAGTCCTGCTCGCGAGCATTAATAAGTGAGACGCACAACACAAAATGCAAGGACATGAATTTTAGACTTACTCGCCTTCATGAAGAATTAGCCCATTACGACATCGCCCTTACCACCTCCCTCTCCAGGGCTTCCATCCTCCGCCTCACCTTCCTCCACCCTGCCAGCCTTGACCGAGTCTACCGTCCTCGTAGTCCGCGCCGCAGTCAGGCTGATGTAATCATCCCCCATGAGCATCTGGATATCATCCCGCGGCAGCAGAGAGATAGCTCGGCCCTCATCACCTGCGCCACCAGCCGTAACAGGCTCCTCCTTCGAATCGAACCGGTCAAGGAACTCAGCAACGGTGCAGTCATTGAACCTGCCCGCCGCCCGTCCGGCACTCACCAAGATCTCCTTCTTCATCCGCCACTCGAGCGCATCGACCTCAACTGTCTCGTTCATGACCAGGTGATACACATGCACCGTCTTCTCCTGTCGGAACCGGATGCATCTGCCAAGAGCCTGCTTCATCTGCGCGTCCCATTCCGTCTGGCTCCGCGTGATCAAGGGGGACACAAAAATGATGTGGTTAGCGTTGTGCAGGTTGCTCCCTGCCGCCTGCTCCGAGTTGATGATCTGCACGAGCACGCGCGCGCCGCCCATCTTGAATGTTTCCAGGGCTTCGGATTCACCTTTGAGGAGATCCTGGCGCGAGACGTGTGTGATCTTGGGGTTACTTTCCGCGAGAGCCTGGTATACGCCGTCCATGATGGTTTTGTTCTGGACGAAAACGACTACCTGGTCACCTGCAGGCATGGCGTTGATGAGGTTCACAACCAGGGTAGCCTTGGGGCCCTGGTGCTCTGTCTGCGGGTCGAGGTAATGGGCAGGCTCCGATTCCAGAGCGCCCTGGCCTAGGTCGTCAGTGCGTACGACACGAGCTGGCTCCAGAAGTTTGCTGAGGGGGATGCACACATCCACGAGTGGGTGTGTGCAGCCGCGGACGCCACAGACGGCGGTGTCGAGGTCGATGCCTTGGGGAAGCGAGCAGTGGACATGACCACAGAGGAGCGAGACATAGTGTGTGCGCAGAGCCTCCTTCTCCTCCAGGCGGTGGCCAGTTTCAGTGTGCTCTTTTGTGCACCGCCACTTCTGCTCTATGACCTGCCAGATGACGCGCTGCAGGTTCTTCTTGCAGTGGGCGACCACGAGCCGCTCGAGGACGACGGAGAGCTTGTCGACCGTGTGCATAAGCTGATCGAAGCAGACCTCCATACTGCCGCCCCGGATGCGCTGCTTGCCCTCCAGGGGAACATCCTGGATGGTGGGCAGGCAGCCCTCGGGTGAGATGTAGTAGTCCTCTGTGGCCTTACCGGCCTCAGCCATGATCACACGGTTTCTAAGCAGTTCCATAGAATCGGTCGACTTGGCGATAAGGCCTAGCCGCATGCATTCTTCCTGCCAGTCAGCCTTGGTGATTCTTGCCTTCTTGGTCCTGCGCCTAATCTTCGCCTCGACCTCGTTACTCGTACTGGGAGGTATGTTAATCTGATCCTGGAGGCGGGCATTGTCATGCTCTCGCATCTGCTCAAAGCTGAAATCAGTCTGAGGTGCCTGTTCGTCCGACGAGGGTCGCTGCAGCTCTCGAATGGGCACAAAAGTGTGTTTCACTTCGTCGAGCCGAGCGCTCCGGAATTTGGCCTCCCATGGGACTTTGTGGTGCCATTCCATCTTGAGAACTTCCTGCACATACTCAGGCAGTTGACGCTCCTGGATCTTGGCAACGGAGAACCAGCGTCTCGAGTGGAGTGGTGTCTTGGTCAGGAGTTTGCTGAATTTGTGCAAGTACTCTTTCTTTTTCGTCACAGACGACTGTCTGCCTTTCTGGGCGGGCTCCAGGGTCGCGTTCGGGGCGGTGCCAAAATTCATCCGAGCCCACAACTCACGAATTATGTGGCCCCAAGCATGTTTGTTAGTTCTCGGCGGAAGGACAGATGATGAGCTGTTAATTCCGTCTTCGGTACTCTCTAGTTGTTTGTGGAAGTCGTCGTCCCAGATCAATATGCGCAGGGCGGACTCGAAGGCGTCCCAGCCACAGTACTGCTCAACATCCAGCTCTACGATGCTATTGATAGCGAGCTCGAGGGTCTTGTAATAGTCAAAGTGCCGAGCCTCTTGGCTGTCTATCTTGGAGGTGTGTTCGCGGAGGTTGATGAATGCGTTGCGGTAAGCTAGGTACAGGGCCTTCCCGATCAGCTCGCGGCCAAGGTCTTCCAGATCTTGGATGCTCTGTTTGCTCATGGCGTAGATTGCGCTGGCAACTTCAGTAGCAGACTGGACACTCTGCACAGCAGCATTGGCGGATTGGTCTTGGACGTCCTTGAACGAGGATGAGGCGCGGAGGGTCAAGGCTTCCATGGCCCGCTCCGTGCCCAGCATCTTGACCTTCCAGTCGACAAGATTCATCAGGCGGCGGCGGGGGTCGGCTGCAACCATGTTGCCATTGAAAGTGCGGCTGCTGAGTTCTTGCTGTAGCTCAAGGTATGCGAGCAGCGAGTTGGTTGACATGGACAGCACGACTGGCTTCTGCACAGAGTTGATATCCTTCATGACCCTGACGTTCTTCCTCATGAACATGGCCACAAATTCGAGGGCCTGCTCATGCCGCTCCTGTAGCAGCCTCGACGAGTTGCGGCTCTGGTATAAATGCGCCTCCTCAAGCGTGGAAAGGGGGCGTGTGGGAGGGTGGTCGCAGATAGGAGGTTGCCGACCATTGACAAGAGACAGAGGACCAGCCAGGTGAACGTTGAAGAGGTAGGCGATCTTGCAGATGTCTCCCAGTGTTGTAAGCGGGGGCGTGCCAGATAACATCCACTTTGACAGTGTCGCAACATTGGCCACGAATTCCGTCACTCGAATGTTCTCGTAGGGGAACTCATCCCAGATGACACGCGAGAAGCTGAAGAACTCTAGAAGCGTCAACGGCCTCCAGCTAGACAGAGAACCAGGGGTTGAAAAGGACGACGTATCATCCTGAAAGCTGGCCAGATTAGAGCGCAGAGCCTCGAGGATGGAATTGTATCCAGTCGTACTAGACGTCTGGTTGAGCGCAACAACCTGACCCCGGACATGGTGAAGGGTCTTCAGGGCTTGCTTATACCAGGCACGATAGACTTTGGGCACGGCTATGACATCGATTCCATTGGGATCGCAGTACTTGAAGAGTTCTGCCAGGTAACGAGGTTCCTGAAAGATCTTGTTGCTGCAAATGATGATGTCCGCGTTTTGAAACGCCGCTATACTCATGCTCTGTAATTGGGCACAGGTTTGAATGACGTGCACTTTATAGCCGCCGTGCAGGAAGCGCTTTGCCTCCTGCTCCCACTGGCGGGTGAGTTGGTTGGGGACAATGACCAAGGTGGCGTGCAAGTGTATCATGTCGGTGAGCTGATCGTTGTTCTTTCGGAGGTCCATGAATTCTGTACGGTCCGTGTCGTACTGCTTGTCGATGAGTCCAAGGCTCACGGCAGTCTTCCCAAAGCCAACACTATCCGCCACGACTCTACCGAGACGAGTGATATGTCTTGAGACCTGCGCGACAGCCCGAAGACGTAGATCGCTGATGTATACTTCTGCCAGCTCTCGTTCTGGAAATCCGAACTCGTCACTTACGCTCTCCCGCTCCAGCATCCACTCGAGGGAAGCCAGCTGTTCATCAAAGAGCGCCTCACCCTGTCGGAAACCTTGAGGTTGTGTGACTGCCCGACCCAGATCCTTTGGAGACTTCGGGGCCTGTATGACGATCGCTGGAAGCTCGGGTCGCGGGTCTTCTAGTACACCAAAATCCAAGGCAAAAGTGGCCCTCGTCAGGTCGGTATCCTCATAGTAGGCAGGGTGTTCGGGCAGATGAGATCGCGCCTCCTGCATCAGGGTCTGTGCACGTCCAACAATTCGAATGTCAATATAAGGGATTGCTGCCTTCTTCTTGCTGTGGGGGACAAGAGCAGCATTGACATTATGATCAATGCGAAGAGCCGAGGGCTTGCTGCTGATGTTCACATCGTAGACTTCCTGGTCATCTTTCTGGTGTTTTGCCACAACAGACCCAAAGGTTTTGGATCCTGATGCATCTGCCTTCTGCCAGACTACCTTGGGCATCTTCGGGGCGCAACGTCCGCAGTCGCTGGTCAGGTCCTCCTCGGCAATCTGCATCCTGCCGTTATGGACTCCATCCTGCTCGAGAGCGAGGACTGCGCGCTCGATCGCGGCGTAGCAGGGCCCGATTAGTCGGTTGAACTCGGCCAGGTCAAGCTGCTGTGTCAAGTCGAGGTCCTTCACCTTCTTCAGGGTAGCGGCGATGGCCCTGTCGCTCTTTCCAAATATGGGCAGGGACATGGTCACCAGAACCTGGTCTCTCTGGCAAGAACCCTCACCAGTAGCGTCGTGTGCCGCTGCAGATACTTTGAGGCCACCAGATGGAAGGTCTCGTGTGAGAAGACGAAAGTCTGCTGGGGGGCACGACGGGAAGTTCTGGAGGGCCAAGTCATTTACATCGTTGTTGATGAAGGCAGGAACCTTGATCGGGTGCTCTTGAGGGCTGATCCACCGGCCTGTGAGGAAGGCAGACACAACAAACTCCTGGTCTCGAACAGGTTTATCGCCAGCCTCCATCTTCTTGATGATCTGGTGGATCTGGTCGTCAGCGCTGATTCGGAGCAGAACTGGTCGGCATTCTGCTGTGGGCGTTCTGCCCATCTCACGGTTGACGGCCGAGATGACGAACTCGTCCTTGTTGGCAGGACCGACGGGGTTCACATCCTTGAACATGAAGAGCTTCTCAGCAGTAGGGCCATCACTGCAGACCCAGAAGGCGTCCTCGGGAAAACCGCACTCGGGGTGATATGTCCACGTGGTGCCCTGCAGGGGCTGGATCTGGCTCTGAACGTCGTCATGCAGGCCCTCGACGCCAGAGAAGATGAAGGACAGCTGGAGGTTGCGACGGTCGTCGAGGAGGCGAAAGCAGAGCTCGAATCTGGCCTCGAGGGGCAACCAGAAACTCCACTCTTCGGGGAACTGGCTGGGGGCGTTCGAACGGAGGACAGCACGTGCGATGGGCTGACTTGTCTTGTGGCGGCTGCCTGAGAGTTTTGTCCCTGCCTCGGACCACTGGTCGACATGGAGGTACCAGGTGAGCTTCTTGTCGTCGTCGTCGCTGTTGTCGAGTATGACCCGCAGGATGAAGCTGTCCTTGGCGACGTACTCGATGCGGACGGCGTCGGTGACCTCGATGAACTTGAGCTCATAGGTGGTGCTGCTGAGGCCATCGACGATCGCGCGAGCGAGCACGGCCGACTCGGGCAGCTCACACGCCGATGAGACCAAGATGCCCGCCAGGTGAGCGGCGTCATCTTGACCCATTGTGGAAATCATGGGCAGAACTGCAGGAAAGAACTTCCGCAGCCTGTCCTCTGCATTGGCATAGGTCAGCGATCCAATCTGGTCGAAAGACTGACCTGACTTTACCAGCGCATGCCCTGGATTGCCCTTGCAGGACTTGCAGAGCCAAGCGCCGCACACCTCGCAGACGAAGAGCTCCATGCTGCTGTACGAGAGGATGTGATAGCACTCGCAGCGGCGGCGTGCTATCCTTCCGAGCCCGATGATGCGCGCAACGGCATCGTTGGGCCTAGCAGACGAAGATAGGACGACGTCGAGGGCTTGGCGCCGGCCTAGGTCCAGCGCAGACGTTGGCAACTCAAAAGAGCTGCCATCCAGGACAACCGCATCTTGGTGGCCTCGCCTCCCAAAAAGTGTGCTGAGAGAGTGCAGACGATGGTTGTCGTCGTTGTCGTTGGCATTGTCTGCACTGCGCTCAGCAACGCAGCATAGGGCAGCCAGGATGACTGCCCCAACCACCGTAGTGGTCATCGCGTTCCCGGCGAGGTCCTGAAGTTGGGTCTGCGTCTCGGAGCTCATGTCGAAACTCTCGATAGGCAGACCCTGGAGTTTCAGGGCCTCGGACCCTGTGATGGGTCGGGCCTCCAAGGTAAGGACCGGGATAGCCGACGGCGTGAGGCACCCGGTGGCACCAAACGCCGTCGCCATGTTGACCCGATCGACATTTTGGCTGCAGTCAATTATCTGCGCCTTGTGTCGCGGGTCATACGCGCTGTGCTTGGTATTCCTGCCAAAGACAGCGATAAGAAACACACATTCAAGCAAATCGCTGACGCGATTTGTTTGCTTGGCCTCCCACGGCTTCCACATTTTGGCTGGAGCACGCGAGCTGCCCCTTTCACTCCAGCGGATCCAGGGGCGCTCGTCAGGTATCTGGTACAAACGTCGGAATGCGGTGTGGCGGGACCGCGAAAAGCTCCAGTCTGTATCCTTTTCTCGGCTGGACTGAGCCATTAGCTCCATCTCGTTGCGGGCGCGGTGAAGCTCGTGGCTGTTGATGGGCAGGAGGAAGTCGGTCACCGAGCTCGAATAGCGCTGCTCCATCTTCTTGATGGCCTCCTGGAAGGCCTTGCAGAGCGCCTTGGCACCGTCTGGTGTGAAGGCATCTTGACTGAAAGCAATGAGGTACTTGCGGCAGCGAGTCTGCGGCAAATAGTAGTTTTTGGTATCAAGGCTAACAAAGGTAGCGATATAGCCGCACAGGGGGAACACGTAGTCTATGGTGCTCTGCCAGGGTGCGGTCTCGACGTTCTCGAAGATGACGATCAAAGGCTGACGCTCATAGATGTAGTTCATGGCACCAGCAAAGGTGATGGAGGATGTGCGGACCACGCCCTTCTTCTGCGTCAGGCCCTCGATGCACTTGCGCCAGTCGTCAGGGTTGAGATCTTGTCTCGTGAGTGGGGCGTCTGGGTTCTTCTTCAGACGATCTTGGTATATCCTCTTCCACCGGTCGTTGGCCTCTGCCAGGCCTTCGAACCCCTTGGTTCTGTTCGAGTTAAGACCGGAGAAGTCGACACACGCGGTACCTGCGATGAAAAGGTCGACTTTGGGAATCTCGGCTTCCACGCCTGACACCAGATGACTACGCAACAAGCACAAAATTTGAAAAGGTTAGTCATATTGTTAGGTTCTGAAAGTAACAAGTTGGGGGACCCGCGATGATGGAGACACATTTATGAATGACTTACGCTAACTTGGCGCCAGGCTTGGTAAAGTCTTGGGCGTCTCGGAAGAGAAGCTGCGGCTTGCTGTTGCGCATCAGGAACGCCTGCTTGAAGGGCTCAATCTCGCAACCAAAGGCGTTGACGGTGGTAAAGACCTGTTCGCCCTTGTCGTTCTTTAGCATGCCGAAGAGGTTCATGACGTGGAGAGGTGCATCAGTGCCAGAACAGATGGTGCCGACCCGGATGTAGTACTGTTGGCCTGAATCGACATAGTGGTGCAGGCCCTGCGGCTGGGCAGACTCGAGCATGCTCCCGATGATGTCTCGAAGGTTGGACAGAGGCGGCTTTGACGTGTCAGGGCCTACCTCGTCGACCTTGCCCGTAGTGCCGCTTTCAGCTGCATTGTCAGTATCGTCATCATCATCGTCACTGTCGGTGCCGTCGTCCTCAGGCTCGTCATCATCTGAGGCCTCATCATCCCGCGCAACACGCTTTCCCTTGGACTTCGCACTCGCACCAGACCTCTTTCTCTTAGTCTTGGCATTGCTGAGGTTCGAAGGAGCCTTGCGCTTCGGTTGACGTGGCCTGCTGCTGCCAACTACCACCGTGGTCGAAGATGAGGGTTCACCATCCTGTTGGAAGCAGGTCAGCAAGATTGTTCTAGCGGCAGCAACCGCTGGTGTACATTACCTGAGGCTGTAGGGCGTTAGGAGAGGGAGTGTCCACAAGGTCCATCTGGGAGGGGTCATCTTCGTGGATTTGCTGAGCAGCTTGTCGGCTGGAAGACATGTTGAGCTCACCACCCACTTGCCCGTCTGCGAGGCTGGTCGCTTGTATTGGCCGTGTCTGAAGTAGCTAAATTCAAGTTGCTAGCTGAAGCGGCCACGAGACGCGAATACAACAGAAAGGGAAGCGATCGATGGAAGAAATGGGTAAATCAGATCCGTTATGCGAAGCTCGATCAAAATGGGCAAAAGAATTGTTCGTCTCTGCCAATGATATCGAAGTCAAACTGCAATGGCAATGGACAATGGGCAATGTTGATCAGGAGGAGTGGTAACTGTGGTGGTGGTGGTGGGAAGGAAAGAAGGAAGACAACAGCTTGCGCAAAACTTCCAACCGCTGGCAGATTTTGCTTCAGGCTCAATGGCAGAAGCAGCTGGAGCTTGGGCCACGCGGGGCATGATGTCGACAGGAAGAAAACATATAAGTGAAGGGTGAAGAAAAGCACGACATCATAGACGAGGGCGTGGGTGGGTGGTTGAGCCCTCCGGATGTGGGCACCTTGTGATGTTGTGATGTTTCGACACTGCGGGCCTGATGACCAGCGCGGATCCAGCATTGAGTTCCAAGAGGACAGTGAGACTGTGTAAGCCTGCACCTGGAACGAGCCTAGACAGAATTAATACAAAGATAATACGCCAGAAAGGTGCCAATCCAACACCAACACCTCTGATATTCGCAAGACATTTTTCTTTGAATAGGTGGTGAAGATTAGTCATACCTATCCAGTAGAGGTGTAAGTCCAGTGCAATGGAAAGAAGCTATGAACACATTGAAAAGAGAGGTGTAAGGCCAGGCTGAAAAATTATACATTGTCTGGGCTCTAGATTTGCTCAGTCACAAAAAGACTGCCATAGCTAGGCACGCTATGGAGCCCATAACAGAGTTTGAGACAAATGTACCAATACATTGCTCCCAAAACCCTCAGCCACTGAGCCAAGGCATTCGGAGAGAACAGTGAAAGGCAAAGTAAGAAATCTGGAAAGATGGCAAGACAATGAAACCGAAGTAAATACCACGAAGAGAAAGAGTTGGAGGAGACTTACAGTGCACTCACGATTTTATGGGCGTTAGGGAGCTCAAGGGAAACCACACTCGTCGGAAAGTTGTGCTGCATCGTGGCCGGTTTTGTTATCAAAACTGACCTTCGCACGCAAGGGGATATTGGCTCAAACGTTTAGCTCTAAGTTTTTTGCGTGGTCATTTTGATTCTGAGAACGACCGTCGACGATTTGTCTGCAAAGTTATATCTTGCCTTGCGGTATGATAGGGCTGGGATATCTCAAGGCCTTGTCGTTTGAGACAAAAAGATTGCTCCCTGTCCAGGGACCGGTAAGTCGGGCTCGGAGTGCCATATCAGCCATGAACACTTCCTCTGACCGGCTTCGGGTGACAGATAAGTTTGAGATCCTTCCCTAGTCTTGCGTAATACTATTATTGAGTAAGAACATGATGCCATAGTCAGGTAACAAGGCTCAGGTCAAACAGACAGTAGACAAGTTCACCGTAGATATCCACGTGAACATCCTTTGGTGGCATCGGAAGAGTCATGATTTCTCTTCATGAAGTGAGCCTCTTGAAACAACGACTTAGTGCGTGTTCATATTACATGAAAAGGGGCAGCTCCGAGGCATCAGGCTCTGCATCAGTACATCCTGTCAGCGAAGTGTTGAGAGCGCGAGCAAGAAAATCCATAACAAATAGCCGTATGAAGCCATCAAGGACAGGATAGAGCTGAAATAGAGTGGAGTATCAGATGGCGAGGGATCAATCCGTTGTGAAAAATTAGGGTTTACTCGGGCCAGGCCAGATCTCTTGCGATTCAGAGACGGCATGTAAACAGGTTGGAAGTGAGTACCTGTAGTTCCCTAAGAGGATAACAGTGCTGAGACAATGAAACTGGTTGTATGTGCACACCTCTACGAGGTAAAATTTCCGAAGAGATGATTCAAAGGGCGAGGGAGAGAAACATAAATAGAGCACAATACAAAAGATTCATCCAATTTAGTTCATTGTTGATCTGGAATGACAACGATGAATTAGAGGGCTCAAAACCGATCAGGTGCATGAGGGTGGTTTGCGCCAGGGGACATGAAGTCGTCGAGGGGCTGACATGGTGCAGACCTTGCTGAGATAAAAAGAATAGGTCTGCAGGACGGATGAATGGGTTTTGTGCAGCCCCTGCAATGATCACTAACGACAGCCCCAGGCGGGGCACTGACGGGATGCTAACCGCCTGTCGAGACTGGGATCAGGAGCTGCAAACGCGGGTGACCAGGGGCGCGTCACATAGTGTAAATCAATGAAACCGCGTCTGTCTCCCCCCATAATTACTTCTAAACAATGTGAACCAGGTCGAGAATGGCTGCTTCCTCTGGCCTCTCTCATTTATCTCGTACGCCGCCATCGGCATGCCCGATGGCGGACGAAGGTATCTCCAGTCCTCCTGTGCAAGATACAGAGATGAGCAGCCCTTGTGACCCTGGGCCGGCCAAAATCACCAACAACACCCCATCGTACCGCAAAGCCAAGGATCTCCCCTACGAGCTAAGGTACCGCTGCCAGATTCATCTGGAGGAGCAGACCTGTAAGTAGAGCAAGCACCCCCTCCTGCGTGTGTATACCCAGAGTACCGAGCGGCCAAGCTGAGTGCGCCTCTCTCTCTCGCACGCAACAGATGTCACGGGCCTGGACCTCCTCACCAGCGTTCTGTGCGATGGCATTTCAAGTCCGACAGCATTGACCAAACCTGCCCTCGTTCCACCACCCCCCCAGCTTGCGATGCTGGCCACCCTTGCGATCCTGCCTAAGCACACCTCCAAGCTTTCGAACAATGCCGAGCATGATGTTGCATCCATGTCCCTCTCCCTCCTGCGCAGCGTCCTGAGCATCGTCGGGCCGGTCAACGGCAGACTGCGAGATGCGTTTTTGTTCCGAAGCCACAGTACACGACGCCGTCGTGCTACTGACGACCCCCCTCGAGATGAGTCGGAGAGCGAGGACGATCCCATACATGGCAAGGCGGCCAACAGCGGAAGCATCTGGGTGCGTGGCCAGAACTTCTGGAGGGTCCTCGGCTGGGCGTTCAACTGCAGCGCGCTGTACCCGCACCGGTGGCGATGGTGGAAGCCATGGCTCGATTATATGCTGGATGTTCTCGAGCTAGATTACGAAGAGAGAAAACGTCTGGACACGGAACACGAGGGTAAGGGGGAGAAGATGGACCACCCGCTGCTGTGGGACTCCCTCCTGATGTGCTACATCACACCCCACAGCCGGTCATCACCACTCAAGCCAATTATAAACGCCGTGTTTGCCGATGGGGGCACCTCGTCAACCACGATATACGATGAGGTGTTCGAGAAGGAGACGAATGTCAGGTCCAAGGTCTGCAAGAAGAGGAAGCGGCGGAAGCTCGACCTCGACAACGACGATTTTGGTGACTACATGAGGGACTCATCTTCGGACGGCTCCGAACCACCAACTCCTAGCCACCAGAGGACATCGGCGGACGACGACGACGAGTCTGTGTCATGGACAAGCTCATCGCTGGGTGAGACCGTTCGGATGCGCCTTCGTGTGTTCGCCTTGGTAAGCCATCCTGGCAACGTCGCAGCTTGGCCCTTCCACTCTAACGATTGTTGTTAGTTGTCGCGAGCTGCAGAAGATATGCCTGACAGATGCAGGTTCAACTTAACGGATCTATACAGCGAATTCACCCACAGGATCAAACAACTACCAGTACCAGCCTTTGCGCGCTTTGTCGCACCACGCGATTCCGCTCTCGATGTGATCTCGCTAGTTGCAACCATCCGCGTCCTGATGCCGGCACTCCTTCCAAACTCGGCTCCTAGATCTTACCACGTGGACCCAGAGGCGGATGAAAAAGAATCGATCAGTGTCCGCATCCTGGAAAAGTGTTACATGCCCTTCGCGTACAGAACTGCGGCCAACAATGCCAAGCTGTCCCTGGCAATCGAGACACTCTTCCGGATCCTGTGGAAGGGTGGAGTCTTGAGGTGGACGGAATCGCTGCAACAAGCTGTGGAGACGGGCGTCCAGGCTCGGCGGGACAAGTCTGAGCCGAAGAAGAACAGCCGCAAGCCAGATGGCGAGAGGGTTGCAAGAGAGATCCTCCACGCTTCCGAGGCACGCATTTTGGCATTGGCTCACCTCCTGAGGGTGCAAGCAATGCATAGCACGTGAGACGATTTGACACACTCTTATTGCGAGCGTGTGTGTAATCACCAACAATCATGTCATTGCTAGAGATTGAGCCACGTAGATGGCTAGAGGATATGCATTATGTACGGGCGACGCTCGCAGCGTCTCTTATGCAAGAGCCTCGGTAGCAGGTTGGCTCTGGTCAGATTCAAAAGTGGCGTTATGGGTGGTCCTTTGGAAAATTGATGATACCATTGCTAGGATTCATATTATTATTGATGATGATCATGACTTGATACGTCTTTCATACGTGTCACCGTTTCGATGCCGGTGGTGTCCAGCCTTGCGGTTGCCAGTCTTCACTTGGTCCAGCCCGACGATGCTTCTTCCACGGATCCTCCTTGCGCCCATCCGGTGCAGTCTGCGCGGTCCTGCTCTCTAGAGCCGCTACGGGTTGTTGCTGCTGCTGCTGCTGCTGCTCTCCCGCCGGCGCGTCCATCACCCTCGGCTTAGCCTCCCACCGCGCGTCGGCCTCGGCGGCCAGGTACTTCATCTGGGCCTGCCGTCTTGCCTCATGATGTTGCTCCTGGAGCGTAGGCGGCCTCTCGCGCATGTTGCGCAGCCACTGGTGCCACTGGGGCGACACCTTGACCTCGCCGTAGTGGGTGTCGCGTGGGTACTGCACAATGCGGCGCCAGCGGACGGGTTCGCCGGGGCGGGGGTCACCTCGGACATCGCGGAATTCCCAGTAGGTGTTTCCTTGGAGGTCGAGGCCTATTTTTTTATTAGGAGAAGTGGGGGAAGAGATCAACAGCGATAGTGGTGATGATGATGATGATGATGATGATGATGTTGATGCTAATTTGAACAATGAGGATTGGTTTTGCACTGGGACGTACCAACTAGAAACCTCTTCCGCCATGGTAGGCGGAGGGCTTTCCACTTATACCATGTTCGTAAGAGGGGTGAGATCTGTTTCGAGGACATCTGCGGTCGGGGTGCTGCACGATCGATCACACTGCTGAATGTCTGTTCGTCGTCATGGAAATCATATATGCGCCACCATTTTAAATAATCGCTTTCTGCAGAACTCCAATTCGACGCGACCGCGTTCTGGGTGGATCCCAGCGACAAGGGGAGGAGGCGGGGCCCAGGGCTTACCCCTCCGTGCTCTCTCCAGCGAAGCCAGGGGAGGAGGTCCTCAGTAAGTGACGTCTGTGTTTGTTGGATTTTGGTGGCCGGGTTGGCACGGATGGCTGGGGAGGGCCCAAGGGACAGGGGTCGACTGCTGTCACAGTAGGGCTCTCGGCAGCAGGCGGCAGGCGGGGGACAGCCTTGGAAGAGACAAGGGGGCGACTCTGGTACAGTGGCCGACGGTGTGAAGACAAGGGCAAAAACAGGGACCACAACCCAGGGGTGTGTGGTGACCCAGTAGGGGGGAATGCCCCTCTTTCTTCAACAGCAAAACCACCCCCTCCCCTCCCTAATGCTACTGAGAGCTGGAGTGCTGAAGGGGTATTTCGGGTACTAACACGATGTGTTCATGCTGGCTGGCGGTCCTTGCACGTCTTCTGCGCAGTCCTCAGTAAAATCAAGTCATCTCTCCTACATCTCTATGCAATTTGGCAAAAATCCACCAGGCAATCTCGCCCTCTCCGTCGTATTCTAGTAAAACAGCCCTCGTTTCCTTAAATAACAACAACAAACACCGTTGCCGTCGTGTCGGTTGGCATTTTCTTCTCTTTTTGGCTTTTCCTCCTCGAGTACGAACTTAGTGAGGACGGCCCAGATCAACTCCCGACTCGTTCCAGCTCGAATCGCATACCTACACTGCCCAGCCAGTTGCCAGCGTCAACAGACACACACCCACACACACGGAACGAAACATACGTCACCGTTCTATCCCGGTATTTTCGATCCATCGTGTTGTCGGCTCTCGTTTTTATTATCCTACCAACAATATCACGCACAGCGCAACACACACGATCCATAATCGAGCACACGACGGATCTGAAAGACAGCAGCAGCAGCAGCAGCCACTCCCACCATGGCTTCGGTGACGTCCCTGGACAGAGATCTGCGCAAGATGCGCCTCGACAAGTACACGCCCGCCGCGGCAAACGAGGTGCGATCATGGATTGAGGGCATCTTAGGCGAGCGCCTGCCTCCAGGCGACCTTCTTGAGTCTCTCAAAGACGGCGTGGCGCTCTGCAAGTAGGTTCTTGGTGAAATATATCCGCCCCATTGTTTTCCCTTCAAGCACCGCTGGCTAAGCGCTGGTGTTTCAAACAGGCTCGTCAACCTCGCCCTGCCACCGCCAGGGGTCAAGTTCAAGACCTCGGCGATGCCCTTTGTACAGATGGAGAATATCTCCCACTTCCTCCGCGCCTGCAAGCTCCCGCCGCTCAACCTTCAGGAGCACGACATGTTCCTCACAGTCGACCTATACGAGGCCAAGGACCCGGCGCAGGTACTGCAGTGTCTGGGCGCATTCAGCCGCGCGGCAAACCAGGCCAAGCCAGCTGCCTTCCCCTCTGCCATAGGACCTCGCGCTGCGGGCCTCAGCCCACAGAGGACAGGTGCGCCTGGGCATCTGTCGCCGACGCCCACAGCCAGTGGCCGACCGCGCGGCATGTCCAACAGCAGCAATGCCTCCTCGGCTCACAATATCCGCTCAGCACTCACGGCAAGCAAGACGGGCGACTCGGGCTCGGGCCGCTTCTCTCCCAACAGGAGCCCGACCGCGCAGAATGGACCCAAGTCGCCCTCGGTCAGCAGCTGGAGCAGCCGGGCCCACGAGGGCGTGACCTCGCCGGCGTGGAATATCGCACAGTATGGATACATGGGCGGTGCGAGCCAGGGCAACCTCGGCATCTCGTTTGGCGGGAGGCGACAGATTACCAGCGCCGGTCCGGCCGTGCCCAGCCTTGCCGAGAAACAGAAGCTCCGCAGGGAGAAGGAGGCGGAGGAGAAGAGACAGCGCGAGGAGGAGGAGGCCAGGCGCGCCCAGCAGGAGGCTGAAGAGGAGGAGCGCAGATGGCAGGAGGAGACGAGGCGCAAGCGCGAGGAGGAGGCGCGGCTGCTCGAGGAGAAGCGCCGCTGGGAAGACGAGGAGCGCCAGTGGAAGATCACCGAGGAGAAGCGGCGCAGGGACGAGGAAGAGGCGGAGAGGCGCCTAGCCGAGGAGCGAGGCAAGGTCAGAAGCAGGGCCAATTCCCGTCTGCACGGCCAGTTCCTGAGCCAATACCAGGCAGAACAAGGCATCGGTGCTTCTGTTGGCGGCAGCATCAGCAGCAGCAATGGCAGCAGCGACCCCAGCCAGCGTATCAGGGAGCTTGAGGAGGAGCTGGAGCGCGCCCGGCGGCGAGAAGCTGAGTACGAGAGTGAGCGACAGACCCGGGTCCGGATGAAGAGCGTCGATGCTAAGGCCAGGATTCGCTCACGTAGCCGACGACGCCCCTCGAGCGGTACACCAAGCAGACAGGACTCGTGGGCACGCGGCGACGATTCGGACGGCGAAGGCCTAAGGCACTCCTGGAACGAGCGCAAGCAGCAGCAGCAGCAGCAGCAGCATCGGCCGCAGCCCCCGCCACGACAGAACTCCCGCCCCCTGCCCGACCCAGCGGCCTCGATGACCACCTCCCCCCCACCACCACCAACAACACCAGCAAGTGCGAAGGCTGTGAAGACGCCCCGCACAGGCGAGTCCTCCACACCCAAGGTAAAGGCGCACAATACTGGCGGCAGTTCCCGGCCCCTACCGGACCCCCGAAAGTACTCCTCACCTACCTCACCACCCTCTACTCCACAGATGAACCGTACCGACCGTTTCCTGGCCACCAGCCCGGCACCCGTGCAACAGCAGCAGCAGCAGCAGCAGCAACAGCAGGCATCACCCACGTACTCGCGCGAGCTCGGAGCGACGGCGGAGCGGGACGCTGAGGACCGACGGCGGCAGCAGTCGCAGCAGCGAACCAAGGCAGGTGGATGGGCGTCCAAGTCGCTGCTGGAGCGCGAGATGGAGATGGAGCGGCAGCGGCAGCGCGAGTGGGAAGAGTCGCAGAAGGAGACGGCCAAGGCGGCACGGTCTGGAGACGGAGTGGAGGGAATCGGAGGTGGCATCGGTGGGAGGTGGGATGTTGGCCAATGGGCTGGGTTTACGGGTGGTGACAACCAGAACCGCGGGATACAGGGCATCGGCGCAGGGAGGAGGCAGATCGCCGGGCCAAGGCCACTGCCTGGCACGCCTGGGTCTGGTCGCTGAAGAGCTTTTGTCTTTTCTCGACATCTGCCTGCCCATACCTACTTTGCTTGATTGCTTTGCGTGTTTGCTCGATCTGACACTTAAAAGATCTCCTTTTGTTTTTGTATTTCTTCTTTCCTTTCCCCCTCTTTTCCCCTTCTTCTTTGTTTCTTTTTGCGTGGCGTTGGCAAGTGATTCATTTGATGGTATACCCCCTAATTGACTCTCTTCCACCCTTTTTCTCTCTTTCCTCTCGAGATCGTCATCATTGTGATTCTTTTGTTGTGTCTTTTGTACAAGACAAATAAGTCCCTATCGTAGACTTCTCATATTCTGTGATGACCTGGCTCACCTCTTCAGGTGGACAAATACTACGCCCTACCCCTTCGTCCTCCCCTCAATTTTGCACATGATTGACCAGAAGGGAGATCTAGTGCCATGGTTGGTTTTTTTTTTTCTTCTTGTTTAACTACTCCAAGTAATAATATGTCTGGTTGCGGACCGTCAACCCGAGATCTCCACAGGATTCTTTAGCGCATGCATCGACTGGTGGACTTGTTGATGCCCTTTTCTTTCCCCAATCTGCCACCAGTGTTGGTCTTGCCATCCCGCGCCCTCCGAATCCGTTTATTTCCACTTGCTGTTATACTACTTAGAGTTAACCGAATAAATAGAAAACCATGGATTTTTTTTATTTTTTTTAGCCTGCATGATCCATGAGCCCACCGCCCCAGGATCTGAAGAAAAGGAGGAAAACGTATGACGACGTGGTATTGGGCTATGTTACTATGATGGTTGATAAGTAATTGATTAAGTACTTATTCGTGGTATATAAAGAGCAGGCGGGGGAAATCGCGAATGGATGGACGAGAGGACCTGCTTTACTTAGAAGACCCTGCCTTCTCACTCAAGCGCCTTGATTTGCGTGACTGCCTTGACTGCCTTCTTGACTAATCCAGTCGAGACTCGAGCAGTATGGCTCCTTCTCACAGTCGTTACCTCCTCTTCCTCCTCCCCCTCCTCCTCCTGGGCTCCCTTACTATCGCCACGCCCTCTCCTCGGAGTCTGGATTCGGACCTCACCATCCTCATGAACAATGATCTTCAAGGCATGTAATTTTGTTGTTTTAGGGTAGAGGAACACGATTTTTATAGCGTGTGTGTGTGAGGCATTCTGACTGACCTTGGCCATGTAACCAATCTTTTGCGTTCATTTTGTGCAGGCACAAGCAGTCCGTACATAGACTCAGCAGTGATCCTGCTCAGCAGGCCTTCTTCGTATCAGGACGCCGTCGAAGGCTGTAAAGCACTGGGGGAGACATTGTGGTCTCCAGAAACTGTTGGGGCGAGTATTCAGTCGAGCCTGGATTATCTCGTCTGGGAGGGCAAGGCGGATGAGAATACGCAGTTTTGGGTGGCCTCTTCGACTTCTTCTTCGAGCAGTAGCAGCAGCACCAGCACCAGCACGCGCGCCATCAGTGCCTCGGGCAAGGTTTCTGTGGTTCAGTCTGGTCACAGCCTTGCTGCCCTCTGCACGCAGTCTGCACCTCTGGCCACTGCGGAGGAGACTTCGGCTTCTTCCGAGTGGCACGTCTCGGTGCACTCGAACAATGACCATCTCATCGGGTTGGTCCAGACACCCCCCCCCACCCCCAATTACGAGATATTCTGACATGCGATGTTCTTGATTCTCAGCTTTCGGGATCGAACATCCTTCCGCTTCTACGGCATCCGCTATGCAGACCAGCCAGAGCGATTCAATTACTCGCAGCCTTACTTTGGCTCCAACAGCACCGTCTCGGCCACAGCATTTGGCAATGTATGTGCCCAGATTACAGAAACCGGGTCAGAAGACTGCCTGTTCCTGAACATCTGGACGCCTTACCTTCCAGGCCCGAGCAGCCAGTACGTCAAAGCCAACCTCAAGCCCGTCATGTTCTGGATTCACGGCGGTGCCTTTGTGAGCGGGGCTGGCAGCGACAGCACCTTCGACGGGGGCAGCCTGGCCTCTCGAGGAGACGTTGTGGTCGTGACCATCAACTACAGGCTGTCGACCCTGGGCTTCCTGGCTCTAGATGACGGAAGCACCAACGGTAACTACGGCATAGCCGACCAGATCACCGCCCTGGACTGGGTCATGGCCCACATCGCTGATTTCGGAGGCGACGCCGACCGCATCACCATCTTTGGCCAGTCGGCGGGTGCTGGCTCCGTCCGCGCCCTGATGGCCTCCCCAGAAGCCCAAGGCAAGTTCGCAGGCGCGATTCCGCAGAGCAACCTGGGCGGGCTTTACTACGGCACGACGTACTCCGAGTACTACACCATCCAGCAGGAGATGGACGCCGCCGGCAGCGAGATCCTGGCCGAGACAGGCTGCGCCGACGTTGACTGCCTGCGCCAGCTGGATGCCTTCACCCTGCTCAACCTGGCCACGACGGCCGAATATGTCGTTCAGGACGGAGTGTACATCACATCGGATCACCTTCCGCTCACCGGGCCCGCAGCGCCTTACAAACTACTCATGGGTACAATGTACGACGACGGCGCGGCTTTTATCACCTTTCCCGACACCACCAACGAGGCCGTGTATCTAGAAGACATAGACTTCGCCCCGCCGCGGGCCGACCTCTTCCCCATCCCGACCGACAGCACAAGCGCGAACCAGACCCTCGACCTGTTCAACATGACAGCCCGCTACGCCACAGACGCCGAGTTCCGCTGCGTCGACGAGGCCACCGTCTATGCGGGCCTGGCCAACGGGCTGTGGGACCAGGTCTACTATTACGAGATGCAGCGCTCGTACCAGCTCTACGACTGGCCCAACTACGACGTGTGTCAACCCCCGATCACTGCGGCCTTTCCCTACGGCGACCCCAGTGGGCCTTATTTTAAATGCCACTCGGGCGATCTGTACGAGGTCTTTGGGAATATCGCGTTTCAGGGCCTGCCCTTTCGGGACGAGTGGGATCTGCCGTTTGAGCAGATGGTGGTGGATACCTGGGCTTCGTTTGCGAGGACGCTGGACCCGAACCCGGACACAGGGTTCTTGCGGGCGAGGGGGTATAGTAACACGAGTGAGGTGTTACAGGCCAGAGGATTATGGATGCCGGCAGAGAAGGGGAACTTGACAATGAGGGCGTTGGAGTGGCCGCCTTATCAGGATAAATTTAGGGAGGAGTCGCAGTGTAGTGGCATTGGGCTCCCTTTTACATATTATCAGTGAGATGGTGGGTTTTTCATTAATCAAGGACAGCTAGATGCAGATCCATGGTCGTCTGATTGAAGAGAGTTGGCCATGCTCTTGTGATGTCCTGTTGAGGTGGCTGGCATAGATCAGAGCAATGTTGGGATGTGTGTATGTGTGTCTGGGTGAGAACCATCTTTTGATTTTGATTCTGTGTTCCAATTGTCTTCTACTCTGAACATTCCTATCACCTCCTCGTCCTGGTTGTTCTTGTTCAATCACCCTATTCCACCTGAAGATAGGTGCACCCTTTCCTTTCTTGTATGCCATCTTTCCTAGCCGAGTGTCCGCTGGTTATTGTTGATGACTGAGTGTTGATGACTGAGTATTGACAACGGGGTGTTGATAAAATCGGCAAAGCTCTTGGTGACGACAGACTCTAGAATCTTGCAACCATTGAGAACAGTCTGAGGGATATGTGTCGAACTTGTTCTAAGACACAGGACACCGTCCTCAAAGTCAGCAAATACTGTGAAAGACAAAGCGGCAGCTAGGGTGGTGTGAGAAGTCGCCTACCAGGTTTCCACATTTTAGCTGGAGCATGCGATCGACAATATTTGGCTGCAGTCAATTATCTGCGCCTTGTGTCTTGGGTCATATGCGCTGTGCTTGGGATTCTTGCCACAGCCAGCCAGCGCCATGAGGAAGACACATTCAAGCGAACCAGCGCCTGGTTTATTTTGTGCATCTCCCTCATGGCGGTTCCCCCATCCTGCATCTTCTCAAGAGCTCTGCTCTCGATCAGCAGAGACCCCTGAAGCCTGCAGAGGTCATCAATGGGGTGGCTGGTGGCAAGGCACAGGTCCCAGCACTGGAATGTGATGAGTGAGTTAGCATAGGATTTGTGTGTTGTAGATGAAGGGTGATGTGGTGGTGGGGGGGGGGGGTGTAGATTTGGGGGCAAGGGCGATGAGGATGAGGTTGATGAGGACAACAACAACAATTATGTTGATGATTTTGGAGGTGGGAAGACCAACCTTCACACGCCAACCCTCTGGCTACAGCACATGTCTTGATGCCGAGATTGATCTCTGCGTAATATTTGTCTCGCGTAGAACCGAGAGTGTGGTGCCAGCACCAAGAACCCTCGGCTCCATGATATCGAAAGAGATGCAAAAAAAAGATCAATCTGCGCCAAAACCCAGAGGTATTATATAGTAATAGCCATAGGTGCACGGGCCAGGTGCCCACGCTGTTGACCGCCTTTGGTTCTCACCTTCACCTCACCTTGAATGATTAGTTTTTCTTTGGAAATTGGTCGATGCATAATCGTCTGAAGTCTGTGGGTGAGGTTCCTGGGGGACAGCTTAGGTGACACGGTTTACCCTCTGGGTGGAAGAGACGAGCACTGATGTTTGGGGCTCTGTCAGTCATACACAATGTACTTCACAAGTACTGTCTGACCCCCCCTTGCCGGACACCCGTACCCGCTGGACACTAAAATGCGAAATGGCCCACACAATTGCCACCTTTTCAAGTATATAGAAATAATTCACTTCAAATCGTATAATAATAATAAATATATCATCGAAATGATCTAAATTTCCTCATTCCAAATATCTAGTTGGCATACGGCTAGTCCGCCCAGAAGATCGACGAATTGGTGGTGAATCCTTACGTGGAATGTCTGCATTATCGTCCTCAGAGTCCTCCTCGTCAACCTCGTCTTGAACCTCCACAATATCCTCAGCAGGCAAACCATCCTCTTCCTGGGCTGTGTTGGCCTCTTCTCCAGCCGAAAGTGCCTCTGAAATAGTCATAAAGCGTTTGTTAGGATTGGGGATCTTCTTGCGCTTTCGGGTCTTCGAAATGGCCTCGTTCTGAGCCTTAAGGGAGGCATTTCGCTGTCGGAGCAAGATAACCTCAGCTTGGAGGTCTTCAAGGTGATTTGCGATCCTCCTCAACTTGCTGCGTTCGTTGTAGCTTCGGTCTCGGCCTATAGCAGTAATAAACTCATGGGAAATGGGCTCATTCTCCTCGTCCTCCTCCAACTCATCTGCTCCTCGTTTTTGCTTATCCTCCTGGATTTCCTCATGAGATAGGGCTTTATGGCGATTAATTGGATAGTTGCCACTATGTCTCCATCCTCCTTTTACTACTTTAGGAGTGATTGCTGCCCTGGCTGTGATGAGACACCGTAGAAAGTTGATCTTGTTAACAGGGGCTGAGTCTGTGAGATCTTGCAACTTTTGAAGTTCTTTCCGATAGGCTGCTTTCAGTACAGCAAATATGCCGTTATCTAGTGGCTGGAGGCTGTGGGAGGTGTGTGCGGGGAGAAAGCAAAGGAAAACGTTATTCAAGTAGCAAGAAGCTATGAACTCCGGCTGTTTTATATCAGCACATTATCCTCGAGAAATACCACCTTGAGCTTCAAAAGATCTTAACTTACTGATGTATGGCTATTATGGCCATCTAGGATGAGGAGGATAGCCCGAGATATATCATTCTCACGGAGATTATTCATCTGAAGGAGGAAAAGATCCTCAAGCCACGCTACCGCGATTTCATTGCTTGTCCAGCCGTTTTGACCGGTAATCACGCGCCAGGTTGGCACAGACTGCTCCATGTCTTCAGAAAACCACTGTTTTTGAAGATCTTTGCCCTTGAAGATGATGCCTGGGTCGAGAAGCTGGCCTGTGGCTGTACAGCTTTCAATGAGAGTAACCCAGCTTCTGTCCTGGCTGCTTTTGAGGAATGCCTTCTTTTTTTCAGAGGATCCAAGGACCAGCGAGTTCAGGCCTATCAAAAGTATCAGTTCAGGAGCTCTGAGATGAGGATTCCATAGAAATTTACCATATCCAGTCATAATGCCACCCTCATCCACATTCACTGTAAGCTGTGGCTCGATCCACCCATATTCCTTCTCGCGAATGTCGAAATACTAGTTAACAGCTTTCGGGGTGAAGGCATCGTATCTGGTGGCTTCCTGGCGAGTGCCTATTTTATGGCGAATTTGAGGATTTCTCTTCTTGAAGCCCTCTATCCATTTGCGGCCAAGGGCATTGAGATCTCCCTTCTGCTTGAGGAGGGCTCCTACAACACCACGCACAGCAGAAGCTGATGGAGCATATCCTAGGCTCTCCTGCTTGATGATTCATCTCGATATCTTCTTTTCCTCAGTAGTAGAAAGGCGTTGTTGAGGTTGCTTTGCTTCTTGAACTGAGGACCCTGCATGCAGCCGATCTGACAGCGTTTGGGGGGCGATTCCGTGTTTCTTGGCTGATTTTCGTAAAGATAAATGGTTATCTATAATATCGAAGAGGGCATCAGCCATATTCTCCTCATTCCAGGCGTGGGAAGGCATTGTGGCTTGCTTGAGGTAGAAGATTGTTGAAGGAAAAGGATCATGGATATGAAGACAGGAAGGAACAGATATTAGCTTCCGGCATTGCCAGAATTGCGTCATAAGGCGTCCAGGCATAGATATAAGTATATCAATAGATTCGTCAATTAAAGGGCTATCTATCTATCAAAACAGTTTCTGAATAGCTTCAATATTGAGGAAATAATATGTAAGTGAGGATGTTGGTATTTGTATGGCGCTGTCGGAAATTAGCTGTCCGGCGGGTACGGGTGTCTGGCAAGGGGGGGTCAGACAGTATTTGATCCTTCCTTGACCAGCTGTGGAAGGATCTTCTGTGGTTTTCTTGATTTCTGGTTAGTCCACCTTCGAGAAGGCTCTTTGGAGGTCGAATTGACCAATATTGATTATTGCAATTATCCTAGTATGCCCTTGTTGATGGCACTCTTTCCTATCCCACTTACCCTTCTCACAGCTTTTGGCATCCATACATTTAGTAGTATTTAAGTAAATATTGTCAGTTTCTCTCCATAATAAGATCACAGCTGGCAGATCTGTCACACGACCCCCTTGATTTACCTTGCGTTATTGATCGAGCTCTCTCGCCACCCATGATCATCTCCAAAACACTGCCATGACAACCAGCCCTGCAGAATGACATCACATCACCCAAGAGAATGCTCCAACCTGCGAATATCTACAAAGAATACAAGAAGAGGTTAAGAAGATCAATCTGGGAGGCAGTGGTGGCATCAGAGATGCAGAACATCAAAGACAAATCCAACAGGCTCGCTTGTCCACTGGCTAGAAAAAGAAAAAAAACCATTACTTCCACGTGCAAACTCACCATTGGGTTGCATAAAGCTAGATAGCATCTTGTGCAAAGCTCATAAACAGATCTCACTAATTCAATCCATCGTCTTCCAACCAGCAATCCAAGGCTCGTCTTGGATCCATGAGTGGTAGGTAGTCTCACTGCATTTTATTCATTACATGTGGGGTTAGCACAGGGGCAAAGTGTAACACGCGATTGGCCAGCGTGTATGCTCCGCAGACGACTTCCCTTGGGGCCGAGACTAGAGCGCCCCGTCTGGCCAGTTTCTGCCATCAATCATCTTTGTCTTGCTCAATTTGATTTATTTATTTCTTTTTACTTTATTCATCTCCCTGTGGAAAAGGAGAGCGTTGATCATAGCAAGAAAGCCAAATGTGCTTTTTACATTATAGCTCGTCAAGTGACCAACCGTCATGTAACCATCATCCGTTATGACCACTTACCCTCTTCCTCCACTGCTCCCCAAACTCCTCCAGGTCCACACAAACCCGTATACCCTTCGCCACCATTGTGTTCCACACCGCCCGCAGCTCACTGCTCTCCATCTCCCGCACTAGTGTGGTAAAGGCCTCCATAGCCAGCCACTTGGACCACGGACACGCCCCTAGCGCCCTGTAAAACACGTCTTTAACCTTGGCGCTGTTGCTATCATTACTGCTGCTGCTGCTGCCGCCGCCCCCGAGCTCCTTCTTGTGCCTCGCGCAAAACCGTACGTAGCTCAGCCACAGGCCCACGTTGCTCCTGCACGCGTCGCTGTCGAGAGAGCGCTCAAAGGCTGTGCGGACGGAGTGGACGCTTCCGACGTGCATCTCGTGCCCGATGGCGAAGAGGCGGCCGGAGATGTGGTCGTTGGTTTTGGTCAAAACGTGCGTGTGCAGGAGCGTGCGGACCGGGTCGTTTATGAGGATGCTGGTGTCGGCCCAAGCGAAGAGTGAGAGGAAGATGGTGTTGGTGGGGAAGAGGGTGATGAACTTCTCTGTCTGGTTGCGGAGGTACCTTGGCTGGAAGGCGCCTCGGATGGCGTGGAGGTAGAGGAGATGCGCTGCGAATTGCAGGTACCGCTCAACATGGATGGAGCTACCGTGACCTCGAGCAGCGGCCTCGGATGTGAAAACATGAATGCTGGTCATGGCCGTTTGTATGTCTCCCTGCCGAGATGCAGTGGCTGCCGTCGAGCCGGCGAAGGGCGCAGTATACTCCAACAGTGAGGCAATCTCCGCGAACAGCGCCGCCTGTTGGATGTTCCCTGACGAAAGGAGGAATCCGTGGCGAGTTGATAGAGTTTGTTTTGCCTTCATTAGCTGGCTGTATGTTGCGACAGTGTCCACACCGCTCGGCTGATCACTTTGGCTCGCGGCGATACAACGAGCTAGGGCAGTCTGCATGTCTCCCCCTTCGAATTCTAACCAGGCCCACGTGGCCCACAAGCGCTCCTTGTTGGGGAGATTCTGAGCTGTGGCAGAGCTCAGAACGCTTCTTGCGACATCTGAATTCCCATTCCGCCATTCTGCAACAGCATAAGCGTTGTAGAGCAACGTATTATTGGGCCATTTTTTCAACAGTGCTTTGGCGGTTTTCCTGACAGCAGCCGGTTTCTTGGAGCGAGCTAAGCTCATGCTGTACTCTGCAATGGGCTCATAGCCAAATTCGGTGGATAGCTGCATTGCAACTGCAAGAGCCAGGTCAGATTCGGCCGATGTATCATTCCTAAAGAACTGAAACCAGTCCGATCCTGAAAAGATGGTATCGGCAGATGCTGCAAATTTCTGTCCCGGATCCGTAAACCTTGGCGGCTGCTTTTTCCCACCCTCAGTGTCACCGTGCGGGCTAGAGTTTGTTTTGTTCAGATTTTTGCTGTCGTGGTAGAAGAACGGATCATGGGACATATCGTAGATCCGCCCTCCTCGTGTGCTGTCAGATGGAAGAGGCAGCCGGCAGAATAGAAGAAAGGCATTCAGAAGAGAGGCCTTATATTGGGCTATATCGGCGACAGCTGATGGAAGCCAAGGTAATAAGGGCTCAAGGTCAGCAAACATCACCACCCGAAATGGATCGTCTTCTGTACCCTCATCCAACGTCCTAGCGGGCAGTGCTGCATTGCGACTCCGCTGTGTCTCCACGGCAGCCCAGGCCTTGTAGACGTCTCTTGTTTCTGGGGGCTGTGCCACCGTGTCTGTCTTTCCCTCTGGCAGATCTGCCATCTCTTCTGCCTCGACGAATTTGCGCCAGCCCTGTGCTCCTTGCTCACCGATCCGCGGAACTTCGCTTTCCCAGAAGTCCTGGAAAGAGGACATCACGTCGGCAGGGTTCGTATCACCCTCTTCCGCGGGATGGGCAAACGTAAGCTCCAGCAAGGCCTGCCACGCGGCGACTGCGAGCTCCGAGTAACCCGCGTCGCGAATGAAGAACGTTGTTCTGAGAAAAGTGTAGACCAGCTCGTCGCAAAGACGTAAAAGCTCATGCGAGATGTCGGCGTCCGAATGGCAAATTTCTTCCAAAGACTTGCCATGGTCGGAGCCCAAGGCCACTAGAACAGTGCTGGAAACCCGTTGCGTGAGAAGCCGTAGCCGCTCGACATGGATCTGCTTGAGTCTACCGTATGCGAAGGTGGCCATATTGGACAGCTCGTGGTTCAGATGGGCTTTCCACAACGCGAAGCTGCAGTCGTTGAAGTTCACCTCGGCCCATCGTTTGGCAAGCGCCTTGCTGCTCCAGACTCGCGAACCCTCTCGCATCAGCGTCAGGAACAACCTCTCCCTGTCCGGCTTGTCCTTAAAGTGAGGCAGGGCCTCCTCGAGCAATGCAACCTTCATACTTGCCAGGCCTTTGACCTCGTCGTCTGCCATGTCTTGGCGCGCGTCCGCATTGAGGCTGAGCAGGTCCCCCTGTATGTCAACGAGCTCAAGCCATGCCTCGATGTCCTCTGGATGCTCCTTGACCCGACGTGACAGCTCGATGGATCTGTGCCTGACCGGATGTGACGAGTCGAGGTCCCCAGCGGCCTCAGAGTCCGAAGTGTCTGCAGACTCCAGGTCACTGTCCACAAAGTCGCGAGGCTTTGCCTTTCCCTTGATAGACCGGTAGTTGGGATCCTCATCTCCTGAAATGGCATAGATATCCTCTTTAGGTTCTGGAGAGTGGTGGTGATGCTGCCCAGAAAGCGGGATGAAATCGACTTCGTCTTGGGAAATTTGTGGCTGCTCCTGGTCCGAGCCTGGACGCAGCCTGAAGACTTGTGTCTTCTTTCGAGAAGCTCTGGACAACAGCGCTCTGTCACGAAAGGCAGACATTCCCTCCCCCAGCCTGTCGCCAAGGCTGAATATCTCCTTGGAGCCATCGTGGGTGAGCCGGAGACGACCTTGGCCACCTAGCACCCTGCCCGAGCCAGACCGGCGGTACGCAGGAACCTTGGACCGATCATTGGATCCATAACGCACAATCAATGGGTCTCCCCTCTTGTCGACAACGTAGAGAGGATCCTCTGCAGGTGCTGCTATCTGGCGAGGCGGTCGCCGGTCGGGACTGCCAGAGCGCCAGCGATCATGACGAGTATGGTGAGAGTGGGGTTTGGAGTGGTTCTTGCAGTGAGTGCCAAGTCCAGGGCGCTCTGCATGGCCATCATCTCCCTTTCTGTCGTAGTTCCTCTGATCATCGGATCGCGAGGTTGACTCGGTGGAAACCTCGGCTTTTGGTTTGAAGGAGGCAAACCTTGGCACGGCTGGCTTCTTACTGTCCATGTCGTGTCTTTCCAAGGGTAAGGTCTGGTTGGCTGCCCTGGATGCTGGATGAGACTGGTAGAAAAAAAGCCGCCTTCAAGATCACTGGCTCTTGATCTGTCGATCATAGAGATTCGTAGCTTGGTCCTACCTGTCTTCTCCTGAGGCGAACGTTCCGGCGCAAGCACCCAATTTCAGACACAATCTCGGCAGGTCGCCGGACCAGGGAGCTCAAAGTCGGCAGCATAAAGAGTGAGAAGGCTGTGGCAGCATGTTCTTTTGGATTCGCTGAAGTAAATTGAAGCAATTGAAGAGATTAACAGCTAGTCATGATCTTCAGGCGGTAATGACAATCAAGGCAGGAACATTGGTGACCCTGGGTGGGTAAGCTTGGAGCAGCACTGATAGATGCTCAATGAAATCCAAAAACCCGAACCCTGTGAGGCTGAGATGACTAAGACCAGCTGACCCCTGTTTCGATTCGTCTTTTTGTTTTATTTCCTCTGTTTAATGATTTTTCATAAGCTACAATGTATTGAATATTTTCTATACTATACAGTATCATATTCACGAGCCACAACATAGTGCCCCGTCGATCAATGATAAAGGGGGTGTGGCCAAGACAGTAGGCTTAAACACACACCAGAGAAGCTCGATCACGCGGAAAACACACTTTTGTTGCCATTACACACTAAGTCTGTCAAATATATATGTGCCGCATAGCGCGTCTCTCTGGCTGGACCAACAAGGTCGATCGCGTGGATCGCATGTTTTAAGGGTCCTGAGGGACTAAACTGAGCTCAGCATGGTGGCGAGTGACTACCCAATGGCGGACTTTGGCAGGTGATACTGGGTGGCCCGTTATGACTTCATTGGGCATAGCCACGATAGCATGATGGGGCCATGTGTTCTTGGATATGTCACAATGCCCCTCTGTCATTTCCATCTCATCCGTCCCATGTAGAAATTGGACAGACAGGCAGGCCGTGTGTGCTCTTTGGTCTCGAGTAAAAAAAGGTATTGTATATAGGCGAGATTGCTGGCTTCTTCCCTTTATTCTGTAATACTATTACAAAGCATGTGTGACAGCATGGATGTACTATGGTACAACCGTATCCAGTAATTGTACATGGTACTATGGTAGCCCTATGGCGGTAGCGACCCACGGGCGGTGGTAGCAGCGTTGAGAATCGACCCCATGCTTGGGTGGAATCAAGTACTCTGTACTTAGGTATGTATGCTAGCATCCTTGGAATACCCTGCAGCACAAGGCCTGAACAGGGCCTGAACACAACCTGAACAGACCTGAATGACATACCTTGCAACAGGTGAGAAGCTTCATGATCCCCAGCCGTCCTTCGCCCTCAAGTCACAACCCATCCAAGGCATCCTTCCATCTGTCCTTCGAGTCATCCTTTGGCTGTTGGGCCCCCTCCCTCAAGCTTTCCCAGGTTGATTAAAATAGGCCACAACATGCGACCGAGAGCCCCGGCCCGGCCTAAACGTTGGACCCACCCGTCCTACTCCTGCTCCTCCAACCTGCATACTCCGGCTCGTCTCTACGACCCGTAACCACCCTCTATAAACCTATCAACCACCCAGCTCGACATCCGATGTCCTTACTAACGGCATAAGAGAAATGTCTTGAGTCCTCAGACAATCCCTTTGTCGGTAACGCCAGGAAGGGAGGCCATACTTTCTTATCCCTACAGTTCTCTCGGCCCCCGGTAGACGCTGCACGATAACCACTCGACCCTCCTCCATCCTCGATGACCTCGCGACCCCGCCATGGACAACAGCCGCCTGAGCAGCCAGCAAAGCGGTGATGGTGGCTATGATGAACGGACGCGTCTTGTGCCACCGGCCTCGCCCGTGTCGCACAGGAGGCGCTCTCGCCCTGCATCGCGCATGCACAGCAGGAGAGGTTCCATGACAGAGGAACCAAATGAGAGGACCTCGTTGCTCGGCGCCTCTCGGCCTCGTGTCAGGATCTCGAGCGAGGTCCAGTCGCCTCGCACGCCACGCCTGCCACTGTCTGCGTCCCACAGCTTCCTAGGTTCGCCTTCCTGCACCCCGCTCCCGATCCCGAGCCCGGTCCCCATGCCTCCAGCCCAAGTTCATGTTCTGTATGTTGAGAGGTCCTGTGGCTAACCTCGTCGTGCTTTCAACTCTATAGGCAGCAACCCCTCGACCAAACACCACTTCCGAGGAGAGTCCTGGAGCTCGCGGTTAATACAGGCACTCTCTCAACACCAAGATTCCCTGACCGAGTCCAAGGGATCCATTGTTCCCGACGACCGTGTGTGGTACGATCAATTTACATCCACCGACTGGGTCCACGACAGCATCGCCGATGCCTACAGGGCCAAAGCCTTGAGGAGCCGGAAGGACTTCTGGGGCCGCTTATATCTTGCTTTCGACGGTGCGCAAGGCTGGATCCTCTCGGCCCTGGTCGGCTTCATCGTCGCCGTCCTAGCCTATTGCATCAACGTCACCGAACAGGTCGTTTTCGACTGGAAGGATGGCTATTGTGCCAAGGGCTGGTATTTGAGCGAGAGGCGGTGTTGCCCTCTAGGCGACTGCACCGACTGGGTGTCTTGGTCCGACGTTACCAAGCAGCTACCCCTTGATGACAAGTGGAGGGAGTTTGTGGTCTATGTGTTTGGGGTGAATGCCCTCGCCATCGTCGCCTGCCTCCTGACGCTCCTGACCAAGACCGTCGTCCCTTCAGCATACCGACTGGGCACACTAGACGAGAACCTAGCAGCTCCACCTGTGATCTTTGCCGATACCGATCCCCAGGAGGAGAATGGGGAGGCCAGCCCCCCACAACATCATCAACAACAATTACAGCAGCAGCAGCAACAACAACAACAGCAGACCGCTGAGGCTGATGCTTCCTCACCACCGATGATCTACTACTCCGCTGCTGGTAGTGGAGTTGCTGAAGTACGCGTTATTCTTAGTGGTTTCGTTCTCCACGGGTTCTTGGGCTTGAAAACCCTCGTCATCAAGTCCGTGGGCCTGGTGCTCAGTGTGGCCTCGGGTCTCAGCCTCGGCAAGGAGGGTCCCTACGTGCACATTGCGACTTGTGTTGGCAACATTGCATGCCGACTGTTTGAGAAGTACGACCGGAACGATGGCAAGAGGCGAGAAGTACTTTCGGCCGCTGCAGCCGCCGGTGTCGCAGTTGCCTTTGGTGCCCCTCTCGGAGGTGTGCTCTTTGGCCTGGAGGAGGTGGCTTATTTCTTCCCGGCAAAGACGCTCTTCCGGACCTTCTTTTGCTGCATCATTGCCGCGCTCAGCCTCAAGTTCCTCAACCCTTATGGCACGCACAAGATTGTCATGTTCCAGGTGCACTACGCTACTGATTGGGAGTACTTTGAGCTCTTCAGCTTCATCGTCGTCGGGTTCGTCGGCGGGTCGCTGGGTGCATTGTTCATCAAGGCCTCGCGCTACTGGGCCAAGAGCTTCAGGAAGATCCCGGCCATCAAGCAGTACCCGATGGTTGAGGTCATCTTGGTCGCGCTGGCCACCGGCTTGTTGTCGTACTGGAACGGCCTGGTCAAGCTGCCGGTCGCAAAGCTCATGTACAACCTCGCTGCTCCTTGCGATTCCAGCGAGACGAGCATGGACGAGGCTGTCTTGTGTCCAGAGGCGCGGGACGACATCCCCCCAATCCTCCTGAATCTACTGGTCGCTTTCTTGATCAAGGGAGCCTTGACAGTCATCACCTTTGGCATTGTAAGTTCCCAGCCCATAAATCTTTCTAGTGCTATATTGTATATGTACATTGTTTGGGGATCAGGGGGAGAGAGAAAGAAATTGATCTGACACTCCGTCTCACAGAAAGTTCCTGCCGGTATCTACGTTCCGTCCATGGTGGTAGGCGGTCTCGTGGGCCGGCTGATCGGGCACACTGTGCAGTGGCTTGTTTTCACCTTCAACGAGTGGCCTGTGTGGGATCGCTGCTCCAGGATAGGAGAGGCCACATGTATCCAGCCTGGCGTGTATGCGCTGATTGCAGCCGGCTCTACCATGTGTGGTGTGACCCGATTATCCCTCACCTTGGCAGTCATCCTGTTTGAGCTCACGGGCAGTCTCGACTATGTGCTCCCATTCTCTCTGGCTATCCTCGTGGCCAAGTGGACGTCGGACTTTATCGAGCCAGTCAGCATTTATGTGAGTACTAGAACTGAGAGAAAGAAAGACCAAAAGCACAAAGGGAATGATGGATGATGCAGCATTGACTGACCTGATGCACCAGGATCTCTTGACGGAGCTGAATTCGTATCCCTTCCTCAACAACAAGCACAAGCCCATCTTCACATCTGATCTGGCAGACATTGTGCCTCGTGTGCGGCGCGAGAGGGTGATCGACATCACGCACTCCCCACTGGTTTCAGCGGCGAGCCTCCGGCGGAAGCTCGAGCGGCTCCATGCGGCGGGCGAGATCGATGGTGGCCTTCCTATTCTGCGGGACGGGATCCTGGTGGGCCTGATTCCGGCACCTGATCTGGAGTTTGCGCTCGACCAGCTCACCGATGAGAGCTCGGACCTCTGCCTGATGGCCAATGTGCCATCCATCGATGACTCGGATGACGGGAACGTCGACCCCACCGACTTTACAAGATATATCGACCCTGTAAGAGAGTCTACTCTCACTCACTCCCTTGTCTTGGCTGCATTGTAAAAAAGGAATGTTTTGATCGTGCGGTCTCTAACCCGTCTGAACACAGGCACCCGTGGCCCTCGATATACACTCGTCCATGGACCTCGTCTACGAATGCTTTGTGAAACTTGGTCTGCGGTACATTTGCGTCCTCCGTGAAGGCAAGTACGCCGGCATGACGCACAAGAAGACGTTTGTCAAGTACATGAGGGAGTTGGAGCATGAAGAGGCCTCGTAGAAGATGTCGGCAGAGAGCAATCTCACAAGCCAGAGTGGTGGGTTGTGTGCTTCATTTCCATGTCTGTTTACTTTATGTCTGTTTGTATTGCATGGCTCATTTTCCTTTTGTTCTTTTTCTTTGGATTCCTCATTGCATGCCTCCTGGGATAAGGTTGGGCGGTCGGCAGCATTTTTGTCTTGATTAGATTGGATCTTTCTATTTACCATCTATGCTTTCACATTCAGCGAAGCAGGTAGTTGGCTGGTCAACACAGGTCTTAGCTGGTCAGCAAAAGATAAATGAATTTTAGTAAAGAAAAAAACATTGAACATGGGCGGCGGATCTGGTCTACACATCAAGAGAGGATCAACGCCAGGCAATTAGTACTACGTCTTTAGCTTCTTAAAGTGCCTGTCCATAGGCCCTTTTACCCGCTTGTTCCCGTTCTGGCTCTTTTTCTTCTTATCATCCTCCTCCTCCTCAGGATTATCCACAGCATGATCAGCCTCGGCCCCGTCGTCACTCTCGCCGAGGGCGTCCCCCTCCATCTCCTCGTCCTCCCCACCGCCCTCGAACAGGCTCTTGTAAGTGCCGTCCAGGACCGCCTTGTCGTTGCCATGCAGGCCAACCTCATACGCCTTCTTGATACTCGCGATACAGATCCTCCTCCTCTCGGCAAAGTCAAACATGGGCTTGGGGTACGTCCCCTTCTCCAGCTCCTTGTCGACGCCCGGAAACTCCACCACACGCACGCCCGCCTTCTTCTGGTCGGGCAGCGGGGCCTTCCAGGGCTCATAGATGTACTTGGCCGGCAAGTCTCTCAGCTCGGGGACCCAGCGGCGCACGAGGTTCCCCTCCCTGTCCCACTTTTGGCCAAAGGTGACGGGGCTGTAGCAGCGGTAGTACTGGGCGAAGAAGGCGGTGCAGCTGAGCCACTGCCAGTTGCCGGCGTTGCAGGCGGGCTCGTGGTCCAGCAGCAGCTCGGCAAAGACGTCGGCGCCGCGCTCCCAGTGGACGTAGCAGCCGCCGCGGGTCAGGAAGCAGGCGACCGAGTGGCGGCCGAGGTGGTGGATCCAGCCGTCGTGCCGGAGCTGGCGCATCAGGGCGTCGATCCAGGGAAAACCCGTGGTGCCGGCGGCCCAGCGGCGGAACCACTCGTCGGCCTGTCTGGAGTCGACCTCGTATTCCCCTTGCACTGTGATCTTGTCTGGACCAGCAGCAGCACCATCAGCACCACTCATGTTGTTGTTGTCATCACTGTCGTCGTCATTGCCGTCAATCTTGTTCCTCTTGTTCTTGTTCTCCTCCATCTTGGACGGCAGATGCCACGGCACAAACCGCACCTGCGGGTTATACATGGTCTGCACCATGGCATGCCCCAGCGCCGCCTGGCAGGCAAAGTACATGTCGCGGAACAGGAGCTGGCCCGTCAGGCTCTCGGGCGGGGCCGACGCCTTCTTCTCCCCAAACTCCTTGCACGCCTCGACGGCGCGGTGGTAAAACAGCCGCGGCGAGAGCGCCCCAAAGTGCAGCGCCGGGCTGAGCAGCGTCGTGCTCTGCTGCGGCTCGAACTGGGCCGGGCTGGTCTGCGGCTTGCGGAAGGTCGCTGCGTACTGCACGTCCCGCATGACCTCGTCCAGCCTCTTGAGCGCCGCCGTCTCGCCGCCGCGGTGTGGGGTCGTTGCCGCCTCGAACCCGAGCTCCTCGAGGGTCTCGACGGCAAAGTCGCCTCGGGGCCCGGCCAGGCGCGTGTAGCCTCTGTCCTCGAGCACGCGCCACCTGGCGTTGCGGTCTGGATCGGGATGGATGGTGAGCGGGTCGGGGCTGCGGTGGTGGTGGTGGTGGTGGTCGTCGTCGTCGGCCGCCTTCTCCTTCTCGAGCTCGTCCAACAGGGCCATGTCGCCTGGGTCGGGCAGGGTCTGGGGTGCGTCGAGCGGCTGCGGCACGGGGCCGATCTTGTGGCCTGCGGCCTGCAGCTGGGTGATGCTCATGGTGGGTTTACCGCCGTGGGCGCGCACGAGCTCGTCCGAGTCCCACAGGGTGCGGCCGCTGCGGGTGATGACCTCGACGCCGGCGACTCGCGCGCACTCGGCCACGGTGCGGTCACGGTCGCGGGCGTAGGCATCTGTGTCGCGCTCAAAGACGAGGTGGGTGACGCCCCAGGCCCGGAAGAGGCGCGGGAAGAGGGTCTGCGGGGCTTCGCGGAGGACAAACAGCTTGGACTTGGGGTTGAGTTTGGTCAGGGAGGCCGAGAGGTCGTTTTGGCAGTCGAGGAGGTACTGCCACCTGTTGGTCCCGCCCTTGGCTCGGTAGACATAGTGAGGGTCCCAGGTGAAGATGGGCCAGAGGCACTCTGGGTTCAGGTCCAGTGCTGCCTTGAGGGCTGGAGAGTCGTGGAGCCTGAGATCGGTCCTGAACCCTGTGAAGCGGTGAGTCGAGTACACAAGGTAAGAATGAGGGCTTGTAGAGAGGGGAGGGAAGAATGAAACTTACAGTAGATGACTCTTGCGGGTTTGCTGCCCATCATGAAGGAGGGAGATCCAGATCTGTAATATGAGTATCCATATATATATATTGTATATTTATTTTCGGGTTGCACCGTGTCAACAACGTCAATTGAGTAGAATGACAATACTAATCACAACAAACAGTATCATGTCAGGTCTGCACAAGATAGAAGAGTTTCATGACAATTCGACGTGAGGCATTCCTCTGCTGGGACCCCTGTTCCGTGTCATGATGTCAAGACTCGAGAATAGACAAGATCCCTGTTCGTCAATCGTCAAATTTAGCCTCGAGATCTGCTGGAGACCTTTTGGTACCAATTACATGTTTTCCAAGTCTGCCACTTATTCAGGCACCAACTTGAATTCTCTTTCAAGTCTTTTCTCATGACTTCAAGGTCTTGACTCGATGGAAGAAGGAACAAACTCGGAGCATGAAGAGGAGAGCTTGATGCATCTCTGACGCTTATATTCATAGTGCCAACGTTTGACAGAACAAAACTCCCTTTAGCTTTCGAGTTCCAGGAAGTCTCCACGCGGGCCGTGCCCAATCTCTAAACATGAAAACGGATCCTACTCTGTAAACTTATATGGTCTATCTGCTCCACGCAGGACCACACCAAGGTACCATCACGTGCATCACAGACACAGGTACCACATTCATCTTCAGAGGTCTTCCCGAATAGATTTCTATCCATCTATCCAGATTGCCACTACCCGAGCCAGCTCCTCTGTCCTGCCAGACCAGACTTGAAAAAACATCATCACGCCTCCTCCCTGTGCTGTCCATGCTTGGCCCACTCCCGCAAAACATTCTTGCGAATCTTGCCAGTACTGGTCTTGGGCAGCTCTCCGATGACCTCGACCTCCCTCGGGACCATAAACCTCGAGATTTGGCTCTGCTGCTTGGCCCAGTCCACAATGTCCTTCCCCGTCACGGACTTGCCCTGCTTGACGGTCACGTACGCCTTGGGCCGCTCGCCCCAGTGGGAATCGGCGACGGCCACCACGCCCGCCTCGAGGATGTCTGGGTGTTTGACGAGGGCGCTCTCCAGGGCCACTGAGGAGATATTCTCGCCGCCTGTATACCTGTACGTTAGCAGGACCATCATTTTGAGCCCACAGAAAAATCCAGAGGTAACATATAGTAGCATAATAAAGAATTGTGCATACCAGAGATAATAATATCCTTGGCCCTGTCCAAAATCTGGATGCTGCCGTCCGGATGGCAGACGGCCAGATCGCCCGAGTGCAGACCCCCACCGGCAAACAGCTTTCTCGTCGCCTCAGGATCCTTAAAGTACCCCTTGGCACAAATGTTCCCAAAGAAGACAATCTCACCAATCTCCTTGCCATCCTTGGCCACGTCCACAAGCACCCCCTCAGGCTGATCTGACTTGACCACGCGCACAGGCAGGCTGGTTACAAACCCGTGGCCTTGCCGCGCCATGCGGCTGTACTTTTCCTTGGGGTCGAGGTCGTCCCATTCGGGCATAATATAGCCTTTGGTTATGGGGCCATATGTCTCCGTCATACCATAAACGTGCACGGGTTGCAGGTTGAGGTTGGTCATTTGCTCAAAGAGGTGGCCCGTCGGCGGGGACGCGGCCACGGTGACCTGGCAAGGGTGTTTCAGCCGCTCGGCGTGGGCGTCGGCGCAGAGGAGGGTGTTCACTGTGGGTGCCGCGTTGAAATGTGTTACTTTCTCCTCTTTGAGCAGGCGCCAGAGCAGTGGGTAGTCGATCTTGCGCAGACAGATGTTGGTGCCCCTGACGGCGACGGTGGACCAGGGAAACGTCCAGCCCATGGCGTGGAACCTGTGAGGGCAAATCAACCGAGCATGAGAGTGAGAACTGATACGTTGAAGAGGGAACAAGGGCTTTCTTCACACTTACATGGGCAGAGTCCACAGGTACTTGCAGCGTCCTTCGCGCGTGTTCAGCCCGCTCTCGATCACGTTACCCATAGCAGCCAGATATGCGCCTCGGTGGGTATATACCACGCCTTTGGGCCGGGAGGTTGTGCCGGACGTGAAGGGAATCGCCAGCATGTCGTCCTCGTCCTCGGCCTGTGCTTCGAGGTCGGCCCAGCCTTTGCTCCCGGCATTTCGGTCGTAGGTCAGGCCTTCCAGAATGATTTCGTCAAACGCTCCACACAGTTCGCCTTCTGTTGCATCGGTATCCTACACAGAAGGAAGCGAGGAAAAGAGAGTCAGCCAGCTAATCCATCCTATCAGGCGGGCAGTAGTGACACCGTGCATCGGTTCACAAAGGAACTGACCGTATCCACGACAATTTTGACCCCTGGATTCGATTTCCTGAAGGAATCCAGTAGTCCCTCAAATTCCCAGTCGGCCAGGATGATGTCCACCTCTGCAAACTCAAAGATGTAGCTGATGTCGTCCTCTTTGAGGCGGTAGTTCACCGGCACGAGGACAGCCCCTCCGGCAGCGACGCCATAGATGCTCTCGAGGAAGGCCGGGGTGTTTGTCATGAGCACGCCGACTCTCTTGTGGCCGTGGGTCTTGAGATAGTACGCCAGGCCACGGGCGCGGTCGGCAAATTCCTCGTAGCTGCGGCGGAGGGTGGCACCGTTGGTGGTGATGTGGACGATGGCCTCGGCGTGGGGTTCGATGGCTGCAGCCCGGGGGAGGAAGAAGGTAGGAGAGAGGGTGTGAATGTGGTGTGTGTGAGGATATGTCTGCCCTGCCTTGGTAGAGGTGGTGGGTGGTGGTGATGAGGAGGAAGAGGAAGACTGAGACGTGGAGGAGGAGGACCAGAGGTGCCCGAGGACATTCCTCAGGCGAGATGTAGGGCCAGACATTGTGAAATAGCCTGGATCGTGCAATGAGTCTTATTGTGTTGTAGGAAACGAATTAGCTGTTTGGGGACATATGGACGTCTTCCAGGATGGATAATATTTCCTGTGAGGTCGAAGAGGAGGAGAAGAAGGAGGAGGAGGAGGAGGAGTGATGTCGATGTCGGTGTTGACTTCAAGGCAACCGACGAACCTCACTTTACTCAGAATAGTGACAAGTCAAAAATAGAATAATGAAAAGTTACAGAGACAAAGCACAAAATATTCAAAATTCAATCGTTAATACTCATATTATACACCCATCTTCGGCCAACATGTGTGCAGTTGTAACAGATCGGCGAAAGAAATAGAAACGAGGTTATTTTGACGGTCTGACGGAGGAAGGCTCCAAACTAGCCGTGGTAGTGAGGTCAGCTGCAGCGACGGGCCCAGGGCAAGGAAACAACGACCCGACCCCTCTCTCCAAATCTCGGACACCTTCTCCAATTGCCGTCCCCAAAAACCGTTTCAGGGGGAGTTGTTTTGGATAACTGCAGGACGTTGCTTCCCCGCATTCTTTTCCCCCACTGCCCCTCCTTCCTTCCTCTCTTGTTCAGGCTTTACCCCAATCAAAGGATCCCCTCACTGAACCCCTCCCCTCTTGAGTGTTCCTGAATGGGGTGGAAAGACGAGGGTTTCTCAAAGTACTTACACTGTAGATTCTTCACGATTGACATTGCCTTGGCTTCACCCTTTTCTGGGAGACAGGCAAGTAAGTAAATGCTTGAGGGTAACGACAGTTCTATCGACACAATATGAACAGTATCATACCTTGATCCCGAAATACATGCCCACCTTGGCCCAATTTACACAAACACATATACACGAAAGAAGGAGAGGAGAAGAAGAAGATGGAAAAAATGATGTATAAAAAGAAAAGAGAAAGAAAAAAGAAAAGGTCCTATTGTCCGTCCATCCAAAGTCTCACCAGAGGTTCATGTTCGCTTCGTCGTCCTCCTCCCGACCCCCCCAAGCACTTGTCAACCCTCCCCCTCTTCATCTTCTTCGTCTTGATCCTCACTTTCACCTTCCAAGCCTAAAAACCCAGGCAACCCAAGACCATAGATAAGAGGACCAACCATATAGTCAGCTCTTTTGGATGAGGCTGTCAAACAGCGGCTTGAGGCTCTTGGCGCTCTTCTTGGGGTATCGCTTCTGATCGTTTTCGTAATCCACAAACGTGACACCAACTGGGAATTGCAAGGTCAGTCAAGAGAGAGAGACGAAGAAGAAAAAAAAAAAAAAAAGGGAAGAAGAATCAAAGCTCACATCTTGTCTCATAACCCTCAGCCCACTCGAAATTGTCCATCAGCGACCAGGCCAAGTACCCACGCACATTGACCCCATCCTCCTGCGAGGCCTGCGCCATGGCACGGACATAGCCATCAAAGTACTCGACACGGAAGTCATCCTCGACGATCTGGGCCAGCTGCATGTCGTTCTCGCCCTTGAGGCTGGTGCCGTTCTCCGTGACATACATCTTGGGGTAGCCATAGCGTTTCGACAGCCAGACCAGCAGCTCGCGGAACCCCCGCGGGTTAGGCCGCAGCCAGAAGCTCTGGGTCTCGGGGCCGATACACTCGCCGGCTTTACTGTAGAAGAGCGTCTCGAGGTTGCCGAGAAAGTCATCGGCGGCGGGCGGGGTCTTCTTGTGGCGGATGTAGTTGGCCGTGTAGTGGTTCATGCCGTAAAAGTCGTTGCTCCCTTTGACCAGGGCCACCTCCTCGTCGGTCCAGGTGGGCAGCCTGTCGCCGAGCTGCTTCTGCATCGACGCCGGGTAGTGGCCAAAGTAGATGGGGTCGGCGAACCAGCTGATGGCGAACTCGATCTTGCGGTCGCTGGCCTCGACGTCGGCCGGGTCCTCTGGGTCCCAGGGGTAGGTCGCGTCGCCGTTGAGCGTGATGCCGATCTCGCCGCCGTCGCGCGCCTTGAACTCGTCGCGGTACACCTTGACGGCCCGCCCGTGCGCCACGAGGAGGTTGTGCCCCACCAGCCACGGCTCGCGCGACGAGTCGCCCTCGGCCGACTTGTTTCGGTCGCTGCACCGGCCCGGCGCGAAGTAGCCCGTCGAGTAGCCCAGGATGGAGCTGCACCAGGGCTCGTTGAAGGTGATCCAGTGCTTGCACTGCGGGATGCCCTCGAAGACGACGCGCGCGTACCGGGCAAAGTCGAGCGGGAACTCGGTGCGGTTCAGCAGGCCGCCGTACCGCCGGTCCAGCTCGTCGGGCAGGTCCCAGTGGTACAGCGTGATGAAGGGCTCGATGCCCGCCGCCAGCAGGTCGTTGGTGAAGCGCCTGTAGTGGTCCAGCCCCTTTTGGTTGACCGGGTCGTCGCGCCCGCCCAGCGGGATGATGCGCGACCACGACAGCGAGAACCGGTACGCCGTCGCCCCGAGCGACTTGAGCAGCGCAATGTCCTCGCCCGTGCGGTTGTAGCTGTCGCAGGCCACCGCCCCGCTGGACCCGTCGGCGATCTTGCCCGGGATCGCACAGAAGGTGTCCCAGATGGAGGGGCCGCGGCCGTCCTTGTCGGTAGAGCCTTCGACCTGGTAGCTGTGCAAGGTGGGTAAATTCTGTTAGGTTTCTGATTTTGACTATTGAAGATATGGTTGGTGGATGGGAGAAGAGATAGTGTAAGGCAGGGAAGGAGAAGAAGAACAGAAGAGAAGAGAGGGAAGGGGAGGAGGAGGAGAGGAGGAGAAAGGAGACTCACGACGCCGTGGCAAAGCCCCACTTGAAGTCTGATGGTAGAGACATGGTGGGTATAACAAGTTGAGTCTTCAGAACCGTTCAGATGATGTCGTCGTCCCAAATATATAAATATAAATATATGGCTGATGGATGTATGTTGGTCTGTCTAGGGTTAGGGTTGAATGCCCAAGTAATGTGTGTGTTGAAGGAGGAGGACGACTAGAAAGCGGTTCGGAGGGTATTTTATATTCTTTGTAGATGAATATACATATATATATATATACATAGGTATATATATATATATATGTCTCTACTTCCCAAGAATAGAGCAAATCCCATATCAATCAAGAAGCAGGGCAGGAGGAAATCATATGGCAGAGAAATAATAGGCTTTGGTCAAAAGGTTCCCCCAAGGTGCAACTAAAAGACAAGGCTGACAAGGGACAACATGACTCAAAAACACGTGCAGGAAACATACATACCTATACAAATACACACACACACACAAACACACACAGAATAGAGACGGGATTCCCAAGTATGGAAAAAGAAAAAGAGTTGTTCAGGAAGTCACAAAACAGTTCCCAGGTACTGAAAAAAGAAATAAACAATAGAAAAGGAAGATCAGCGGGGAGGGCCCGTTGTACTTAAATTGTCCAGGAGTAGAGCTATTCCCGCCGACCATCTCCTGTTCCACCCCCTCCCAAATCCTGCCGTATCCGTTCCATGTTCGGACCGTGGCGGCCGAGAAGAGCTACCTGGGCATAGCGTGTAATACTATGGCCCTTTTTTTTTTCTCTTGTCTTTGTTTCTTGACCTTGACCGAAATAGGAGGGGAGGGGGGGTAGGGAAACGGGACATGAGACTCTTTGGATATTTTCTTTCTTTCCTCTTATTGTCAATCTGACTGAGAGTAATACGACTAGCATCAGTATTCATCACCTGATCTCTTCGTGATTGTCATCTTTCTCAAACTCTTCCTCCTCCCCAATGGAGGATCAGTGTAAGTAAGATTGACCCCTCCTCCCCCCTCCCTCTCCACCTCCGACGCCAGACACAAACGCGGGGTAAGGTATCCCCAGCCCAGCAGTACATGTAAAGTATGTGACTTGTTACCAAAACCCCCCATCTGCCTTCTCTCTCTCCCTCTCTCTGTCTTTTTATTCCGATTATCATTACTATTGTTTTGAACACAGGTTTATCCCCATTGGAGGACCTTTTATGATGCATAATTCCCGCCCTCCGCCCGCCCCCCCCTTTGTACAGCCCAACCAGTAAACCTTGAACCTTTTATCCTCTTTGTTGTCTCCTCTTGGCAAACGGGGTGAACTTCTCTTCTTTCCAGAAACAAATTCGATAAGAAAATAATGATAATAATAAAAGATGAGAATATACAAGTTCTGACCTTTTGCATTATGATCAGCTCACCTTGTTTCACATATAACCCCCCTTCCCCTCCCCCGTCCTCTTTTTTGCTACGCCCTCTCTGTTCGTGGGCCTTTGCGTCCCGGCCCGTCCACCCGCTGACGGCGAAGGCGCGCCTAAACCTCGGCAACAAAGCTCAAAGAGAAGACAGGAGGGACGACGCAAGAAGCGGCCTGCCCCTTTTTCATTTATGGCACACGATCCCTGCGAGAATCCTCAATTTCTTTCCTATCAAGTGATTGTGTACATGTTATGAAAACATAGAGAGAGAGGAAACGTCTGCGGATTCTATGTCTGTACCACAGGCTGTACTATAGCACAATGCAAAGCTGGTTACCCGCAAGCAACCCGGCAAAAGCAAGGGGTCCTTGCTGCGCCGGCCCCCGTCGCCGGCGTCTTCTCCACCCCGGGCCCTCGGTTCGGCCTCGTCATCCGAAAGGAGCTGAAGGTTCGTGCTAGAGATATATAATAATCATAATAAGAAACCCCAATTGGCACACCCAGCCACCCAGTCACCTGTCCCCCACGCACCTTGTCCCCCCCCCCCCCCCCAGGCCGTCGAGCCGCCGTCTCTTGCTACCGGCGGCTCAACCTCGGTTCATCCTGTCCTACTGTAGTATATGGTCCTTGGCCTTTGGGGAGGACTAATCCCGTCCTTCGGTACCTCTTCGATTGTCCAGGATTGACCTCGCGAGGCTGAATCTAGCGGAAGTCGGCGCGGTGAGGCCTGATGAAAAGATACGCAGAAATCATCTATTTTCTGAATGGAACAGTAAAGGAAAGAAGAAGGAGTTGAGAAGAAGAAAACTTATCGCAGAGAAGGGCTGAACTGCATACGATCTGCTGCCAGCATCATACTTTGTAGAACCTTTTTTTTTTTTGTCTTCTTTCTTCAACTTCCCTTTTGCCTCGTTCTTCTGTCCTACCGAGATGTAACCCCCCCCCCCCACCCTTTAAACCTTAAACTTTTGTCCAGCCCTCCTTTCCTTAAGAACGCCTCGTCGTCAAGTCATGTGAAAAGTCATTTAATCTTAATGAGGCAGGGGTGCAACAAAACAAGAAAAGAAAGAAGAAAAAATCATACGTCCTGGGGGAGAAAAGAAGAAAAAAGCAGTTTCGAAACGCCGCACCACGCACCTTACCACTATCAATTGATCGTCTCTGTGCTGGGGCCGGACCGCGCCGTCGGCCCCTTCTCAAAGCAAAACCGCCCAGACGAGCCGAAGGTGCGTGTTGCCGTGTCCGAGACCTGTGAGAAGGTGCCATCCATACGTCGCCCCCCCCCCCCCCGGGCGGTTCCTCCCATGCTGCCGCCCACCTGCAGACCAGTCTGCCGCTCTGAACATAGATGGTCGCAATAGACCAGACGGACCTCCTAGCCGCCAATGCCAGTGTATGCATGTCCTGAGAAGGCAGGCTCCCAGCTGTCTTTCTCCCTCTCTCTACCCATGGCTCGTATATTTGTGGTGTTATTTGTCATGGATGTAAGTTGAATCAAAAAAGATTCCTCCAGTAAGAGAAATCCAGCATGCCAGGGGCAAAAAAAAAACGTCGCAGTGGGGAGGAAAGATCACTCCCGTCCCTGGAACGACTCGGCATGCGACCAGACCTCTCGTGGGGTGTTATCCCATCACTGGCTGACGCCCTCCATAGTGGCATCGTCAACATCATCCCGGTCGCCAAGCTTCCTCTTCCCATTCCCCGCGGCTGAAGGTGTACTGCTGTCTTCAGCTTCTCCTCCTCCTCCTCCTCCTCCTCCTCCTCCTTCGTTGTACTCGATAATCTCGAACTCGATCCTGGTCGTGCCATCGCCGCTGCGACGCGTGCCCTTGGTGGTCCGCAGGCGCCCACCCAAGCTGCTGCCTTCCACAATGCTGTCGAACCATGGAATGCTGGTCGTCTCACGGCCCCCAGTAGTAATAGTAGTAGCAGTAGTAACAGGCTGCAGGGCAGACTGATCCGTCGAGAGTGCACCGGCAGCAGCAGCAGCCTCCGCCGTTCCGTCGCCACGGGAAGGAGATGGAGAATCGTCTCCGCGGTCGACGGGAGAGGCTGGGATTAGCCCCAGATCCTCTAGGTCGCCTAGGTCCTCGCGGCACAGGCTGCCCATGGTGACCTGGATATAATCTGCCTCTGCCCGCGGCTCCTCGGACCAGTAGGTTAGTGGAGTGCCACAGAAGCCACAGAACTGCCGTCTAGAGTGACCCTCCAGGGGGTTCTCATAGACCCGTCTTATCTGGGCAGCTGTCTCATCAGGGTACAGTGCATAGGTGGCAGAGTGGTACCAGGTCAGGGGGATGCGGATGTGGGCAGAGAGGGGGGTGGCCAATGAAGCTCCTATAGATTCATTGTGTGGGTTGTCAGTCAGTCTGTCAATCCCAAGGGGAGGGGGAGGAGGAGGAGGAGGAGGAGGAGGAGATAGGCCCTGTTCTGCTAGGATGCACATGGTGGTGAATATTACATACGGTGGAAGCTGTCTGTTCCAAAGAGAACCTGGGCAATCTCATCAGCATCCTGAGGAGCCCTGATGAAGTACTGGTTCCTGTGGCAAGCACAAGAGCCTCGAAGGGGGCGTTCAAAGCTCATAGTGATCAGGTACAGAAAGAAAGAGAGAGAAATGAGGAAGACAAAAAGTCAGTCTCAAGTGAGCTGATGAACCTTGTGGCTTTGAGAGCACTGGAGCACCTTCTCGCTCGAAGCTGATTGTGATGATGACGATGGATGCCGCCTTGACTGGATGGGGAGGGAGAGAGGAAGAATATGAGTCTAGAATCCAGATTGGGTTGAGGAGGAGATAGAAGTGAGGTGAGCAGTTGCTAGAGACTGGGGGGTGGCGATTTGAGAAAGTGAGGAGATGACGATAAGTTTTTGTTTGATAGTTGTTTGTTGGACGTTTCTCAACATGTGAGAGGCATTCATTGGTTGGTGGGGGCGGGCGGCAGGGGGAACTCCAGGACAACCCCCCGCCAACCCCACTAAGTCAAGCACCAGTGGCACCTACTCAGCTACTATAGTGCATCTATAGTGCATAAACCCCCCCCCCCCCCACCAAGTAAATGACATGGTGCAGCCCGCCCCCACTTGGATTCTTCCATGACATGCTTCGAAACTTCTACCAATTTCCTCTCTCTCTCTCCCCCCTCCTCCTCCTTCTCAAGACAGGTCCACAACCAGCTTCTTTGCACTGACGCCCTTGGCCACCAGATCAACAGCCTTCTGCACACTCTCCAGGCCCTTGCCAACCACCTCAGCATCCGGCTTGCACTTCATACTCCCATCAGCCAGCGCCCCCGGCAGCCAGTCCTCCCACACAGCCTTCCCACACGGGTCCCTGCTGACGTCCATACACGTGTTGAAGCTCATCTCGACGCCCTCGGGAAGCTGCAGCGGCGGCAGGACGCCAGGCGGGAACACAGTCGCGAGGTGCTTCCTCCGACCCCCCAGCCTGTCCGCCAGCCCCGCCAGCCGCGTCAGCGACGCCGGCAGCGTGGCAAAGTCGAAGCCCAACATGGCCGCAAAGACGCCCACGGACTCGCCTTGCCCCTCCAGCGCCGCCACGATCTTGTCCAGCACGCCGCCTCCGCTCTCTTCCTTGTCGTCGTCGTGGTAGTCAAACACGTGGTCCGCCCCAATCGCCCGCAGCACCTCAAAGTTGTGCGCGCTCGCCGTGGCCGCCACTCTGTACCCGGCCGCCTTGGCCATCTGGATGGCACACATGCCCACGACCGAGCTGCCGCCCCAGACCACCAGCGTCTTGCCCTGGCTGTTGGGCGCCGTCCCCGCCCGCGGATAGTCGAGCCCCAGCGCCTCCTTCATAAACAGCGAGTACAGCGCCGTCATGAACGGCAGCGGCAGCACCGCCGCCTCCGCAAAGCCCACGTGGTCCGGGATCTTGGCCACAAACGGCTCCACGGCCGTCGTGTACAGCTGGAACGCCCCGTACTTGAGGCCCTTGAGCGTCGAGGCCGACACGGCCGCCAGGACACGGTCGCCAGGGGCGAAGCGCGTGTTCTGGGGGCCGACCGCCGTGACCACGCCTGCGACGTCCACCCCGGAGATGGTCGGGTAGTCGTCGGGCTGCAGGAGGATCCCGCGCGCCTGCACGGCGTGGTCTACAATGTTGATGCCTGTGGCGTGCACGCGTAAGACCACCTCGTCCCCCTCTGGGACGGGCATGGGCGATTCCTTGATCACGTACGGGTGGGCATGGGGCTCCGTGAGCCATGCTGCTTGGTTCTGGCCTGCTGAAGACATGATGATGGTCGTTGTCTCTTTGTCTGTCGTTTTCTTTTCCTAAAGAAGCGATGGTGATAATAATAATGATAATAATAGTAACAGTAAGTAGTGGAGAGCGAAGTCGAACAAAGGTAGGTTGTAGACTTGTATCTATCCAGCCTTAACTAAAAGTCATGAAGAAAGAGAGAGAGAAAGATGGGTGGTATACCAGGAATAGTTATACTCGACCACATCTCCACGTATTTCTTTCATACTCGCACATGGTCATGGTTTGCATGATCTCGGACGAATGTAAGCCGGAACTCCGCTAGGCCATAACCTAATCCGGCCGGTTTCTGGCCAGACATAATCCGATTAATTCCAGAATCCGAAATCCAGTATCACAGGAACTAATGATACGACCTTTTTTTTTTTGGACTTATTCCTTCTCCTCTCCCTTTTAGTTTGGTAGACATTTGAATACGACGACGGCTTTTCACAAGCTGAGCGGACTTTATCTTCCGCGTGTTTTGACAAGATTTATGCAAACCTCCCCTCCGACACACACACACACACACACACACACACACACACACGTTGAGCGATGATGAGGCACAAATAGCTACTATGTAGGCATAAGCTCCGGCCCCAGTAAAAGAGCCAACGTAGTCCTCAAATGTAGTTTAGTATTATTAATGTCATTCATTACACACTTGGAACCATGTTTAAAATGGTCAGGCCCCGTCTCCATCGGATTCACGGACGGGGGCTGTGATGGTTAGGATTCTGGCCATGCGGCACGGCCAGTCTCTTGTTTCCTTGCCGACGGGATTTCTGATTATACGAGCTGCCGCACACGGGGCTTTAGGAACTTCTTTTCTCATTAGGCTTTTGTTGTTCTCGAAAAGTCGTGGCTGGTCGATGCGGTCGGGGGGTTTCCCAACTCTCCCCTTCCTGCTCCACCTCCTCCTCCTCCACCACCACCACCTCCTCCTCCTCCTCCTCCTCCTCCTCCTCACAAGACCAGCCACGTCTCCGTCAGCGCCCTCGCCCCATCATAGTCCCCATTCGTCAGTGCAAACGTCCTCAGGTTCACCGCGCTCTCGTAGACAAATTCTCGCAGCAACAGGCCACCACTATCGCCCTTCTCCTCGTTTTCCTCCATGCGCCTCGCGTGCGCCTTGGCCTCACCGAGCGCGCGGGCGTAGAACTGCGCTGCGAGGTGGTAGATGCCCAGCAGGTGGTAGCACCGTGCGATGTTGTAGTGTGCCTCGAGCCTCTCGACCACGTCGACGGAGCGGGAGCGGATACGGTAGTACTCAAACATGTAGTGCATGCCCTGGGCGATAATAAACTGCCTGTTCTCGGCCTGGCGCTTCATGGCGTAGTGCACGTAGGCGGTGCCCACCGAGAGGTTGACCATGGGGTTGGTCGGGTCGAGGGCCGCAGCGCGCAGGAAGTAGTTGAGCGCGTAGGTGTAGCTCGTCGACGTGAGGAGGATGTGGCCGTAGAGCATCAGCAGCGTGACGTCGAGCGCCTCGTGCCGGGGGCCCAGGGCCTCTTCGCGCGGCACTGCCGTGTCCCATGCGCCCATTGCCTTCTGCGCGAGGTCCGCCGGCAGTAGTGTTCGGTCCATAGCCTTGATCTGCCGGAGGATGTACTTTTGCGCCGGGCCTGAGGCGTACCAGCTCACCGGAGACTGACACACCCGGCAGAGCGCGCTGAAGACCCGGTAGCTGTCCGTCGCGGCGTGGCATGATCGCATGAAGAAGCGCGCCACCGCCACGCACGTCTCCTCGTCTGCCGCGTGCACAGCGCATGCTGCCCACGCCACGTGGATGAGGAAGGTGTTGTCGCTGGACTTGTACACGATCGAGTCGCGCGCTGACTGGCACACGATGTAGGCCTCTTGTGCCTGTTGCCTGCGGGCCAGGCTGATGGCGTACCCGAGAAAGAGGTCGAGCCACTGGTCGAAGGGGATGCCGCGGTGTTCGTGGCGCCGGAGGACGGGCTCGGGGCCGCTGTCGTCTTCTCCAGGAGCAAGATCTATATTCAGGGCAAAGACCATTAGCCATATTGCGCACACACAATCATTTAAAATGTCTTTCAAGGCTTTGAGAGAGGAATAAGAGAGTAGAAGAAGGAGCCCAGGGACGTACTTTGCTGTAGCCGCTCAGCCATAGCAGCAAGTTCTCTATTGCCACCACCCGGCGCAGCAGCTGTTCCAGCCCGCTCGCTGCGACCGTCCTCAGCAGCATGCCTCTCAGCGGCCCTCTTCTCGTTCTCTTTGAAGAAGGAGCCGTAGCCCATAAAGTTGAGATACTTGTCCCACGGATAAAACTCCTTGAAGGATCGGAAGTCGTCCACCAGGTCCTGTGCGGCCGCCATCCACTCGTCCTCGGCCTCGATGTCGCCGCTCGCCATGCGCTCCCGCAGCTCCTGCACCTTGTGGTACTTGCTCTGGAAGCTCTCCGTGACGTTGTGCTCGTATATCTCGCGCTTGGCCTTGCTGGCCATGCGGCGCATATGCTGTCGCCGCACACGCTTCGGCCGCTGGCCCTTCTTCTTCTCCCGCATCACCTTGTCGCGGATACGCCGACGGCGCCTGACCTTGGCTGCCACCAGACCGTCTCCTTCCTCGTCCTCATCCTCATCTTCCCCGCCGTTGTCGTCGTCTTCCTCATTTTCCTCGTCCTCTCGGCGCTGTTCATCCTCAAGCGCTATGGCCTCGTTCACCAGGAGGAAGGCCTCCTCCTTCTCCTGGTGCGTCTCGTACATCTGTGCGAGCTCCAGCCGGGCCTCGATGTTGTCTTCATCCACCTCAATCGCCCGGAGGAACAGGTCTTCTGCCGTGGCCTGGTCCTCCATGTCCAGGTAACACCTGCCCTTCTGTACGAGCATCTCAGAGTCGACCTCCCCGGTGAGCCGTTCGTAAAATTCGTAAAACTCCAGGGCGGTGGTGATGCGCCGGTTCTCAAAGAGCTGGTTCGCGAGTTCCTTGATGACGAAGGGGCTGTCCTCGAAATACTCGTGCACCGGCGCATTCTCGAATCCCGGCGTAGCAGTCAGCCACTGCAGGTGCCTGGTGGCCTCCTCTTCCTGGCCGAGCTTGAGGCGGAAGATGGCCAGCTTCGCGCGGAGGTCCAGGGGCAGAGCGGGTCCGTACATCTCATAGGGAAACGTGTCTGGCTTGTATTCAGGCACCTCCCTCATCCGGTCGTCCTCCTGGTCCCACTCCCGATCGTCGTCCACGTACCTGTCCCAAAAGGTCTCGTGCTGCCGCCCGATTAGCAACCGCGAGAGCGAGCGCAGTGCGAGGGCGGCATCCGAGTATCTCTCGAGGAATGCACACATCTCGACGTAGATGATAACGTCGGACCACTCGAAGGTGCCCCTCAGCCGCTGGCCGCCCTCGCGCACGTGCCTGATGGCCAGCTCGTAAAAGCCCCGCGCCTTCTCGACGTACTTCCTTGCGCTCCTGGTGTCGAAGGCGGCCTCGGCCATGTTCCGCAGCACCGCCATATCGTAGGGCCGCCTCTGCAGCACTTTGACGTACTCGGCGGCGGCGGTGCTCGACCTCCCAGCCTCGAGGGCGCAGTTCGCCTTGCCGATGCGGGCCTTCATGCTCTTTGGGTTGGCCCTGATGGCGGCAGAGAAGCACATCTGGGCTGTGTCGAGGTTCCGCTGGCGGCCATCGGGCGTGGTGTCGTCCAGCGCGAACTGCGCGACCGTCATCCACCCGTAAAAGTCGCGCGGCCGCAGGTGAGCGGCGAAGCACATGGCCATGATGGCCTCGCGCATCTGCCCGCGCTCCTGGTAGATGCTGCTGAGCATCATCCACGCATCATGTGTCTCGGCATTCTGCCGGATCACTTCCTCCACCACGGCGAGCGCGTTGTCCAGCTCCCGCCGCAGCAGCGAGTCCGAGGCCTGCGAGAGCAGCAGTTTGATCTCAGCGCTTGGCTCCACGATGTTGCGCGGGCCGCCAGCAGCACCGCCCAGGCGACGGCGTTTGCGGGTGTGTTTGCCCTCTCTGCGGCTCCCTCTTCCTCGCTTGCGCTGGCCAGTGCCTCGTGAGGAGGCTGGGTGGATAGCAGGGTCGATGAGATCCAACTCATCATCTTCATCATCCGAGTCGAAAGCCCCACCACCCATAGAAGCCTTGAAAGCGGCAACATCAGCATCAAGCTTGGCAATATCAGCTTGAAGCCTGAAGTCGTCTGAATCGGCATCAGAGAGCTCAGCATTATCCCCAGCACGGTCTGGGGCCTCAAAGTCGTCATCGTCATCATAAACAAAGCTGCATCAAATTTCAGTACAGCTTGCACTTTGCGATTGGAGAGCAGCACATAGACGAGTGGAGGAAGAAGACATACTCATCTTTCATCTGAGGAACATGCTGCATAGGCAGGACAGACAGCACATTACTAATTGTAGACGGTGGCCCTGGTGGAGGTGCCAGAAGCTCTCTAAACTCGGCCTCCATCTTCAGGGACTGGACTTGTTGGGTCGATGTCTGTGGTCAACGTCGAAGATATTGTTTGCGACTTGGGCCTGTTTATGCAGGCTCGTGGCAGGAGCAAGCAGGTGACTGGAACCTGCAGATTTCTCCAAGTTTGGCCACAAGAGCTCCTTCGTCTTGTCGCATCATCAGTACATGCACTCTGAGAGTAGCATGTGTTGAAAGGGACCAGAATATGGTGTATGGGATATTCAAACAAGTTCGAGTCGAAGGTGCTTTCCTCACAGCCAAAGCAAGTGGAAAGTTTAGCCCCACTAAGAGTGGCGGGTCCATTTTACCCTAACCCTCACAAACTCTCTGCCATATGAAGTTCATCTACTGTAGGAAGCAAGTCGCTCAGATAGCTAAGTGAGTACCTACTTTACTCTGTCCTCTCCTTTGTTCCTTAACCAGAGCTTCAATGAAACAAGGCCCGGGTTACTGACTACCAAGTACTTATTTATACTCACAAGAAGTATGTACATTGTAGCAAAAGTAGCCCCTCCTCTACAGCGCAACAGCAATGTAAGAGGATTTTCCATTTTCTAGAAGAGCAAACCCGTGTATAAACTTGAGGACAAAATTACATGGGGGTTTGGTAGCGTTCAACGTGTCAGCACGTTTTCATACCGCAGAAATATACTTCACTCAAAACCATGTATTTGCTGTTGAGGAGACACGCTGTCTGATGTGTCATGTTATACAGCCACGATATACCTGAGCATGCCTGACAAACTTGCCGCTCTATCATCTCTCAGCATAAGAGCGTTCATACCAGCCTCAAGACATATTTCCATTTTGGTCAAATACCCCAGTGGAGACATCCAATGTGGGAAAGGTGTCCTTGATATATATATAAAATATATACCAGGCTGTGTGTTCAGAACTGTCCAACTGTGCCCAAAACCCATGTCAACCAAGAAATGCGACTGCTATTCCCACGCTAACTGTAGGATCTCGTTTATGATATCAGAGCACCCTTAATCTTTACAACAATGTGGGAGGTTGACCCACTTTCGTGGTCGTGATTCTGGAGCCCATTTTTCTCATCGATCGTGATGCTTGTGGGCAACCGATTACAAGTGCAAATCTATGCAAGCTTGCCTGTGGCCTTGGCATCTGAAACTGACTGTTAGCCTGCGGTCCAAGCACCTGAGATGGGTTCTTTGGGGAAGCAACTTACCCTTAACCTGTTCAAAAACCTTCAGCATCTTGCGCCTGGCTCCTAGGGCGTTGACGCCCCTCTTCTCCAGGGCCTCGTCATCAAGCTCGACCAGCTCATTCCACTTCAGATCCTTCAGATGGTCTGTGTACTTGTGCAGACGAAGGCTGCGCAGCCAAGACGGAATGTCCTGCAGCAGGGTAGGGTCAGTCGGATCCTCTGGGGGCTTGCTAGTACCCCGGCGACCACGTGGAGAGCGACCACGATTGATATCAGAGTGGTCTGACAGGTAGCCCTCGTGATGACCTCCCATGCCCAGTCCTCCCAGGCCGACCATGCCGTTATTCAGCAGAGGTGACGTTCCACTATATGGGTTCAGGAAGCCGTTGGCCTGCGGGGAGGTGAAGGCACCCATGGGCTGGAACCCGGCCGACATACCACCCTGCAGCGCGAAGCCAGGTGAGTTGGGTCGAGAGCCGCCACCACTAAGTTGCTGGTGCTGCAGTGCGATCATCTGCTCGGGTGTGAGGACCTGTCCACGCTCGTTGCTCATAACAATGTTGAGTGGCTGACCACCCATGCCCATGCCGCCCATGCCACCCATGCCGCCCATTCCCATGCCGCCCATGCCCATACCCTGCGTGTTGGGAGGCAGAGGCGAACCTGGTGCGTCGTTGGATCGAGTGCGTCGGTACCTGCGGGGATCATCGAGCGCGAAACGGTTGTTGACCGTGGACAGCGCTGCCAGCTTCATCGCAGTGGCATTGGCCACCATATCGGCCTGGTTTCCACCTTGCTGGCCCTGATTGAAGTTGGCTGCCATGGGGGTGTTGACCATCGAGGCCCAATTGCCGCCGCTGGGGCCGTAGGGCGACAGGAGGGGGAGGTCGGACTTGTCTCCGGTCGTGATGGTCGTGCTCTTGATCTGCTGGTTTCCAGAGATCTGCGGGTGCGGGGAGCGAAGGCCAGCCGAAGGAGGCGGCTGGACGAACTGACCCATGGGGGTCTGGCCAGTGGACGACTTGGGCCGCTGGTCGGCAGCACCCCAGGGCGAGGAGGCACCCTGTCCATTACCCTCGACGCCATCCGGACCTGAAATAGTTGGGGCCACAAGGGAGTTCCGGTCGACGGTGCTGTTTCGGTTCGAAGGAGGAGCAGCGCCCGTCTGCTGTGTGAACTTGACCTTCTCGGTCGCAATAGCAGCGGCAGCATCGGGAAACATGGCATTGATGACGGACGAGTCCAGACCAGACTGCCGTTTGGCGGCCGAGGGGGCGCGGGCGAGGGAATTTCGGGCTGACTCAACGCTGAGCTTGCCCATGGCGTCACTCAGACGGCTCGACATGGGGTCTGGAGAGGGTGTTCCATCAGGTCAGCACTGGTCCCCCCCGCTGTAGAGAAGGGACTGGGGGTGGGGTTTCCATTATGTTCCTCTTACCTTTGTCGAAACCAGCCGGGGAGAGCACACTCGACATGGGGTGGTTCTTGGCCATCTGCTGGAGCACCTGAATGAAGAAGCGGATCTGCACCTGTGTTGCCTGTTGCAACAGCGCATAGAGGGCAGCAGTGCGCTCGGCTTCGCTCAGGACTCGGAACCATTGTTCTATCGCGCTGAGCTCGTCCTTGAAATCCTGATCGAGGGTCGCAGCGGCCATCTCCTCCAGAGTATCCTCATATTGATCAATGTCTGCGATCCACTGCTGGGCAATCTTGTCCTGCGGGTCGAGCTCGCCAGCGCTATGACCCTGTTGGCCGTAGAAGTCTGAGCTGGGACGGTTGAGTTTGGACTGAGGCGTACCCGTGAGGGTGGCCATGTCGGCGGAGGCGCGGAGCTGGTGTCCGGACCCGATGGCTCTTGATGAGGGAGGGCGCAGCGAGGAGATGTTCCCCGCCTCGGGGGTGCTGTTGCGGTTGCTCATCATATTGGGAGTCGAGGACATGGAGAGCAAAAAAAGGCAATCGAACAAGGCGGGCTTCGACGTCGAGGCGATCGATGGTGTGTGTCTGTAGCCGAGACAGTGCCCCGTGCTAGACTGGAACGGGGTAGGTGAAAAGACGGAAAGGCGTTAGAGTATTAGAAGAAGAAGAAAAAAAAGAAGTAAAAAGTAAAAAGAAAGCCGAGTACAAGAGGCCAGGGCCTTGTCGCATAGACCTGAAACAGCGACTGAAGGAAGTGCCCCCGAGGAACAGTTCGGATGTCAAGTACTGGCTGCTAACGAGCTCGAGGGGCGATCTATGGCCTGTGAAAGCGAAGATTTTTTTTTTTTTTTGTATTTTCCCCAGCTATCAGAGCCGGATAGGAGGACGGTTCGTTCGGGATGGGTCTTCGACTAGATATTACGATTGAGTTGACGTGTGGGTTGACTGTCGTCTGCAGCGAGGGGTTTGGTGGGGGACGAAAAAATTGTCTGGCTAGAAAAAGCTCTTGATCTCGAGGAACGGTATCAATGAGATGGCGAACTTCTCCTGCAGTGACCTGCTGACCTCAAAGGAGATGTGTCGAAAAAGGTGTGAAGTCGAAAGGCGAACGGGGCGCTGAGTCCAAAAGAGAGGACAGAAAGGCTCGAATAGGGGAGACCGGAGGGGTCTAATATTCAGAACTGCGGAAAAGAACCCTGTGTCAGCAAGTCGACTAGCCAGATTCGTTATGTGCGTGTGGGGGCGGGCGAGGCGAGCTTGAGGCTTCTAGCCTCGAGGAGGAGCGAAGGTCCAGTGGAGCCCAAAAGTGGCCCGAAGACGACGACAAAAGGCCAGGCCGAGAGAGCGAGGTGGTTCGGGGGACTGACTACCATTGAGTTCAGGCCAAAAGAGGTGTTGGGACTGTGGGAGAGACAGATAGAGGGAGAGGGAGAAATCAATCGATAGGGTCCGGAAAAAGAAGTTTCGACAAAAGGTAAGGGAAGTTGAAAGACGGGACGACTCTTTGAGCTGGTGCGCCTGTAGGGGTAGGGGACTGACGTGACAAGGTCGATCTCCGAGCTGGTGCCACAAAGACAATGCCGTTGTGAACGAGGAAGAAAGCAGGGAGATGACACCGTTTCAAACGATGATGGTGTGGGGAGTATGCATGCAAGGCTGTTGTTGGTGGAGTAGATACGACAATGTAGGTCTGGGCGTTTGTGTCCTCTCTAACTTACAAAAGAAGGTTGAATTAATTGGTGATGAAGTTGAGCCGAGTACTGCCCAACAGCTTGCCAAGCTGGTCAAGGACAAATATGGGAGGTGAGCTGAGATGAGAGGTGACGTACAGCGATGATTAGAATGGAAAGACAAAGATTGTATCCAAGACAGCCAAGAGCAGGACTATACCAGGCTAAGAGTACAGGTCTGTTAATGTGGGAAGATTGTGGTCCATGTGGACAAGAATGGAAAGGCTGAGTGAAAAGGAACAGGTTAAAAATACAAAATAAAGTTGGTGATTGTGTGTATGGGGTGTCAGAGCAGACAATGCAGTGGCGGCTACAAGCTGAACTAGGTCCCTACCAGTCCCTGCTAGCACTGTCTACAGGTGACAGTCCTACTAGCCTCCCCTAGTCATCAACTTGGAAGGGGCCAATAATTTGCTACAGTGCATTAGTATCAGCCAGAACTCTCTCTACAGTGGGGGCTCTTTTCCTCTAGATAGCCCTTAGGCTTGGGACAATCTCCTAATGGTTCCATCTGAAAGACCCCTTTACTTATTTTTTGAAGATAAGTTCAAGAGAGGAAGAAAATTGTTATAAAACCGTGTAAAAACTCCATGCCATTTCAAGGTCATTCACCCCTCAACATCTTTATAGAAACGGACCCATGGCCTTCCATCAATCGTTCTGGAAGCCAGGACCACCTTTCCAAGGACCCTTAGAAGGTGGCCCTCTAGTCCCCATCCACAAGCCTTGACTGCACAGTCCTGACATCTCGCACACTCCCCAGTTTGCGTTTCCAAACCTGGGATAGAGGGCGGGGCGGCAAACTCGCCTGTCGCCTCTGAGTGGTTGGTCGGTCGGTCGGTCGGCGAGTGTGGGTGCGGGTGGGCTCATTCACGTCTCTGCCAGATGATGCGGCCGCCAGGTCATTGTCGGGGCCCCCCTCCTCCAAGGGGAAGGGGAAACTTTTGCACAACTGAACCGATCTGACGTTGCAACAGTGTGTGGGCGGGTTGTCCAGCCGTGCTAAACATAGAAGAGCAGGCCCCCCTCTTCCCCTAAGCGCGATCCAGTCAGTGTGCGCTCCTCTTTTGGATTTGAGTCTTGGCTCTGGCATCCTGGCAGATCATCCATCATCAACCAACTTCCACCCTGAAGTTTGTGATGTGCAGTGCAACTTGAAGCTTAAATACAGACCATCAGTGTCAACCACAATTGATACTTTAGCATCCACAAATGGAGGACACGGGGGAAAGAATACTGCCTCCTCTTTTTCTTCGTTTTCTTTTCTTTTTTTTTCTTTTTTTTTCCCGGGGGGAAGGGGGTAAAAGAAGGAGGAAATTCACACACGGCTTTTGTATAGTGAAAGCAAAAATGTACTCTTTCAGCATAAATAATGATATTTTAATACTGCTTAGGTGTGCTATCTGACCTACGATGTGGGGGATCAAGGGCTAGGCGGCTTTTACCGCCCCCAATCAAGATGACTTTACACGACCATTTCAACAGCCTTTTACAGTTCAGCCTTTCCGCATTTCGAAGTCCGCACTGGATCTCGTCGAAACGATATACTACAGAATCAACATGCAGCACGAGCAGACGGATGTACATTGCTCATTGCAGGATCCGCATAATCGAGGCTGGTGACCAGTACCCTTCAGGTGTGATACAGAAGGAATGGATTTGGAAGGCAACCACTCCGAAAAAGGAAACAGCAAGAAGACAAATGTAGCCTATTCTTTCATGCGCCTAGGCCGTCAGGAGTTGAAGGCAGAGGCGTTTGGTAATAGACAGGCTAGATGATCTTGGCACGAAGAATAATCCTTCAGACATTTGAACATGGGATTAAGTTCAACGCTGTACACACTAATGCCATTGGTTGTCACACGATTGACTGTCTCATGTTCCCGCAGGGAAGAATAGGGGACAGACACAGGCCAAACAACGGGCCACATATAGGGAGGGGTAAGCATGCGTGCTGTTCACCACTGCTCGCAGGTCCTCCCACGCAGCATCGGGTGGGAACACTTGATAGTTGAGGCATGTCAATCGGCCAGGCATCACCAAAAAAAAAAAAAAGGGGGGGGGGGAGGTTGGGCACAGAATGCGCAGAATCTTGGTTGGTCGTTTTGATGCCGTCAAATTGGTTCACGGCTGTGGCACCTTAGCCGTAACGATATCCGAGGGGAAAAAACTAGCACAAGAGACGCCCCAGTATGATGTCCCCCAACCGTCCTTGATGTGGAAAAGTATGTGTGCATCGCCAAAGGTTCTCGCCATCGAAGTCTCATTCGTTTCGGTTATCGACCCCCTCGTCCCTTACACCGTCTCACGCTTGCCCTCCTTCAGCTCCTTCTGTAATGGTTGTCAGTCTCTCTCTGTGTCGTTACGCGCCGATTGCCAGTGGCCAGCCGCAAGTATGGGGCTTTGAATGCTCACCAGAGCCTTCATCGTGCCGTGAAGAGCATAACGATGGTTCCGTCGGAACTTGGGGTCAGTGCCCTTGAGGGAAGGGTATCTGGAGGTCTTGGGCTTCTTGATGCTGTATTGCGCAAATGAATCATCAGCCAAAATTGTCCCATGTGTATTATCTCATGTCCTTGAGTTGGATATCGCATCCGATCGAGGGGGTTGGAGCATGCTGCGCATCGATTGTCGTCGAAGAAAATTCTCGTTGACCGATCGATTGTCCGACGTACCCGTTCCTGTGAGCCTTCTTGCTCTGGTTGTGCTGGGAGCTGTTCTTCGACTCTGTTGTTTAGGACAATTGTTAGTCGTTCCGAATTCATGCAAAGTGTCGCTTTATCGAGGAGAATATGTACGTACTGGCCATTTTGACGGTATTGGTCGAGTTATCGAAGTTGGTTGATGTGGTCGAAAAAGAGGTTGTTAGAGCAATTTCGCCAGGTTAGGCGAGTTTTCGAGATTTTGGTGGGTTCGCCTGGGCAGGCTGCTTTTAGTGGGGCGCAAGAGAATGCTTATGTAATTCCCTGAGGCTCAAAGCCGCCTTCCCACCCGTTGCCCCACCCTTGTACAATCGCAGTTCCGAATCAAGAGGGGGACTTACTCGAGACTTGCTCGCACCGATAACGACGGTACATCAGTCGACACCAATTTATGAAGATGCAATCGATATATTTTCAACATTATGAATATGTCTTTCCAAGGTCCGTCTACGTTGACACGATACCATGATAGAATGGGAAATCCGCCCGTCTTTGATACTGCTGCTTCTCATCGGCTTGTGACAATGTTTTCTACCTCTCACAGACTAGCCGGTGCTCAATCCCATCCCGACCTTCCAAGGCCTGTGCACACCCATAAAGCTAGCTCTGAGTGCTCTTCTACTTCACGGCTACCCGAGACGTGAGACTGCTCTGTGCAGCCAACTTGGACGCCGCTGCCAAGTGCTGTGACCGAAGCTTCTGTATGTATCGGAGGAAGAGAATAAAGAGAAGTTCCACACTACAATTGGAAGGTCAGCAAACATTCGTTGGTGCAGACAGACAGCCCCGAGAGAGATAGACAGAGAGAGAGAGAGAGAGAGAGAGAGAGATGCGTACCGTTCCTTGGCCATCATCAGGATGCCCTGTACCAAGATACCCTTCAAGATCTGCGGACCGATGCCCTTGAACAGGCCGAGAGGCCCCTCGTTCTCATAAATAAACCTCATCACCTCACCAAAGCTCTTAAAAGGCTTGCCCTGCCTGGACGGAGGAGGCTTCGACTGCAATCCGACCTTGGCAACAATCAGGGGCTGCGTCGCTATCGTGGCGAGAGCCTTGGACAGCGCACCGAGAACTGTCACACACACACAGAGGGAAGAATAAGAGTCAGTGTCTTGCTTCCTCGTCTCGGATCGTTGGAGACTACCCACCAAAGGCCTGCCACGGCTTCAGCACTTGGCCAGGGAACAACAACGGCTTTAACCTCTCGTACGCCCCATAGGTGATGCTCGGGTTCACCACCAGCACCAGGCTGGCCCGCAGACCCCTCCACAACCCCGTGATGCCGTCCTCACCATCAATGACCTCCCGTGCGGTATCCAGCATCCCTTTCCTCTCGGTCTTGCTCTGCGTCTGCTGGCGTGTGGTAACGACGGCGACGGGGATGGTGAACAGCTGGGCCAGGGCACCTGCGACGGCACCCAGGCTCAGCTCCACGGCGGTCGACGGCGGCGCCGCGGACTTGGCGCCCTTAAAGTATAGGTCCCGCACGGTCTGGTACCAGAAGAAGTAGGCAAAGTTGGTGCTCGCAACGCCGAGGAGGGATCCTGATATGCCCGCATATAGGCCCGCGAGGCCATCTTCATCGACGATCTTGGTGATTGCGTCCCAGGTCGAGTCGTAGTGTGGAGAGGAGTCAGGGGCGGAGGGTTCACCAGGCTTGCGTTTTTCTTGGACCTGAAGGCGGGTCTTGACTCTAGAACATTGGAGAGAGCTTTGTCAGATCCTGAGAAGGTGGTGGTGCCATGTTACGAGCTTGGAGAGGAGAGGAGGAGGAGGAGGGGTAGGAGAAGAGGTCGGCGCACATGTCCAGCGGGTATACGAGGGCATTAGCCAGGACAGCGCCCGAGGCGCCAGCTGTCGCCTTTCCCCACGGCCCGATTGGGGTGGCCTTGGACTGGATAGCCATCTTTGTGATCTTCCTTGGTGATCTGAAACTCCTCCTTTAGCAACGCTATTCTCCAGGTGTTTAAGGGAAGACGGCGGTCCGTTCCAAGAGAGGACCAGTGCGGGTTGGGAGCAGGTGGTGAGAAGGAAACGCTGCGGCGGTCCTTCAGACGCCGAATACCGGCGAACGTGGAGCACTTGAGAGGGAACAAGGCTCTTTTTATCTTTTTGCTACCGGCTCATGGGGATAATTCTGTGACCTTTTGTGTGGATGTATGACAATGAAGAACGAAGCAGTCTCAGATAGCAGAACAGGAGTCAGTTGGTGGAGAGCATAAGGAATGTCAAGTCGGCCCCAGTAAACGCCGTGATCACAGCCGGGTTCATTGGGACGTTCGTTATCAACCAATTTTACCTCGGCTCTCCCACGTGCAGCCGAGAAGGGACCGGACGTCATATACTAGTATATTCTGGGATCACCGGCTTGGCAAGAGACAGGGTGAGGACGAGGGCCCTGTCCAGTTACCAAGCGGTAGAAGCATCGAAGACGGAACTGCCCAAGTACGCAAAAGAGAGGAGCTGTTCTCGATTGTAAAAAAGATGTGACACTGTATTTTGATGGTGACAGCACATGAAGAGTCCATATCTCCCTATACTTTGAGAATTTTTCGACATTACAGGGCAGACGTGCCATAACAAACCCTGACAGCTCAAACACCCTAACCCTGGGTCAGATGAGGGTCGCTCGGGCTGGTACCTGGGTACATGAAGACAGGAAGGACTCATCATCGGAGAATTAGAAACCATTACTGAAATTCTCAGACTATATATCATATCAATTACTTCAAAGTAGGCGTCTTAAATCACTGTAGCAAGGTAAGTATTCAAGGCAGATAAATGTTGTACCTACTATGGAACATATACTGGGTAACACGTACCTACTAGTGAGGCAGGTACCACTCAGATTACTTTCTTTGCCTTCCTTGTGACAATCTCACTCCATCCACTATGCACTTTGCTACTATTGCATCCTGCACCCAACCACAGCCTTCCCGCAGAAAATCGAACTACGTATCATGTGGTTTCATGAGAACGAACTTCCTTCATTTCTCCTTGCCTCTTATCATTTTTCTTCCAACTAGGCCCACGGGTGTAGCGTGTGCGCAGTGCTACGAAGGCCGAAGCCCCGATAATCATAAGCTTTGTCCAGCTGCCGAGATGTGACTGGCGCATCTCCTTCTTCTACGTCTTCTCCCTCTTTAGAAACTCTCTTTCGAGCCAGACACATATTCAAGGTCGGCCTGTCTCCTTACAGCTCTCAATTGTGTGGCAATGAGCGCAATCTCAAGCGAGGAGGAGTAATTGCACAAATCGAAGCTGAGACCGGTGCCGTCAAAGCAGCAGTGTTCAGCATCATGGAGGCCCGAGCCAGGGTACGTTCACGCTTTCCCCTGAGCACCAGCCAGCTGCGACAACAGCACAAGCACAATCAACACAATGACTTATAGACCAAACAGGATGTTGAGGCCAAGATCAGCCAGGCCTCTGGGGAGGACGCCCTTAAGCATGCCATCGACGCAGCTGAGCTCTACATGAAGGCTGTCAGAGAGGCCCCAACCACGGCCGAAAAGTCGCGCCTGAGACGCAAATGCCAGGACCTCATCGCACTCGCCGAGACCCTCAAGGCTCCTCAGCGCAGGCCAACTCCCACAGCAGCAGCAGCGCCGTCGACATCGTTGGTGACCACAAGGCTGCCCGGGCCCAGACAGCCCCGCCTGTCTCGAGAGCTTCCCACGAGTGAGAAGACCATCCTGCTAAGGTCATCCAAGCTCCATGGCAGCGTGTTTCCGCCGTGGGAGAGCGATCCAGACCCTGCCGTCTTCAGGAGCAAAAGGCTGGATGAGCCCCCCTTTAGAGACACTTCCGTCTTCTCGTTCTCATCCAAACAGGAGGAGATCTTTGACGGCTGGAAACGGCCTGCCGAGATGTTCAACGACTCTGGACCGGAGCTCTATGAAAACATCATGGTTGCCAAGGCGGATTGTGACCTCGTGCAGGACATCACGACAGACTGCTCAGTGGTTGCAAGCTTGTGTGCCGTCATGAGACATCTGAAGCCCGGCAAGAAGGATTCCCTGCTCCCGACATTGCTGTACCCCTTTGACCACGACAGGGACAGGCCCGTTGCCTCTCAGAATGGCAAGTATATGTTTCGGCTCAACTTCAACGGCTGCTTCAGGCAGGTTGTTGTCGATGACCGTCTGCCGGCCGCCAAGACCTCACGCACCTTCTTCGTCGTCGATCGGAGAAACCCGGAGCTCATATGGCCGGCGCTGATGGAGAAGGCCTATCTGAAGATCCGTGGTGGTTATGACTTTCCGGGCAGCAACTCAGGAACGGATCTCTGGGTGCTCACGGGATGGATACCAGAGCAGATCTTTCTGCAGAGGCATGTACAGCCTCTTTCCCCCTTTCCCTATCTCTATCTCCCATTCTCAATCTCTCATGTCTATACAAACGCCCCCAACAGTTAACTAACCTGACATCATAATCATCATCGTCATGCTATAGTGACGACACCGAGCTCGACCAGACATGGAAACGCACCAAGTCGGCCTTTGGGTTCGGTGATGTCGTCGTGACTCTCGGCACAGGTCGGCTCTCCCGCCAGGAGGAAGAGACGCTGGGCCTGGCCGGTGAGCACGACTATGCGGTGATGGACCTCAAGGTCTCGGACACGGGCGAGAGGCGCATGCTTCTCAAGAACCCATGGTGTGACGGGCTCGTCTGGAAGGGCGTCGGGTCCACGGCCACCGTCGACGCAGAGGCCTACCCGCCCCCTTCGCCCACGCTGTCCCGGCCCAACCTCACCCGCCCTGGGCAGCAGTCTGGCTCCACACACGAGGAGATGACGGGCACCTTCTGGATCTCCTTCGAGGACGTAGTGCAGAACTTCGAGTCTCTCTACCTCAACTGGAACCCAGCACTCTTCACGGACCGCCAGGACCACCACTTCGTCTGGGAGCTCCCCTCGCGTGCCATGCAGCGCTCCTTTGCGCACAACCCCCAGTACAGCTTCACGTCGCCTGCCTCTGGCGCCGTCTGGATCCTGCTCTCGCGCCACTTCCAGGACGACGAGCTCCCTATCTCGCGGTCCCGCGCCGCACGTCAGCCACCCACGACCTCGCTGGCCGACGTTGCCAACAGTCTTGGCTTCATGTCCATCTACCTCTTCGACGCCGCTCAGGGCCGCCGCGTGCAGCTCCCCGGCAACCCTCCGCCGGCCCACCAGTCCCCCTTTGTCGACTCGCCTCAGACGCTCCTCCGGGTCACCGCCCAGCCCAACACGCCCTACACCGTCGTCGTCGCGCAGGAGGGGTTCCCCCTGCCCCGCTACGCCTTCACTCTGTCCTTCTTCTCTCGCGCCCCTCTCTCCATCTCGCGCGCTCTCCCGCCCCTGGAACACTACACCGAGGTCGCCGGCGCCTGGACCCGCCGCACTGCTGGTGGCAATGCCCGTACTGCCACTTTCCTGCACAATCCCCAGTATACCCTCTGCGTGCCATGCCCTACGCCCCTATCTCTCCTCCTCACCACCGACGCCGATGACGTCCCCGTCCACGTGGACCTCGTATGGGCATCGTCAACAGCCCCAGACGGCTCCCGCCCTCGTCGTATTACCACCCTTGCGGCTCGCGATGTCGCTGCCGGCTCAGGCGAGTACCGCCGCGGCTGCGCCCTCGCCGAGCTCCCTGCCCAGCAGCAGCCGCCCGGCCCCGCCTCCTACACCGTTGTCGTCTCCACATTCGAGCCAGGCCAGCTCGGCGGCTTTGTCCTGCGCGTCGGCAGCGGCGCTCCCGTGTCCCTGCGGCCCGTGGCTCCCGACGCCGCTGGACGGCTTCGCGCTGAACTCGCCCCCGTCACCTTTCGCGAAGGCGAGCCAGAGCGCAAGCGTGCCGCCCTCCACGTCGCCCGACTTACCCGCGCGTCCATCGTTGCGAGAAGTGGTTTTCTCGGGGGTGGCGGACCAACAGCAGCCGCAACAGCAGCAGCAATAGCGGTAGGGTTGGCCAGCCCCGGCGATCGTGGCACGGCGCGGTCCTCTGGTGCCGCGAGCCCCATCAGCGTGCCCGTCTCCGTGCGCGTGAGTATCGAGTACGGCAGTGGGCCGCACGCGCGCATGGCGGCGACCACAGGGGAAGGCGAGTTTGCAGACGCAAGCATGGGCCTGCGCACCGAAGAAGTCGACCTGGACCCAGAGGCAGCGCGGCGGATGGGCGGGCTGTGGCTTGTTGTTGAGCAGATGGGAGCGCACCGGCTGGGACAGGGAATCCAGGTGGATGTGCTTAGCGACGGGAGGGTTGGGGTGGGAGATTGGGAGGTTGTGGATGTATGATAATGATTACTTGAAGGGGGAGGGGGGGGGTCCTTTATTTATTTGTTGTATAGCCATAGGAAGAAAGAGGACTCTTGAGAGTTTGTGAGCTCATCATCCTGATTACGCCGTGTCAGTGCCAGACTTGCACTCTTAAGATGTACGTAATCAACTTGCATCAATCAGAAAAGTAGCACTCGAAGTGATAAGATTCGACTAGCTCAATTGAAAAAAAAGGCCTCGTCGGCCAGTCAGACAGACCTGTTCCATACATACAACAGCATCAAGCAGTTCTGACCACGACGAAATCCTCATTCCATGAATGGATGGATAGATGGATGATGATGATCAACAACATCGACCTTTTGTTCCAGAGCAGCCGTCTTTGGTTGGCCAGCAAAATAGATTCCCTTTCCCTTTCCATTCCCATCCTTTGAGAGAAACACTCCCTTCTCTTCTCTCCCATCTCATCCACCATCACGCACACCACTCAAAAGAAGATAGCTCTTGTCTTTCGTCTCTCATCTCTCTTTCTCTTTTCCCCCCTCCACAACCCCTCCATGGTTCTCAAAATGAACGCGCCAAAACCAAAAACCAATAAAAAAAAATAATAAAAATTCCTCCCAGATCGATTGACCAAACGCCATGCGCTGATCCTGCTCCCTTGGCTGTCGCAAGAGGGGGGGAAATGACGATAACCACCCGAGCGGACGGTATCGGCCGCCCCTCTTATTTTGCTTTGCAAATTGATTTCCCCACAACCTCACCCTCCCAATCTTGCCTTCTCACACTGTCCCTCTTTTCCCTCAAGAAAAGAAAGTAAGACAAAGAGGATATCCTTCTGAAATAAGTGCGTCATGCTGGAACATAGGGAAATAAGAGTAATGCGACGAGTAAGGTTTGTTTTTCTTTATGTACAAACAACGAGTGAAATAAAAAATGTACCGGGCTGTTGATCAGAGAACAGCGGGGGGTAGACTGGGTATCTTCGGAAATGGAAATATGTGCTGAGAAAGTGTCCTCCAGAAAAGGCTCTGCGTGTGTCTGTCCTGTCTTCTCCAAGAGAGAGAGAGAGAGACAATGAACAGGGCATTGAAGTGACTCCAAGTCGTCATTTCATTCGTGCATTTGTGGTCAGCTTGCACCCCGCCGCCTACGGCCACGGCTCGGTCCGTCTGGTCTTTGCGAGAGAACACTTCGTAGAATCATATCGTCCTTGTCCTTGTCTGGATGGTGCACCCGAACATGTCTGTATATGGTTTTTGATAGGTCAGCTTCAACGTAGAGAGAGGATTCAATCCTGTCATCGTCGTGGTCGAGATGGAATGCGCACCTTTGTAGGTTATCTGGCCTGGGATATTTGTGTTCTCGATCTGGACAGAATGGACACACATAACCAGGTGATTCGTGAACCAGTCCGTGGCGGATCATTTCGTTCTTCCGTTTAAAGCCCTTGCCACCTTCTGAGCGAGGACAGCCCTTGACTGGACAATAATGGGGCCGTGCTTGTGAGTGCACATTTGCGTGGGAATTCAACAGATATTGCGTTTGGAAAGGAGGGGCCTTGCATCCTTCAAAGCTGCAATGGTACTGGCCATGATCCATGGGGTTGGCAAAGGCAATGCCATCGAGATTCATCCTTTCCGCAACAGACGTGCTCGTAGCAGGGGTAGAGACCGACTGATCGCTTGGGGTGCTACCGCTGTAGTCCATACTGGGCCGGTGCGGCATCCCGTTGCCTAGAAAGGGGTGATATGGGCCTGGTGGTATAAAGGGCTGGTGGGGTGACCGTGGTAGCATATCCTGCGGCGAAATTGGGGGGGACACGTGGCTGGAGTGTATTAGGCTCATGCCAACAGGCAAACCTCCCGTAGGAGATTGGGAAAAGGATGCTGGCGAGAGCGCCTCGGCTCCTAGCGACTCCTTGAGCGACGGGAGCGTCAGTCCGGCATTCGACTCGGACCTGGGCGACGTGTTCTGGATTGGCGCCAGCTCACCATGGCCGACGCTCCCGGTGGGCGAGGCGAAACTTCCCGTCCTTGGTGAGTAGATGCTGCTTGGGCTGTAGGGTGATGAGATCACACGGTGCTGTATGTCGTCTCTCCGAACGGCGGTTTGCGGTCTTCCTGTGGCCAGGTCTGGGAACGTGGCTGGCGCCCGCCCGTCATCACTCACCGAGTGTCGGTCCCCCAGGGCGAGGGCAGCCAAGGCCGTGTCTGCCAGCGAGGACTCTGGGGAGAGCGCGCCCGTCTCAATCACGTCGACCTCGCCGTCGTCACTGTCGGCCTTCCTCCGGCCCCTGATATCCATGGGAGCGCTCGCAAGATCGCGCTCGTCGGCGTCGGCGTCATCAGAATCTGGAGACGTCGAACCCTCCGAGTCGCTGACCAACGCGACCTGTCCAGCTTGTGCAGCAATCTCGGGATCCCTCCCGTTGCCCATGATCCCAATGAGGACGGCATCGCCCTGGCTTGGTCGTACCTTTGGCCGTTTAGCTTTCCCGTTCTGAGATCTGGGAGGAGGACTGATTTGAACCCGCGGGAGTTCAGGTTCAGGGCTAGGGCTTGGTTGGGTGTTCACCTTTCTGGCGACAAGAAGGGGGCTATTCTGGGGCACCACCGCGTCGGGATCGTATACGTCGTGAGCCGTCGTCATCGCTGCTGATGTTGCTCGTAGCTCTTGCTTACGGACGTATATAGTCAACTCGCCATTGGGGATCGGAAGGGTTTCGGCCGTGCAGACAAGGCTGTGTGTGTGTATGTGAAGGCGACGATCGGCGCGCAAAGTGACCCCCCTGCCTCGTCTTCCAAATGTACCAACACAATTCCTCCTCTTGCGTCCTGGGTCAGCCAGCGTTGCGAGACGTTAGCCCCACCCCTCGGATTCCTTTTCTTCTTGTCCTCCTTCTTCGTCTTCTTCTTCTTTCTTCTCCACCCTTGCTTGTTCTTGCCTTTTTTTTTTTTTTACCCCCCTTTCTTCTCCACTTCCCTTCTTTGGAGAAGAAGAAAATTCCTTCCCCTTGCCTTTGCGCCGACGGGGCAGCCGCTTTGCGCTGCCTGCCTTCGTTGTAGTTCGAAAATGTGGTAATAGGCAATAATTGATCGCGACGAAGATGAATAAGATGGTGAGCCTCTCCCGAGCGAAAGGAGAAAGGGTGGAGGAGGTCTCGAGCCAATCCACTACTCAAGATTCTGTTCGACGAAGCGGACGCCCACGTGGGTGAAGAGAAAGCTGGAGGGCAAGGGTGATGGGAAGGTTGAGTCGCGGGGATGGGCGGGTGGAGGGTCCCCAAGGTGGCCGCGCGAGCTGCCCGCAGAGCCCCAAGCTTCGAGAGAGGGCCTGGAGCCACGGAAGAATGCGGCGCACCCGAGCAGAGCCTCTTGCAACAGTATGGGGAAGGGCTTGGCGTGTGACCGGATTAGAATTGCGAAGGGCGGGGGAGGAGGAAAGCGTTTAATTGCTGGCCTCCAGAAGCCGGGGGTTGCGACAAGGATGGACGTGGATAGAAAAGCCTCGGAGGAGGGCCCGGTATGAGGTCGTAGTCCGGGAGGGAGAAGTCCAAGGAGAGAGGGGCGTTGGACTCTCTTTGTCTGGTGCGTCTCTGAAAGCTTGTGGATCGCCTGATTTGGCCAAGACTGGCTCCGAGTCCCCAACCAAGCGCAGAGCCTCAAAAAAGGTACGAAGACAGGGCCCCCAACAGGGCCGCGTTTGCAAGGCTGTATGTAGGGCGTGCGTCCGTCTATCCACCTTCTTTGGTGGTGCGAGGTATGCACCAGGTGCGCCCAGATCGCCCAGATCGACTCGAGCCCGCCGGGAAGGGCTAGGGTGGGCGGTCGGACCAGACGGCTTGAGAGGTGGTCTCAGGGTCGCAGTGCCGTGTACCGTACGTAGAAGACGCAGTTGCAGTAGTAGTGGTAGTAGCAGTTAGTTCGTAGTAGTAGGTATCGTAGGGGGGAGCGGCCAGGGAAGGACAGGCAGAGCCTGATGAGGCTCTGTGACGAGTCCTTGTAGGTGTGCGTGGGTGTGGAGCCCGTTGACGGGGACAGACAGAGAGAGCCTGCTTCTGTCACTAATCCTTCCGGTTCGGTTGGCACCCTACTTTTGTTCTTTGGTATTCCTGCTTCTTCGTCTTTTGACTTTTAATCCTTACTTTTCTTCTTTTCTTGTCTCCTTGTATTCTCGAGCCTGAGTGGAAGAAGAAGAAGAAAAGTAAAGACAGGGACGGGCCAGCGTATCCCAGAACCTCGTGCGGGCGTCTCGGCACCCTAGCCTCCTAGAACAAATGACGAAAAGGTGGAGACGAGAGTCAGGAGGAGGCGCGGAACGGGATGTCGACAAGGCGAGAGTGAGAGTGAGTGAGAGAATGCGCGCGAGACAGGCGCAGACTCAGGCGGTACGAACAGGGCGAGGATGGTGGGACGGAGTCAACAGGCTATTCTGTTGAAAGTCTTTCGGGCGTTCGAGATAGATGAACGGCGCCAGAAGACAGGACCGAAAAGGGAGGTTGTCGACGATCGATATTGGGTACCAAAGACAAGGAGTCGAGACTTGTCTGAGCTTGAGGAGGGTCAAGGTTCGGAGTGCAGACTCAGATCGAAGGCCCCATCCGACTCACTTCAATTCGGAGTCATCCATCTCACCGTACAACGTTGCAGTAAATCGCACACAAGGGGGTTGAGGGGGTGGGGGGCAATAAAATACAATTATTAAAACAAGAAAGAAACAAAACAAGGGACCACCATGGCATACAGTACAAGCGAATGCTGCAGGGACGAGAGGAACCAGAGGCAGAAGGGGAGACAAAGTAAAGACGCAGCAGGATTGATTGAGTTTGGCGAGCAGAGCTGGCTTAGGTGCTGTTCTGGGTCCTGGGTTCTGGGTCCCTTGGGCCTGGGCCTGGGCCTGGTGTGTAGGACGATTGTCCTTGGTCTCTGGGGTAAAGAATTGGAGCCAATGTCTACCTAACCTACTAGAGGTACTACTATGACAGTACCATAATGGTCAGCTGTGGTAGTACTGCAGCATGCAGTACTGTGGTACCTGGTCCAAAAGGCGGCTTCTCATTTGCTCCTCTCGACAGACTGACCTGCGGGTCCCCTTTGTGGATTGGGGGGGGGGGGGGCTTTGGAAGGCACGAGACAGGGGGTTTCCTTCTGGAGGGCGAAGGGGAAACGGGGGGAAGGAGGGAAGGAGCATGCGTTTTTTGGCCCGCGCTCCTTCCCTCTCGTGTGCCAAGAGAGGCGCCCGCCCACCTTCTCCCGCCCTTCTTTTTCTTTCTCTTTCTCTTCCCCTCGCCTTCCAAGTCTCTTTCTAGTGCTACTATATTATGTAACACGCAGTAATTAGGGTGCAGAACTTGATCTGTGCGATACAGCGTTTGCTGCTGCTGCTGCTGCTGCTGATGGTAATTGCAGCTAGTGCAGCCCCCAAATATAAAGCAATACCACTTACATGGTTTAGTATTATGCACCGTACCTATGGTATATGCAGGCTGTCACCGTAATCAGACCACCCCCGCCCTTTTCCTCTCTCTTGATTGTATGTTCTCCCTTCCTTACGTGAGCCTTATCACTATTCATTTTTTGTCCTTGCTGAGTGAGTGTCTCTCGTCATGTATGTATATACACCCATCCTTTATAAGCTAGCCCCCATGCATGCATACTAATTCACCTTGTTATTGGCAATAAACATCATGCAAGCAGGCCCTCGTGATCCCAAGCAACCCAGTCTGAAACTGATCTGGGCCCAGGGATTTTGGACGAAACTTCGAGGATCGGCCAGAAACATTTCCTTTGGATATTATTCCATGCCATAGCACATTACTTACTACTGTATAGTACCATCCATCCCACCCTAACCCAAACCAAACCAAACCAAACCAAACCACCCAACCCAACCCCACCACCCAACCCCCCCCTGCTTTCCAAAAATCCCACTAGTGTTCCCTTAGTATATTCCCTTACGCTGCTCCCGCACTTTGCTTCAGGCCTTGTTTACCCCATGGGATGAATTTTGCTTCTGGCATGGGCCGCGGGCACCTGCAGACCATTTGAGGCGACCATCCCGCTTCGTCTCAATTAAGCCGCATGAACGACATTCCAACGACACACAAAAAGTTGAATCACACACGAGATTGGTTTTCTTCCTCTTTTATCCTGTCGAAACTTAGCACCATTTGTGGAAGTGCTGTAATGACACTTGCTGCTGCTGCTACTGCTGCTGTCGCCCTTCAACTCGCCGCTTCTTTTCTTTTTACTCTTGCTCTTGCGTCCTCCCCTATCCCACATCTTCTTTCTTCTTTTTCTTCTCCTCTCAGCTGCTGCTCCACCTCGGCAACCCACACAGTAAAGAACATATATAGCACTATAGTAATTACTATGGTACATACATACCATAATCCATATCGTAGTAGTAGTAGTAGTAGTAGTAGTAGTGACAATACAAAGAAGAGGCTACGCGCACCATTGTGTCATCTGTGCGTTGTGTTGTCTCCTCTTCCTAGTAGGATTTCTTTCAGCTGCTGCCCCTAGAGCACACCTGTCCTATCCTGTTGTGAGATCTACGGGACAGACCGCTTCCGAACCGTATCTGGTCACGTCACGAGCTGAGAAGCTAAGAGCTAAGAGAGGCGAAAAGGCATGCCTGCCTGACACGAGCTGTTACGGAAGGTGAACTAGGATACATTCCTTAACCGGCACCCGAGGAAGCGGCGCAATGTACAGAGCAGCAGCAACAGGGTCTCATCGCTTATCACGATCCCGTTTCAACCGTCCCCCCCCGCCCACCCTCCTTTCAGGGCCGCATGGGACGGGAAGAAAGAGCGGTGCCCAATAGCACCATACTCAGCCTCAAAGCATCAGCACCAAAAGCATCAGCACCAGTATCTATCAAAGATTAGCAGCAGCAGCAGCAGCAGCATCAGCACCAAGCTCCAACTCGAGATTAGAGCAACCATTTCTAAGCCAAAAATCCCCCCCCCCCCACCTCTTCTTATGCCTTCCTGCATGACCAGATTGGCCCGGACCACCCGCCCAATCTCGGGGCCTGCAGCTGGACTGTCGAATCGTTTTACCTCTTGTGGGCGTCCAGAGCGAGACCAACGTGCGCAGTGTCACAACAGAAAACCGCTATCCTCGGTTCGTGATGTTGCCAGCAGCGCCCCCCCCCCCCACCTCCCTCCTTGTCCTTTCTCTTCTACTACTCCTGCGCAAAGATCTTGGAAGAAGGCTCGCCACTGCGAGTAACCGTTGATTTTCTCGTCTCCCCCTGCTCCCGAGGCGGTGGTGCAGCTGGTCATTGTAGGACCTGTAGTCAAAATGAGCTCCACACACTGTATTGTCTGTTAAAAATAGCTAATTGAATAGATAATCAGGAGGCCTCCATGGCGGCAACAGGGACTTTATTAATACCTCTTCTCAAACCAAGAAGAAAGAAGAAAAAAAGAAACCAGAGAGACACTGCCACCACTTCTTGTTTTAACCCTGGGTACCCGACCGGGAGGGGGGCATGAAATAATCTCCCCTTGATTCCTCAACCCATCCCTTCGCCGACCGATCCCAGCGCGCGCTATGTGTGTTTTGCCCCTACCCCAAATCAATAACTACTTCCTACTACTATAGTAGGCACTCGTGCCGCTACTTCCAGAACGTTGAGCCCACCCGCGGTAGCCTCCGTACCTGACAGGGGCCAAACACGCATGTTCATTGGCTGATAGAAAGGCAAGCGAAGGGGGATGGGTTGCGACTTCCACGGCCACTACGCACCTCCAACCTTGGACCCTTGTAGGAAGTAAGCTCCCTGGTCCTGAGTACCCACCATAGTATGTACCCCTGCTCGTTTGTCGTTTCTTCATTCTTCCTGCTGTTCTCCCCCTCCCCACGTTTCCCACCCCTCATGCTCC